GCAAAGGCGAAGTCGACCAAGTATGCATCTACAACTCAATAAATCGCAAAGCATAGAGAGGGACTTGGCAAAGGCGAAGTCGACCAAGTATGCATCTACAATCCGCTTCAAAAATAAATCGCAAACATAGAGAGGGACTTGGCCAAGGCGACGTCGACCAAGTATGCATCTACAACCCGCTACAAAAATAAATCGCAAGCATAGAGAGGGACTTGGCCAAGGCGAAGTCGACCAAGTATGCATCTACAATCTGCTACAAAAATAAATCGCAAGCATAGAGAGGGACTTGGCAAAGGCGAAGTCGACCAAGTATGCATCTACAATCCGCTTCAAAAATAAATCGCAAACATAGAGAGGGACTTGGCAAAGGCGAAGTCGACCAAGTTTGCATCTACAATCCGCTTCAAAAAAAAAACCATTCATAACAAGGATAAGGAAAAGCTAAACTTAACTGTAATCTACTAAAAAAAAATTTGAAAAGTAATTTAACAAAATTGAGCACGCGCAAGAATGATCAATATAATTCAACGAACTAAAACCATTATATACGATACCAGTGAAATGGTCATGTACAGGGTTTTCAAAACAGAGTGCTCGAGCGACAAATTTGCCCTTGCGTAGACCAAATTTTTACATATAGGAGTTTAAACATCCGTTACACATGTCCCCACTACTATCTTCACTCCTTCGGTAACCAAACTTCTCCCCACACCGATTTCTAGAGTTTTCCTTACAATCTGTAATTCCTTGCGTAGACCAAAAAAAAAAGTGGAAGTATAATTCTTTATGTAGACCAAAAAAATATATAATAAAACTCTACTATCAATGATAGCAAATACTCTATTGCGACTTGTCATCAGCTGCAAGCACAAGCACTCGAGAATTACTTGAAACATTGCTGCGCCAGCTACTTCTTTACAAGAGCTGTATCTTACAGCAACATTGAAATGTATATATACTAGTAGCTCCTATGATATAATAACAATTATCTTTATATTTTATAACCTAGATACTATGGGTCTGGAGGCAAGAAAATAATCGCAAAAACACTTCAAGACATACTGCTGGTACACGAGATCGATGCTGCAAATGAGCACATCAAACCAATGGATACTCCGGAATATATAGCCTCCCGTTCTTGTTCCAGAGGTCAGTATGCGCCTAGTTAGGGAAGATCTTGAGTCGCCCGTTAAGACAGAAGAAGATTGTGATTGCACCATTAGCCTAGCATAAGAACACAGTCCCCTTAGCAATATGGCGCTTCTCTACATGGAGCGTAGCGTTGACTACAGTTGTTTTAAATATCCAGATGATGATGACTCAGACAGTGAAGATTAGGGCGACCAAGAGCATCATATACTCGATAAATAAAAAGAAGGACCATACTTTATCTTCTCCAATGTATCCCTATATACTTTCATTTAATCTTCTCTTTTTTTCTCTTTCTCTATACTCTTCTAATAAAAAAAGAAAAAGGATAATGTCTAGAAAAAGTTGTCAACCCTGAGTGGTAAATGGCTACCACTAGATATTATACCTCACTTACTGAACGTCACTATAAGGCAACATAATAAAAGTTGGTCTACATAAAGAATTATACTTCCACTTTTTTTTTGGTCTATGCAAGGAATTACAGATTGTAAGGAAAACTCTGGAAATCGGTGTGGGGAGAAGTTTGGTTACCGAAGGAGTGAAGATAGTAGTGGGGACATGTGTAACGGATGTTTAAACTCCTATATGTAAAAATTTGGTCTACGCAAGGGCAAATTTGGTCGCTCGAGCAACTCTGTTTGTTATATGATGTTACTGTGTTTTTACTGATTTATAATGTTGAGGCAATACTACTATATGGCATTTTCAGGATAAAATAATTTAAAATATGCAATTGTAAATTTAAAGGTAATTTCATTTTTGAAGATATAGTACCACGTAATAGTGAATATGCTTTACGACATTTATAATTTTTACACATAAACACTTTTTTATTAATATATAATTTTGTATCTGAATTACATGTTAAACATTTATTAATTTTGTTTATATAATCATTTTCAATCAGTATAATAATGCCTTTTCTTCATTATGAAATAAATCTTTTAAATTTATATAAGGTTCTGTAAACATATTTCATGATTATTTTATTTCAAATAAAAAATCTAATTTTTTGCTTTTTCAGTAATTGAGTTTAAATTTAATATTCTGTGAATTATGTTGGGATACATCCAAAAAAAGTTATGAGGTTGTCAAAGAAGATGATGCAATGACAGGTATGTAGTAAGAGTTTCGTGATAGAAAGAAAAAGAGAGGTAAAATGAGATTATGCTAAAAGCACGTTATATATATAAATATATATATACAAAAAAAAAGAATAAGGAAAAAAATAATGAACTTGCTGAAGATGATGACGCAGAAGATGATGAAGGTGAAGGTGATAGTGTTACGCTTCCTTCGCTGAGTTTTCTTTTTTTATAATTTGGTTTTGTTGCTGTGGATGTGAATGATGGCTCCAATCGTCGTGGTAAAGGTGCTTGGAAAGTAGATTTCTTTTTTGGCTTTTTTTCAACTGCTCTTTTTGTTTCTTCTATTATATGCCTTGAAGCCCAAAGTGTATGAAGAAGAGTAAAAAAGTCCATGAATGAAGCAGCAGACATTGGATATGGTAACCAGTCAGGTAACTTGGTTACCCTGCTAGCATAACCAGCGGGACAGTCCAGGACAAGGAATTGAAGATAAAGGCCTAGTAACCATATATTAGAATGCTGTATACAAACACAACCAAGTTACTTCGATTGCTTACCTGAAATGATGAAGCCACAAGTCTTTATTTGGCGCAATTGCACCGGATTGTATCGTTCCATTTCAACGGCCATGTCTTTTAATGTTTTTGGACACTTCATATGAAGTTCCGTGATACTTCTACTACTACTTCTGTCACTTTCTGCTCCTGCTTCCATTGCACCGAGTTCGAAAAGCGGGGTAGCAAAAAGCTGATCCACTTTTGTTCCAACTTTCTTCCGTGTGATGCTTTTATCACCACCCACTGGTCTGTCTTTGTTTTGTGCTTCTGAAGTTGCCTTACTGGCTTTTTCACCACTAAAAAATATGAGAGTAACTGTGAGAATTTTGATTATATGGCATATGTGATTATTATGATTACCTGTTGGATACAATATATTCGGATGAGTCGAAGCAACTATCCATAAAAGTCCATGCGCGTCTGATAAGGTCGGCTTCTGTACGGTTTTTTTCAAAGTATCCATGATACAACAACATAAGTGCCTCTTCTACAGTCAATTGCATCCAATGTAATTCTGATTCATGAACTGGATGATATCGAAAACTGCGAACATGATATACAAGATCCTAATAAATATATTCATAAGCTGAAGAATTTAGTGTTTCTGTTTTATCAAAGACATATTGTAAAGCAATTGTGCGTATGGTGCCCGCCACCTAGAAACGTAAATGTTTGGACCAGTTTTCAATGTTTTATTTCAACTTTTTTCACTTATACAACCCACTTTTTTGATTTCATAGAACGGTAGAGAGAGGCTCAAAGATTAATTCTATGAAAAGCTTTTATTTACATACGAGCAAAAAAAATGAGAAATAAAGTGTCGAAGTTGGGGTCGATTTGAAGATTTAGCAGAGGATTTTGTCAGAATGTCCACCCTACTATACACTATAGTATATGACATTAAATCGGCGATTTCCATATTAAGAAGGTAGTGTAACATTAGTGATAAGCGCTGGTGCAATATATACCTCAGCCTTCCAATTCTAATCAACATTGACTGTAATGGTGCCATGTAAATTATAAGTAGGATGACAGTTTGATTGTTCCTTTTTTTTTCCAAAACATTCCATACAATGGGGAGACTCAACAAGTACCAGAAGCACCTTAAAATTGTGCAAGAGTCAAAGAACACAATCAAGTAATTTTCTTGTACATTCAAAGAGAACTGTTAGTTTCTAAGAATCATGTAAGATGCATTATATGAGAGCAGTTTGTTTATTTTTATCCTCTGAGAAGCGAATTTTCAATGGATAAATATCACTTAACTAAAAATGGAAATTTATAATGGCAGAACTTTAAATTTTTGAAATGTCCACTTGTTGTTTCTAGGTGGCGGGCACCATACCTTCTATTGTATTTGTATGAACTCCTGTTTTTGAATCTTTAAAATGCTTTTTATGATTAACTGTTTCATGTTTATATCCTATATTTTTTAGATTATTATATCTTTTCCATTTATCAGTATATATAATACTTCCTTTTTTAACATATTTTCTAACAATATTATCAATTCCATTAATATCTCTTTTATCAATTTGTAAAAGAAATAAATTCTTATTCTCATTTTTTATTTTATTTTTAAGGAACTTCTCTCAATTCCCCCAATTACCCATGCACCTTCAACTTTATGACCTCTATTATTCTTTCTTTTAGCAAATTTACTTTCATCAATTTCTACTATTTTATTTCTTCCACCAATCTTTCTATGTCTACTAAAATAAATTTTATTTTTTAAATATTTTCTATATATTTTGTTATATGATGTTACTGTGTTTTTACTGATTTATAATGTTGAGGCAATACTACTATATGGCATTTTCAGGATAAAATAATTTAAAATATGCAATTGTAAATTTAAAGGTAATTTCATTTTTGAAAATATAGTACCACGTAATAGTGAATATGCTTTACGACATTTATAATTTTTACATATAAACACTTTTTTATTAATATATAATTTTGTATCTGAATTACATGTTAAACATTTATTAATTTTGTTTATATAATTATTTTCAATCAAGTATAATAATGCCTTTTCTTCATTATGAAATAAATCTTTTAAATTTATATAAGGTTCTGTAAACATATTTCATGATTATTTTATTTCAAATAAAAAATCCAATTTTTTGCTTTTTCAGTAATTGAGTTTAACTTTAATATTCTGTGAATTATGTTGGGATACATCCAAAAAAAGTTATGAGGTTGTCAAAGAAGATGATGCAATGACAGGTATGTAGTAAGAGTTTCGTGATAGAAAGAAAAAGAGAGGTAAAATGAGATTTTACTAAAAGCACGGTTATATATATATATATACAAAAAAAAAGAATAAGGAAAAAAATTATGAACTTGCTGAAGATGATGACATAGAAGATGATGAAGGTGAAGGTGATGGTGTTATGCTTCCTTCGCTGAGTTTTCTTTTTTTATAATTTGGTTTTGTTGCTGTGGATGTGAATGATGGCTCCAATCGTCGTAGTAAAGGTGCTTGGAAAGTAGATTTCTTTTTTGGCTTTTTTTCAACTGCTCTTTTTGTTTCTTCCATTATATGCCTTGAAGCCCAAAGTGTATGAAGAAGAGTAAAAAAGTCCATGAATGAAGCAGCAGACATTGGATATGGTAACCAGTCAGGTAACTTGGTTACCCTGCTAGCATAACCAGCGGGACAGTCCAGGACAAGGAATTGAAGATAAAGGCCTAGTAACCATATGTTAGAATGCTGTATACAAACACAACTAAGTTACTTCGATTGCTTACCTGAAATGATGAAGCCACAAGTCTTTATTTGGCGCAATTGCACCGGATTGTATCGTTCCATTTCAACGGCCATGTCTTTTAATGTTTTTGGACACTTCATATGAAGTTCCGTAATACTTTTACTACTACTTCTGTCACTTTCTGCTCCTGCTTCCATTGCACCGAGTTCGAAAAGCGGGGTAGCAAAAAGCTGATCCACTTTTGTTCCAACTTTCTTCCATGTGATGCTTTTATCACCACCCACTGGTCTGTCTTTGTTTTGTGCTTCTGAAGTTGCCTTGCTGGCTTTTTCACCACTAAAAAATATGAGAGTAACTGTGAGAATTTTGATTATATGGCATATGTGATTATTATGATTACCTGTTGGATACAATATATTCAGATGAGTCGAAGCAACTATCCATAAAAGTCCATGCGTGTCTGATAAGGTCGGCTTCTGTACGGTTTTTTTCAAAGTATCCATGATACAACAACATAAGTGCCTCTTCTACAGTCAATTGCATCCAATGTAATTCTGATTCATGAACTGGATGATATCGAAAACTGCGAATATGGTAATATAAGTCATCCAAAGTTTCCTAATGTATTTTTTCGCACGTTAATACCGAAGAATCTAGTGTTCTGTTTCATGCTTTTACTTACTTTGCCTTCGAAAGACTCCACAAACTGTTCAAGTGGTGCTGGTAATTCAGGAATTACTGGTACTGTGTAATTCCGCAACTCGTAGAGTTCCTCTGCATTGAACCGTTTTTCCCAAATAGGGTCGGTGGGGCCCATTATGACCGAATGTGCAGGGCTATAAAGATTTAATGATATTGATTAGTCTTCAATACTATAATACTATGCTACTATAAAACACTCGTCATTTACTAAGCAACTTACTGCTCGTACTCTTGTTCCAAAGCTACTACTTTCATCTCTTTCTCAACATATTTTCCGGTTTCAAGTCTCCACATGTTGCTTTCTATCATTTTATCATAAACTGCAGCGATTCTTTTTTTGTCATCAGCATTTAACTTTTTAGCTTGTTCAGAGCTGTCTGTAGGGGTAGTAGGGGTTGGTTGTGATGGCGGTAAGGTGATAGCACGCTCGGTGAGAGCTTTCTCTACTTGTATCCAATTTGGTGGTTCTTCATACTAGGGCAGCAAAGAAAAAAATCATAAGATAAAAAATACAAACGCGACAATAAAAAGTACTAGTTTTTCATACCAGAAATGCTTCAAAATCCTTAGCAGCCCTATTGAATCGCGAGATCCAACTGTTCTTGTAATCTTCGCTATTTTTTGTATTTGCAACAATAAACTCTAGGTTATCCTCAATAAAATCAGCTAATGAAGCCTTCTTGTTGCTGCGGATAATATTTGAGATATAGTTTTTGATGGCTATTACAACCAGTTATTTAGAATTACCTAGCATCTATTATTGTTAATCTTTTTATTACCTGTGTTGCAGTTTCTTTGTGGTGAATTTGTTGACATGGCAACAGAAGTTAGGAGGAACCTGTTGTATTGTTACAGGATTTTCCTAATGATTGGCGGGGCTTTTTTTTTACATTGGCGCAGGATACTTTTGAAATTGGCGTTGGGGGATTAAACCAGACGACGGGTGTAATTTTAATTATTGGCAGAGTTCGTAATTCTTTGATGGCCGATGTGAATTTTACTTTTGACATCTTCATTTTAATTCCATGACGACATTCCTTTTTTTAATTTCCTTTTTGACATACTTTTCGTCTTTTCTTATAACAACAGCAACAATAACAATGAATTTATTTAAACACTGTAGGAAAATTCTTGTGGATTTTAAATTCTTGTAAACACTAAGTAAAGTAACAAGAATTCTTGTGGATTCTTGTGAATTTGAAGTAGCGATAAAGCGGTCACGCGTTCACAAGAAAATCACAAAACGTTTCGTGGAATATCAAAGCGGTCACACGTTCACAAGAAAATCACAAAACGTTTTGTGGAATACCAAAGCGGTCACATGTTCACAAGAAAATCACAAAACATTTTTGTGGAATATTCATTATATAGATTTTAAAGAATAGCTTTATTCAATTACATGATACTAGCTAAGGTTTATTGATTGATGGAATACTGGTCGAGCGTATACAGATGAAAACCACCCCTTTCTTTCTCTATATATCACATACACTCTCGCTATATATATACGTGTATGTGTGTGTGTTTATACAATAATCAACTTTCTGATACTTTAACTTACCTTTTAATTATGTATATTTTTGTGGGGGAGAGCAGCTCCGAGCCGCTTTGTCGTACGGCGTCGTTTGGTAGACTGCGTGGACTGGGCAGGACAGGGGCAGGAAGAAAAGCAGAAGCAGAAGCAGGAAGAAAAGCAGAAGCGGAAACAGGAAGAAAAGCAGAAGCAGGAAGAGAAGCAGAGACAGGAAGAGCAGAAGCCGGTTCTTGTTGTCTACCTGATAGTTAATATATATTTGATTGTGGTTGCTCTATTGTAGTAGTTATCATACCTAGAAACCGCTCTCGACTTGCTAGATCTGCCGTAGTTATGCCAGCATTCCTAGAGGATATGGCGAGCTACCCACTGGCCCTGGCAGACAGCAAAATCAATGCCCTGCTTTTTTGCCAGGTTCATGAAAAGGCTAATAGCCCAGTTGCCTATCTTTGCTTTGTAGCTTAGCAAAGTAGTGGGTCACGCTGTTGTCAGCACGATTCTGCAATCTTTTCACCAGATCGACCACAACACGTTCGCTAATGTGCTTGATGTCGGTCTGGGCTTTGATCAAGGCACCTCCTTCAAAATGGTGGTAGCCTTGAAGGAGAAGGCGCTCAACATCATCCTTGCTCGCTTTCTTTACCATCTTCCCCTTGGCATTTAGAGTCATTGGGTAGGGAATGAGGGAAACCGTCTCAGCAAGTTCTGCTTCATCGACAACTGGTACCTCGACTAGGGACTACGCCGTTAGCAGTTGGTCGAGCTTCTCCAGAATGACTGCTTGATTTGTCTCTACATTAATAAGACGATGCTCCATACGAGTGAAGACTTAGGAGATTAAGGTTAGCGTTGAGAGGTGTTTGGTTAGTGTTTGGGAAGAAAAGAAAGAAAAAAAACTTTTGCGGTAATATAAAAGTATTTGTCACCCTGGTCAACCAGGTGGTTATAACAAGAGAGTACTGTTTAATCACAAGAATCCACAAGAATCCACAAGAATGAGGCCGGCGGGGTCCAAATTCACAAGAAATCCACAAGAATCCACAAAAACCACGGCGACCCAGAGCAGGCAGTGACAGACGTCACAAATTTACAAGAAATTCACAAGAAATCCATAAGAACCACAAGAATGAGGCCAGCGGGGGTCCAAATTCACAAGAAATTCACAAGAACCACAAGAATTTTCCTACAGTGAAATATTAAAAAAAAAACTACAACATCTGCTCCTCAAGGAGACATTGAGGCACAAACGACAGTGAATGCTTTATCCATCCTTGACAATCCTTGGAGTAACCAGACGCGCAGATTGTTCGATCTGTGGTATCAAGGGATCGTCGGAAGAAAGCAAATTGCGCTTAACACCTGCCTTAACTTTGGACCAAAATTCTTCAATAGCATTCAGAAAAGGGTTATAAGGAGGGAGATACAGTAAAGTAAACCCCTGCTTAGCAACAGCATCCTTTACCTCTTGTGTCTTGTGAATAGGAGCGTTGTCCATGATTAAAGTTCTTCCATCCGTGCCATTTTCCTTCAAGACCTTCATTACCACCTCCAAAAATTCAATAAAGTGCTCCACCCTCGTACCAATTTTGCCCACTACTTTTTGCTCGCTACTACGCGTTTTACGTATACTGAGAATGACTACGAGATGGCTGTCGTGAAACCGTTGTAGTTCATGATAATAGAAAATGTAGAGTTAAAACAGCTTAAGTGTGCTAGTATATTGTTTATAAACTACTTCGGTTTATGTATTTGGTAGATACATACTGAAGTTATATTTTCATTGCCTTAGTTATGCCCGTCTACCTATCATTTTTTGTTGAACCCAATGGTTTAGATGTGCTTTCCACCCACTCGTAGTTTGTGCCAGAATAAATTGAATTTGCCTTGGTTTTGTTGACTGGCGTACCATTGTGGTCCATGTGGTTGAACCTGATGCCATGTTGAACTCCACTGAACTTGAATTTTAAAGGTATATTGTTGAATTCGCTGGCAGAGTGGTGGGGAGGATGGTATGGCCTGCAAATCTTGCTTCCACCAATTTGACTAATCATGGGATTACAGCCGCAAAAAAAAAGCAAAGATTTATAAGATACAGAATACAAACATAACAATTTATATGTACTAGTCGATCGTACCAGATTTACTTTATTCTTCTAGCAGCTTGGTTTATAACAAGGCCCAATTGTTTTTGAAATCTTTTTCCATTCCTGAAACAATGATCTCCAAGTTATCATCAATAAAAGCATTTCATGAAACCTCCTGTTGCTGCAGATACTATTAAAAATGTAGGTTTAAATGACGATCATACCCATCTATTTAGTATTCACTTGATGCTATCACTGTTATATTTTTACCTGTTTCCCAGTACGAAAGGTTTTCAGTTTGCAAAGAGTTTGTGCCATTGATACAAAAGTAAAAAAAAACCTGTTGTCAAGGTTGGCCTTTGCCGGTTTCTTTCTTAGCCTAATATTTCATGCAGATAACAAATAAGCAAAAAATGAGAAATGGTAAAAGTTGTCTCGACCAACTTTTACAAATTACTTGAAAAAGGAAGAAAAAAAAGAAAAAAACTCGCAAGCATAGAGAGGGACTTGGCAAAGGCGAAGTCGACCAAGTATGCATCCATAACTCACTCGTAGCATAGAGAGGGACTTGGCAAAGGCGAAGTCGACTAAGTATGCATCTACAATCCGCTTCAAGAATAAATCGCAAGCATAGAGAGGGACTTGGCAAAGGCGAAGTCGACCAAGTATGCATCTACAATCCGCTTCAAAAATGAATCGCAAACATAGAGAGGGACTTGGCAAAGGCGAAGTCGACCAAGTATGCATCTACAATCCGCTTCAAAAATAAATCGCAAACATAGAGAGGGACTTGGCCAAGGCGAAGTCGACCAAGTAAGCATCCATAACTCACTCGCAGCATAGAGAGGGACTTGGCAAAGGCGAAGTCGACCAAGTTTGCATCTACAATCCGCTTCAAAAAAAAAACCAATCATAACAAGGATAAGGAAAAGCTAAACTTAACTGTAATCTACTAAAAAAAAAACTTGAAAAGTAATTTAACAAAATTGAGCACGCGCAAGAATGATCAACATAATTCAACGAACTAAAACACTAAATATCCATTATATACGATACCAGTGAAATGGTCATGTACAGGGTTTTCAAAACAGAGCTGCTCGAGCGACCAAATTTGCCCTTGCGTAGACCAAATTTTTAGATATAGGAGTTTAAACATCCGTTACACATGTCCCCACTGCTATCTTCACTCCTTCGGTAACCAAACTTCTCCCCACACCGATTTCCAGAGTTTTCCTTACAATCTGTAATTCCTTGCGTAGACCAAAAAAAAAAAGTGGAAGTATAATTCTTTATGTAGACCAAAAATATATATAATAAAACTCTACTATCAATGATAGCAAATACTCTATTGCGACTTATCATCAGCTGCAAGCACAAGCACTCGAGAATTACTTGAAACATTGCTGCGCCAGCTACTTCTTTACAAGAGCTGTATCTTACAGCAACATTGAAATGTATATATACTAGTAGCTCCTATGATATAGTAACAATTATCTTTATATTTTATAACCTAGATACTATGGGTCTGGAGGCAAGAAAATAATCGCAAAAACACTTCAAGACATACTGCTGGTACACGAGATCGATGCTGCGAATGAGCACATCAAACTGATGGATACTCCGGAATAGGCGAATGAACAATATCTATAAATTTTGTTATAAATAACAAATTTTATGATATTATTCTATTCTAGTCAAGCTCCGTTCATTTCATTCACTCCGGGCGTCGAACTAAAGTTCTAGCCTAGGGGGAGGGGGGTTTGCTCACTACCGTTGCGCCACTTAGAGTGTTTTAAACATAATAGTTGAAATTAACCCTATTGGTTGAGAATCTTATAGTGTTTAAGAAATTATTTTTTTTTGAAAAATTAATTTCACTATTTATTATAAACACTTAAAAATTATAATACTTATAATTTTTTTACGTATTTATAATTTCACTAAAAGCAAAATACTAATGGTTACCCCCCATATATAGCCTCCCGTTCTTGTTCCAGAGGTCAGTATGCGCCTAGTTAGGGAAGATCTTGAGTCGCCCGTTGAGACAGAAGAAGATTGTGATTGCACCATTAGCCTAGCATAAGAACACAGTCCCCTTAGCAATATGGCGCTTCTCTACATGGAGCGTAGCGTTGACTACGGTTGTTTTAAATATCTAGATGACGATGACTCAGACAGTAAAGATTAGGGCGACTAAGAGCATCATATACTCTGATAAATAAAAAGAAGGACCATACTTTATCTTCTCCAATGTATCCCTATACACTTTCATTTAATCTTCTCTTTTTTTCTCTTTCTCTATACTCTTCTAATAAAAAAAGAAAAAGGATAATGTCTAGAAAAAGTTGTCAACCCTGAGTGGTAAATGGCTACCACTGGATATTATACCTCACTTACTGAACGTCACTATAAGGCAACATAATAAAAGTTGGTCTACATAAAGAATTATACTTCCACTTTTTTTTTTGGTCTACGCAAGGAATTATAGATTGTAAGGAAAACTCTAGAAATCGGTGTGGGGAGAAGTTTGGTCTACCGAAGGAGTGAAGATAGTAGTGGGGACATGTGTAACGGATGTTTAAACTCCTATATGTAAAAATTTGGTCTACGCAAGGGCAAATTTGGTCGCTCGAGCAACTCTGTTTGTTATATGATGTTACTGTGTTTTTACTGATTTATAATGTTGAGGCAATACTACTATATGGCATTTTCAGGATAAAATAATTTAAAATATGCAATTGTAAATTTAAAGGTAATTTCATTTTTGAAGATATAGTACCACGTAATAGTGAATATGCTTTACAACATTTATAATTTTTACACATAAACACTTTTTTATTAATATATAATTTTGTATCTGAATTACATGTTAAACATTTATTAATTTTGTTTATATAATCATTTTCAATTAAGTATAATAATGCCTTTTCTTCATTATGAAATAAATCTTTTAAATTTATATAAGGTTCTGTAAACATATTTCATGATTATTTTATTTCAAATAAAAAATCCAATTTTTTGCTTTTTCAGTAATTGAGTTTAAATTTAATATTCTGTGAATTATGTTGGGATACATCCAAAAAAAGTTATGAGGTTGTCAAAGAAGATGATGCAATGACAGGTATGTAGTAAGAGTTTCGTGATAGAAAGAAAAAGAGAGGTAAAATGAGATTATGCTAAAAGCACGGTTATATATATAAATATATATATACAAAAAAAAAGAATAAGGAAAAAAATAATGAACTTGCTGAAGATGATGACGCAGAAGATGATGAAGGTGAAGGTGATAGTGTTACGCTTCCTTCGCTGAGTTTTCTTTTTTTATAATTTGGTTTTGTTGCTGTGGATGTGAATGATGGCTCCAATCGTCGTGGTAAAGGTGCTTGGAAAGTAGATTTCTTTTTTGGATTTTTTTCAACTGCTCTTTTTGTTTCTTCCATTATATGCCTTGAAGCCCAAAGTGTATGAAGAAGAGTAAAAAAGTCCATGAATGAAGCAGCAGACATTGGATATGGTAACCAGTCAGGTAACTTGGTTACCCTGCTAGCGTAACCAGCGGGACAGTCCAGGACAAGGAATTGAAGATAAAGGCCTAGTAACCATATGTTAGAATGCTGTATACAAACACAACCAAGTTACTTCGATTGCTTACCTGAAATGATGAAGCCACAAGTCTTTATTTGGCGCAATTGCACCGGATTGTATCGTTCCATTTCAACGGCCATGTCTTTTAATGTTTTTGGACACTTCATATGAAGCTCCGTGATACTTTTACTACTACTTCTGTCACTTTCTGCTCCTGCTTCCATTGCACCGAGTTCGAAAAGCGGGGTAGCAAAAAGCTGATCCACTTTTGTTCCAACTTTCTTCCGTGTGATGCTTTTATCACCACCCACTGGTCTGTCTTTGTTTTGTGCTTCTGAAGTTGCCTTGCTGGCTTTTTCACCACTAAAAAATATGAGAGTAACTGTGAGAATTTTGATTATATGGCATATGTGATTATTATGATTACCTGTTGGATACAATATATTCAGATGAGTCGAAGCAACTATCCATAAAAGTCCATGCGCGTCTGATAAGGTCGGCTTCTGTACGGTTTTTTTCAAAGTATCCATGATACAACAACATAAGTGCCTCTTCTACAGTCAATTGCATCCAATGTAATTCTGATTCATGAACTAGATGATATCGAAAACTGCGAACATGGTAATATAAGTCATCCAAAGTTTCCTAATGTATTTTTTCGCACGTTAATACCGAAGAATCTAGTGTTCTGTTTCATGCTTTTACTTACTTTGCCTTCGAAAGACTCCACAAACTGTTCAAGTGGTGCTGGTAATTCAGGAATTACTGGTACTGTGTAATTCCGCAACTCGTAGAGTTCCTCTGCATTGAACCGTTTTTCCCAAATAGGGTCGGTGGGGTCCATTATGACCGAATGTGCAGGGCTATAAAGATTTAATGATATTGATTAGTCTTCAATACTATAATACTATGCTACTATAAAACACTCGTCATTTACTAAGCAACTTACTGCTCGTACTCTTGTTCCAAAGCTACTACTTTCATCTCTTTCTCAACATATTTTCCGGTTTCAAGTCTCTACATGTTGCTTTCTATCATTTTATCATAAACTGCAGCGATTCTTTTTTTATCATCAGCATTTAACTTTTTAGCTTGTTCAGAGCTGTCTGTAGGGGTGGTAGGGGTTGGTTGTGATGGCGGTAAGGTGATAGCACGCTCGGCGAGAGCTTTCTCTACTTGTATCTGTGGTGAACCACATTAATACACTGCTTAAGATATCAACAATAAGATATTCGGTTAAACATTATAGCACACACGTATGAACACTACGGCATTTCGGCTAAACACTATTGAATAAAATCTCTCACTCAGATGATCCACCTTACGTGAACAGGACAATGAACCTATCAACAGGTACCTCGGCCATTACATCAGCTAACGCCGGTTTCAAAGATGTGCCCGATTAACATAGCGACTTCAATAGAAGTTCTGATACGTCCTTGATCCATCCTCTATCACATAGTTTATCCATTAGTCGGATGAATTGATATCGCCGTCTTAATAGCTAGAATATAAAAGAGCTTTATCTTTTGTTGGAATAAAACATCATCTCAAAGATACTTAATCTTGTCCCTTATTATCTTTATTAAAGCTCTATCATCACAGTATCCAATTTGGTGGTTCTTCATACTAGGGCAGCAAAGAAAAAAAATCATAAGATAAAAAATACAAACGCGACAATAAAAAGTACTAGTTTTTCATACCAGAAATGCTTCAAAATCCTTAGCAGCCCTATTGAATCGCGAGATCCAACTGTTCTTGTAATCTTCGCTATTTTTTGTATTTGCAACAATAAACTCTAGGTTATCCTCAATAAAATCAGCTAATGAAGCCTTCTTGTTGCTGCGGATAATATTTGAGATATAGTTTTTGATGGCTATTACAACCAGTTATTTAGAATTACCTAGCATCTATTATTGTTAATCTTTTTATTACCTGTGTTGCAGTTTCTTTGTGGTGAATTTGTTGACATGGCAACAGAAGTTAGGAGAACCTGTTGTGTTGTTACAGGATTTTCCTAATGATTGGCGGGGCTTTTTTTTTTACATTGGCGCAGGATACTTTTGAAATTGGCGTTAGGGGATTAAACCAGACGACGGGTGTAATTTTAATTATTGGCAGAGTTCATAATTCTTTGATGGCCGATGTGAATTTTACTTTTGACATCTTCATTTTAATTCCATGACGACATTCCTTTTTTTAATTTCCTTTTTGACATACTTTTCGTCTTTTCTTATAACAACAGCAACAATAACAATGAATTTATTTAAATATTAAAAAAAAAACTACAACATCTGCTCCTCAAGGAGACATCGAGGCACAAACGACAGTGAATGCTTTATCCATCCTTGACAATCCTTGGAGTAACCAGACGCGCAGATTGTTCGATCCGTGGTATCAAGGGATCGTCGGAAGAAAGCAAATTGCACTTAACACCTGCCTTAACTTTGGACCAAAATTCGTCAATAGCATTCAGAAAAGGGTTATAAGGAGGGAGATACAGTAAAGTAAAGCCCTGCTTAGCAACAGCATCCTTTACCTCTTGTGTCTTGTGAATAGGAGCGTTGTCCATGATTAAAGTTCTTCCATCCGTGCCATTTTCCTTCAAGACCTTCATTACCACCTCCAAAAATTCAATAAAGTGCTCCGCCCTCGTACCAATTTTGCCCACTACTTTTTGCTCGCCACTACGCGTTTTACGTATACTGAGAATGACTACGAGATGGCTGTCGTGAAACCGTTGTAGTTCATGATAATAGAAAATGTAGAGTTAAAACAGCTTAAGTGTGCTAGTATATTGTTTATAAACTACTTCGGTTTATATATTTGGTAGATACATACTGAAGTTATATTTTCATTGCCTTAGTTATGCCCGTCTACCTATCATTTTTTGTTGAACCCAATGGTTTAGATGTGCTTTCCACCCACTCGTAGTTTGTGCCAGAATAAATTGAATTTGCCTTGGTTTTGTTGACTGGCGTACCATTGTGGTCCATGTGGTTGAACCTGATGCCATGTTGAACTCCACTGAACTTGAATTTTAAAGGTATATTGTTGAATTCGCTGGCAGAGTGGTGGGGAGGATGGTATGGCCTGCAAATCTTGCTTCCACCAATTTGACTTATCATGGGATTACAGCCGCAAAAAAAAAGCAAAGATTTATAAGATACAGAATACAAACATAACAATTTATATGTACTAGTCGATCGTACCAGATTTACTTTATTCTTCTAGCAGCTTGGTTTATAACAAGGCCCAATTGTTTTTGAAATCTTTTTCCATTCCTGAAACAATGATCTCCAAGTTATCATCAATAAAAGCATTTCATGAAACCTCCTGTTGCTGCAGATACTATTAAAAATGTAGGTTTAAATGACGATCATACCCATCTATTTAGTATTCACTTGATGCTATCACTGTTATATTTTTACCTGTTTCCCAGTACGAAAGGTTTTCAGTTTGCAAAGAGTTTGTGCCATTGATACAAAAGTAAAAAAAAACCTGTTGTCAAGGTTGGCCTTTGCCGGTTTCTTTCTTAGCCTAATATTTCATGCAGATAACAAATAAGCAAAAAATGAGAAATGGTAAAAGTTGTCTCGACCAACTTTTACAAATTACTTGAAAAAGGAAGAAAAAAAAGAAAAAAACTCGCAAGCATAGAGAGGGACTTGGCAAAGGCGAAGTCGACCAAGTATGCATCCATAACTCACTCGTAGCATAGAGAGGGACTTGGCAAAGGCGAAGTCGACCAAGTATGCATCTACAATCCGCTTCAAGAATAAATCGCAAGCATAGAGAGGGACTTGGCAAAGGCGAAGTCGACCAAGTATGCATCTACAATCCGCTTCAAAAATGAATCGCAAACATAGAGAGGGACTTGGCAAAGGCGAAGTCGACCAAGTATGCATCTACAATCCGCTTCAAAAATAAATCGCAAACATAGAGAGGGACTTGGCCAAGGCGAAGTCGACCAAGTAAGCATCCATAACTCACTCGCAGCATAGAGAGGGACTTGGCAAAGGCGAAGTCGACCAAGTTTGCATCTACAATCCGCTTCAAAAAAAAAACCAATCATAACAAGGATAAGGAAAAGCTAAACTTAACTGTAATCTACTAAAAAAAAAACTTGAAAAGTAATTTAACAAAATTGAGCACGCGCAAGAATGATCAACATAATTCAACGAACTAAAACACTAAATATCCATTATATACGATACCAGTGAAATGGTCATGTACAGGGTTTTCAAAAAGTAATGTCGCGCTCTGTAAAAAATTAATGTCGCATGTTTCAAAATTGATGTCGCTCTGCTTAGAAATCAAATGTCGCATTTTCTGCCTTAGTAAAAAATATAAATTCCACCAAACGGAACTTTTTTTCTTTATTCTTTTTTTCAGCTATACAATCGAAACTATACATCATTGAAATTATAAATCATTTAAACTATATAACATGGCACAATTTTTTTATGAAGATGGGAAGGGAAATGCTGTAGATGAAAACGACAGACCTGAACCTATGGATTACATTGTCGACCAGAATGTATTTGCACTTGAATCACTCACATCCCACACCGAATATTTACAAAATGCTGCCTCCACAAGTATTACAAACAATGTATTCGAGCATTTAGATCATGCGAGGCATGAGACAGATCAGGACTTGCAAATGAAAGAAATTAGTGAAAAGCGTTCATATACTCGATATACGAATGAAGATAAGGCTAAATTCTTTAAATTGAAGATAGAAAAATGCATGAGTGCTTCAGCAGCAGCTAAGCAGTTATGTATACATGTTCGTGCCGCACAGAGATGGGTAAAACAGTATGAAGAGGATCCAGATTCGATATTTGATAGTAAGAAGAAACTGGGTCGCAAACCCATCCTTATTGAGGAACATAAAAAGACAATCCTTCGGCTGTGATTGAAGAAATAACAGACTATCTAATAGATAAGTATAAGTCTACGGGTCTAAAAGTCTCTCGCAGAACTGTTCATAATTTTAGACAACAGGATACAACTTATCGTTGAAAAAGGCAGAGTTTCACTCTGTTGAAAGAAATAGTCCAGAAAAGATTAACGAACGCTACGATCGTGTTCGTGAATGGGATCTAACAGATATGGATTTCTTGACTAACTGCGTGTTTATTGATGAATCACCATTCCATATCAATATGAAACGTACAAGAGGTTGGTCAAAGGTAGGTACTCCTGCTATAGTAACAGTGCCAACTACTAGAGCAAAAACCACAACCGTATCAGGCGCTATTTCTGCCTCAGGGTTAATCAAAGCTAGTGTGAGAATACCTCGTCCTAATAAGAAGAGAAAGGCTGGTCAAGGATCTGAACTTCTAAGCACTGAAACTGTAACAGGCCATTATATTAGCTTTTTGAAAGAAACATTAGATGAAATGGATAAATACCCACAGATGAAAGGTCATTATCTGATAATGGATAATGCACCTATTCATACTTCTACCGATATTGCGAAATATATCGAATACCGTGGATACCGATATGGATACCTTCCTCCATATTCTCCTGAGCTAAATCCTATAGAACAGTTTTGGTCGGTTGCAAAGAGTAAGATGAAGCGTCAACGATTCTTACAACAAGAGACCTTGACTACAAGAATCCGTGAAGCATGTAATAAGGTAAGACCTTCAGATTTCATTGGGTTTGTTTCCTATTCACACAGATGCTTAGAAAAGTGTCGTAGAAAAGAGAGCCTATAATACTTTGTGTAGTAATGACAGTTATCATTGCAGTTACATAAAAATGATAAGAAAAATAAACAGTAAGTATAAGGTAAGTAAAATATCTTTCTTTTCTTTATTATAACGAATCATCAAAACTTTATGAAACTATTATTTAAAAAGGCTTTTCTTAGATAGCTTTATACTACGTTCCTAGTATTACTTCTAAAAACAGGCGACAAAAATTTCAAAAAATGCGACAAAAATTTAAGAAAATGCTCAATTTTGAAACATGCGACAAAATTTTTGCTGCCAAGCGACATTGATTTTTATTAGTATACGACATTAATTTTTACAGAGCGCGACATTACTTTTTGAAAACCCTGTACAAGTAGTAGGTTGCGCTCTAGTATTTGGATTGATCGGCTGTTGTAACTGCTAATAGTGGGGTTAAGTAGCTGATCATCATTTACCAAAAGCTTGTTATCCGTGTAGCCGGAGCAGTCTGGATCTATTAGGTATAGCTTCAAGCTCAAAATAGGATCTTTGGTGGCCATGTACGACCACTGCAACACATGAGTTAATAAGTGATAAAGAAACAAGTGCTTTCGGGTCATCGAATTAATTGCTTGATCTTGTTACTCTTTTGTTTGCTCCTGCTGCTGCAATAAGTTTTTACTACGACGATTATAAGGGTTCTTTCGAAGAACAGATGGGGGGGGGGTTTTTAATGCGGTCGAGGTGTTACTTTTATTAGAATTATACTACATCTAGTGAACTATGTTTTTATGAAAAATAAAATCAACATCAAGCTCATTTCTTTTGTGTTCTTTCTATATAGCGCATGACGGTCTATTTATTGTGCTGTCATTAAACAGTAACAGGAACTTGTCAACAACGCCGAGGAGGCAGAAATTTAGCGATGGGAAACCGTTATTAAATCCGTATATTATTGTGGAAAAAATATCAGAATAAGACGATCGTTATTTGTAATGGATACCTTTTTGTGCATGTCGCATGAACAAGAGTCAGTGACATGGTTGCGTACACCGATGAAAATAGATATGGCAGGAGCCAATTCGCATTTCATTTTTTCCCAGCGTGTCTGAACTAAATTGGGGCGAGGGTGACACGACGGAACGTTCAGAAGTAGAACCCCCACACAAAAAGCAACCGATGCTGTTGCAAACGCCATATACAATCATATCGCACTTCTCCACCTAGCGAATTGCCCGACTACTTTCTGGTGGTCGTTCTCTTTAGAGCATAGGATACAGTAGCTAGTTTGAGCTGCGTATAATACAGCGTAAAGCAGGAATATGCGGGAATTATTATTAAAGAAGGGTGCTTATTCTATTGCCCGTCAGAAATGAACTAACTAGGCCAAGCGCGCCTTTTCTTTCCTTACTCCCCCATTTCAGCGGAGATGGAACACGTTGACGAAGGCGATACCAGCCAATGATTGGCGCCCGCAATTCCTGTGAAGGCTTCTTTTCTAGTTTAAGGTTTTGCACCTGTTTCTCAAACAAAAAAAATTGCCCTGCCCGTTCTTTCTTTCTTTTTTACTCTTTTCCTTTTCTAAAGCAAAGTTTAAAAGCAACGACTAAATCCTTCCTTTAATCTATCAGCATGGAAACGGAGCACGACTTTGATGCCATGGATGCCATGGACACCGACGTTCCTGAGGACCAATACAACGACTTTGATGGACCAGCAGATACCAGCAACAGCGACAGTAACGATGTGCAAAGAGACGACGGTTCACCACCAATAAAAATTCGAAAAAAGCCTGGACGCAAACCCAATCCTGCCTCGCCTGCACTTCGAAAAGCACAGAACAGAGCAGCACAGCGGGCATTTCGCGAGCGCAAGGAAAAGCATCTGAGGGAGCTCGAGGTTGCCATCAAACAGGTGCGGGAGCAACGAGACAAGTTCCACACCGAGAATGAGCAGCTCAAGAGCGACAACGACATCCTAAAGTCAGAGAATTGGTATCTCAAAGGCATCGTTCTTTCGCTTCAGCTGGTCTGCTTCCAACACAACTTGACAATACCGCAGCATGGGCCATACATTAACGACCAAACATTGTCGGTTCTGGCCCAGTCCATCCCAGAGCCGATAGCCGCTTACCTCGATGTAAACTCCAAAAGTAAATTGCCAACTTTTTCCAAAGTATACAACAACAACCGTCATCGGCGCCAGCAACGAGACCGGTACGTTTCATCTGGATCCATTTTGATTACCGAGGACGGCGTTCGTTCGATGCCCAATCGCGTACGTAATCCACCGCCGCCTGTTGTGTCCTCTCCTGCGTGGGAGCAGCACACTCCTTCAAGCAGCACCGGAAGCAGTACCAACAGTGTCGACCTAAACGACCCAAACACGTTCCCGTCGCCATCATCTAGTGTATCTGTTCCACGAGAAGACCAGCAACAACGCATTTCCTTCGCCAACCTCCCTGACTTATCGCCAGTACAGGAAACTCAAACGCACGAAGAAGAGCACCGTAGCATGCCAAAACCTGTCATGCTTTCAGACGAACCGCTCACAAGCAACCTTGGTGCTATTCAAGCTCTGCGGCTGCGGCTGAGGTTACAGGCAGCATGCGTGCGAATGAGTTCTTTGCCATTTGCTATCCAGCCGACACTGTTACAAGTAAGAAAAAGAGACCTTGTATTTCCATTTGCACCGTCGAGTTTAGTCTAACCCAACTGCACCTCGTTGTTAGCTCACGATTCCACATGATCCTCGCATTGACCTGATTCCAACACCCCACATGCGCGATCGCATGATCCTTTTCCGAGATCAATTCAGTTTAGACGACTGCTTCCGATGTTTGCTCAGCGGTTCGGTGTTCCATGGCGGAGATCCTGCTATTGCAGGAAACTGGGAATTACCGGTCGAGTTCTTCGAAAAGTATTGGTTCCTTACGATCGACTTTAGTTTACAACGTACAACTAATCGATGGCGGAGGATGCAAGGACTAGAGGAGGTACATCCCTTTGCTGAACAAGAAGAGGCAGTGGCGACACCCACAGCAGGAGCAGGGACGACAGGAACTGGAGCAGACGATTCAACGAGCACGGCAGTGTCGACCATAGCATCCCTTCCTTCGCAACCATCGCTAGAACCGACGCCTCGGTCACAATCACAAGTCGCTTTCAATGAAATCTCGTCGCTTCTAGGCTTCGATATGAACCGTGTTAATAACAAAAACAACCGAGACACATCCACCCCGTTCTTATCAACTTCTCCAACCGTCCCCAATCAACAAAACCCTAATCAACCATCACAACAACAACAACAGCACAACAGCAATTCTTTATCAACCCCTGCACAGTCTGCACAGGCTACCTCGTATCCGTCATCACTCTCTTCTACATGCACTTCAAAATCGAAATCCACAACATCTAGTATCGAAGACACCACCGACGAAATGTTCTCACCGACACCGATACAATTGACGAACGGTTATTATGGCATGCACTATACACCAAGGAACGGCATAGGTCAGAAGACAACCCGATTCAATGCACCTGAACAACGATGCACGACATGGGACTCGTTAATAGCAAATGACAATGGTAAGCTTGTGCGACATACACACACCAGGACCCAACGAATCCAAATTGCTCCTCCCACATACAGAAACCACCAGACAACTAAGTAAAACACCTGGTTATCACAATAGACGACTTTTCCTAAACGACAAGACGGACAAAATCGGGCTGCCAGCCGCTTTTTTCACATGCATTACAACATATCCCACACACACACACACTTACAAACACTTAGCGCACACTCTTTCTCTCTGACTAACTCTAACTCTTTCCCTTTGAATCTCGCTTCCTTTCCTACTTTTGATTTCCACTCCCATATCAACATTTATTTCTCAACGTGCATCTTTATACTATATACTTTTTTGGTTTTTTTCCGGCTCTTTTGCCTAAAAAGGCTCTTTTTCTTCATTGATCTCTCTTTGAGTACGTGAATAGACAAACATCCCGACGAGGGGCGTGTGTCTTCTGGCTGTTGATCCGGTCGGTTAATGATTGATGATCTGGATTAAGGTTATTTTTCTCAAAAAGACTACCCTCGCTGACTCTGAACGTTACTTAATACACCATTTCTCGGAATCTGCATCGGTACATAGTTAATTGTTTTGCCGTGGTTCCGGAATATATGGGAGACATTTCCTTTCTTGCTGTTCTTTCTCTTCTCGCTATGCTATAAGGGACGTAGTAAAATAAAATTGCCACCACCACATTACTCGCGCAAGCAATCGTCATATACTTTTTCCTTGTAGCCACAACAAGAAGACTTCATCAAATGACATCTTCATGCATATCATTCTAAGAAAGGGGGTACAATTACGAATTGAGGGGATTGATCTCCTTTCGCGGATGCAGGTGTTCCATCTTACCTTGTTTTTGGTTACGTACTTAGCAAAAGCGATGACACCGTATCAGACGGATTCAAGGTTTATATAGCTTGATGAATAGTCGAAACGCTTACACAAGTCGATATTTACAATTAAGGAAAGGCGGGAGTATGATACATATTTTTTGAAATTATTCGACTAACCTATTTGAAAAAGAGCGGGCCGTATACAAATAAGTGTGTCCTATACAGCTCACTAATCGATTTAAAACATGTCGACTTAACAACATGGTTGATTGCGTGGGGTTGATTTAGAACGGAGTGAAGTTGTCCGCTGCATATCATGTAATGACTGCTCTTGAAAACTCTGGGGTTCCTCCGAGAAAGTGACTCCTAGAAGAAAACCGGCAGATCCATTGAGAAGAAACGTATAAGGAGCGTAGCTTATCATGTACTGTAATTGCATCATATTAGAGAAGTCGCAAGGTGTTTGAAGGCTGCTGATTAAAGGGCGAGACCATGAATGCTGTGATTCAGGAACCCCTCCCCCAAGTTTTCCATTTTTCTTGCAGCTGTACGCACAAGCATGAATGTTATTAGCTCGCATAACACATGGTGCATGCATATTAAGCAAAGTGGCATGTTTTATTTACACAACACAAGCTGTCAAATATGCCAACTCGTGCTTACAGATTTGACAGAGATTTAGATAAACATGTGATTTTGTGAGTTTATTGTTTAAGGATAGATGTAATTCAAGGAAGGAGTACTCTAATAAAATGCAAAGAACATGGGGGGGGAGAAGGATTGCGAAAATATATTTTAGTGTGCGAGTGTAAGTAAGTAAGTATGTGTGAGTGTGTTGGCGAGGGTAGAGAATAATGATTGCTGGCTGTTGGTTATGGTTGATGATAGGGTGAATGTGTGAGAATAACAAAAAAAAGGACAAGCGCTATGGTACATAAGATTACAAGGGTTGGTACATGATATGGAACAAAGGAAAAGGTTTAGAAGGATTCGCTGAGAGCATAGTAGTCCACTTGATGGAAGTTTTGCTGTCGCTGCCGCAATAACCGTCGAAGCAGGGCATCTTCTTCAAAAACCTCATGACTATTCAGACTGTTGAAACGACGATCGGCGAGTGCAATGGCATAAACGCGTCCGTAATCATGTACAGGGCCGTCCTGTTGACCACGGTGCCAGCCCAAAGAGTACGACGACCGCAGCATGCGCAAAACGTACTCTTCACGCAGTGACTTGCTTGCATTGTTTCGGTTAAAATCAGCAGCAGCTTCGCGGATCGCATCCTCAAGCGTGGTCGTGTTGCTTGCACCAAACAGATAAGCATTGTAGTACTCACTGCTCGTGACAGTTGGCACACGTGTCACCTTGTCGCGAATAATATGGATATCGCGTGCAGGTTCTGCTTCCGACCACGTTGCTTCGGAGGGCCGGTCGATCAAATACTCGCCCATTCCGCCGACACCAGTAGAGATCACAGACGACCCAAACCACAGACCCTCGGCTGCCATTAGTCCAAAGTTTTCAGTCAGACTGGGAACGAACACAAAATCCGCTGCGGCACGGCAAAAGATGGACCACCGCCGTTGTTGGGCTGCTGTTGACATGACAATGACATGGTCCGGGAATTTCTCCTGCAATGCTTCGACACGCTCGAGCGGATAATCGCCAGGCTGGCCAATGATGACAAACTTGACGTCGTGCTTAACAAAGTATGCAGCAGCATCCTCGAAGAGTTCCAATCCCTTGTCGTGCTGGAATTGGCCAATGTAGAGAGCCAATGGTCGTTTCAAGTCGTCTTCATTGAGCAGGCTGCGTCGCACAAGGAACCGCTTTGCACGGTCTTTTGAGGTAGTCACATAATCGCTCATTGTGTCAGAGAGCGGCCAAATTGTGCGCACGTCTGGAACATCAAGTGCCTTTGGATCGTCCGATGTCTTCGAAGCTAGTGAGGGCTGCCTGCGTATCATATCCAGCGAGTACTCGGGATATCCAAGCTTACGTGTCACTAATCGTGGATCTCTAAATGGGTTCAGCTGGTTGAAATCAACACCATTGCTGATTCCAAAGAAACGTCGTTCTTGTGCCTTTTTAAGAACACTTTCCATCCCGATTTCTTTGAGATAAACTTCAAGACGGCCTTCGACAAGATCAGACGCCATAGTGCGGCCGACCATTGTTGCAACATTTGCGTGATCCATGCCTAAACTTGACATGAACACCCGCTGACCACGTGTATAAGGTTGTAGTACGAGGTCGTCCACAGTCGGAGGTTCATCCATGAACTTATGCACATTCGCCAATGAGTTTGTATACTGAAGCTCTTCTTTGTAGTCGTGGATCGTGTATACGACTGCAGGTGGTTTAGGGCCTAGCTGGTTAGACTCGCGCTTATCGTGCAATGCTTTCGCAATATAGGCCGTAGAGGCGCCATGTAGATGGACGACGTCGATGTGAGGTGCCAAGCCAATGGGTGCAAACAAGGATTCTTCGTCTCTAGCAGCGGCCTGGTGGGTCAAAAAGGCCGCGGCTGCCTTGCTGAAGAACTGATCTTGCCATTCGCGGGGCAGTCCAGGTGGGTTGTTGGAGTAGATTTGGAGGGCGTTTCTGGCACGGAAGACTTGGCTGAATGGACGCCTATTACCCGGACCAATGAGGTAAACCTGTACACGTTCTGTGCGCGGGATGGGTTTGGGTTGTTCTGGGGGCGGGGCTACTGAGACGGAGGTGTTGACACCATCCACGAGCTGCCAAACGGTAACGTTGGATGGCGGAGCCGGAGGGTCAAAGACATAGTCCATCTTCCAGACGCGAAACTCGATAGGGATCAAGCGCTTCTTCTTGTCACGGACGTCGATGACCATGTCGGCATACTTGTTGATGTCGTACTTGTTTTTCAGAAACGAGTAGTATGGCATGACGATCCGCACGTCCGCGTTGCCTGTTTTTTGTTGTGCCGCAGCCAGGGCAGTGACGGTTACACCAATGCTGCTCATCATGGCAGGTCCGAACTCCTTTGTGACATGATAGACAGTAGCACCTTGTTGTGTATTAACCGGTATGCTGGTGTCTAGATGTTTGTATGGGATGGCTGGGTACTGTCTCAGGGCTAAAAATAATATTTTCATGGTTTAGTCCCGACTGTTTTCTTCGTATTGATCGCAAGGCACGAGGCAGACAGGTTACGGGTAAAAGTATTTATAATATGTCTGTAGGCATTGTGTGCTTACCGATCCGTACTGCTGAAGGCTGCCCATGCAGGATTCTGTAGCCGGTAACGAGCGCCACCAACTGCAAGGCACCAAAAACGAATATCAGCAGCGTCAAGTAGTGCCACCATCGCCATTTGCGGTCCTGTCGGCCGAAAAGTGGTGCCCCTGCTCCACGCCCTGAAGTGAACCCGAACGACTGTTTCCATGACAACTCGCCTTTACTGGTAGTTACCGGCATGTTGAGTGCAGTGATCGAGCCCCGGCGATAAGCGGCGGTGGGTAAATCGTAGTATTTTGTTTCGACATTGTTGGGTGGAGGTGGTGCCATGGCATTCAAAGATGGTAAAACGAACGGGAACGAAAAAGGGAAAGGAATGGAGAAAAAGGAAGGAAAGAGAGAATTATCGGGTGGTGTGGAACCGAGACACCGAAACTATCTAGTGAGTGTGAAAGAGAGAAAGAGAGGGAGAGAGAGAAGAAGAGAGGAGAGGAAGCGAAAGAGAGGAAGAGAGGACGAGTGTTAGTTTGTGTACTGTGTGCAAGCGAAATGGTAATAAAAAGCGGGACAAGAAATATTTAAAAAAATTAAGCTCCAAGCGGGTCTGTTATTTTTACTAGATTTGGCTGCTAAATAGATTGCAGTGGCGCATACGAGATCTACGCCCAGTGCGCTTATGGCACTTTAGCACGAGTGCTCCCTTCAATCCACCTGCACCCGCAACCAGACTGATGACCGGGCGATTGCTTGGCCAAGGGGACAATGAAATGGAAATGAAAATTTATTAGATCTTGCCTTAATAGCACAAGCGCACTAACAGCTTTCTCCGATCACCAAACAAAAATTCCACTACTGTGCTTGGGCAATCCTCTGCCCAAAGTCGTACTGGGTACTGAGTACACAGGGCACGTTAGATCTTCAATCGACATTTTCTGTTTATCATCAATAGCGAAAAAGAAGGGACAAAGAAAATTGTCCGGTTATGTTTTGTCTTGCGGGATTGGACAATGGAATATCCGTTGTGTGCGGCTCTTGCAGGTGTGTATGATATACAACAAATTGCAGCAGTAGATACTGAGGTACATCAGACAATAGATAAAAGCTATGTATAACTCGCTTATTTCTTGTTGATCGTCTCTATCAAAAGTATCTTCTTAAAACCGGCCTATCTTAACTCTACAATGCTACTCGGTAGGGGACGCCCCTACTATTCGCAGATCATCAACTGGTTTCCAGCACACATGCACTTGGTCCAAGTGCAACAAGTTTTCTATTCTACTTTCTATGTGTCGGCTGCTTTGTGGCTAGTGTCACATACGCTAAAGTTTTGATCTTTTACACTTAAGGAAATGCATTTTAATGTGTGCCCCTTAGAAACGAACGAGGTAACCGAATTGTTACTTGTTAGATTCAAATATTTGTTTTTGATTATGGAAGACCAAGTTGACCGCGCCTATGGGCAAGTGGTCGCTTCCTTGAGATACAATTGTGAATAAAGATCGTTTGCAAATGAAGATATGATGCAATAACTGAAGAAACCCCCGTAGGAAAAAAAGTTATGCTAGTGTTAATTAGTACTATATGTTGTGGTGGCGAAGAATAATACAAATCCATATGTAGGTTATGGTATAATCAAGAGGGAGAAGAGTAGTGATAATGACGTTGCTGTGTTGGGGTAGGTGTGGTATTTGTTCAAATGCTTCCTTGAGCTCCTTGAGTTCCGGGCGAAGCAGAGAGTGCAGCTAGCGAAGTGTTCTGGTTTAGCTTCCTTGGCCCCACAACGACAGTCATTGAGCCAGTACATACGCCGTTTGACTAGACGGTGACGGTCTCGCGAGCATACTGGCAAATATAGAATGGGCTCAATTCTGCGGGTACTTCGAAGGCAGTTGATCGATTTAAAATTGCTGGCGCGGGTAAGCAATTCGCCGTTTCTTTTCAGCCTGATGGGTCGGTTGACGGGCAGTCCTGCAACTGCGATCACGTATACTCCAACTCAAGTTTGTAGTTCGTCCTCGTGGGGATCTGTGTCAACTATGGCTCGTTAAGTTGGACTGACCTTTCTCTTCAATGATTGTGACAAACAGTGGAAACGCATGACATCCTACAACCAGCTTTTTTATAAGATAAAGTATGGAAGCAACACTGCATTGATGGTAGATCGGCTAAAACCATAGGAATAATCGTCGAAAATTGTGTACTTGTATTGCGATTTAATGCCATTTTGAAGCAGCCCTTGTGTGCGTTGTGTAGTTTCTCCATTTGCTTAGATGACATGGCTGCTAATGACTAGACCACAATCCAGCACCGGACGGACGAAGGTACGATACGCGCGTAGCGCTGGCTAGAGACCGAGTCTATACTGGTGGATTTCAAGCTGGCGGAGGAGGGGCCATAGTTCCTATTAGCTTTAGTGGTGCGCTGATTCATCAGGAGATCAGTATCAATACCATTGTGGTTGAACGGTAGTTGTCAAAAATGTCAGCCAGATCCACTGCGTGAGTAAACACCATGTTCGTAACAGGCTTGCTTTCCGTCATGGTCAGGAACCCTTTCCCGTCACGCTGCTGCGCACACTGTACATTTTTGACACGTCTTCTCCAATACCCACGCCATCCTACACCTACTACCTATATATCATAAAAAGAATTGGTATGATAAATACATCATATATGACTCGTTTCGCCATTGTTATTATTTTAAAAGGCTCGTTTATTTGCTATAAGCGCTTGCCTGTCGAAAAAAAAGTCTGACATGTTACTTTATAAACTGTACAACAGCGGCACAAAATATAACTATACACAACGCGGTAATACATAGAATGGTAAAATTGGTTGCGTTTTTTCTAATTCTAGAGCATATAAAAGACAATCCTTTGCACGTTCGGTACGGTCAGTTTTTCGATACACTTCACCAAGATAGAACCTATATATTTATAAATACACAGCGATAAATGACACGGTCACAACTTTCGTACTTGTTTGGATTTACAACAAAAATAGAAACATACCAAGCTTCGGCACAACTCCACCCATTTCCCCGGGTTACGAGCTCTAGAATTCCTTCAGCTATCTCGAGCAAGCCTTGTTCTTGGTATGCTTTGGCCAACCAAACTCGACATTCGATGTCGTTGCTCTCACACACTAATCCCTTCTGAAATGCTGTGATTGCCCAATCGACCTTGTTCTGAAGTAAACGTATCCGTCCCAGCATGCACCATAACCGTGCATTGCTTGTCCAGTCCACATTCTCTGCTTCTTCTACAGATTTGAGTGCCTCGTCGATCCGTCCCATGTTCAAAAAGAAAGATGCTGAGAGTAGCCAAAGGTTACATAATATGCGTGTCGATTGCTTCTGTCGTAGTCGGCAACGTGCTGTAGACTGTGTGAAAGAGGAGCTTGTGATGGAGCCTCGGGGATTGAGTGAACGTGTTGAATTAAATGATGGTGTTGCACTTTGCAAGGAAGTATTCGATGCCTGCATCGGATAGCTCGCACGTACTATGTAAAGCACACATGAATCGTTAATTTTGGCGGTATAATATGTATAACCGTTAACTGAAATTTACCATTAGAGTTGGTAAACAGCGAGTCTCTGCTCTCGCGGCTGTCGCTGTCGTCATTGGAGGGTACTGCTGACATATTTTTATGTCTTCTGAGTGACCGTCCTCGGAAAAGGTGGAGGGAAGGATGTAATCGGCGGTGATGCGCAGTATTTATTGGCTCGGTCCTAACACTGTTGGCTTTGCCGTTTAGTGGACTGCCTTTTTCTGAAAGATGTTTGAGACTGCCGTTCTGCTGGCGAAGCGAGCCGGTCGAAACTCCATTGGCTTGTATGCGTTTCTCGGTAGGGTCTGCTTCTGCCGATGCTATTGTCTCGCTCAAATTACCGAGAGATCCTGATACAACCATCGGATTCCGCTCATTGCCTTCGTTGTACAATCCAACATATGGCATATCCGTATCCTCGGGTAGTGCTATCAAATTATAAGAACCGAAAACATCCTTTTGTGCTTCGAGCGCATCCTCTGATCCCTTGACTACATTTGTCAGCATCGACTGTGTTGTTTCCAGCAAAACATATTGCAGAAAGTCATCAAAACCAGGCCTTGTTCCAAGTTCGCCGCTACTGAATTCATTTTCTTGGTATTCCGAAATGATATCTTGTACTTTTTCCAGAGCTGTTTCACAGGTTCTGAAAGCTTGCTGCATATCGCTTTGGGCCGGGCAGGTGCATAATAAAACCAACAGATGCCATGATGCAATATATCGCGGATTCAGTTGTAATGCCCTGGTTACCGCGTGGACAGCCTGCCGTATATCGCGTGTCTCCCCTCGCTCAAGCGCAAGTTGATAGTATGTTTCCCAAGATTCGCAAATTTCGAGAGACTTCCCCAGATATTCCAGAGCTTTTCCGTGATAATCCGGCCGCATGGTAGGATCCATGGCTATGGTGACACAGCAAGCATTGTTACACAAACATGTTATAATACTGACAACATTTTAGCTGAATGTCAAACTTACTCTGTGTTGCCAAGAGACCATATGCGGTGCCTGCCGCTCGATACACACGTGTTCCAAGCGTTGTCCAAATGTCTTGTTGCTCTGGTTCCAGCTCCATGTCGAACACGTTCTTGGCGATCTCCGCCATTTCCACAGCTTCAGCCCCTCGTTCCAGCTCTTCGCACAGCATTTTAATGGAGGATAGCAGCACTTTCAGGACGTCCTCCGTTGACTCCTTTTCAACGCTTCGTTTCGAAGCAATTGACTTCGCTGGCTTGACCTCTCCATCATCCACCACACCTCGATCGCTTATCATTTGTCGAATCTCCTCCTCCCTAATCAGTGGCACTGGAACGTTGTTTCCGTCAGTATCTGTTGCTAGCGCCTCTCCATGGAGCCGTGATTCGTCTCGTGCTTGAGACGTGAGGCCGACTAGGTACAGGTAAGAGCGAAAAGCGTAATGCGCTTCTTTGAATTCGCCCAGCTTAACCTGGACGTGAAATTGATGACGCATGATACGAGGGGAATTGAATGCCTTCTGAGTCGTGCGATTCAATGACTGTAAAAAAAAGAATAAAGGGCGGGTGAGTAATAAGCATTCTCCTAATCTCTTTTGAAAATTACCTCTGCGAAAGCTCGCAAATCGCAAATAGGCCAAGCGACCAGATCCACCAACTCTGCTAGTTGATCAACATATTCGAGGACGATTGGATTGACTTGATCTGCTCGAGGGAATACTGCAGAAGCATGAATCATACTTTCATAGATAGTACGGAGTTGGGTCGCTTCCACCATAAACAGGGTTTGGCTGGGACTGCTTTGCGGAATCATGTGAGCTTATTGTATGTTCATCGAGACGTAATTGACCACATTCTTTTTTTTTTGTTACTACCTTTCCTTTTCGGGAGGACAATACTCCCCTCGACGGTAAGTTTCTGACAAATATTTCAACGATCGTCGGGTTACGGTGAGCCGTTTCTGGAGTCGCCATGTCGTTGGTTGTGCGGCTGTTGCTCGTTGATATGCGCGTAAAATTTCCAATGTCGATGCGACATTCCTGGTACTACATAAAAATATAATTTACATTTATATGTTTAACCAATTGAAACTCTAATTTTAAAGAGAGTTTATAGGGGAGCACATACTCATTCTCTAATGCCACAAGGGCGGCACGATAAAGACCTTCTTCTGCCCATTCTGTAAAGACACGATCCTTCGATCCTGCTACATCATTGACTGCAATGGCCACCCCTTTGTAACTTTCCAATGCCGAAGATACGTCGCCAGTAAGTTCGAAACTAATTGCTAACCAAATTCGAAACGCCAACGTTTAGTTGGTCATGTAAACCCTTTTGCTCAGACTTGGCGTTCCACCCTTCTCACCTTTGATCACACATGCTTGTAAAAGTAAAACTGAGCGATAACCGAATACCGTGTCTTGCTTTGGGATAGAAGATTGCTGCAGCATATCCAGAGTCTTTGTAAATTCGCCGCACTCAAAGAAAGAACGTGCTAATATAACTTTTGAAAACTGCCCACAACACATAATAGTCAGACTTTAGGTTTTTTTTGCATGACTACGACTCATAGTGATACACACCTCTTTTTCGTTTGTCGAATCGTCGTTCATTTGTATGACCGATTTCAGCTGTAGTTGAAGCGATTTCACCTGGCTCATGTCGAGTCGTGGAGGCAGGGTAGGTTTTTCAAGGGTATCGTACTGCTGCTCTGGTGCCTTTATCGGTGTTGTGTCTTTACGGGCATTATAGGACAGTTGCGATAGCGAAGCTTCGGCTGAAATTGTCTGTGCCAAGACTGCATATACAGGAAGCGATAATAAAATAAAAAAGTTTATGTATGTCAGCGCACTGTCAAGAACTTTAGTTTAGCAGTGACTCGGTATAACTTACTTTCACCTTTGGGGTTGTGTTTCCTATAGCGTCGTGCTAGCTCTGGAATGAGCTTCCAATTCCCTTTGCAGCGTGCATCCTCTATCTCCTTGGAAATTTGCACTACTTTAGAGGCTGTCATTGAGGGAGTTGGGAAGAGATAGAGGGTGTACTCAAAACTTTGCGGGACCTACAAATTGCCGAGAGTTGTTCCCCATTGTGTGGAATTAGCACCACTGAGTTTCGGCTCTCGGCCCTTTCTCTCCGAACCACCAAAAAAAACATGATCGCTCCTTGACGGTGAATCATACAAGAGGATGCAACGCATTTTTGTTTCTTTTACTACTAATATTCTCAGTGACGAGAACGTTCATTCTACTGGATAACCAGCTGATGAGCACGTTATTTGCGTATTGTTAGCGATCAGCCCCCTAATAACTCATTAACATATTAGGGCGATTACTTATTGAGATTAAATGCAAAATCCCGTTTGGATAGGGTGGTACCCCTCCTTATTTTTGTGACAAAGAGCCAATCTATTTGCCGTTCTCTACACTTGGTATATAGTAAGTCTAATGCGTGTATATTTACAAGTATGGTAATAGTGTTTAATAAACTCTAGCTACGGGTGGGACTGGTTTACACTCTTCTTCATCCAAAGTCGTGTCCGTGACGGCTCTGTATTTGAGAGTAACTTGGCCCGTTTCTTGGTCCTGCCACGACAATGTGTGTTTCATCCAGTTCTAAACAATTCATAGTTAGTACTTGTTCGCATATAGATGGCTCAGAAACTTATACCTCATCATCACGCTCGGTGTAATCCTCTCGAGCGTGAGCACCACGCGATTCTTTACGAGCCGCAGCAGCGTACATCGTCTGAGCAGCACACGTCAAAGCGTTCTGCAATTCCAACGTCTCTGTAAGATCTGTGTTCCAGATCATGCCTCTATCCGACAGTCCCACATCCTGAAGCGCCTTCCACACGTTATCAATCTTGCCGCAACCTTCATCCAAAGACTTTTGCGTTCGGAAAACAGCCGCGTCGGACTGCATCACCTTTTGCATCTCCAATCGGATATCTGCAGTCTTGTTTTGGCCTGTGGCCGTGCGCACGTTGTCCAAATTTTCGATCGACGCAAGACCTGCATCGGGTGCGAATGGCTTGAGCGGCTCGCCAGGAGACAGATTCTCGGCAATGTGATGTGCTACGGCACGACCAAAGACAACAATGTCCAAGAGCGAGTTGGCGCCCAGACGATTTGCGCCATGGACTGAAACACAAGCTGCTTCACCCGCGGCGTACAGACCGGGGACCACCTTATCCTCGCCGTTCTCGTCAATGGACAAGACCTCACCCGTGAATTTTGTTGGAATACCACCCATGTTGTAATGCACTGTTGGGATGACAGGAATCGGCTCGCGAATGACATCCACACCACAGAAAATAGAAGCCGTCTCGCAGATACCCGGCAAACGCTCACGGATCAACTCTTCCGGCAAATGGTGCAGTTGCAAATAGACGTGGTCTTTTTCGGGACCCACGCCGCGGCCTTCTCTGACTTCCATACTCATGGCGCGGGATACCACATCGCGGGAAGCCAGATCCTTGGCAGTGGGGGCGTAGCGTTCCATGAATCGCTCACCCGCCGAGTTGATCAGTATACCGCCCTCGCCACGACACCCTTCGGTGATCAAACAGCCGGCGCCGTAGATACCGGTAGGGTGGAACTGGACAAATTCGAGATCCTGGAGTGGGAGGCCAGCCCGCGCTGCCATGGCGTTACCGTCGCCCGTGCACGTGTGTGCCGAGGTACACGAAAAATAGGATCGGCCGTAACCACCTGTAGCAAGCACCGTCTTGTGCGATCGGAAGCGATGCAAGGTACCATCTTCCATGTTGAGCGCAATCACACCTTTGCATTCGCCATCCTCCATGATGAGATCGAGTGCAAAGTATTCAATAAAGTAATTGGTTTGATGACGAAGTGACTCGCCATACAAGGTGTGAAGCAAGGCGTGGCCGGTACGATCAGCTACGGCTGCACAACGATAAGCCTGACCACCTTGTGTGTTTAAGTATGTAAGTAGAAGAGCTAGTAAAGAATGTTTTCACACACAAGGAGCTTTAAACACGACCGAAATGCCAGCTTACCTTTGCCATATTTTAAGCTTTGACCACCCAATGCTCGCTGATAAATTTTACCCTCAGCGTTTCGTGAGAATGGCATTCCGTAATTCTCCAGTTCTCTTACAGCACGAGGCGCTTCACGACACATATAATGGATCGCGTCTTGATCTCCAAGCCAATCTGATCCTTTCACGGTATCATACATGTGCCACCGCCAGTCATCTTCAGTCATGTTGCCCAAAGCAGCGTTGATACCACCCTGATGTTTTTTCTTTTTTTTTTAGCATATTATACAAAATGTGTAAAAGGTTTTTTTATACTACTTGGAGTTCATCATGTACCTGAGCTGCTACTGTGTGTGAGCGTGTGGGAAAGAGCTTTGTAATGCAGGCCGTGTTCAATCCTGCCTCTGCCAAACCGAATGCAGCACGCATACCTGCGCCGCCTGCACCAACCACTACTGCGTCATAGACATGATCAATCACTGGATACTTGCTAGAAATAGAGCCCTGCAGCAATGGGGCGGATGCATCAGTCTTTCTTCTTTTGAACCTCCCCTTCTCCCAACCCCCATCCCATAAATCATCACACTGAATATTACAGATGCTGTGATTGCACGCAATGGCTGGTTCGAGATGACTTGTTTTCTCATTTTGGATGAATGAAAAGTGCGCGTACTCCCTAAACATACATGTGCCAAAAAATTGGGACGATTAATCACTGTAGATCACTGACCCTTTTTTTTTCGGGGGGTTGAGGAGGGCAATAATTTAAACAACAGGATATATATAACATACGTGTCACAAAGGGGTGTACATCTCTGGATAGCGTTGCTAGGCGAGTCATGTTGCTAGGCGACAGACGAAACATGGGGTGAAAATGGTGTTGCTATGAAGCAAAAAAAAGAGTGGGGAGTAGTGTTTTAATAAGCAAAAATGTGGGCTTTAGACAAGAAGAAAAAAAGGTACAACTTTTTATATACCTGCCATGACCACCATGTTACACAAGTTTCAATGCGTTTTTGATGTATCCAATCAGTAACAAAACAGCGCTCTACACGAGCCTTGCTTTTGCATCATTCCATAATGATGCTGTATGAAAATTGTGTAAATAGAGCCAATCAAACTTGAAAGAACGCTTGCAATGTATCAAGGGTACTGGTGTTTTCTTATTATTTGTTTGCATTAAAGGCGAATTGCAATGTCAAAAGCACGACAGATCTCCCACGGTATCCAAAGTTGACAAAATTTATTCGTTTACGGATGCTGAAATATATTTTCCCGGGTACGATTTGATTTCGCGTCGTGGGCACGTACTTGGACTTTAAATTCCCTGTTGTGGAAACACACAGTCAGAGGGTGTGGGGAGCTGTTTGGCATATGTATCATGCTTCCTTGGAGATCTGCGAAAGACAAAAAGTGTGTCGTCGTTGAGCAGGAGCAGTTGTAAGCCATGGCGAAAGAAAAAAAAAATGATTGTTAAAAGTTACAATCAGCAGACAAATGATAAACAAGTACTAAGTAGGCGAAACCATCAAGAACTTGAATGTTTGATGCGTAAAAACTTTGGATCGCAAAACGATTGTTGAAAGGAAGCGTAGTATGGCTCTTTGCAACATTTGTGTGGCTAACCTTTTTTTTTACGCGACTGCATGTTCTGGCGGAGTTTACCAGACACAATAAACGATCACTCTTTATGATCACAATAGCCAGAGGAGTTCAAGATCAAAGTAGAATGTCAAAACCTACCAATCTGTCGCGCGATGCTCGAAAAGGACATGAAATAAAACCGGTAACAATCCAAATCAAGTCTCTTGTCGACTCATTTTTAAGAGGGGGGGAGACGGCGGCGGCGGCATGGGCTGAGTGCGAGAAAAACAAAATGGAAGACCAACTCATGCAGTAAACTAGATCCAATGCCTCAATGTCGACGCGTTAAACGATACATGGCAGTGTCCCTTTTGCGTACCACCTCCTTTCGTTCTCCAGCTCCCTTCCAAAGACGACCTTATTTTGATGGGTCGGTTTCGAAGGCAGATATCCGAACATTTACAAATACACAAGCAAGATGTCATCAAGGCCATTGGTGAAAAGGTCAAGAGCAAAGCATCCAAAGTAAGCTTGGTCCCAGTCGATCACCGACGACGCTCTTTTTCTTTACCCCACTTTGAGATTGTTTTGCGGACAAAAAGCATTAGACTGACATAGTGTATAGACGGATAGGGAAAAACGAACCATGCAGTGGATCGATGCCACTGTGAACGATATCAAGTGAAATTAGCGCTGGCGTTTTTCCCTCATGCGAACAATTTCCAAGACATCATCATCATCCCGGCACAAGCATTTCTCGTTATATTATTATCATTGAAGATAATCATACCCAATAAATTCTATATATACACGTTACGATCTATGTCACGAGCGATAGACATATAGTAGTAGTATAGTCTTTTACATATAGAAGAAGACCTAGAACCTTGTACTAGGTCCATAGAGAGCAAAAATAGAAAGATTGACGTGTTATCGCGTGCTGGGTTGCATGAGAACCACATTATGTATGACAACAATGTACAAACGAAGTTTTGTATCACTGATAAAGTATAATGATGATTTTTTCATGCAGAGCTGACCACTTGCGTAGAACATATAGGAGTTTAAACATCCGTTACACATGTCCCCTCTACTATCTTCACTCCTTCGGTAGACCAAACTTCTCCCCACACCAATTTCAGATTTTTCTTACAATCTGTAATTCCTTGCGTAGACCAAAAAAAGGTGAAAGTGTAATTCTTTGTATTGACCAAAAAAAAATGATAGTGATAGCAAACACTCCATTGCGACTTGTCAGCTGCAAACACAAACACTCGAGAATTTATTTGAAATATTGCTGCGCCAGCTACTTCTTTACAATCCGAAATTTTACAGCAACATCGAAATGTATATATAGTAGATCCTATGATATAATAACAATTATCTTTATATTCTACAGCCTGGATACTATGGGTTTAAAGGCAAGAAAATTATCGCAAAAACACTCCAAGACATGCTGGTACACGAGATCGATGCTGCGAATGAGCACATCAAACCGATGGATACCCCGGAATATATAGACTCTGTTTTTGTTCCAGAGGTCGGTATGCGCCTAGTTAGGGAAGATCTCGAGTCGGCCGGTGAGTCAGAAGAAGATTGTGATTGCACCATTAGCCTAGCAGAAGGACACAGTCCCCTTAGCAATACGGCGCTTTTCCACATGGAGCGTAGCGTTGACTACGGCTGTTTTAAATATCTAGATGACGATGACTCAGACAGTGAAGATTAGGGCGACCAAGAGCATCATATACTCTGATAAATAAAAAGCAGAACCATACTTTATCTTCTCCAACATATCCCTATACACTTTCATTTAAACTTCTCTTTTTTTCTCTTTCTTTATATTCTTCTAATAAAAAAAAGAAAAAGAAAAATGTTTAGAATAGAATGTCAAACTTGCGTGGTAAATGGCTACCACTGGATATTATATCTCACGTACTGAACGTCACTACAAGGCAACATAATAAAAGTTGGTCTACACAAAGAAGTACACTTTCACTTTTTTTTGGTCTACGCAAAGAATCACAGATTGTAAGAAAAATCTGAAATTGGTGTGGGGAGAAGTTTGGTCTACCAAAGGAGTGAAGATAGTAGAGGGGACATGTGTAACGGATGTAAAAACTCCTATATGTAATAATTTGGTCTACGCAAGGAAATATTTGGTCGCTCGAGCAGCTCTGAAATAAAAAAGTAGGCATGAAACATTGATGATTTTAGATTTGCTACTTGCTGTATCTTTTAATGTAAAAAGAAGATAAAAAAAGGGTGCATACGTAAATACAAGGCAGGAAGAATGAGCAAAATATTAGCGAGAGCGTATTCATGCGTAAATTATGTAGTGCATCATATAATAAAAAAAAAAAGAAAATGCATAACTAAAAAAGTGGGGGTGGTTGTTGTTCTGAAAAGTACAAGCGAGCGTCTTTGACAGTAGTACAAGTAAGAATGTTCTCTAAACAGAGTGACATCAGGGGATATGTAGATCCCCATAAGATTAATAATAATAATAGAAAAAAAAAGCCAATTGGAAATAAGCATCACCGGCGATATCCAAAAACTCGGTCCCATTGCATTCCTTCTCTGGCAGGGCATAAAAAAAAGGTGGGGTGGGGGGTGGGGGGGAGGGGGTATAAGGTGTCGAGAGCAAGAAAAGGAAAAAAGAAGGGCTACTATTCTGTTGGAGGTGGAGGTGGAGGTGGTGGAGTTAAAGTTGTTCTCGAGCGTTCTGTATTGCCAGTTCGCAAGCGATGGATTTCTGCTTCAAGGGCCTCCACTCTGAATTGTAATTGTCGTAGTTGTAGCATAGCGTCATCGTAACCCGCTAGCAGCTCGTGCTCAATATCTGAAGGGAGTTCTCCTCCTCCTCCTGTCGATGGTGGATCCCCTTGTTGTTGTTGTTGTTGTTGGTTAGCACGGCCTTTTCCGCGACCTTTTGAACGCTCCCCACGTGTTTTCTGGCTGTTCTGTCTCGGCAGCGGCGCTCTACCGATAAATGACGTAACGGCAATGGAGGGTGGGATGGGAAAGTCGACAATGTTTCGTCGCGTGCTCGTCGGCACGGTACTACTGCTGGAGCTGCGACTACTCAAGCCGTCTACTACTACTGCTGCTGCTGTTGCTGCTCGAGAACTCAAAGAAGTTTCTCCTGTTGAATTCGCAGGGATTGAAGAAGAAGAAGATGAAGATGGGGCGGTTGCTGTGGATGCTGATACAGCGACGTACATGTTACGCAAAGAGCTGAGTGCAATGCATACAGTGGTCCATTGGTCGCGCAGAAACTGTAATTCATCTTCGTGGTTTCTTAAAGGATTGTTGGTTATTTCTGGCACTGTTGTTGTAACGACGGTAGGGGGCGTTTCCGAGGCTGATGCGTTGCTGCCGCTTGTTGTGTCGGTCTCAAGAACAAGTTGTTGTTGCGTCAGGGACACTGATGTTGCAAAATCATGTGGCGTAATGATGATCTCTTGCTGCCTCCGTACCGAGGTTTGATTTATCGTTGTTGTAGGGGGAAAGTGTGACGACGAGGCACGATCGAAAGAACGTTTTACGTACGACGACGACGACGACGCTATTGCCTGCCGTGGTTGTTGTTGCTGCTGCCTTCTCGACAAAATGAGTGGATCGACTGATGAACGACGTGATAATAGCATGTTTGGATTTCTGGCATGTCCACCTTGCGTGGATGCGCGATTTGCAATTAAAGAGGACGGCGTAGCAGGGATGGAGTGTCCATCTCGAGTGATAATGCGCGCTTCATCGTAGCTTATCCGCCTTCTTGAAGAGCCATGTGGAATGTATTGATAAGCTGACGATGATGTTCCTGCGTGCGGTGGAAGATGCGGATGTAAATAGTACTGTTGATGCTGCTGCTGCTGCTGCTGCTGCTGCTGATAATAATTCTGAACGGGCCATTGTAACGGGACCTGGGACACATCCGAAGCGTGAGGGGAGACATTGTGGTGATAGGGCGCAGCCGAATCTGGTAAAACAAGTGACGCTGTGGTTGTTGTTGCTGTTGTTGCTAAAGACGAATAGCTGGCGACGCTATGCGTGCTGGATGATACGTGCGGATAGGCTGGCCTGTCAGAAGCAACCATGTTCGGGTGGATGCCAACGAGTCCTGCTGCAAAGGGCAAATGATTCCTTTCATTTGCGTCGACATCATCGGTCCGTTGAGCGGGTGGTCCTCGTGGTGAAGTGTCGTCGTCGTCGTCGTTGTCGTCATCTTCATTGACTATAGCCGTCCACGTTATTTTCTCGTCGGTCATAGAATCTACAAGTTTCTCCAAGTCTTGTAGACGGGATAAGAACCCGCCCCTATCGATGACAACGGAAGAAGAACTAAAGAAAGACAAGTGAAAAAGGAAAAAGAAGTCAAAATTCAGAATGCCGTGACGCGTAAATGGAGAGAGCAATCAAGGGGAGGGGGGGTGTGTGTGAAGGGAAGAGAAAAGAGTTACTTTTATATCTTTGCCCTGCTCTTCAATTATTGGATACTTACTGTTCGATTGTTTCTACTATATACAACAGCTCCCTAGAAACGGGAAGCACGTAAGAGTACTGTAGTAGCGAGCCCGGGATAAGAGAAAGAAAGTAAAAGAAAGGGTTAGAGAAAGAGAGAGAAAGAAGAGAAAGTATGCAGGGCAGCGAGTGCATCGTTACAATCGGGTCGCAGCTTGGGGTTATTAATATTATTAGGCTCGCAGAACATGGTCAATTATAATCCTCTTTCTGTCTGCGTCTCTCTTGCGACGGTTGTTGTTGAGCGTATATGTGGAAATGCGGGGTGAACGGGCAAGCGTTCTAATTTGGGATGAGCAATATCACATCTGGTGAGCGACCCGTTGTTTTTGTCACATTCACAGAGAGCCTTTTTGACGATATCAAAAGATACCACTTGGTATACCTTCTCGAGCCCTTTTTGTGTGAGAGAGAAAGAGAGGGTCGTATGCTTCACTTGTTAGGACGGCAAACAAATGCCTCCTTACTTCTGCCAGTTTATTAACGACCTGAAGGAAAAAGACGGCGCGCTTGATCACTGGGACTTTTTTTTTTTTCTCTTGTGCTGAGTTTTTATTGAGTTATTGGGGATCCTGAATATAGGGAATAGGTGTGCATTCATGTACCGAGAGACTGTCTATTTCATGAACGTTTTTTTTTTCCAGTATTGAAGAGAGATGTGGAAAGCAAAAGAGAGAAAGTTCAAGAAAAAAAGGCGTCAAAAAGCTGGGAAACAAAAAGTGGGACCAATGTTTCTTGTTTTCTTTTTCACACTACTACTACTACAACAACACAACAACAACAACAAAAAAAAAGTGTCGGGTACTGTTACTCGAATTACTAAAGCAGTGCGAGCTCCGTGCTGGTGCAGCTCAACACAGAGAACCTCATGATAACGCCTCCATTTGACTGTCCGTTCTCTGCTGTTGGGTGAACCACAAGCACAATGATCATCCACAGTCAAAAAACGTTTTGCTGCTGCAATGCTGCCTATGATTTAGTAACCATAATGAGTTAATAACTACCCATTAGGAGAGAGAGAGAGAGAGAGAGAGTGGGAGTTGAGGTTATGTGTGTATTAGCGCCTTCAAGTGGCTGTTTCGCTGCATCTCTATATCCCCATCACCTGCGATGTTTGCCTTTTTTAGCTACAAGTACTTGTACGCAGGGATCGTCAATGCAGCAATGCTATTTTTTTTTTTCATTTTTGTACATTCGAGTAGTAGCTAGAAAAGACTAGAGTGTTTTGGGAGCAAAAGTGCCACCACACTAGGGAGCCCGTTGGTGTGGAGCTACTACTCACGCAAAGATTGACCATTCCATCTTCTTTCCCTGGTACTACAGACGGGGGGGGTGGCTAGTATATAGGCTACTTTTATGCGAGGAAAAAGAACGAGTGAAATGAACAATAGGTCTGCAGATTTGGAATTGCCTGAACAGTGCATATCTGTTTGTTGTACGTTGCACGAGCTTACCATATTCTAGCAAATCCGAATCGGCTGTATCTTCAATAATGGATGTAGTAGGACTTCTCTACTGTATTTCCCCGCTAACCAAACGTATCAACAGATCACGTGGTCTGTCATCGTTTACACTTGTCACTTTACACCTCTCTCTCCTGTCAATAGTTGGCTTCTTCTCCTCCTCCTCCTCCTCCTATCCCGAGGCTCCCATATTATCTAATGCAAGTTGAGCACCCTGTAAGATTGCCATGCTCGGCGTTAATGCGATCCAGCAAAGGGGGGGCGGGGGTTTGGTTGTTGTCGTAGTAGTAGTACTGAGGAAGCTTAGACTTGTTTCCCGGTCATTATAACGAGGATTGTTTCATTAGCAATAATCAGTAATCTTCTCTTTTGTGTCCAATAATTAAAGAAGAAGAAAAAAAAACTCTATTGTTTAAGCTAACTAGAATAGCTGTGCACAGCAATTAACTCGTGCTCTCACCAAACATTGAGAAATAGAACAAAAAAAGGGATCTGTCACCCCTGCGTAAAAAAAAGTGTCCACTCAAGATACAAGCTTTGAGGGGTGGAGGGCTGTGTGTATGGCGTAGAGTGAGTAGATGTAGGAGGATGATAAGGGACGAGCTAATGACCCGTAAAGGGCCTCTCGATGAGGACATTCTCCCCTTCACTCCTCCTATACAGAATATTCATTCACTATTTTTTGTTTGTAGCTAAATGTGCATAATATATATATACTTTTCCGGAAACTCGGGCGTCTCGCTCCATCTGGATTGTTTTTTGCTGGACCTCCCTGCTAGGCATCCAAATAATTAGAGTGGGGGAGCCCTCCGATCCAAAATCTCAGATTTACCGTTTTGGGGGACCTTATTCCCGAAAACCTTTGCAGGAGCCTTGGGGACGGTCCCACATTTTAGGTGTCTATACAGTGGAAAAAGGACATCCAATGGGTAAAACAAAAAGGCCACCCAAAAGGGAAATTTGGACTTTCCAGATACCCAATCTGTCTATTATTTCATTGTCATTGTGTGTATAATATATACTCTCCCCCTGGATTTGCGGTTAAAGACGTACTTTTAAAATTCGGGTTATAAAAAGGCTTCATGCATTGAGTTTTGTTGCACAGTTTATCTACCAGTGAGGCTTTGAGTCGTCATCATATGTAATCTGAATTGTTCGTCTAATTGTATATAGCTGCTCGAAACGACTAATAGCTGTCTCTTTTTTTTTTTGGGGAGGTTGCCTTAATAGAGAATAGTGCATTCAGTGAGAACTACAAGCCCAGGAACAGATAGAACAAGGAGCGTTGCTGCAGTCTATAATTGTATATACTGTTTGAGATGCAAGGTACGAGCGCTACATGCTGTGTTATAATCGTTCTCAAGTCAGGTCACTGACTAGCCTCCTGTTTCCCGTGCAGTTAATGTGTGGCGAGTTTTGTTGAAAGACTGATGCTGGCAGCGTAATTACAACCATTAAATACATCCTCCTCCCTTGTCCATGGTTTAGCGGAGGGGGACGACCTTCAATTTCCGCATCCCAACGCAGTATATAACCCGAAACATGCTGACCCTTTCGGATCAGTTGAGGATCAATCCGATAACATAAATCCTAGTGATTACATTGATAGCGCGTCGTTAAATACATGTTGTAAATGTACAATCAAATGCCTCATAGTAAATTTAAATGATTTTTCTCTCTCTACAATTGTTTTCTTGAGTCAAAAAGCTTGAAAAGAGAAGCGTATCATGGCATTTTAATCTAAGGATGCCCCCGATATGCAGATTCCGGTTCTGCCCCTGGAATTTCAACGGAGCGATCGGGAAAGTCGGCCGCTCACGAACCACCCACAAATGGCAGTCATGTGTGGCCTTTTTCAACCGCTACCAAAAAAATAATAAAATAATGGGGCTTTTTTTTTTCGCACAGTTCGTAATGGACCCGGAAGATCATTTACTACTTATACCCATCACGAGCAAGGCCTGGTAGAGTATTTTCTTTGTGCTGTATTTACGATTTCCAATGGTGGGGGCAAACTTGCCAGCTACACACACACACGCGCCCTTGGAAATATCAGATCGACACTTTTAAAAAATGACGTTGATTTTCTGTTCCAGCCGATTATTTATCGGGCTGACAAGGCAGCTTTCGCTTTTCGGGCAATCAATTAGCACGAATTCACCCGTGGTTTTCCCAACTCTTACCAGCAACTAGTCAAGGGAGGGGGGTTTTTTGTTTTATCCTCGATCGATATAAGGATATCCTCGCGTTGGAAGTTGCCTCCACAAGAAAAGTGGAGAAGGGGTATCGGGGAGGGGGGCCTTCCAGAATAAGCGTCAATTCCTTGTTTCCCGGATGCTAGCGAAGGGGAACAGTGAGAAAGGTGGGTAAGGTGAAGGAGGGGGGGGGGTGGCGGGGAAACACTGGTAAGAGTCGGCTAACTTCGGCACATGTGATAATTGTCAAATTTTTTCCCACTGATTCCCGTCTTTACTCACAGGGAGAAATAAACACCGCTTTGTGCTTGCAATTCTTTATTACATAAAGCCAAAAGAACAAAAGGACGCTGCACACGAGACTCTTTGCACTTGTCTTGGCTCTTTCGCTTTATCTACACTTTTCATAGAACCTTTCTTTCTTTCTTCTTCTTCTTCACATCTCTCACACATACATACTCATACATCATGTTCAAATCTCTGCGCTCCGCATCTGCCCTTGCCGCCCGCGCCTCCATGGTGAGTCAAACGAACACCCTTACTACCACCACCACCAGCAAGCACTGCCATTACCACTATATTCACCCAAAGGCTAGACATTACGCAACTTGTAATACTTATGCATTCCTCTCTTTTATTCAAATAACTACTATATAGGCCGCTCGTGCACCCACTCAGCAACAAAAGCGTTTCCTCAACATTCACGAATACCTCTCTGTTGACCTTTTGCGAAAGTACGGCATCAACGCACCCAAGGGTGAAGTTGCCAAGACTCCTCAAGAAGCCTTTGAAATTGCAAAGCGTCTTGGTAAGAACTTGGGGAGGAAAAAAAAAGAGAGGGAAACATTATATTTCCACAGAGAGAGAGAGAGAGGTCTTTGTGTGAAGAGATGTGCTGACACGCGTTGCCTTTTCTTAAAATATTCAGGATCGGATGACCTGGTCATCAAGGCTCAGGTTCTTGCCGGTGGTCGTGGCAAGGGTACCTTCAGTAACGGCTTCAAGGGCGGTGTCAAGACTTTCTCCACGTAAGCCATAAATAATTTCCCCTTTATTCCACGAATCCGACTCGCTCCGTACCACCGATTCGTAAACGTGCTCCTGCGTGAGAAAAATGTTAAAGAATTTCCCCTTTAGACCCGAAGAAGGTCAGGCACTCGCTGAAAAGATGCTTGGCCAGCAACTCATCACCAAACAGACCGGAGCCATTGGCAAGCCCTGCAATGCTGTCTATATCTGTGAGCGCAAGTATGCCCGCAACGAATACTACTTTGCCATCTTGATGGACCGTAAGGCTGCCGGTCCCGTCGTCGTTGCCTCGTCCGAAGGTGGTGTCGACATTGAAACCGTTGCCAAGGAGAACCCGGATGCGATTGTCACCATGCCTGTGGACATTGAGGTCGGTTTGACCAAGGAACAGGCTACTGAGCTTGCCCAGCGCGTCGGCTTTAGCCCCGTCGCTGTTGACAAGGCTGCCGATACCTTTGTCAATCTCTACAAGCTCTTTGCTGAGAAGGATGCCACACAGGTTGAAATCAACCCCTTGTCTGAGTCATCGGACCACCAAGGTAAAGTAATCCTTGGCTTTTTGGGATTGCGAGTGTTGGAGGGGAGTTAGGGTTATCACTAACGCGCGTCGCTTTCAAACTCCCTGTATGTTACAGTTCTTTGCATGGATGCCAAGGTATGTGTTATACACGCGTCTACGCCACGTCATACAACAGTTGATCACGACGACGAATCACGGAACATGAATGGCTGATGATTCCCCCTCCCCCCTCTCTCTCTCTCTATAGTTGAACTTTGATGACAATGCCGACTTTAGACAGAAGGATGTCTTTGCTCTCCGTGACTTTACTCAAGAGGATTCGCGTGAAACTGCTGCTGCCAAGTACCACCTGAACTACATTGGCTTGGACGGTCATATTGGCTGCTTGGGTATGTAAAGAAAAAAAAACAAACTGGAAGGGGAAATCTCTCATGTAAGAGAGAGAGAGAAAAGGCGCATCTGTTTGGGGAGGTTTCTAATGCCTTTATTGTTTTGCTATTTAGTCAACGGTGCCGGTCTTGCCATGGCTACTATGGACATTATCCAACTCCACGGTGGCAAACCCGCCAACTTTTTGGACGTCGGTGGTGCTGCTACTCCCGATACTGTGAAGGCTGCCTTTGAAATTATCACATCCGATCCTCAGGTATATATATATATAAAAGTTACGAAATAGTTGATTGTGTCAGCCAGAATGATGACTCACACGCTATCTACTAGGTGACCTCCGCATTTGTCAACATTTTTGGTGGTATCATGCGCTGTGATATCATTGCCCAAGGTATCATTGCCGCTGCCAAGGAGCTCGATCTGAAGATTCCTTTGGTTGTTCGTCTGCAGGGTACCAAGGTCGATGAGGCCAAGAAGCTGGTATGTGGTGGAGTGTGTGCTATCTCTAAAAGTGAGTATATATGATTGGATTTAACTCATGTTGTTGTTATGTTGTTGCCTAGATTGCCGACTCTGGTCTCCGTATCTATGCCAACGATGATCTTGACTTGGCCGCACAAAAGGTCGTCAAGTTCTCTGACATTGTCAAGACCGCCAAGGAGGCCGACATTAACGTCACCTTCAACTAAAAAATATTTCCCCATGAATAACTCACTCTTCTCTAAAATAGCACATACTCTCGCATCCATTCCCACCCTCTTACACTTGTGTTTTATTTTTCCTTTCCGAATAATCCTCTTTCTATGACCTTCCCTTTGATCACGTACTCACGCCTCTCTATATACTATTACATTCCGCCACGCGCTCTCACTATTAGGCCTCTCATATATAGCGCTCTCTCTCTCTCTCTCTCTCTCTACCTATCTCTCTGCATTGATTTCCTTTTCTCTCTCTCTCTTATATTCCACCTCTTTTTTGCCTTATGGAATAGACTGTTCCTGTACAAAGAAAACCCACATACTACAATACAGTGTTTCTCTTCGCATTTTACACCGTCGACGTTAGATCCATCAAGTGTGTTCCTGACGCGTTTCATTGTCGGTCAAGTGACTTGTGAGATCCGTGCAATTAAATCAACGGTGCTTTCTGCTTCAATTCTGCGAGATATAAAAACAGAGATAGAGACGTTTCGAAGAGATAATCAATCAATCTGCATATAATGCCGATGGTAATATGGAATGCTTTGATCTAGCATTGTGACCAAATGTAGTCATCATCATTTGGATACGTAAAGTATTATAATCAGCTGGAGAGTGACGGGTTGACCTCGATTCGTCTGAAACATAAACGCGTCAGGTAGTTTAAACGTATTGTCTGAAAGCAAGGGTGGGTTATGTTTCTTTCGAGCTTCGTCACCTTTTTTCAATGGTGGCTATAGGAAGTGGGGGTTATCTAATTTACCCACTCGTTGGGACAAGAAAGTGCCGTCACGGTATAATAAATCGGTGCGTGTCGCCGAGGTCAGGAACACTCAGGTTTCTTCCTCCCACTCCCTCACCGTCGACCCGTTGCTGTTGCTGTTGCTGTTGCTGTTGCTGTTGCTGTCGTCGTCGTCCTTGGTGGACGAAAACAGTGAGGGAAAACAACTTTCTCTCTCTCTCTCTCTTTGGCACAAAAAAAGACCGGGATCGTTTTCCGTAATGAAGCCATTCAAGAAACTCTTTGTTTTTTTGTGATTGTTCAAAATCAAAAAAAAACATTAAACGCAGGATTAAAAGAAACGACGATGCACCAAGTCGTTTGGGGCGCCATTAGACCGCGGCGGGCAGCACACGACAAAAGCAAAATAATGTCGTGCTCGTCGCATTATCAAGATCATATATCCATGTGGGGAGGCTGATTGGGAGTTGTATGTGTGTGTCTTTGTCTGTCTGTAAAACACACACACACACATCCTCCTCCTGCTCTTTTACAAAATCAAAAAATTCAACGTGGTGAAGGTGCTTCCTCGGCGCGTCTCTCTCTCTCCCCGGCGGCAACGCATTAAAGGGTGGATATTTCTTCCTTCCGGTCGGCTGGTCCATCCAATTATTTTTTTTTCTCCTTCTCGTTCTTTCGGGAATCTTTCAATGGTCTCGAGTTAGGCCCCCCCCCTCCCCCGCCCTCGTCGGCGCCGTATCTATAAAAAGCCTAATTTACCTCTTCTCATTGTCCTTGGTCAACTCTCCCTCCCCTCCCCTCCAGCTATTTCGATCTGTTTGATTTTTTTGAAATGTATTATTTTAAAAATAAACTCTATTTTTTTCTTTTCAAATGGGACCAAGAGAGCAATTGTGTTAAACGATCCCCTCCTCCCTCCTGCATGTATCCATCCTCACGCTCTCTCTCTATCTATGCCACAATTTCTAATGCGTGTGTACCTTTTCTCACATTGCAGCATGCGCTTATAAAGTGTTTTTCAGCAGGGATAAGGGAAAGGCTAGCTTGGCTATCTTTATGCTCCAACACAATACAGGGGATAAGTAGTGAAATCGATTAAAGCTGCAGATCCCCCTGATTTTGGTGTGCTTGCCATTATACAAATCCGACAAGCAAGACTGCTGGGTAACTTATGCCAATTATTTTAATATAAATTACTTTCCTGTTTATGCACTGATTGTTCTGCTGCATATTGTAGATGGTGGTTTGGGTTAGCATCTCAAAGGGGTCGATCCATCCTATTATATGCAAAAGTGTAGAAATGGACCTAATACTACGGGTATCATGATGCTCACCCGGGGGGGAGGGGTACGTGCTTGTACTTTAATAGGTACATGAGTCTCATATAACCATTGCGTCGTTTGCCTCTTCAAGCTTCTGGCAGCGCTACATGCTCTTTCTCTTAATAACATACACACAGACGTGTAGTGATTTCGACCGGGACAAAAAAAAAAAAAAAAAAAAGTGGGCAACTTTCTCATTGGCTACAATGTTGCCATCTCTCTCGCTCTTTTTTTTTAAGTCGGCACTTTAAATTAAGCTTTTGGTGTATGTGGGCAAAAAACGCGGTGCGAATCGAGTAAAGGGTTGTCGCCCACGTCGTTTTCCGTTCGTTCATCTTGTTCAACCCCCCCCACCACCACACCATCCCCGCAACCTTTTTCTTTTTGTGAAAAAAATGGTGCATCGGCTCATTGGAACGACCCTTGCTTTGGCAACAACTGCTGTCCTGGCAACAGCTGAGGAACAGCAAAATGGTAAAAAAAAAAAGAGTGATGGTTCTTTCTAATTCTGGGGCGAATTGAAAGGAAACCTTTTTTGGAAAGCAATCTAATATATAAAATGTTGGGCCTTGAAAGTCAAGAAAGCAGCAACAACAGGACCGCAATTTACAAGACGTGAGTTACGGCTCCCTTTCCCCCTTCCCCTTCCTTGCATCCTCTCTCTTAAAAAATAACTGACACTTCTTTATTATTTGTACAAAAAAAAAGCTCTGACCATCGAGGACTTTAAGCTTGAAGCTATTCTCAGTTCGCTTTTGATTCTCATTGTGGTGATTTGGTACAGCGGATCCAGTGCCAATGGCACCAAGGCAAAGGAATGGTGGGTAGAACTATATGTGGTGTGTGGGGAAGGAACCTAGCTAGAGGTGGGGTGGGGGGCAAGGATTAAAAAAATGAGCAATTCCCCCCCTGGGAAGAGGGTATATTAAATGGGTATTCTAGGGTTGCCTCGCATATTGTGTTTTTGGAACAACAGTTTGCGGTGGTTGGCAACAAGGCAGAAAAGACTACGCTTGTCAAGGATGGACCTGCTGATTATTTCTTGTATGTGACTGACGACGCAATGTGCAATTTGGCCACTGGTGGATCAAGGTAAAAGATTTCCTCATACCCAAAGAAGTAGAGCTTAATTAACCAGCGAACTTTTATAACAGCTGAAGCCAAGAAGTGATCTTGTGGGATGGGTGTTCGCGTTGGTGCTTTCGCTGTTCGGTTATGCTGACAAGCCTGCGGACAAGTTGGTGATGGATGTGACCTTGGACAAGGAGATGGACAAGGCCTTTGTGTTTGCCATCCTTCCCAAAGACACTGCCCAGAGCACGCGTGATGGTCGTTTCGATTTGGTACGAAGAACACACATGGCTCATGGTGTGAGAAAAAGAAAGGGGAACCTGATTCATTGACAGATTATTACATCATCTTTATAGAAAACATTCACTCGTCTTGCTGACTCGCCCAAATTACCTTCCAACTTGGTTGTGTACACTGAAGCACAAAAGCTGGCAGATCAGATTCTGTCTACCAAGGTTTCTGAGCTGATTAGCAACTCGCCTGATTTCAAGTCTTTGATCATTACGAGCCAACCCGACTATGAGCAGGAAAAGTAAGAGGAGAAAACGTTCTCACCCCCTCACCTCTATATAACAAAACGTGGGGTTGCTGAACTATCTAATCTACTAGGTATCAGGGAGATCAAGAATTAAAGTTTCATCTTACTGGTGACTTGAGCAACCGCAAGGAGATGGTAGAGCTTGCATGCCTGTTGCCTGATGTTTTGGGCGACTTGCAACTGGCTGCGGATGTAAGTGCTTTTGATTAAAGTGTAGAATAAGAGAGAGAGAGAGAGAGAGCTATACTGACAATAAAGTCCCTCCCTGACTGATATAGACCAAGTCCAAGCTGAAGAAGAACCGCGAAGAATTGGAAAAGAAGGCAGCCAAGTTGCTTGCGGATGAACGTGCCGAAGAACTGGCACGCAAGAAGGCCGATGCAAAGAAGGCCGAGGCGGATCGGGTCAAGAGCTTGAGTCCAGCTGAGCAACGCAAATGGGAAGAAAAGGAGCGTGCACGCGAGATCAAAAAGTCGCAGAAAAAGCGTACCAAGCGCTCATAAAAGATAAAATTCTCTGTAATTATATAAAAATTGATATATATATTTATATGTGGCCCGTTTTTTTTTATATACAAGCATTTTGGGGTTATGGAGAAGCGGGTTTATCGTTGCTCGAAGGAACAGAGCCCGAAGCCCAAGCAGGCTTATCGGATTGCGCTGCTAGTCGCATGTGTTCCATGAGTGCTTGGTGCTGTTGTTGGTTGCGTGCTTTAGCCTTGTCATATTCTTCGCGCAAATGAGGATCGAGACGCTATCCAATGGCGCAAAGGGTAAGTTTGATCAGTTTTGAATGCATCTTTCTTTTTTTTTTTACGGCAAGATGAATTCATTTACCTGTCTCATTTCTTGTTCATTGGGTACGGTGAACTTCATTAAGCCATAGCCAGTGCCGATAATGCCGGCAGCATAAACGAGTGCTCTTGCCACAGAGATTCCCATATTATTTTCGTGACAACAACAAGAAGAACGACACAATTTAATGTTATTGCAAAGAATAGAAAGCCCGCACAACAACAACAAGCACACAAAAAGCGGAGCTTGGATCAAAGATATAGAGGGTCTCATGATTTTATTTTATTTTTGAGTTGCAAAAGGACAATCAATCAAAACATGGCAAGTGAACAAGTCTGATGCGTGTGTGCATGCATGCTTTTTTTTTCTTTTTCTTTGCTATACAACGCAAATGACTGATTGTTTATATTCATGAGGAATGGGGGGGGGGAAATTATATACAAATAGAAAGAAAGAGAGAGAGAGAGAAGGGTTATTTTGAAAGAGAGAGAGAGAGAGAGAGAGGGTAGTCTTGTTTACAGCCAAGGTCTCCAGCTCTTTGGGGTATGATCTTGTTCGATGCGTCGTTTCTTTGCAGCCTGTTCTGCTGCTGCTGCTGCTGCTGCTTCTTCTTCTTGCTCCTGATCGCATCGCTGGATATAGTCAGCCGCCATGGCCAGGATCTCTAGTGGAGCCATGTCGGGAGACAGGGCAGGATACGGCGAAGTAGGGGCAGACGAGGACGCGGATGATGTGCTGGAGTACGAGTCTTCATGGTAAGAAAGGGATGGGAGTTCCGGTTCAACCCAGCGTCGTTTTGTTAAAGTGGTTATAGTGTCATTAGTGGAAGAAGGAGGAGTGGTAATAGTAGTGGTAGTAGTAGTAGTAGGAGCGGTGGAGTGATAAAAGTGATCTTGATGATGGAGATGGTGATGGCTGTGGTATGACGAAGGAGTTGTTGATGATGATGATGATGGATAGATAAGCAACGGATTGGACTCTTCTTGCCAGCGATGATGATGACGATGATGGTGTTGCTTTTGTTGTTGCAGGATGAGTTGCTGATTGCGCTGCTCTTGAAGACGGGCACGGTTGAACTTGGCTCGACGGTTTTGGAACCATACCTTTTGAAAATGGAGAACATGATTAGTAGTTACGTTACATGCAGGCGGATCACATGATGCCCCATATGGTAATCCGATACAAGTTAAAAAAAAAAAAACTTTTTCTTGATAGTGTGTATACAAGAGGCCAAGATGATGATGATGATGATGTATTGTTATTATTACCTGTACTTCTCGGTTTGTCATGTTCAGCTTGAGCGCCAGCTTCTCTCTCAGCTCATAGTTGGGCGTGTCTGTCTGGTCAAATAATTCGGACAGTGCTTGGAATTGCTCCTGCGAGATACGCTTCCGTTTGGGCTTTGCCGGGGCTAACGTATGATTGATTGATTATATACATTCTTCAGGGTCATGCTTTTCTTTCTTTCTTTCTTTCTTTCTTTCTCTTTATTAACCAAACCCCCCTCTCTCTTTCTCTTTCCCCTCTCTCTCCTCCAATATAAGGCAAACCCCCCCCTTTTTATTTATTACCTTCATGGGATTTGATACGTAAGCTTTGCCGCTTGTTCGCCTGTTGTTGTTGTTGTTGGTTGTGGACACTGTCCCGCAAGGACAGAGAAGAAGAAGAAGAAGAAGAAGAGGATGATGATGATCCATCTTCGGGATTCAACAAAGCACTGATACTGGAGGAAGCATCCTCTTCCGACATGTGGCTGCTCGGGAACTGGGTCCTCGTCGTCGTCGGCATCGTCATTGTAGATCTTATCGCCTGTGTTGCGGCCATCAAAACTGATCGTTCTTCAAAAGTGGGGAGAGAAAGAGAGAAAAAGAAGTGAAGAAGAAGAAGAAGAAGAGGGAGAGAGGAAGAAATAAAAAAAAAGTTAATCAAATAAAGAGAAAAAATGTAATGTCGGAACAGGACCGACGGTTGAGGTGTTACGAAAAAAGGCAGCATCGGAATTGTTCTGTCCGCCCAATAGATCTGTTTTGTTGTTTCACACTCTATGCACCCTCTGCAATAAAACTCTACTCATGCTCTCTCTCTCTCTCTCTCATTCTCGCAAGTCGTCGTGGTCGTGTCTGTACTCCCCTACACCCACACAACCACCCCTTACATTTTCTTGTGATCTGGCGCAATCCATTCATGTATAGCTGATAAAAGTAGTCAAGAAGAGCCACTACCTGTCTTGTAGCGTTACTGCAGGGCCAATACCCAAATGGACTCCAGAGAGGGTGTAGGTCATTTACAAGCAGTGATGGCGCATCACTCTAATTATTATTATCAAACCAAAAGAGTTGCTAATGGCAATAATAAAGAAAGGCTAAAAGGACCATGGGGCCTCCATATCAAACAACCTTCTAGTTAGCCCGCCCTTTTCCTAATATGGCAAAAGTGTTGCGTTTCGGTTTGGCCTTGTGTAACACATCGCCTCATTCGGCCTCTCTCTAAATCTTCTCTGTTCTCCAGAGTGTTTTAGGTCTGTCACGTCCTCGTCGTTGCGACGTCCTACTAACCAGCATAGCTGAGACACAAAAAAAAAAAAGAAAAAGAAAACGGCGCCCGCGCTTTTTTGCCCTTTTCCTCTTTCCCCTCTTTTATTTAACCTCTTTTCTGTGCTCCACACCCCCTTAAAAAGAGCTTTTTTTTTTTTTTTTTTCGCGAACGTTTTTTCTTTTACAAAAACTGTTCTTCACCTCGTATACCATTGCAGCCTGAGCGGTGTTATGAAACGCTCTTCTTCCACGGCCGACAGTAATCATTCATCAAAGAAAATTTGTGCTAGAGTCCCCACCCATTGTCCAGCACAAGATTCCCCTACATTAACAACAACAACAACAACCACTCCACCGCCCGTCACGACACATAACAACACCACTTTTTCTACTATTACTGCCACGTCCGCCGACGAGAACACCGACACCTTAGTAGCTGCTCCACCTCCACCTCCTCCTCCTCCTCCTTCTTCTTCCACTTCCGCCACCACTTTTAACCCAAACAACGACAACAACCTGACCCGTAATACCACAGACGATACTACTACTGCTACTACTGTCGCAGAAACAACCACCACCATCAGTAACGAAAACATGAGTACGACAGTCCTGGATTACATTCAGGACCTTGTCCACAGCCTTCACAAAGGCAGAATTGACCTTTGCCTCAGCAACCGCCTGACGCCGGACACCTTGGAGAAACTCGACTCGAAAAATGCCGACATTGCCACGTCCCTGGATACTGCACTCAAAGCGATTGCTCAGCATCAACTGCAACTAGAGACTGATAATCTTAGATACCGGATAGCCATCCAGCAGCAACACCAACTGTTGGTCCCGCATCAAATGCAAGTCCAGCAGCAGCAGCAGCACCAGCAGCAGCAGAACAAGGGCGATCACGCGGATGACGAGGATATCCCGCTTCCAACCACTCATAGCAACAACAGTGAAAGCGCCGTTGTTGTTGTTGTTAAGGAACAAGGTCACTTGGATCAGCCTAAAGCACACATGACCCCCGAAGACGGAATTCCGACTGTGAAGGACACCTCATTGATTGAACGCATGCAACAAACCCATCCCATCGTCTCGCTCCCATCGAATCACTGTATTGGTAAGGCTGCTTTATTTTTTCGTTTGTTGTTGTTGTTGTTGATACAGTTCTGATACACTCTTGTTTCATCTTTGCTTATTGCTACTACTACTATCAGCTGCCTCCTCTACTGCTGCCACGCCATCCTCTTCCTCTTCGTCGACTTCTTCTCACATGGATCATCATCACCACTATCATCATCATGCCGCTCCCCCGCCAAATACCAGCACGCCCATGCCCACGCCTCCATTCACTGTCCCCCACGGTTCAACCGGATTCCCTGTCTTTTTCGGAAACAACGATGCTGCCATGTCCTTTGTCACTGCTGCTGCCGCCGCTTCTGCCACGACCCCCACCACCAGTGTAGAAAACACAGTGTGTCCCGACTGTGTGATGCAAGCCGTCAAGGTGGCATCCGCCATCTATGCAGGAGAACTCAATCAACGTGTCACCTGTAACCACGAACGATGCATCGGCTCAACAACAACAACAACAACAATCAGTCCCAATGCTCCTATCAACACACTCAAGAACGCAATCAACGCCATGGCGAGTCATCTGCAGGGCATCACCGACGAGGTCATGTATGTTGCCCACGAAACTGCTGTAAAAGGCAAACTCGGTGTGCAGGCTCGCATTGACTCGAAAATGGCCGGTGCTTGGCGTGAAGTGGTCGTCGACCTGAATAGCATGACTCGGAATCACCTGGAACAGGTCCGGGACATTGCGGATGTGTCCACTGCTATTGCTCGAGGCGATCTCAGTAAGGCCATGACCGTTCCGGTCAAGGGAGAAACACTGTTACTGAAGAATACTTTTAATACGATGGGTAATATGCATAAAATATATAAATGTGTGTAAGCGGAGTGGCAAAAGAATTTTTTTTAATTTTAATATTAAATATTTCTGTTTAGTGAATCAATTGAATACATTTGCATCAGAAGTGTCACGCGTTGCCCACGAGGTCGGAACAGAAGGCAAACTGGGTGTCCAAGCCAAAGTGGCGGGCGCAGATGGCATCTGGAAAGAACTGACTGATAATGTGAATACAATGGCCGATAACCTGACCAACCAAGTCCGTGATATTGCTCAAGTCTCAAAGTCTGTTGCACGTGGTGATCTTACAAAGAAAGTGACCGTTGAAGTGCGTGGCGAAATGTTGGATTTGAAAGACACTATCAATACAATGGTCGATCAGGTAGAAAAAAAAATAACGGGTCCCTTGTTTTTTTTTTTTAAAAAAAAAATTAGTGAAGGGCTGTGCGTCACATGTGGGGAATGTTTTTAACAATCTTTTTTTGCTAGCTATCGACATTTGCTACTGAAGTGACGCGCGTATCGCTTGAAGTTGGAACAGAAGGCATATTGGGTGGACAAGCTGTTGTCAAAGATGTGGCTGGTACATGGAAAGATTTGACCGATAACGTCAATCTCATGGCATGCAAGATTACCGATCAAGTACGAGATATTGCTGCAGTCGCCAAGGCTGTAGCAAAGGGCGATCTCAGCAAAAAGGTCACTGCCAATGCTCAAGGCGAAATGCTCGAACTGAAAAACACAATGAATCGAATGGTAACTTTTTATTTAGTTTTACGGATGTTTTAATATCGGGCTAATCTCCGGTGGTTTTTTTTTGCGGGGCTCCGTGGTACCAATTTAGGTGGATCAACTTACGCTATTTTCCGCCGAAGTAAGGCGAGTATCGCTTGAAGTGGGAGTAGAAGGAAAGCTAGGCGGACAAGCGGTCGTCAAAGACGTGGGTGGTGCCTGGAAAGATTTGACCGACAATGTGAATACCATGGCAGCCAACCTAACGACCCAAGTACGATCGATTGCCGAAGTCACCAAAGCCGTTGCCAAGGGCGACTTGAGCAAAAAGATTGACGTGGAAACCCGCGGCGAGATTCTCGACCTAAAGAACACGGTCAACAACATGGTCGACCAGCTCCGTGTCTTTTCGACCGAAGTCACGCGTGTTGCCAAAGAAGTCGGCACAGCCGGTAAATTGGGCGGCCAGGCACGGGTGCCGAACGTCGACGGGACCTGGAAAGATCTGACCGACAATGTCAACACCATGGCAACCAATCTGACAACCCAAGTGCGATCGATTGCGGTGGTGACCAAGGCCGTCGCCAACGGCGACTTGTCGAAAAAGATTGAGGTCACTGTCAGTGGCGAGATCTCCGATCTCAAGGATACGGTCAACAACATGGTCGATCAACTGCGTGTGTTTGCATCCGAAGTGACGCGTGTGGCACGCGAAGTCGGTACCGAAGGCAAATTGGGCGGCGAAGCGGTTGTGCCGAGTGTTAGTGGTACCTGGAAAGATCTGACCGATAATGTGAATACCATGGCTGCCAATTTGACGACCCAGGTGCGGTCGATCGCACAAGTCACCAAAGCCGTGGCCAAGGGCGACCTCAGCAAGAAAATCGACGTGGAAACGCGTGGCGAGATACTCGATTTGAAGAACACGGTCAACAACATGGTGGATCAACTCAATGTCTTTGCAGATGAAGTGACGCGTGTTGCGAAAGAAGTCGGTACAGACGGAAAACTCGGTGGACAAGCCATGGTGCCCAATGTCGATGGCACCTGGATGGATCTTACAGACAATGTCAATCAAATGGCGGCCAATCTCACAACACAAGTGCGGTCTATTGCCGAAGTCACTAAAGCCGTAGCCAATGGTGATCTTAGCAAAAAGATTGAGGTTGAGACCCGCGGTGAAATTCTAGAGCTCAAGAACATTGTCAATAACATGGTGGATCAGCTTCGCGTCTTTGCCTCGGAAGTCACGCGTGTATCCAAAGAAGTCGGCACCGAAGGCAAACTGGGCGGCCAAGCGGTGGTGCAAGGCGTCGCAGGTACCTGGTACGAACTGACAAGTAACGTCAATATCATGGCGGCCAATCTAACGGACCAAGTGCGATCCATTGCCGAAGTCACCAAAGCCGTTGCTCTAGGCGACCTGAGCAAGAAGATCGAAGTCGAAAGTGGTGGCGAGATCTTAGAGCTCAAAAACATTGTCAATAACATGGTGGACCAATTACGCATCTTTGCATCCGAAGTGACGCGTGTGTCCAAAGAAGTGGGCACAGAAGGCAAATTGGGTGGTCAAGCCATGGTTGAAGGTGTTGCAGGCACTTGGCACGAATTGACAGACAATGTGAACCAGATGGCAGCCAATTTGACCAATCAAGTACGATCGATTGCCGAAGTGACCAAAGCCGTTGCCCACGGCGACTTGAGCAAAAAGATTGAAGTTGAAAGTGGCGGTGAAATCTTGGAGCTCAAGAACATTGTCAATAACATGGTCGATCAGCTCCGCGTATTTGCTTCCGAGGTGACGCGTGTAGCCAGGGAGGTCGGAACGGATGGCAAGCTCGGTGGCCAGGCGGTGGTACAAGGAGTGGCTGGTACCTGGATGGATCTAACCGATAATGTCAATACCATGGCTGCCAATCTGACCAGTCAGGTGCGATCGATTGCCGAGGTGACGAAAGCTGTGGCACTTGGCGACTTGAGCAAGAAAATCGAAGTTGAAAGTGGTGGCGAGATTCTGGAGCTCAAGAACATTGTCAATAACATGGTTGACCAACTGCGTATCTTTGCTTCTGAGGTGACGCGTGTGTCCAAGGAGGTCGGCACCGAAGGCAAGCTGGGTGGACAAGCGGTTGTGCAAGGTGTCGCTGGTACATGGAACGAACTCACCGACAATGTCAACATCATGGCTGCCAATCTCACGACCCAAGTGCGATCGATCGCTGAAGTGACGAAGGCTGTCGCCAGTGGTGATTTATCCAAGAAAATCGAAGTTGAGACGCGTGGAGAGATCTTGGATCTCAAGAATATCGTCAACAACATGGTCGATCAATTGCGTGTTTTTGCTTCAGAAGTAACACGTGTGGCACGCGAAGTAGGCACGGACGGCAAGCTCGGCGGTCAAGCTGTCGTGAATGGTGTTGCCGGTACATGGATGGATCTTACCGACAATGTCAATACCATGGCGGCCAATCTGACGACTCAGGTGCGGTCCATTGCTCAAGTCACCAAAGCCGTGGCAAATGGTGACTTATCCAAAAAGATTGAGGTCGAGACTCGAGGCGAGATACTCGACCTTAAAAACACGGTCAATAACATGGTCGACCAATTGCGTGTGTTTGCTGCTGAAGTGACACGTGTGTCTAAAGAAGTCGGCACTGAAGGCAAGTTGGGCGGTCAAGCGATGGTCGAAGGCGTCGCTGGTACATGGCTCGATCTCACAGATAACGTAAACACAATGGCTGCCAACCTCACAACCCAAGTACGGTCTATTGCTCAAGTGACCAAAGCGGTTGCGTTGGGTGACCTGAGCAAAAAGATTGAAGTGGAAACCCGCGGTGAAATCCTGGAGCTAAAGAACATTGTCAATGACATGGTGGATCAATTGCGGATCTTTGCTTCCGAGGTGACACGTGTGTCCAAGGAAGTGGGTACAGAAGGCAAGTTGGGTGGCCAGGCTGTTGTACAGGGCGTTGCCGGCACATGGTACGAGTTGACGAACAATGTAAACATCATGGCGGCCAATTTGACGAACCAAGTACGATCCATCGCCGAGGTGACCAAAGCCGTCGCGTTGGGAGACCTCAGTAAAAAGATCGAGGTGGAAAGTGGCGGCGAAATCCTCGAATTGAAGAATATCGTCAACAACATGGTGGACCAACTACGCATCTTTGCCTCTGAAGTCACGCGTGTATCCAAAGAAGTCGGCACCGAAGGCAAATTGGGAGGACAAGCGGTGGTGCAAGGCGTCGCAGGTACCTGGTACGAACTTACCAACAATGTCAACATTATGGCAGCCAATTTGACGAGTCAGGTGCGATCGATTGCCGAAGTGACCAAAGCTGTGGCGCTGGGTGACCTGAGCAAGAAGATTGAAGTTGAAAGTGGTGGCGAAATCCTCGAATTGAAGAATATCGTCAACAACATGGTGGACCAGTTGCGGGTGTTTGCGTCCGAAGTAACGCGTGTATCCAAAGAGGTCGGCACGGAAGGCAGACTTGGCGGACAAGCCATCGTGCAAGGCGTCGCGGGTACATGGAACGAGCTTACGGATAATGTCAATATCATGGCTGCCAATCTTACCACCCAAGTGCGGTCCATTGCCGAGGTGACCAAGGCCGTGGCAAACGGTGACTTGAGCAAAAAGATTCATGTTGAAGCACGAGGCGAAATTTTGGACTTGAAGAACACTGTGAATGACATGGTGGATCAACTCAGTGTATTCTCGACCGAAGTGACTCGCGTGGCCAGAGAAGTCGGTACTGAAGGCAAACTTGGCGGACAAGCCATTGTACAGGGCGTCGCTGGTACTTGGAAGGACCTGACTGACAACGTCAACATGATGGCTGGTAATTTGACGACTCAGGTACGATCGATTGCCACGGTCACTACAGCCGTTGCCAAGGGTGACTTGTCTCGCAAGATTGTTGTAGAAGTGCAAGGTGAAATCTTGGAACTCAAGTAAGTTTGATGTTTCTGATGTTGATTGTCAGGCTACACGCACGGGCCAAGTTAGCTCATCTATAATAATTGACTCTTGTAGGGATACTGTAAATTCCATGGTGGATCAACTACGAGTCTTTGCTGCAGAAGTAACGCGTGTGGCAAGAGAAGTCGGCACAGAAGGCATGCTCGGTGGCCAAGCAGCGATCATTGGTGTTGATGGTACCTGGAAGGACTTGACCGACAATGTCAACCTGATGGCCAGTAACTTGACGGATCAACTTCGTGCCATTGCTGCAGTCTGTAAAGCGGTTGCTCAAGGTGACTTATCCAAAAAGATTGAAGTCGAAGTACATGGTGAAATTGCCGAGCTCAAGAACACGATCAATACCATGGTGGATCAACTCAACTCGTTCGCATCTGAAGTGACACGCGTTGCTCGCGAAGTCGGTACTGAAGGCAAACTGGGCGTGCAAGCCGAAGTGGAAGACGTTGAGGGTGTATGGCGCGAAATCACTAGCAATGTCAATACCATGGCATCCAATTTGACGACGCAAGTACGAGCCTTTGCTCAGATTTCTGCCTCTGCTACCGAAAACGACTTTTCTCGTCTGATTACGGTTGAAGCTTCTGGTGAAATGGACTCGCTCAAGACCAAGATCAATCAGATGGTGGCTTCGTTGCGTGATGCAATCCAAAAGAACCGACTCGCCAAGGAAGCTGCTGAACTGGCTAACCGATCCAAGAGTGAATTCCTTGCCAACATGAGTCACGAAATCAGAACACCCATGAATGGTATCATTGGCATGACGTCGTTGACGCTCGAGACGGAATTATCCCGCCAACAGCGCGAGAATTTGATGATCGTGTCCAGCTTAGCCAACAGCTTGCTGACCATCATTGACGACATTTTGGATATCTCCAAGATTGAAGCAGGTCGCATGACGATTGAATCCATTCCGTTCTCTCTGCGTTCGGCCATCTTTAGTGTGCTCAAGACACTTGCGGTCAAGGCGAACCAGAAGAAGCTGGATCTCATCTACAATGTCGACAACTCGATTCCAGATCAGCTCGTCGGTGATCCTCTGCGCTTGCGCCAAGTGATTACCAACCTTATCGGCAACGCTGTCAAGTTTACGAACCATGGCGAGGTTGTGCTGCAAACACGTGCTATAGAAATGCGGGGCGACCACGTCAAGGTCGAATTCTGTGTCAGTGACACGGGTATTGGTATTCCATCGGATAAGCTGGATGTGATCTTTGACACGTTTGCACAAGCTGATGGTGGCACCACGTAAGTTTTCCTAGATTACTCGTTTGATATGTCTAAGAATGTGCAAAAGTGCTAACATTCTATTGACATCTATAGGCGTAAATATGGCGGTACTGGCTTGGGATTATCGATCTCCAAGGCCTTTGTGCAGCTGATGGGCGGTAATTTGTGGGTTGAATCCATGTATGGCCGTGGATCTCAGTTCTACTTTACCGTCAATCTTCGCCAATATCACATGGGCGAAAAAGAGATCCGCGAGAAGCTGACTCGATTCCAAGGCCGCCGCGTCTTGTTCCTTGAAACCGCTGGCGATCAAAGCAACCTGATGAACCAGATCAGCGAGCTCGGCCTGCGACCTTTTAAGGTAACCAGCATAGCAGAGGCTACCAACACTGCTAACTCAACAACAACACGCAACGACCATGCACCATTGTTCGACACGCTCATTGTCGACAAAATGTCACACGCCGAACGTATCCGAGAAATTGTGCACCTGCGCTTCACGCCGATCGTTCTCATCACACCCGACATACACCCACTCAACATGAAGCTATGCATTGATTTAGGCATCACCAGCTGTATCAACTCGCCCGTCAGTCGACTGGATCTTGCACATACCCTCTTACCGGCACTCGAGAACCATGTCGCACTACCCAGCGACGCAGCGAAATCGGCCTCGCTCGAGATTTTATTAGCAGAGGACAACATTGTCAATCAGAAATTGGCGGTTCGTATCCTCGAGAAATTCGGTCATCATGTCAAGATCGTATCCAACGGCCAATTGGCCGTGCAGGCATTCCAGTCGCAAGCATTTGATCTTATTCTGATGGACGTTCAGATGCCTGTCATGGGCGGTTTTGAAGCAACACAAAAGATCCGTGATATTGAAAAGGCGTCTGGTACAGACGCTCACATTCCCATTATCGCACTGACAGCTCACGCCATGATTGGCGATCGAGAAAAGTGTTTAAATGCAGGAATGGTAAGTTTTTTTTTAAGAGAGAGTTTGCGTATTTTATAAGGATTGTTTGCTGACATTGTGTATACTATCTTTTTTAGGATGAATATGTCACGAAGCCATTAAGATTCCCAGAGTTAATATCAGCCATCAAGAAGTTTGCCTCTCGGTCACAGTAAATTGATGATTGATGATCTATAAATCTAAATGTACATAGTCCTCGTTTGTTGTTTGTTTTCCCTTTTCCTTTTTCTTTTTCTATCTATATACATAATATAAATATCCTTTGTATCACTTGTAAGCTTATTTATTACTTTTCTGGGAGCATTAAGTTGGAAAGAGCACTAGAGGTGCACTAAAGTGTAATGATATCTACGTTCAATGACACAGTGGCGTGTTTGCTACTTGGACAACTGATTGGACGATTGAACCTGCCAAGCTGAGGTGCTTGACTGACGTTCCAACGCAAGATGGTTGAAAATATCACCCTGACGAAAAAGACAGCCGGAAGCATTGCGTAATGATAGGTCGTCTCCTTGTTCGCCAGAGCAATAGAGTGCAACATAGCTCATGGTAAGCAATCTAAGGTGTGGACAAGCTTGTAGGATCCACGCCACATCTACCGTGATTGTTCGCACCTTCCGGGGGTTCTTGTATGCTCCACCAATATTAAGCTGGGTGAAACTGCTGTTCAAGCCAATTTCTCGGATCATCATATCGCAAAAAGAGGATACTTCTTCTGTCCTGATTCCTTTCACTGTAAGTTGTTTGAGATCCGTTGTCCAGGCGCTTGTTGCCGTAGTAGAATCCGTAATGGAAGCGCTTGGGGTTTCATTTAGCAGGCGGACTTCATACATGGTAAGCGTCGACAGTTTCGAATATGCATGCGTAAGATAACGATAGAAGGAGTTCAGCTGCTGTGAATTGTAAAATACAGGCTTTTTCAAGTGCAAGTGCTGTAGTTTCATCTGTTCAGCCGAATAAAGTCGCTGCTGCTCGCTGACACGACCGTGGGCTATTTCCCCTGCCACAAAGAGCGCTGCATTTTCAAGGTGCAGATGCTGTAAATGGGAGCACAACCGCGAGATAGTGTCCAGATTTTCCTCGCTGACCCATCGGCTGCCGTTGTTGAACGCTACCGTGAGGCTTTCGAGCATTGGCGTGTGATTCACTAGCTGCTGGATGTACTTCCACTGTTCGATGAATGTACTTGATGATGACGTAGACGTTGCGTATCTGCTGTACACAGGAAATTGTGGGACTGATACTGACCATGGCTGCGGATATGGCATTGCCACCTTTCGAATATGCAAATGACGAAGTTGCCCAAGATGCTGCAGTATCCTATTTTTTCGCACCCCAACGAAAAGATAAAGCTGCTGCCAAGATATCGTCAGTGTTACAATATTTTGACAGACGTTGATAATCTTCCAAAAGTCGCTAAAGCCGTTTACTCTTTCGCAAGAAAGAGCATTCCCCTTGAAGGCAACTTTTGCAACAGATACTGTCAAGATTGTGACATCCGGGAACTGCGTTGCAGCATACTGGACGATCCAGTTGAAAGACTGGATTTGATGACGATCGGTAAACTCGATTTGATTGTATGTCACTCCAAAAAACCGGGCGAACCATGACTTGCAGACATACATGCATCTTGCGCAGTCTCCTCCCGATAGGTGTTTTGTGATATCCATCAAGACCTCATTGGGAAGTCGTCCGATGTTGTCACGCTGCCGTTGCTCGAAATCCAGCTGTTTTTGATGGTCTATCGTCAAGCTGCTGAAGGCGCTCAACACATAGTCGTACACGTTTTTAAGCAGTGTAAAAGAAGACATGAGTTTTGTGGTGCGAACAGATGGTTAAAAAGGCAGTAATATTGTGCTGGTGTGTTTATCTGTTAATATATATATTTTGCATGATTTTGAAGCGTGTGAAATTAAATTCAAACCCTGATAATCACCGGTTGATAAATCAAGTAGAATGATACATCATACCAAGTTCGAAAGCCTTCGAGCAGTAATTCACATTTCGTTGAAACGAATTGACATCCAATCATCTCAAGTAGAAGATTTTTAGCTTGAAAAAGTCCGTCATATCTGTTAAAGGAAAGGGGAAAGAATTTATAATAAAAAGTAGAAATTGACTTTAGTACATAATGAATAGTTGCGTAGGTTGACGGAGTGACTGAAAGAACCAATAGAGAGATAGCAGTCGGAGGACAAACGAGTGCTTGCTAAGGTTGATAAAAGTGCTATATTTAATGGACAAATCGAATTGGCTTATCAAAACAATTGAATTTTGTATGAGCATCCTATATGTAGAAAATTGCTTGTTTGCGGTACGTCAGGGATAGCGTGTTTATACGGCAAACACCACATGGTTGCTAACCTTGACTGCCGTCCAGCTCAACGATGTTTTGTTTCATATAGTGCACAGTTTGTTCTGCTGTCCAAGTCTTCCTAACAATTATGTAGCAACTCGGGCTGAAAGTTTCAAAGACATATTCTGAACGTTTGTCACATTTTTTGGCCGTCATGAGCGAGTTACTCAGATTAGCCACAAGGTTTATCATATCTGAATAGGAGGAAGGGATTCAAATTTTATGTTGGGTGATAGCCACATACAATTTTGAACGAGCTAGACGGATGTTCGAATCATGTACCAATGTTTTACAAGTCTCTGTCAGGACTGCATCTCTCCAGTCAATTTGAAAAAAAGAACTCGGGCTCCTTATCTCAGCTTTGGTATGAGAGCTATGATGTCGTGCTCACCATACGTATTGGCAACGTTGTTTTGTCGTTGCTGTTCTTTTTATTTACTGTAAAACAGTATGTCTTTCTCTGAAGACTTATCGTACGCCAGGTTATCTGACAAATGGCTCGTGTGGTTTCCCTGGAGGAGTAGGCAACATCCTTTTCGCTTGGGAATTGATACGGGCACGACAAGTTATTTCCTTATTTGTTCGGGGCACGACAAGCTCTAATAATAATTATGATATATTACACAGAGCAGCATAATAGCTGACACTCTTGTGTTAATTATAGCAGATGGGTGGTGTCGTGCCCGTAAGAAGCACAGCGCGTATGTATTATGTAAGAAGACAGTTCGATGACATATGTAGGTGGGACGCGTCGTGCCCGTAAGGAGGAAATTTTGAAGACGTATGTAGAAACTTGCCTTGTTTTATTCTTTAGCACGTTTTTGTACAGGAGCGCTTCCACTATACTTAATATTTCACACATTCACAGCGCTACATAGAAAGGTTTCTCTCTTGCATTTCTCTTTTTTACATTTTGAACCATCATAAATATCTTCTCTAATTTTCCTCTACATAGATTTCTTTTGTCTCTCAATGGTTTTAATTTATACCAAATGCAGCTGTCAGCTTGATAACATACTTCTTCTTGACGTACATATTTATATAGTATAAACGTTTGCTGGGCAAATATCTATGAAACTTTTTCGTTTCTATGTAGAAATAGTATGGAATATCCTATATCAAGTAATTTTACACTGTACTGCAGAATTCTTTGATTTATTAAAATCTGGCTGTGATCTATGAGCAAGTTTGAACAGAAGACTTATAAATAAGAACAAGAACTCAATGCTTCTTACGGGCACGACGCGTCCCTCCTACATATGTCATCGAATTGTCTTCTTACATAATACATACGCGCTGTGCTTCTAACGGGCACGACACCACCCATCTGCTATAATTAACACAAGAGTGTCAGCTATTATGCTGCTCTGTGTAATATATCATAATTATTATTAGAGCTTGTCGTGCCCGTATCAGTTCCCTTTTCGCTTCGCAGCCACCACCTTCTACACTTGATATAGAACCAAGCCTGGCCAGAGATAGGGTCACAGACGAAGTGAGGTCATCAGTCTTTAGGCTTAAAGCCATTTTTGACTCGAAGTCTTGACGACCCAAAGACTTATCCACCCAATCCTGAGGGCGTCAAAGTCACCGTTGTGTGGAGTGAAGCGAGCTCGGCGAAGTTGCTGACTCCGACGCTGTTTCCCAGGATTAGTGACCTCTGGTGGAGGAGCTAGATTGTTGTAAGATAAAATTCACAGCATCGCCAGCAAATGAGGCTGGGCTCACTGGGACTTTTTCTAAAAAAAAACAATAATCTTTATATCAATATCTGGTTCTTTATATACTTTATATGATATCATATAGTTTGACTATTTACAAGCCAGAGTTTCCTCTTGAGGACGACCATTATCAGTTCTGGTATCGAGTAATGATTTCGAAAAGGAAAGTTAAAGTTATGCCTAGGTTTTCTCCGACCATTAGATGGAAATACAGAAAGCTCATGGAATGATGCCATCGCATCCATGGTGTCCGGAAGGGTGTGACAATATGAATTTCCCGTCGACGAGGTCTATCAAGATCGAATAATAAGGTGCGATTATAAAAAGCATGATGTCAAAACATATGGATATGTGGCAAATATATGGCAACGCAAATTCAATATTGTCTGCGACCGTGTTGTGAAAAACAAGGAAAGTATATAATAAAGATGACAAGGCTCAAGCACAAAAGATAGTTTACAGCACAGCAGCAACTGTGATGATAGAGCTTTAATAAAGATAATAAGGGACAAGATTAAGTATCTTTGAGATGATGTTTTATTCCAACAAAAGATAAAGCTCTTTTATATTCTAGCTATTAAGACGGCGATATCAATTCATCCGACTAATGGATAAACTATGTGATAGAGGATGGATCAAGGACGTATCAGAACTTCTATTGAAGTCGCTATGTTAATCGGGCACATCTTTGAAACCGGCGTTAGCTGATGTAATGGCCGAGGTACCTGTTGATAGGTTCATTGTCCTGTTCACGTAAGGTGGATCATTTGAGTGAGAGATTTTATTCAATAGTGTTTAGCCGAAATGCCGTAGTGTTCATACGTGTGTGCTATAATGTTTAACCGAATATCTTATTGTTGATATCTTAAGCAGTGTATTAATGTGGTTCACCACAGCAACAACGTCGTTGAATTGGACTATCCCAGAGGGTCAACCTAATGCGTGGCACAAGAATTAGAAAAAAAGTTGTATATTGCTGTTAAATAGGTTCGCGACACTATGGGGTGTGATATGGCGGCTCTGGAACAAGCGACATTAAAAGGGCATATACCACAGGCGACAGGAAGGAATTACCAATCTAATTTGCAGAGGTCAATCAGTAACGATAGAAGCTCAAAAGACTAGATCAATATAGTAGAGGAAATACTCATCTGGTTATCTCGTTTATAGTCAGTCGAGCTACGCAACAACAAAGCTTCAACCATTGTTTACAATGCGTGACACCGCTTCAGCTGCAACGAGGGCGATCGCTCAGGTTTCCGTTCAGGCCTTTTGAAACTTTATAAAGTCTTGGAAGGTTGTTTTGGGTGTCCGAAAGGCTACTAACGGCAGCTAACGGCTACTGACGGCAACTTAACGGCAACAAACGGCAACAAACGGCAACAAACGGCAATTGGTATCTTTTCGGATTTTAACGAATGGCTGCATACTTTCCACCGAGTATCCTACTAGCGTGAAGATTTGTGCTGCTGACAGTTCCTTAAAACACTAGTGCTTTTTTTTTTACCAAGCTCTACTTGATGTTTCATCTCCACGTCGAACCAGTTTAAGACATACAATAGAATAACAAGCTATTTGATTATCTGAATAGATTAGGCCAATCTTTAGTACTATTTCTTACAGACGAACTCTCATAACTACTTGATACCAATTCTGCTAGTTGAACGTTGTTTTTATTACAAATTTTAGTACGGAGTGAAGCAAAAGCGCTCGTGCATGCATTGTTTCTCATCCGACTTCTCCGACCCCGCCATTATGTTATACATAGTGCTCAGGCAGCAATGCCCCGGTGCTACCGACGATCAAAGAATAATTGGAAAACAGGTCGGCGATCAAGCCACTGTGCTAAGACCAAAAAAAAAATCAATAATCGTCCCCGCCATATTATACACTATACGATATGACATCCTTCCCCGCAAAAGAATGGTGGTGAGATTCCACCCTACATGTGCACATCCTGCATGCCCTAATTCAAGCAATGCATCGGATCTGCATGACAAAACATTAATTCGGATGTTCCTTTTGTGTATAATAGATGCCCCGTTGACGACGATACAACTAAAAACACTAGGCGGTATTGGAAACTTCTACTGTGTAACATTATATCCTTAACCCTTTTGCACTCGACTTGAGTCTTTGAAACAGTTTCCCTTTCTTTTCCTTTCCTTTCCTTTTGTTGTTAGTAGCCAACAACAACAACAAACAAACATACACAGTGCCAATGTTTATCCCGAGCTTCAACGCACGGCGGTCGACACCAGTCCTGCTATTCCTATTCTCCGTGGCGCTTATATTAATATTATTATCCTTTTATTATTTCGCTGTCCCGACCGGGTTACTCGAAGTCTGGAATGACTACCAGGAACCACAACGCCATTTCAACACGGATGACCCAGTTAGCGCATGCTTTGTCATTTTGGTCCGGAATAGTGAGCTGGACGGAATCAAGTCATCGATCGATCAAATGGAAAAGACATTCAACCACAAGTACAATTACCCATACGTGTTCTTGAATGACGACGACTTTTCGGCCGAGTTTATCGAAAATACCAAAAGCTTGGGCACAGCTGAAAAGTTCTATGGAAAGCTCGACGAGCAAATGTGGGGATACCCAAAGTTCATCAATCAAAGCTTTGCAGCTGAGCGACGAAAGGAGATGGTGGAAACACAGGTTCCGTATGCAGATTCTGAGAGTTACAGACACATGTGCAGGTATGATTATGGTGCTGCAAACCATACGGCATTAAGAATTATGGCACATGCTAGGAAAAGGAGGATCATGGTCAGAGACTTGTTTCCAGTGCTATTTAGACGGATGCTAACTTATGTGTGAGTATAGATTTCAAAGCGGATTCTTCTTTCGACATCCACTCTTGGACAAGTACGACTATTATTGGCGCATCGAGCCAAACGTTGATTTTTTATGTGATATCGACTATGATGTATTTAAATTCATGCGGAATAATGGCAAGAAGTATGGTAAGTTTGTCCGGGTTGGGGATGAGCATGGTAACCTGTTGACAGTGAATAGACGCGGGAGCAATATGACACGCACGGTCTGAAATATACGTTACACAAAACATCAGTACTCTGTCTCACATCAATGTATGGTTTATCATACAAAAAGCATTTACCCTTACATTTGTGGAATTCATGAAAACGATCCCGAGCCTCTGGGACACTGTACTGAACTTTCGACGTGAACATCCTGAGATTGTAAGCCAGTTCCCACCCAAGGAAAAGAGCTTGTGGAAGTTTATTACGGATGATGATGGCGAGTCATACAATTCATGCCATTTCTGGACTAATTTTGAGATCGCCTCATTGGATCTATGGAGATCCAGCGAGTACTTGAAATTTTTTAACTATCTGGATGAATCAGGAGGGTTCTTTTATGAAAGGTACCTTTTTATTTGAGACAGGTAGAAAAGAGACATTACATTATGCTCACATATAGTAACACATCACTACACGTCTATGTAGATGGGGCGATGCTCCAGTCCACTCAATAGCAGCAGCCATGTTGCTACGAAAAGACGAATTCCATTTCTTCCATGACATGGGCTACCGTCATACAGGTACTTTTTCCAAAGCCAAAACAGGGGCTTTATGCTTATATATTACGTTATTGTTATTCTTGCTGAAAAGAATTTTATCATAGACGTATTACATTGTCCTGCCGATGAGCAAGTACTCCAAAAGTGCTCATGCAACCATGACTCTTTTGTTTGGGATGACTACGAAAAAGGCAGTTGTCTCAAGCAATACAATCGTGCATTATTGGATTAGTAGCTGCGGTTTTTCTTGCCAATTCTCTTTAAAACAGCATCATTATTTTATTTATATGTACACACGTACATCAACGCATTTTGTATCATCATCTCCTATAAAAATTGTACTATTTCACCTCACATCTTAGGCTGATGTAATCCTGGTAGTACAAAGCATGTCCTTCTTCACCGAACGTAGTGGCGTTAGAATGCATACATTTAAAAATTGCTTTTATTAAACGTATATTATTAGATCGCTCCTGGCTGACAAATTGCTTTCTGTTTAATATTATACAAAAGCTATAATAGCTGGAAACGACGGTAATAGTAGAAATCTTGGCCACACAACATCAATTTTTGCATTAACTGCAAGTTAATACGCCGATCACCAGCAGGAAGACAGTAGTCACGTGGGATTGGCACACGCTTTCGCTTTTTTGTGCTCCTTTCAAGTTTTATTTTTTTATTCACCTTTCACCTCAACTTTCTATTGCGTTAGCGAATATTCCTTTAGGTTATGTCGCAGGAAGCCACGCGACAATGGGGTGTTACAGCGCCGATTTCACGGGCGGCTTCCTCTGCACATGAGTTAGAGCTGGACGCTGAATTGCTAAGTACCTTACAAAACCTTGGGCTCTTTGAAAACGAACACGATGCACAAGAGCGGTAACGTTGATAGTTACTTTCTCTCTTCTCTCCCTTTTTTTTTCGACATTTTAACGGACAAACACCGAGGCTGATTTGATTTTACTAAATATACTATGCGTTATTAGATTCGCTGTGTTGGAAAAGTTGAACAAACTTGTCAAACAGTTTGTGCTTCGCATCAGCAAGCTGAAGGGAATGCCGGAGTCGTTGGCAAAAGACGCCGGCGGGAAGATCTTTACCTTTGGAAGTTACCATTTGGGAGCTCATACTGCAGGTATTCATGGGATGCGCTTTATTGATTTTCTCCTTCTCCCCCCTTCTAATCTTGACCTTCCTCTCTTTTATTCACACACTTAATAACACGAAAAGATGCGGACCTTGACACGCTCTGTGTGGTTCCTAAACATGTTGAAAGAGAATACTTTTTCACGGCCATGTACGATTTATTAAAGGAGCAACCAGAAGTTACTGAGCTGACGGTAATACTTTGAAGAGGGGAAGGAAGGATAGAGAGAACCACTATTTGAATGATGGATCAAAAGAGGGGGGCACATATAAAAAGAGCTCACCATGTGTCAAATTTTATTGATTTCTGAATTCTGTTAGGCAGTCCCTCATGCGTATGTACCTGTGATCAAGATGCATTTCAGCGGAATACCTATTGATTTTGTATGTGCACGGCTTGAGCTTCCTCGCATACCAGACAACCTGGATCTTTCAGACAACAGCCTTTTACGCAATCTCGACGAACGATGTGTACGCGGCTTGAACGGATCACGTGTTGCTGACGAAATATTACGCCTTGTTCCCAATATCCCAGTCTTCCGCACAGCTCTACGTACTGTAAAGTTTTGGGCAAAACGGCGCGCCATCTATTCGAACGTTATGGGATTTCTCGGCGGCGTTGCCTGGGCACTGCTAGTCGCTAGGATATGCCAATTGTATCCTAATGCATGTGCAGCTGCTATCGTCAATCGGTTCTTCCGTATCATGTATCAGTGGAGTTGGCCCCAACCAGTGCTACTCAAGCATACCGAAACGGAACCATTGGAATTTCGAGTGTGGGACCCTGAAGTAAGGAAATAACAAACGGGAAGAGCAGGTGATGTTAGTCGTTAACACATATGTTATGTATCACAATTATAGTTATACCCGGCAGACAGAAGCCATCGGATGCCAATTATCACCCCGGTCTATCCTGCCATGTGTGCGACGCACAATGTAACAGATTCAACAAGGGCAATTATGATAAAGGAATTTAAACGGGGTGCAGATGTTGTGGATAGGATTATGGTCGGCTCTGGTAGCTGGACAGATCTATTCGACAAGAGTGATTTCTTTCATGCTTACAAGCATTATCTGCAAGTGATTGCAAGCTCAAAATCGCCAAGAGCACAGTTGGAGTGGTAAGCTTACACTATCCTTATTGGGATTTTTGAGGAAAAAAAAAGACAAGGGGTGAGATTGTTATGATTGATAAATAACAAAAATTACATGCAGGTCCGGATTGGTGGAATCAAGGATACGACAATTACTTCTCAAGCTGGAGCTGGTCGACATGCTTTTACTGGCCCATCCTTACATTCAAGGGTTCGAGCACATTCATTACTGTCACTCTGAACGAGAGAAGATCGACGTAGCGAAAGGAATATTCGTACCGGAGCGAACATTTGCAGTAGGTGGAAGCAGTTCTGATGTTCGAAGGAAGCAACAACTCGGTAACAATGCAGGCCATGCAAATGGTCAAGTGGATACCATGGAGACTGTATATACGACAACATTTTACATTGGTCTATATGTGGAACCAAAGCCTGGTAAGAACTAGCAACGGTCTGTAGCTTTTTCACATATGTGCTATATACGTAATAGTAATAATAACAAAATGAGTAGATCGATCTCAGGGCCCACGAAAATTAAATTTAATTTGGCCAACACAAGAATTTATCAAGCTTGTCAAAAGCTGGGAAAAGTTTGATGAATCATCGATGGAGATCGTGGTGAAAAACTTGAGAAGGTGGGTTGCAACGTAATTGGAAAAGAAACGAGCAAGAGGATCAATGCTCCAAAGTAAAGCAGTCGATGTTAACCTGGTGTTTTACTGTTACCAATAGCACTATGCTACCTTCAGAGCTTTCGAACGAGGAGAGGCAATTGAAGCTTGCACGAAACAGGGCACTTGGATCTCCAAAGAATCATGACGTCGTGTCTCCCTTGACCACGGAGTAGCAAGGCCGGATGTGTCTCATCTATTGCCACAAATTGATAGAAAAACGCGCACAGAAAAAAAAAGAGTTTCGTACATATGGTGGAGTGGGGTAGCTACAGCAAACAGCAATCTAGTGAACGGCAGCTACTACACCACCACCACAGTAAACGAAACGATATAGTATTTAAAACATAGCATTTACTGTTGTATTATACTCTTCATCATCCTATACATTTTTCTACTAATAATGTAAATAATCTTGCTATTCTTGCTAGAAAAAAAAAGATATACATACTTTCTCACTCTTAAAATTCACTCTTTGATATTACCTTGTCTTGATTGCACTGGTGTGCGCTCCTCGTTATCTCTTATGATCTGTTTCTTTTTTAGCGAGCCAAAATAAAATAGCGTCTTCCTCTTCCACATCCCAAAATATAAAAGCATATGCACGTACAGACGTGGTATAGCATGATGACGGTAGTGTGAAGCAATCACATGTGTTTCATTTTATCTGTATTGTCAAAAAAAGAACTCGGTTTGATCGTGTTACTTGACATTTCAACACCGGGACCTGCGTGTGGGGTAGCACAAGCTCGAATACATTTTTTAAGAGAATAATTTTTCAACCCTTATTTTAAGCTGGCTTGTGGAGCATAATGGATTCAGATTTCGAACAACTTGCCTCAGCAAAAGGCGTTTCATCAGAACTGTTTCTATGGACCGGTACGCTGATCGTCCTTCAAGAAATGCACTTTTTAACATACTTCGATTGACCTCAAAACAGCTGTAGAGCTCATCAACGGTACCAACTTTGTGCATCCGTTATACGATGACGGCAGAACGAATCAGTCTGAATTAGCCCAGTGTGCGCTAAGGTATCTTCGAACTAGAGCCGCCAAGGTATGGACAGAAAGGGAAAGCAAGAAATCTATACATATATTCATATGCAGACAAGGTGTGAAGCTGGGGTTGGGGGAAAACAACGGCAATAACAAGCAAGCAAGTCTTTTACTGAGTATCTGCAACGCTTATTTTAGGGCGACGTTGAAGCAAAGATCAAACTCAGTACGGTTCTTTTAAACACTACTGCGCTCCACCAGGATAGTCGGGAGGCAGAAATATGGGCGAGAAGTGTCTTTGATCGACGATTATCATCCGCGCTGGCGAATTACATTGAAGGAGTGGAAGACGATCTTTTCGACACAGTTCTCAAACGAGCGGAAGAGGGATCGCCAGCCATGTGTCATCTTGTAGGCCTTGTTCTCTTGGATGGTGTAGGCTTGCCACGAGATGTTGAGCAAGGTGTAGCGTATTTGAAGAAAGCTGCATCCGCAGGACACAACGGAGCTCGTGTGGAGCTGGCGTCGATTCTTGGGGATGCGTTCAAGTATCCCGGAGTTCATGATATCCAAGAGAGTCTATCCTTGTACGAAGAAGCAGCGAGCGACCAAGTCGAGGAAAATAATCTGCGACGTTTAACAGCATCCGATGCTCGAGCTCTCACGGACCTTGCACGGCTACATTATGAAGGTAATGAAGAGGGTGGTGTGCCGCGCGACCGCGAGAAGGCCTATCGCTATGCACGACGGGTCGCCGAGGCAACGGGTGAACAGTACTGCCAGTATATCGTTGGAGACATTTTGCTGCACGACAAAAAGGATGCTCGGCAGGCAATATTCTGGCTGACTCAATCAGGTGAACAAGGATTCCCGCTTGCTATCGAAACGCTGTCACGGGTATACTATGGTGGTCTTCCAAACGCCCGTATCAAGCGAGACTTTGAACAAGCGCACGAATGGTGTCTGAAAGGTGACGATATATGGCCCTCTGGATTGGGATTCTGCCAAACGTGCTTGGGAGATATGTATCGTTCCGGGTTAGGTGTACCCAAAGACCTTATGCGATCATTTGAATACTATCAGAAGGCTGCCAGTCAACAAGATGCCCCACAAAACTATGCGCGATTCATGCTAGGTGAAATGTAAATAGCAAAGAAATAATGGGATTTACAGTTAGAACTGCCATGTAGAAGGAAAAAGATTACTAAGATTACTATGAAACAGGTTCTTCAAAGGTGAAGGATGGCCTCAAAACTCTGCGGTAGCTTCAGAATACTACAAACTGGCAGCAGCAGAAGATTACCAGCCTGCAAAAGAACGGCTGGATCAACTAGCAGCATTGGAAGGACAGAAGAAGGCAGCAAAGGCTGCGAGCGAGGCTGCAGCACGACGGAAACCATGGCAATTCTGGTCCATATTTGGAGGCGGCAGACGAAAACCTGCAGCAACAGTTTAACCTGTCTTTTACTTTCCTTCTTTACCTTGACACATCATATCCGCACTTTTGATTATAGATTATTTTACCTTTCTCATTATCCTTTTGCCCCTCCATGCGCATTTGCAAACTACCGCGCACCATAGCATTTACTTAATAACAGCGCCAGATAATAATATGATACTACCATGATACCCCATCCTCCTTCATATTGGTCATACATCAGAACATAAATTACCCCAAAAAATATGTATTATAAGAGCTCCATTATTACTACTATCGATCTCCTGAATCTTGAAGCGCAAGACATAGTAATAAGATGCTAAGCAGATTACATAATACGTTGCACTGCTGCTTCTGATCCTAACATATAGGTACATGCAAAGATAGTTGCCACTTTTGAAGGCGTCCACTGATTGCTTACAAATGTGCATTGGTGTCTGTTTCTACCCCACAAGGAGTGTCACCTATGTACTGCCTGGTTAGGAAAAAGGTAGTGAATATGTATTAGGTTTGCCATTATATTGACTTGGAAGTCTTGTCATTGCTGTTACGTAAACGAAACAATCGTTTTTTGGCCTGCTAACTTATAGGTCATACAACAGGAAAGTACATAGTGGATCATGAGTACCCTTGTCAGACAAGCACATACCCATATACATATACTCCTGATATGTTGTACTAATTGTCGACCTAAAAGCAACTTTCTACAAGTCGTGCTATGAATATCTACTCACGGTTGCCAGATCTCGCGCTGAATTGTCGACATGCTGTACACTAAATTTAACAAAGAACACCGGTCAAGGATGCCTTTTTATCAGAATACTAATATATTCATGCCAAGCTTATGAATCATCACCAATCTGTAACTACAGGCGATGATAGCGCTGTTATCTCTCCAGTCTCTACAGGCCTTGGAAAAATCCATGGCTAATAATAATAGTCATGACAACGGCACTTGAGAAACAAGCGTGTGTGGTGCCTATAATCAACAATATCAGCGCTCTTGCTCCGCACCTCGTTCTTACACCGTAATTGGATTCTGCCACTACAGAACCCGCAGGCCAGTCTCCGAGGAAAAAAAAATCTTTTTTTTTTTTTGGGACCATAACTTAGTGCCGGCCATGACCAAACCGTTCAACTTCCACCCAAAAAATAATCATAAACGCCAGTACAAACCAAACCTCGATCGCAACCGGATACAAAAGAACGATCGACAAAGCAGTACATACAATCATAATAAACCGAATTCCGATTCTTACCGTCGCAACAACTATAACAACAACAACAACAACAACAATAACAATAAAAATAATTACATTCACAGAAAAGCACCACAATCGAAGCACCAAGTGAATGATCGCGGCCGATCCCAGCCCAACAATCAAGTTTCCCAAGTCAAATTACCGTTGTTCGATAAGAATCGGCTGCAGCAACGGTGGGTATCGGGACAACGAGTGGGTCCTGGTCTCATAAACGGCCAAAACACATGTTTCTTAAATTCGGTCTTGCAGTGTTTGACGTACACGCCACCGCTTGCACAGCACCTACTATCATCCAACCATAAAAAGCAATGTAAGCAGAGACAAAGGTTTCCCTCTCTCTCTCTCTCTCTGTGTGTGTGTGTGTGTGTGTGAAAGTGATATAGCATACACACATCAAAGCAGCGATATTGATAGATCGAAATGGTATTGTTATGTCCCTTATAAAGGCAAGATGGCAGGCTATTGTGCTCTTTGTGCCATGGAAACCCACGTCTACCGAGTTTTCAAAGAGGCTAAAGGCGGCGTGCGTGGGGCAGCAATATTACCAAAGTACTTTACTGCCAACCTTCAAGGTATATGTTTCTTCTGTACCGGATAAGGATAGGAGCGGGTAAAGTAGTTTACTCAACATCATGGTGTAGCTCTCTCTCGAACACTCAGACTGCGTCGACAGGAAGATTCGCACGAATTTTTAATGTTTTTGTTTACTGCATTCCAAAAATCGTTACTGAATGGATTAGGGTAAGTGAGGGGTGTATAAAAGGGTTGCCCTGGTAGAGCATAAGCTAATGTTTGAGGATTGACGATTAATATATTACCAGCAAAGTGAGTCCCAAGGTGGAGGAATCAACTATGCTACATGGCATCTTTGGAGGTCGTGTCCAATCCCAAGTCCGCTGTCACAGCTGTCAAGCAAAATCCAATACATACGAAGCATTTCTTGATCTAAGTGTCGACATCCATCGCGCATCGTCTTTGGATAAGGCATTAAGCAATTTCGTAAAGGCGGATCTGATTGGTGGCCGGGATCCAGATAGCAAATACAATTGTGAAAGGTTCGTTCTTGTGTGAGATGTTGATGTTTCTGGTATTGAATGACTTTATTAAATCAGTGTTTCTCTTTTCCCTTCTCGCCTATGCATATATCAGTTGCAACCAGAAAGTCAATGCTGGCAAGCAAGTGACTATACGCGATCTACCAATGATGCTGGCCGTTCATTTGAAGCGGTTCACTTTTGATTTGCAACGTGGATATATGCGAAAAGTTTCGGATCGGATACAATATCCGGAAGTGCTTGACATGGCACCGTACGTCAGTGCTGAGGAGAGGAAAAAGATCCAAGGCAAATCGAAATATCGATTGTATGGTGTATTAGTGCATTTGGGTGGCAGTTGCAACTCTGGACATTACTACGCTTATGTAAAGAATTCGGATGGACAGTGGTACCAGATGGATGATGAAATGGTAAGCTCACTTTGTTTTCATTTCATACTTTATATGAAGCGTGAGATGTCCTTACCATGTACTCTGTATGCAGGTCGAAAAAGCTTCGTTGAAGGAAGTTCTTTCCCAGCAGGCGTATATGCTTTTCTATGCGCGAGAATCGGTCTCTTCATCTCCATCACCGAACAACTCAAAAAATGTCCAAGACAGCACGAAGCAAGCCAGTTCAGCAGAAAAACTTGAACAGGTGTTGCCGAAGAAGAAGGATGTGGAAGAACCAACCCAAACGCTGGAGGGCAGCGTCCTAGGAAAGCGAAAAGACAGCGACGATTCAAGGGATTCATCGTCCGACTCATCACCCATTAAACATACCAAGAAAACGGCAAGCAGCAACAAGGACGATGACGATGATATGGTATGTGACCGTCATCAATCTTGGTATGTACGGTCAACGGATCTGCCTTTCAGATCGCTTCGCGGAAATTTGTCTCCGCCCACCTTCAGTGCCGCAATCAGTGATCCAAGTGCTTGGACTGTTCGATCTGCTGGTAATGACCTAGTAGCCAAGCAGGATGAGCAGGAGAACCCGAATAAAACGACTATTGGCACCAAATACCAGAGGAGGCTTGTTCCATGGACTGTTTCGGACGGTCGGTAAAGTTTACCCTTGGATTCCTCACCCTCGAACATTGCACTCCATCTATCATTCATCGTGATGTACATATGCATTCTCCCGCATCTCCCCTTGCCAAGTCGTTAATCATTCTATCTTTGTTCATTTGTCTCCAATCCCTTCTTCTTAACGAATTCGCTTTCCACTCATTCAAAGTAGTTCTATTATCTATTTCATAGATCAAAATTAAAAACGTATTCTCAAACGTTCTGGACTTTTTTCCATTTTGCCCTTCATAATTGCTATTACAGTGCATACACACCATCACCGTTTTTGGGAGATCCACCAAAATTGCCGCTCACCGGGATCGTCGCCGAAATTAAGATTTTGATCCCGAAAATCGACATTTTGACATGTAACGCCATTCTTCCGGGCTCGTGTAACTATGTACAGTACACCCAACGCCATTTTCACCACAGTACAATGTCATTCGATGATGACTTGTATAGATTTAAATGTCCATCAACGTAAGTAACTTGCATATAAAAAGTTTCACCACTTAATCAATCCTTGTAGCAATTTATATGAGACAAATTTAACACGAGAAAAGAAGGTAATGGGTGGAGCAGCAACTGTACCTACATCGCGTCGCGCAAATAACCCCCCGGATTTGGTGAGGAAAAATGAAAGTAGTCAACAGGATGAGCTAACTAACGTTATCTGACTGACCAAAGAGGGAATTATTGCCCGACCACAGTACCGGGAACAAACGAAGTAAAAATGAGCATCCACAAATTTACCCGAAGATCGAGAAGAAACACAGACGTCTTAAGTGTTTGATATCAATCTATTCTATTAAATCTAATTTTTCACACCTTTTCTCAAGATTATGAAACTCTGCAAATGACAATTACGTTCTTCAAAGCCGCCTTCATTGAGAAAAAGATCTTTCATCTTATTGAACTTCAATCTCGACCAGTTTATCGAGGAAGCAAAATACACAAGAGGTACAATGAGAGTAATTGATCGATTGCGCAAGTAATCATATGACGTTTTTATGGTGCTGCATGCTTCTATCCGTCTTTTACGTGTTTAGTATTGTTGTACCTGAACGTCGGTATGAGTTGAAAATGAAATTGACATTTTTCCGCGACTTTGTACTTTCCATCGAAATTTTATTCACTTAAACATGAAACACACTAGAAACTCTCATTAGACGAACAGTCGGCATCAAATTTTTCTCTTAGCCTCCTTATACACCTGAGAAGTATATAATGCACAAATAGGTGTACACAAGTACTCTGATGTTTAGACTACAGTCGACTTGATTCACGATAGATCACGATGGTTTCCAAAAGCGGTAGAACGATCCCTGCGTGTTTGGTGTTTTCTTTCAAGTGTTACAAACAGGATTTAAGAGCAGATGATCTGTAGCACATGAATCCGTTTTAAGTCCACACATTCGGATTACTATGCTTTGTTGTTATCAGATCGAAAAAGTCTTTTATATTTTCAATCTCCTTTCCATTGCTAATAAGTATCATACTACATAGCAATGGTTACGTATAAATACTTGAGCTACATACTACCGCAACCAGCTGCATCGAGCTCTTTACTCCCCTCTGTTCTTCATATCATTCTATTAGCCGAACATGATCGACTCAGATCGAACTTTGCCCGGCGTTAAGAAGATTGAGCTAATTCAGCTCTTGCGTAGTCGATGGGATCTCGCTATAATGTTTGGCGGGTATGTACGTAGTAACCTTGTATCAAGGTCCTTCCGTAAATCCGCACGTATATTTAGCTTTGCTTATATATTTCTTTTTACTTGTCCAGTTTACTGCTAATGAATTTCGGTAGCGGTTGGGAAGGCTACACTACAAATTCCGCAACAACAACGGTGGCTTCCGTATTTAATTCGATGAATCTCGTCAGTGTCATCAGCGTTACAACCTCAATTATACGGGTGGTGCTGTTTCCGGTCTTTTCAAGACTGTCAGATCTTTTGGGAAGAACCGAAGTTTACTCGTTCTCGGCTGTGTTCCATATTGTTTCGTTTGTTATTCTCGCTCTAGCGCAAAACTTTGATACGATTGTGGTAGAGTAAAACTATTCTTGAGGTTTCATACATCATACACAACATGAATACACACGTCAATTATTAACTAGATGTCTATTGAAACTACAATTACGTATATAGGGAGGCAGAGTTATTAGCTCGATTGGTGATGTTGGCCTTCGTATCATGGGCTTCGCACTTATTGGAGGTTTGTCATAGTAAAAAGCGCAGTTAGCGAAATATCACATAAATCTTATATACATACATACATTTGCAAATGCCGTACATAATTATTCACGTAGACATGACTAGCAAGCTCAATCGAGGTTTATTTCACGGTCTTTACCAAGTCCCATTATTAATCAATTTCTTCGTGCCACCGCTTGTGGTCGAGGAATTGGTCAAAAAGCAAAACAACTGGCGCTGGGCATATGGTCATCTTCCTTTTGTCCTACTTGTCTGTGAAATACCATTTATGGTAATTGCATGGAAACTGCAAATGAGAATGCGCAAGCATTCCATGTGGTTGGAATACAAGCAAGAACGACGGGAACACGAAGGTCAACGTCCCAGCATTTTTGAATTTGTAAAGAAATGCTTGGTGCTTATCGATATTGTTGGTTGTACTCTCCTTGTTGGTGCACTTGCTATGACACTATTACCTTTCAATCTCTCCAAATCAGTTTGGGGTGGATGGGCTACTGGTATGTAAGAAATGAAAAAAAAAAGTATTTCTGAAACCATCATCTTAATTCTTCTACAATTTTACAAGCAAAGACTTTGGGCACATTGTGCGGTGGTGTTGGCGCATGGATTCTGTTTGCGGTTTGGGAATTAAAGTTCGCCTCTCAACCTTTGATCCCAAGTAACCGTTGGCCAAATCGAACTCCTCTGTATGGTGCAATTGCTGCTGCCATTATCACGCTCGTTTCATCGCTCAACTGGACATACTTTTTCTCGTTTATCCAAGTAACACGTAGAGCCAGTATTACTCGTGCGACCTATATTCGGAATGGCTATCGTGTAGCCTATACCATTACCCAGCCTATTGTTGGTTTCTTAATGATGAAAACCAAGGTATATACATACACAAGTTACTAGCGTAAATGCCAATAATCAACTGATACGCAAAATACTAATAATAAATTAAAAAAGGTCTGGCGTCCGTTTGTATGGGGTGGTATGGCCTTGTTTATTCTCGGTGTAGGGTTGATGATTCCAGCAAGACAGCCTGACCAGCCTGATGGCTTCATGGTGATGACTCAAGTTATTTCGGGTACGCAGAAAGCATAACGTTATTATATATTGCCATTATTCTACAATAATTCTCTCAGTTTGCTAATTTTTACTACCGCCAGGTATAGGTGCAGGTGCAATCGATATTCCAATTATAGTCGCTTTACAATCTGCTGTGCCTCATAACGGTTAGTTCTAAAAACCTGCAAAGAAGTATGTGCTTTATATTACGTGTGAATACTCGGACTTACATATTTGCACTTGTAACGGTACTTTATGTTAGATCTTGCTATGGTCACCGCTCTTTTCCAAGGTATCTATTTCATGTTTTCACTTCTTTATTTTATTGTTATATGATTCGCAATATACACTTTGACATAATATCCAATAACCAACACTATTTAACTACATGTAGCGTTGGGCACAATCGGCGGAGCTGTTGGTTCTACAATTTCGGGTGCTGTCTGGAATAATATTCTTCCTGACGAGCTTTCAAAGCACGTCCCTGGTGAATTCGATCTTCAGAAAGCAGCTGGTAGCTACTTGTACGTCTTCGAGATGCCTGAGGATCAGTACACTGGTGCTGTTGTTGCGTATGGAAACGCACAAAAAATTCTTTCCATCGTCGCTGTCTGTCTGACCATCTTTGCGTTTGCGTTTACTCTGCCTATGAAAAGCTTCGGTTTGGATGAAGCCATTGATCGCCATTTCCACAGAAACCAGGATACTGCCGATGGTTTGTATTTTTATAGCTGTCGAGATTTATGCGTACACGTCTATGATTACTCATATCTAAGCGCGTATATAGGCGAGAACAATATTGATGATGTCAAATACCAGGACACAGTGGATGAAAGATGTCAAAATGAAACCAACAAGGGTGATATCCGACAAGACATTTACAAGACGGGTTCACATACTGAGGTGCCCAATGAACAGCGTGCCGTAGTGACTTCTGAAAAGATTTAACCAGTTTCCTGTCTGCTGGCGGGTCTTTTTTTTTTGTACAAAAGTATTATTATCGTTGTTTACATAGTTATAACATAGATAAAAACCCTACAACCAAAGCTATAATTTATATATATCACATATCCAAGCTTAAACGGTTTATGTATGTATATTAATTGATGTATCTATCAACATAGTAGAATTTACATCAATATAAAAGGAGTAGCAGCCTTTTGAAAAAGTGCAAAAACTGGAATGGTGGTAGCGTAAAAATTATATGGATATGTCTTCTTCAACGCACTGGTCCCTAGAATTGAACATTGAAACTTCTTGTGGCTTGTATAACATCTAATGCAAATATTAAGGTCGAACAAATAAAAGTAGTATGTTGGGCACAGCAGCTGATATGATACGTTAAGTCATTGTACATATCAGGCATACAATGTATTTCTTAGGTATAAGAGACTCTAGCAACATACATTGAAATTGCTTGCGTCTACGTAAAGAGCTGATACATTTAGACGAGGTAAAGTTGTGCGTACTTGTAAGGCACAAAGACCTCGAAAGTTGCTTGTCAGTAATCACGCCAAGGCTCGCATTGGAGCGGGTACCTGTGTTCTTGCAGTACTCTGTCAATCAATCATTTATCCAATTTTCTGCACTGTTGTACGTGCATACGGCCGTACTTGAAGGGGGCATCATATGATCGATGATAATTTTCCGACTATAAATGGTTATGCTTCTGCCGTACTATAAAATAAAGTAATGCATTGCTATCATTATCTTCATCTGCTATCATCAGTAAAGTGAGCCAATAATAATCATCCGATTACATATGCAACAGTACTCTGTGTACATCTTGTGCCACACGGCTATTTTCTATCCAACCATCACGCTCTCACGCCAATACATTTGTGTTTGCTTATGTATATGACTGACTTTTAGTACACTAATTTGATTTATGAATTTCTTTTTGCTTGGGGGCTTTTAAGTTATGAATGATTGATGTTGGGAGGGGCAGAAAACCTGGCATGACATGAAATAGTAGAATTAACATAAACGTGACCACTACACATATGTTAAAACAGTAGACAGCTTTTTTATCATTTTTTTCTAGAGAGTGTGTCAGTGAAGAGAAAAAATCGAATCTGTTTGATAAACAAACTAATGTATTGTTTTCGGGTCGAAGTGATATATACTACATATGTACATAGTACCACCTTATTGTTATACATGCTAGCTACTGGATGACGCTGTTCCTCAATCACGGTGGTTCTAAATGAAATCTTCTAGTTCATTGTTAAAGCTTAAATTATGCAAAAAGAGTTGCTTTTTGAAAGAAGTGAAGAGTAGTTTAACTGTTTACATTTTTAAAATGCTTATGCGTCAAGACAATAGTGTTGCGCGCAATATTGCCGAATACGTAACCGTTTTCAAACAGTTCCATAGGGCAATAACGTAACGGTGCGCACCGTGCGCATGTGACACTCTAAAGTGCTGTTGTTTGTTGCGCCATAGTACCACTCTAAAGGTGGGCAAGAACACGTGCATCTGTGCATTTAGTATTTGGAAACATTCGTTGCCGCATTCAGTTTAGTGCATTCTCTATATGAAGCCGGTCGATCATCAGTACTAATGAACTTGGGTGATTCGGATATGGCTATACTCTGCACAAAGAACAGTGACCATTCCTTCAGCTCTTTATAGTTAATATCACGTTACAACATATATAAAAAGCTGGTGAGAACTGCTTGTTGCAATGACGCATGCACCCTGACTTTTGAGTTACCTTCTTATTTTTTGTTGGGTTGTTGACAAAACCGACGCGTTCGCTTAATTTTTCTATCTTTTGCACCTCTTTTTCTTTTTCTAAATGAATACACCACCCGCAGCTGCATACCAGATTCTTGACATCCGTGCTCCTATTTCCACGGAAGCATTAAAACTACCCGCGCACCAAGAGTACCCTGGCCCTAGCAACGATGAAGACATTCGCAAGAAGCCCCCCACGCCTCCAGCATCGACTGACCATTCATTAGATGCTTTCAACGGTGACGACCTTGTAGACACTATTTTAGAATCCCTGGATAAACCGGCCGGGAGCAAGTCCATTCCAACCTTTGTTCTGTACGACACGCGTGGATTGCAACTATTTGATGAAATTACACATTTAGACGACTATTATCTCACGAATGCAGAAATGGGGATATTAAAAGAGCGGGCTGATCAGCTTGCAGCCCGATTACACGATGGCAGTGTGATTATTGAACTTGGGGCAGGGTATGCATTCTGTAGATACACTATGCGTAATGGCGCTTAAATTTGCATTAAATCACATAAGCTCACGATGATGAAACTGTTTTTTCTTATTCCAACTCCAGATCACTCCGCAAAACGTCATTGATTCTCGAAGCTATCGAGCGACAAAAGCTCAAAGTTACCTACTATGCCCTGGACCTGGACCAACATGAGCTGGAACGGTCGTTAGGCTCTCTTGGCGACTTCACTTATGTTCGCCTCATGGGTCTACTAGGAACATACGATCAAGGTATTCCATGGTTGAGCCAACAATTTGCTTCTGCCGATCCTCCTATACACAAAATGATCCTTTGGTTGGGAAGCTCTATTGGCAACCAAAACAGACGCGAGTCAGCCATGTTTCTCCACCGCCTCCAACAAATGTGTCTGCAACCCGGAGATTTCCTCTTGGTTGGCTTGGACAAGCGCAAGGATCCAGCCAAAATCAAAACTGCCTACGACGACTCACTTGGCACTACCAGGGAATTTATCATGAACGGTCTGGACCACATCAATGTCATTTTGAGTCAAACACTCTTTGACCGTTCCAAGTTTGATTACGACTCTCGCTACCAGTCGGATCTTGGTCGACACGTCGCACATTACAGGGCGCGTGAGAATATCGTGCTGACCTATCAGCGTCGCGCAGGCGATCAGCTGCGCATTCCAGTAGAAAAAGATGAGCTCATTCATGTCGAATACTCGTACAAATATTCGGACGAGGAAATTACCCATATGCTAAGCGCTGCACAGTTGGACAAAGCCGAAGATTGGTCAAACAAGGAAACACCGTATGTGTTAGTCTTAGCCGAGTGTCGAGCGTTCAAGTTCGATTGCGACAGGTCGGGTGCCCGCGAGACGCTCTATCCCACACGCACCGCAAAGCGCACTGAGCAGGATGCCAACTGCGTGTCCTGCATGGCTGATTACACTACAGAATATTTTCATGCAGACAAGGAGGGAAGCTCAGCAAGCCTGGCACATATCGTTGGAAGCGCGCACTGGCCGGAGTATGTGCCTTCGCTCCATGAATGGCAGCAGCTCTGGCGATCCTGGGATACCGTCACCAACACCATGATGGATCAACAAACTATGTTATTTGAACGTCCAATTGCCTTACGCCACCCGTTCATTTTCTATCTTGGACATATTCCGGTATTTCTCGACATGCTGCTTACGCGAAGTAATGTGGACGGAGCAAGTTATACCGAGCCGACAAACTTCTTGAAAATTTTCGAACGCGGTATTGACCCCGATATGGAAGATCCTACGCGGTGCAACCCACATTCGAAGGTGCCAACACGGGATGAAGATTGGCCGTCCAGCCAATCCATCTTGCTATATCAGCAGAAGGTCCGCAATCGCCTCCAAAGCTTGCTGCTCGAATGGGAGGCCGAAGACTACAGCGCATCGAAAAGGCAACAGCGCAGACGCGCAGCGCGTGTGGTGTGGATGTGCTTTGAGCATGAGGCAATGCACCTCGAAACGCTCCTGTATATGCTTATTCAGAGCCCCAATATCCTTCCACCAGCAAGCGTGGCCACAGTTCCTTGGAAAATGGCAGCAAAATCAGAGCTTTATGCTTCAGCACGCAAGTCTCAACCGAGATGTCTCGATGCAGCACCACTCATTTCTGTACCTGAAGCAGATGTCACTATAGGCCATGACGACGACGAGGACGCCGATTTCAATGCTTCAGACGAGCCTGTCGAGTTTGGATGGGATAACGAACATCCGAAACGTCAGGCACACGTTGACGCGTTTTCCATCCAAAGCAGACCGGTGACTAATGGCGAATATCTTGCATTTCTAAAGGAAATCAGCAGCGACGACTGGCCAGTATCGTGGGTACGCATGGATGATGGTGGTATCGGCGTGCGTACGTCGTTCGGCACGTGTTCCTTTGACGATTCGATCAACTGGCCTGTTCAGGTCAACTATTACCAAGGTAGCAAGTACGCTGAGCATCGTCGTATGCGTTTGCCGACAGAAGCAGAAATGCTACGCTTTAGAGAGTGTATGAGCAACAGCAGCAACAAGAAGATACCAAACATTGGGTTCCAGCAGTGGCATCCGACAGACGTGTCCAATGACCAAGTGCATACGCTAGGCGACGTTTGGGAGTGGACAGCAACGACCCTGGACCGCTATCCTGGATTTAAGCCGTCCAAATTGTATCCTGGTTTTTCGGCCGACTTTTTTGATGGCAAGCATCATGTTGTCCTCGGTGGTAGCTGGGCAACTCATCCTCGCATTGCTGAGCGCTGGTCTGTTAGAAACTGGTATCAAGCTGGTTACCCTTACGTCTTCGCCGGATTCCGCTGCTGCTCTAATGTGTAGACAGTCTTCTCTTTTTTTTCCTGCTTTTTTTATGAATCAGATGCGTTTTTATTTTTGAGATGTTGTTTTAGTTCTAAGCTTCCAATAAGCTGTTCAAGATAGTTTGTGTTTCCGCAACCTACACATATAAGTTTTTTCTTTCAGTCAGTACAAACCGTATACAATAAACGGATGACTTTAAGCTATTGTCACTTTGCTACATTACCTCTAATACTTGTTGAATTTCCAAGTGGCGTCGAGCAGCTAGGATCCAGTCTTGTGCCAATCGCTTCGGCCAACCCTTCAATTGGTTAAGTTCACGCGCTGCGTCTTCCAGGTCGCCGTTCTTCAAGTGATAGCCTGATCGTGCAAGGATAGCCTCGACATCACCGCCTTCGACCAAACCCTCCTTCCGGAACATCAAGTGTGCCAAGATCATACTAATGATATGTGATCCAAAGCCACCATCCTCAGGCACGAGAGCAACGCGTCGGACTTCGTCTGCAACAATTTCAAAGCGTGTTGTCAAGTCGCCCATGGACTCGACACCTTCCTCAGCAACTTCGCGGGGGATAGATGACAGGACAACCTGGAGTAGTTCATTATATTTGGCGCTGTTCTTGAATGCCTCGAGTTCGTCGACGAAGGATGCCTTGTGTACGCGAGTAATGACGTCGTGAAGCGCGCCAAACGTGACACGCATCAAGTGGGACTGCCGTGATCTGTCCAAGTTGGCGGCATTATCGAGAGATTGCTTTTCAAGAGCAGTGAATCGAGCGTTGATCAATTCGAGTTTGCCTAAGCGGCTAGCGCGTTCCTTTTCAACAAGGTACTTGACTTCGCGAATAAATCGTCGCTTCATTTCTTCGCTCTGTTGCAAAAGAGCCTGGGAACGTTCAGAGTCTAATTGAGTTTTTTGTGAATCGAGTTCCTTGGCCAACAAGGTAGCGAACGTTTTCTTCATTTCGGTGCGAGCCTCCTCGAACTCTTTGACAAGCTCGGTCTGCTTGGCACCAACACGACGAGCAGTTTCGACGTGTGACGATTGAAGGACATCTGCAGCTTCGTTTCGGTATTTTTCCAAGCCGGCTTCCACCTGCTTGCTCTTTTGCTGCAACAGCACCAACGAGTTGAGGACGGCAGCCTGTTCCGTATCCAACTCGCTGTAACGTTTGCTGAGTGCTTCAAGCTGATCCTCAGCTTCCTTCATAACCTCTCGACCCTTGCTAGACATGCCCGTATCGTTCAAGATCGTAGCAAGCTCGTTAAGCAGCGTCGACAGTTCGCGGACAACCGTATTGTTGGTCTTGATGCTCTTCAAGACAATGGGTGCAGGCTTTTCAATAGCAGCCTCGACAACAGGTGTCGAGTCTTTTTTGTCGGTAGAAACGCTGGCTTTACCCGACTGAATTTCGACCTTTTTCTTAGGTGCCTCTTCTTTAACCTTTACTTCTTCAATGGCACTGACAGGTGATGATGTCTGCAGTTTAGGTGTTTCCTTTTGACCGGCCAATTTCTGATATGTGTCGTTGGCGTAATCGTATGCACCCATAGCAGCGTCGCGAGCTTGGTTGCTGTACTCTTGTGCTTTAGCGCCATATCCTTCGGCTTGTTGTTTCCAGGTCGTGGCTTGCTTTTGGTAGTTCGTAAGCTCTTCGTTTATTTTGAGATCTTCAAAAAACTCGACAGATTCCTTGCCACCAGGAACGTATGAAACGAATGTGTCGCGGAATGCTTTGTCAGTCGTAGCATAGTAGACAGCGCCTCCGTATGTAGCTGCACCGACGACTGTGACGCCAACTAACTTGCCACCAATGGAGCCCTTGCGAACTTCAGTAGTATTGGAGGTTGTGCTGGCATGTCGCTGGAACAAGCACAATAAAACAAATTAATTGCCAAACTTTTCAATAGAAAATGGACAGAATTTAACTTGTTTAAGTCTAAGAACCATCACATTTCGAAGCAATTGTACCTTTGCGGCTGCGAATGCTCGGTTGACAGAGCCCTTGTACAGCCTTGAGGCTCTCAGCATTTTACTGTTAGGGTTAAGGGTTATGAAGGAAAGACGCGAGCTGATATTACTCCCCCGGCTTGTGGTCTTGTTTGGGTCTCAGCAGAAAAAATTGGCTGGGTTGCCCTTTTCAGCCAATGGTAGCGAACTAAAAGGTTGCCATTGCAATTTATATATAAAAGTTATGGATTTTTTAAAATATCAACAAAGCTCATTGGAAACCAACAGGCTTTTCTTTCGTAGCATCATTTTCCTTTGCAAATGACATCACTTTGTAGATTCTTCCCATCATAGCAGGGTCAAGCAAACGTTGGAAACCTTTGACGAGACTTGTCCGGCTTTCTGATGTCTTAGCGTTCTTCAAAAGCATCTCCAGTCGCGTTTGGATGCCCAGTGATTGTAAAAATTTGGATTGGGTTACTGGGCCATGCGTTGTGATATCTGTTAAACAATCATTAGTAAGCAGCGCTGTATCATTCTGATGAAAAACGAGGGCATCCACTCATCGCTATCAAGCTTACCAGGATATTTGCTGCCCATAGCAAGCTTCAAAGCAGCGAAATCTACATCAACACTTAAATCGGCACTGCCTGGATCGCTCATAGGATGGACGATTTGGTGCTTCTTGATAGCCTACGATTCAACCTCGGTAGTTAGCTCACTCCACTGAGAGAAACTGTAAATCAACCAATCCATTTCCTACATACTCTGAGTGTGTCGCCTTGGGCATAGTCTTGACCGTAATCGATAACTAAACCAGTGCCTCCTCCTCTGCTTATCAAGTCAGCCAGGCTCTGGCTCGTATACCAAGAGTCAGGAGAGAGCTCAACTCGATCTCCAACCTTATATTCTGCATACAGCGTGTTTTCATCCATGAATGCTTTGCTTGCTGTAGTTGGGTTAGGTGCCAGCACTATCCGGAAATTATGCTCTCTACAATCCAAATTAGATGGTGCCATTTCTTCGTGATTTGAAAAGAGCCTTACGTTTCATCTGTATCATCAAAATCGACCAATAGTTCCCTCCACCCATCTTTGGTTTTCTATATGAATATAGATTGGAGAATTTTCAAAATTTGATGTGTACAAGTGATGACGAAGAATTCAGTGCAAAAAATTGCCGTACCTCGAAACTGTGTACGGCCAAAGCATCGAAAAATTCATGCGCCATAATGCACGACCATCCTTCTGGAACTACTTCAACACCATCATGCCAAAAGACATCAATGCCATCCGCCCGGGTGGCCTTTTCTACGTTTCCCTCCACATCATCCGCGTTTTTGGTCAATGCAGACCGCTGTATTTTTCGCAATCCAGGACTAGCCTCTACTAAATGAATCCCTGTGATGGTCTCGTAGAAATATGGAAACTGTGCCAATGTCTGTATGTCAAAATATGAAGAGTTAGAGAGATCTTTCCATTTCTTTGAAAAGCTTCGATGTTATACAAGATACTTTACGCGTAGCATATCACTCATCAGTGTTCCGCGCCCAGGTCCAAGCTCTACGAGTTGAGTTTTCTTGGGTTTGCCGAGTCGCATCCATTCTGTCAAGTACCAAATACCAGTCATCTATATGTGTGGCACGTTTTGTTTAACAGCGTTTTTCTAAAATAATTTCATGCTACTATTTACCTCACCAAACAACTGACTGATCTCGGGCGACGTAATGAAATCACCTTGGGTACCAAACACATCTTTATCCATATAATATCCACTTAACGGATTCACGAGGACTTGACGCATATAGTGTGCTGTTGTTATTGGACCCGTAACCTAGAATCAAAGTTAACAATGGTGTTGCATACAGTAAATTGGAGAGATCGCCCTGAGCGATCGCTTTCCTATTTATCCCCGTACTTTAATAGAATCGCGTAGATGCTTTGCTAACGGGGAATATGGTTCTTTGTTATGTGGAGTCGTGTACCATCGTTGAGATCGACAGGCATTACGAGCTGTCAAGTTGAGCAGCTGACGCGAACGTGTTAGAAACACCATTGTTTGCTTTTATATGGGAAGTTCAAGCAAAGAACATAGTCGCTTCGGAGTGAGTGAAATATTTGTTTTTATCGGAAATGGTGGCCATGTTGATATCTTCGTTCGCATACATTTTGCGCGCAAGAATTTTTTGACATCTAGCGATCATTTTTCGATCACTGTAATAGTATCACTTTGAACCAAAGGTTTGATACACAACTGCCGATCGATCATTTCATAACAATATATGTATACAACAGCGGTCAATTGTTGTGGCTGTCGATGGCTTTTTGAGCTTAACTCGTTGTAGTAGGCGTTTGAATGTGAGGCGATTGTTAAAGATCCCATGAATTATGTTCTCGTATATAAAAGTATCAACGAAAGGGTTAAATAGATTATCTTGCTAACCTGAATGCAATTGATGTGATATAGATATGAATCGGTAGTGCCTAACTGCCTGTCTATAAAGTGCTGATGCCGGATATTGGCATCAATGTCACTAGTCAGCCAGCAGGAATGCTCGAAACTATAAAGGAAGGTGGTCAGGGCATCGTAGCAATTATTACACAAATCCATATCATCAGCGTCTTGGTAGTACAATATCCTCACGTCAACACGAAAGAAACCTCCATTGATGACACATCAATTATCCGAGTGACGGTGTATGCTGTTCAAGTCTCACAGTAAGCAATTATGGGTGTGCTTGCTCATACAATCAAGAGCAGTAGCATTAATTGGTCGCAAGAAAGAAGGGATAAATAAAATCTGAGATTCAATAGGCGTCATCGTCATATATATAGCGAACAGGTGCTCCCAACAACAACACTTTGCCCTCTTTAACTTTTCAGAATCCAATATGAGCGGACAAAACTTCATTGGGTCAAAGATTTCGGCAAGTATCCATTTCTAAACACGACCTATTCACACCACGCGTGCGATTACTTACACACACTTTTTACAGCTTACGAGCAATAGCGACATTCGGTATGAGGGTACACTCCACAGTTTGAACACGGAAGAATCCACGGTTGCGTTAGAACAAGGTCAGCAAGCAAGCCATCTCTCCTCCTTCTCCCTTGTCATAAACATCCTACTTTCTTACTTTTGTGAACGCTTCTATACATGATTCTGACGCACCGAGCTTTTCTTACGTAGTGCGATCGTTTGGTACTGAAGGTCGACGAGGCAACCCTGAAGAAGAAATCCCACCTTCTGAAAATGTGTTTGAATTCGTCGTGTTTCGTGGATCAGACATTAAAGACTTGAAAATCTTTGAACCACCTGCTAAAGCTGCACCACCACCACCACCCCCGGCCAACGTGCCTAGCGATCCAGCAATTATGGTAAGTTTAGTTCTTTCAGTTTCAATAGTTTGTTTGCTTACGTGCACACGCACACCTATTATTTTAATCCCCTATTGGTCGTTGGTCTTGTTCTACTACCTACACAACCTCCTCACCCCTTTCCATCTTATGTATTGACTGTAAAAAATATATATCGAATGTAGAGCTCGGTTATGAAGGGATACGGTGCCAATGCCGCTATGAATCCTTACATGATGCCTCCTTACCCAGCCATGCAGCAGCAACAGCACCCTCAACAGTACTGGGGTTCGCCAATGTATGGTATGCCTCCACCTATGGGAGGAGCAATTAACCCTGCTATGCAGCAACAGCAACAGCAACAGCAACAGCAACCGCCACTTGGTTCAGCTCCTCTTTCAAACCGCACAATGCCTGGTATGCCTGCTGAACAAACTAGTGCCGCGCCGGTCGGACCACCTTCAGCCCATAATGCTGCTATTGCTGCTGCCCGCGAAGACCAACCAGGAATTGCAGAGAAGCCAAAGAAGGAAGTTGAGCCCAAGAATGCTGAGCACGTTTCAACTGAAACTGCTGTCAAGGCTTTGGAAGAAAGCTTGGATAACTTGGAGATCGTCAAGGATGAAAAGGGGTTGGAAGATGACCAGCGTGCACACCATCAGCAGAATCGCCAACGCCGATACAATAACAACAACAACAACAACTATGGTAATACTGGTCGCGGTGGAGGAGCGCGTCGCCATGACTACAATAATACCAATAACAACACAAACAACAACAATGCTGCCAAGCAACCTATCGAAATCCCCAAGTCTGATTTCGATTTTGAGTCGTCGAACGCCAAGTTTAAGAAGGAAGAGTTGGCAAAGGCGGTTACTAAGAAGACCGTTGAGGAGGAGGAACAGCAAAGCGTGGAGGATCAACAGGAAGATGAGGAAGTGGTCATTCCTCCCTCGGACGAATCGTTCTATGATAAGGTAAATTGCTCTTGGATGGCTTATTTGGAAGACTGTGTAAAATGTGATGCTAATGCTTTTCTTTCTGAACTATCAGGATAAGAGCTTTTTTGATAACATTTCTTGCGAGTCCAAGGAACGCAGCGAGCAAGATCAAAATGGGTATGTTTGTATAACAGTTGGAGAGTAAATGTGAAACTAGGGGATAAGCTATGCTAAATTCTAACGCAACCTTCTAGAATTGATCGTCGGGCCAAGTTCCAAGAGGAACGGAAACTCAACTTGGAAACGTTTGGCGAAGCATCTGTGGATCGCCCGAGATACCGTGGTTTCCGTGGTCGTGGAGGTTACCGGGGCCGTGGTAGTGGAGGTTATCAGCGTGGTGGCGGCGGACGATATGGCGGTTTCCGTGGCAATAACAACCGTGGCGTAAGTAGTGAGAATTAGAATTAGTGGGTTTAAGCATTCATGGTTATTACCGTCGTTATTATGGTCCATTAACCGCTTGGCTGATATGTCTAGAATCTTACTCCTAAGCCATTGGTCTAATTGGATTTCAGCATTGATGGAAACTTTATCATTACATTCCCTTTCTCTCTCTTTTTTTCGTTCTTTCAGGCGCATCAGTTCGCTGTAACGGTCTTTTCTTCTTCTGATGTAACATATTGCACCTGCTTTAGCTTCTGTTGGATTCATTTTTCTCTTCCTTTATTTTCTTTTCTTCTCGTACTTTTTCCATTTCTTTCAAACTTGTTTTCTCCCTCTCTCAATTCAAAACTTTACAGTTGCCACTCAATTCGCTGGAAAATGAAAAGTAGCATGTTGCGTTATTAAATTATCACTTGTGATTGTCACACAAAAGCTTAAAAATGATACAAGCGGCTTTGTAATAGTGTGTGAATAAACGTGTGTGTGAATGCGTGATATAGATAGATTCATTAGGAGGCTAGGTATGAGGTGTATAGAGGACTTTTCTAATTACTATTTTTCATCAGCTACATGTTGTTCTGAAGAGCTTGCGATTGAATCGTTTCGCACTGCTGGAAGTGCACTATTGTTATTATCCTGTTCCTCTTTACCATACTTGTAATAACGGTATTGTCGCTTGATCCACATGCAGTATTCTTTATATCCATCATAACCACGCAATACTTGGTAAAGGATAATCGAAGCAAAAGTGCTTGCCCCCACTGCATCGAGTTGAAAATCATTAATGACGAGTGTCTTTTCCGTCATAACAGCTGCCAAAATAAGCGGAATACCGCCAACAAAGACATTGCGAGGATCTAATTTATGCCAAATAGAACAAAATCCAACAATTGTAAGATTTTTCGCCTCTACCTTGGAGATCCCATATTTAAAAGCAAATGCATACCTGAAAAGTCGATTCTGTTCATAACCCAAACTCGGATACCAGTTATGGCGATCAAAGAGTAAAGAACTAAAGTTGTTCCTCCAAAGACGCCATCAGGAATGCTTCGTACTACTGCACCAAATTTGGAGATAAATCCCACAATAATAGCAGTAATTGCCGCGACGAGGATTACCACTGGCGAGTAGATGCGTGTTACGGACTAATATGCGCATAGGTTAATGGTGAAAAATAATTAATTGATATGGAACCATGCATTTGTGAGGAGAGCAGTATAAACTTACCAAGACACCAATGTTTTCTGCATACGTTGTCAAAGGTGAAGCGCCGACGCATCCTGCCATCAGTGTTGAAATGGCATCGCCAAGATAGGCGCGTCCTAGGTACTTTTCCATGGGCGTTCCAGTCAACGAGCTGATGGCTTTAATATGGCTAATAAGTATAGAGGAATAGATGATATAAATTCAAGACAATGGTAATAGGAATACAGTAATCTCACACCTGACTTGAAACAAACTGGTCGTCTTACCCCATATTTTCTGCTACGATAACAATAACAATCGGTGCAATAGTACTGATTGCTACCTTGTCAAACACAATAGGACCAGAGATAATTGGTCCTCGGACCCAAGCAACAGAAGAGACATCAGAAAAATCGACAGGATATCCAGCTCCAGTGACACCACAGATGATGTGAATTACATAGCCAACAATCAAACCTAGCAGAATTGATCTGCATAAAGTGGTACAAGCGATATTGGCAAGTTACATTAATTACTGTGAGATACGATAGTAATTCACTCGGTAACACACTTAAAAGTTGAAAAACGTAGTGTATACATACACCCGACGGAGCGATGGAAGAGGTGCATAGACAGAAATCAACATGATGGCCAATACGGTTGTCAAAGCCATGTAAAAGTCGAATGGTGTTGCAGTTGCCTGGTTAAACGCAGAGTAGCCCAAATGGAGGCCGATACCTGCGACAACACCACCGGTAACAACTATAGACAAGTGGATGACAGTGATGGAGGGTGAGCAAGCCACTCGTTGCTGATAATCACGGTTAAAGCCTTTCTTTACGTACTCGGAGGCATAAGAAATTCCACCCATTTGTATCCAAACACGATGACCAGCAACGAGATGAACATATAGAGCAGTGCTAGGACGATAATACCGCCTTGAGCGACTGGGATATTTTCATTCATGCCTGTGGTGGATGTGGCCGAATTGTACCCTGTAACGGCAAGGACCGCGCTGATAACAGAGCCAGAACTACCGAGATAAGAGGGTACCCGACCCCCCGTGCATATGAAAAAAATGATAGTCGAGATACCAGAAAAGAAGAGTGAAGCTACAAGATCAGCGCAAGCAGTTCAAGATAATATTTACTTAGTAATGCGTATCGAGCATCCTGCTAATTATGCGGCTTTTACTTACTGTTTGGATCGAACCCCATAGCAATGGCTGTTGCATAATAGTAAAAAAGTCATTTGAGAATTTCTCGCTTATACGCATGTGGCGTCTGCAAAGTCAACTCTTACATACGGATAACTATTGTGCCACTGAACATAGCGAGCGCATGCTGTATACCATAGGCAATGGTATGGAAAACTGTCGGTCGCTCATCAATGTATACAGTTCCTAATCATATGACGATAATAATGGTTGATTTATGAACACATCGAGCGTTGTTTGAATACTAGGAGTGCTAATAGCAGGAAAGAGGAGGTACCTGATCGCTTCAATTTATACCGAGGGAAGTAGTTGACCAAAACATCTTTTAAACCAGCCTTCCAGCCATCTTCGTGGTGCAGCCACGGTAGGCCAGTAAATATTAAGCCCGAAGCGGGCTCTTGTGCAAGCAATTGCTGATGTCGTAGATGAGCATCGCTGTCCAAGGAGGATGATTCCATTGCAACGTCCCAGCTTTCAGTTTTTTCTGGTGTTGCAGACATTTTATTTGGATGGAAGAGGGAAAAGGAGGGTGCAAGGGTAAGGTAGACAAAAGGAGAAGTTATATGGATTGAATATTTATATATTATGCAGGGCTTTTTCTAAAGCAGACGCCTTGTCAATGACGCTTATCTGCCTTTTCTCTTCTCTCTTTTTGTTGATGTCTCTTTTCACACATCAACCACTGATAAGAGAACGTCTCGTGGATAAATTAGGCGGTGTGTACCCAGCAGCAACAGGCAAAATAGAAATATATCTAGCAGAAGCAGTGATGGATTTAATCAAGTGACAGCACGTTTTTGATAACGGCTCTAACTTGAGCTCGATTACAGTGACAAGAGAACAGTTGATAATGCTGAATTTGTGAAGTTTGACCTGCTTATGTTAATCTTTATCATCCTGCTCGCAATACAAATAATCGCGATAGTAGAGGCTTGTTTATTTCACAGATGAGCAAAGAAGATCACCCTTTCATACAATAATTTCAAAACAGAGTTAATGTATGCACTTTGCACAGAAAACAACCGTCGTCAAAAATATGCGCAACCAGCCTCGCATCATAAAAAAAAGAGAACGAAAGAAATGCGTGTATTTATGAAGATTTCAAAGTAATGAAAATCCTATGGGTGAGGTAACACAGAACAATGCCTATCATGGGTATAGGCATGCTTTCCTGCCTCCGTTATCGCCACCGATACTCAAGATAGTCTACAATCTTAGCTCGTCTACCGAGTATGATAATACATCGGGCGCAAAAACGTGTATTTCTAAAATAGGATATGTTGGAGCAGAGCTTACTTTTCTACGTTTAATTCGAATGTAAAAATTGCGTTACAAACAACACCTCAGGTCCAAGATCAATGGTCTGCCTAATAGCATACAGCGGTCCCCCGCTTTTTGCACCCCTACCTTTCGCAAATGCTGCGATTTCTGCAACAATCAGTCCGGTCCTGTCACTAAAAACTTAGTTTTTCCGCAATATGCAACTTGCAAACCTGTTTTTGTTCCATTGCATCTTGTCGAGGTATTTTTCATGCTTAAGTTATAATGCGCAACGTCAAAGTCAGTTGATGGATGTTGCATGTAACCGGGTCCTTTGTGTGTAAGCATAGAAGTAAACTATGTAAAATATTATGATTTGTACACACTAATATTTGATATCCTATATGTATGCACAACGTAGAAGATCACATTTGATAGGTGTTATTATTCATTTTTTATGAGAAGTAACGTATATACGTACAGCATACACTGGGCTGTTCTGATAGAGCGATCACAAGCAAAGGGACCTAAACGTCTTCTTTTCAAGACTCGTGAGAATGTGGAGCGGGCGGGGACAGGGATGTTCGGATAACTAGTTAACCAACTCCTTCAAACTGCTGGCTATTACGCCTGAATGCTCCTCCCAAATTCTATCTTCTTGCTCTGCTGTTAGCTTGTTGAATATTTCAGCCATTAAGTGAAAAAGAAATAGACGGATACTCAAAAACACAAAAGGCAAAGGTTTATTGCTTTCATTGAAACATCTGGACTTTTATATTTAGATTTCTTTGCTAAAACATGCATTTGTGTTTACTGTATCTGTGAACAGTCCAGTGTACAGTATAGCATCTGACTTGAGCTACGGTAAACAAAGAAATGTAGTCGCCCGGTCTTTGCAAATCTTCGATTTCTGCAACAATTTCTGGCACTTTCCACTGTTGCGAAAATCGGGGGACCACTGTAGACGGCCTTACCATGGTAGGCGGAAAGGTGAGGTTTGTGTATTACAGACAACATGAAAAACATCGGACTGATGAGATCGTCATCATGCTGACCCAGCACTGTGTATTACATACACTAATTTGCTGTCCCTGTACGTATACATCCTGCAATGGCTGTAGAATCATTCGAGGTATCACCGGCTCTATTTTTCTTTGCTTCTTTTGCCTTGCTATTTAAACAATCGTAAGTATAAACTTTGCTGTAATTCTTCTTATAAAATTATGTAATAGTTCGTACTATTGCTTCCTTTAAAATTCTATTCTTAGAAACATCGAGTAGAACTGCTGCTTATCTGGAAAGCAACCCTGTAATGTCACTTACTCCAACACTTTTCATGCTAGCAAAGTTGCATATTAGCCCAGATTTGAGTTGCTTCACAACGCTGGCTTCAATGTACATGCGCAAATATACATACGTCATCGAATTCCTTGTTTTCATAGCAACAACCGATTACATCGCACGACTTTCCCCAGCCAAAGTTCAGTTGTAGGTCGAAGCAGCGCCAATTAGAAAGTCAGAGATCTATAGGTTAGATATCCATGAATCAATACGCTTGTTGGTCACGAAGGATTCAGAGGTAGCCAGCCATTCGGTCAGCAATGACTTGTGGCGAAAACTGGTAAAAGTGATCATTTGAACGACAAGAGGATCCGTCTTGCTGATTCAAGCGTCAAAGAGAGTAAATCCGCTCGCGTAACAGTGGAGTCGCACAGTGCGCATTAATCTTCAAATTAACCAAGTACGACAATCACCCACCACGTTTATGTTTTTAGACTGTGACTTTGGATTGGAATGTCCTAGTCCTCTTGGCGTACTACTGTTTTCTCGAGCACGGGTGACCGCACCAAGAAATAGAGAAGCAACAGCATCGCTCGTCCACTGGTCGTCAGACCGAGGCGAAAGATCCAACCTTAACTAAGTTAAACGCGCTTGAGATAATTTGCGATCTGTGCGCACATTAAGTCGTCCTGCGGGAATTAATTGTTGCAGCTACATACCGGAGTTGCACTGGCCGCAGAATGACTAGGAAAAGTCGGGGTATCTTGAACCTGTGGGAAGAACTGTGAGGGACACGAAGCCAGTCGCGTAAAATCGTTATAAAATCAACAGGATCGTCTCGAAATAGCGTTGCCCGTACTTTAAGAAGATATAGAAAACCATGTAGATAAGCGTTATATAATTTAAAAAGCAGGCAATAGATAGGGTTCCACAAAAATAAGAACTAAATTTCTAATTTTTTAAAAGAAAATTGAGTATATACAGTACCCGCTCGTTAAACCGATCACCTTTAAACCGATATTTCGTTAAACCGATCACTTCCCCAATATACCAGCTCGGTAAGCAGTAAAATATCGGACGTTCGCTAAACCGATCACCGATCACTGGTCCCACGATTGATCGGTTATTTTTGGTTAAGTTATTAAGCTTAATAGCTTGATTGGCGAAATTGGTGATATGAGATTGCATCAATTTTAAAGACCTGAATTTTCTCTTCACAGATGTTCAGAGTCTCAATGGCTCAACAGATAGGAAGATCGACGACCAATTGCTGGTATTTTCGTTTCATCTACGCTATCGCCTATTTGATGTCATCCTGTTCTTCTTCTTCTTCCCCCTCAACAACTCGCATTCCAACCTGAAATGTATATAAACATTACATGTAATAGTGTAACATCATAAGATGGTCCTTCCAGCGAGTCCTATATCTCACATGGCGGACCCTCAATCTTTAAACCGATCATTCGTTAAACCGATCACTTTCTCGAAAAACAGAGGTGATCGGTTTAACGAGCGGGTACTGTAGCAGTCATAGATAGACATTACCTGAATTACATTTACTGCAAACATACTGTACCCTCTGGATCCAAAGCCGACCAAATGGAGGCAGCAGGTCTTTTGATTTTTGCTCCCCGGTGTACAGTACGTCTTTTCATTCGAAGAGAAAAGGAGCTCCTTGGCGACTTGTCTCATCAGTGGCACTGTGGATCGGTGCTGTCATCGTTGCGTAGAGCTCCTGTTATAGGTAAAAGCAGCTCGAGTGCTTCTGCAAGATACTTTCTAATACTTGGGGTAGAAGCATGACGGATACAAGTGAAAAAGTAGCAACTTCACGGCTTTATACAGCATGGTCATTGTTCGATTTTCAGAAGCAAAAATTACCGCTATGAATTATTGTTGGAGATATCTTATCGAATTGGAAGCAGGCTCTTCTTCTTCTTTTAAGTTAGGAAAAACATCAGGTCGGTGACGTATATGCAAGCAGCTGTAGGAAATTCGTTTCATTTCGTTATAGGGCATGTTATGCTTTAGAACTGGCCAAGAGAGAGGTTCAGCGCCTGATCTGCAATGCAGGAAGTGGTGCCAAAGTGAGGAATTTGCCGCACGTTGGCATCGTTAATAGAGGAATATGTATATTTAAATTTGAAAGGTAGATGAACATGCTCTTTGGTTATATTAATTACCGCCACTAGCTTCGTTACTTCTATTATATCATGTAGAATGGTCAAAGTATAAGGGTGGTGAAAAAGCAAGAAAGTTAACCCCTTCCCACCCCATCGCCTTATTCAGCTTTTGTATCAATCTGTTTCTGTAGTCTGACCTATGTATATCGCAAGTTCCTGTATCCGTACACTGCAAGCACTACTATCATAAACCAAGTAGTAGCATAACAGCAGCATAATACCCATGCCGTGCATTCCCGGTGTAAGGGTATCGTAAAATGGAAATTGAATGCCTCCTTCTGCTCGGATTACATGAGATAAAACTAAGCGTTCTTCTTTACATTATCGCCACCCTTCCACCAAGTTCTCTGCGATGACATTGCAGCAAGTAATCTGTTTTGCATGCCATGCTTTGAGCTGTATGTGTCTTTCTGGTTTTGAGAGCATGTGCACCTGCGTCATAAACTGTTATATATCCTACAGTACTTCGTCACGTTCCAGGTGATAGAAAAGCCAATGTGTCAGCTGCGTTGGATAAACAAAGATCAATGCCATGATAGATGACGACTGAAGTATATATAAACTAAATTGCGCATTCTGGAGGCTTGACATAAACACTGTATACAGGCAGTAGTGATATGACGCCACTTTGATAAGCAAACGCATACAATAGTGGTGAGTCGATCGATCTTTGTCATTTTATTTAGCAACACAGAAAAGCGGCGTAAGCAGCCCCGTGATTATCATATCGGCGGACACGAATGTCATGCATTACTGTATTCTGATCGCATGACGAGCGATAACAACAAAGTATTGAGATTAACATAAAGGATGGCTGCACGACGCATGCTGATGCGATGTTTTCCTTATCTGTTATTGCTTACTTTGTTCTCGCCTCTATTCAATGACGTATTTATCTACATATAAACGCTTCTTCTTCTTCAAAGTGAAAGAACATAGTCAGGGATAGTAGGTCGAACGTTTGCCAAGCATATAGTATTACTGTACACAAGGAAGCAACTACACTAAGAAGTTAAAAAGACTCAAAAATGAATACGGGAATCGCTGGATAGCAGTGAACTACAGGAATATTATAAGCATTTTACTGGTTAAAGTATACGGTTTCCCATCGGTTTTTTCGTGGATAGAAGCTAATTTATACTCACACACGAAATCATTCCTATGATTTGATACATCTTACAAAGGAAAAAGCTTATATCTAGTAGCTTGTATGATATATTTTTAAGAAGCATGTACCTGGTATTGATATCTTTTCGAAAACATCATTAATCTCTAGATTTTATTACTATCCTCCACTTTGTGATGATGATCGCATTCAAGAATCCATCCAATCTATTTACATTGCTCACATCAAGCAGTTGCACAAAAACGTACGCAAAAATAGGTTTAGTACATATCTCTATTTTTCAGGCGGTGACTGTATCGTTATATTTGACTGCTTTTGATTGCTAGTATAGGGCTACCGCTACAACTTCTTTTGTGAGATCTAACAGTTCAAGTTACATTATGTATATGTTTTAGGACACGGCTGATTAGAAATTTAAGTCAATACAAATGTTACTTCGAAAATAAACGAAGCAAAAGCTTCGCCACAGTTTTAGAAGTCTGTTCTGAAGTGCTCAAGATTAATGAAGCTGCTCAGCCTCACCCTTCAAAAATACCATTTAAAGTGTGCTCAGCGAAACACACATACACCAAATCCGGTGCTAAAGGTACTGCAAAGAAGTGGATGACCTTGTGCGCAGAGCAGCTCTTTTCTTCTTCTTTCCTCCAACACCCCTAATACCTACTCTTCAATAACAACAATGGATCTAAAGATACGCGTGTCTCCGGCATTTGTAGGCCTTAATATTACTACTACTATACTGTCTTGTGCTGCACTAGGCGCATCAACGCTCTTTTTCCTCCGGGTTAAAAGTCTGTACCGTACACTCTGGACGTTTTCAGTTCTTACCGCCATTGTTATGCTTGTATACCAGATCCTGGAGTTTGTTATGCTTTACGGCAACGCAGCAGAGAGAAGTATTGTGATATTACAAGCAGTATCACTATTTTTTCGCAATATATTTGCACCTCTGTTATGGTGTCTTTTACATCACATCGCACGAACGGCGGCTTTGGCCAGAATACGATTTCAAGGACCAACAAAACATCAAGTTGGATCAGCAAAGATAATCAGATTCATAAACGGCTTGACAATCATCATGATCTTCCTTAGTATCATCTTTACCCTCTTTCATATCTTTGGGGTGTCAAGACTTGCCACTGCGACGACCGTAATCAACTACATTATCGCTGTTGTTGGGCCTATCCTTTACTGTTCTATCTTTTTGGTATCATTGTATGGTATTGGCTACTATCAAGACATTCGTCCGTTTGCTGGCTCTTTTTCGATGGTACTTATCCTTGCAACCTCTGTTTCCATCGGATCTCTTGTAGTCTCTTTGCTGTTTGGAAACAGTTTAAGTTTCTTAGTGTTCACCGGATACATTATTCATGCTGTTATGGTCAGAATGGCAGGCTTGATTAGCCTGATCTTGATCGCGCTGCTGTTTCCGACCGTGTGGATCCGCCGTATCCGAGAGTCAGAAACCAGGAATGAAATAGCCCCAGGGTATTCCCAAAACGACACTCCATCATGGTATGATAGTTAATTTTATTGACAGCCAAAAACAGCCCTTAGTCCGTAAACAAAAATAGTAGCTGATGTCAGTCATAAGAATCACTATTCTTTTGGCGTTACTATTACTAGTCATGTTTATATAGGACGTAAGCACTTTTTTCTGTACCAACAAGCTGATTAGCATCCATTTTTTCTTATACAACAATTGCATGTTCTTATACCTTATACACTATGTAAATTATTTTATCACCCATTCTTGTATACTATCATATTTATCATCATTCACCATCAATGTTCCCATGATATATTTGTGAATATAGCTCTTACTGTGCTCTTTTATATATATATAGTATTGTATAGGCCATCGAGTCTAAGTAAATCGTCCGGTTCCTTGATAATCGAGTTTGTAACACACTGGCAACATACAGTAGGACCATGCTGTGGGCGTTAATAGCTGAGCACAGACGCAACGTGATTGGTTGATTCCCATAATCATGCGTGATCTCATTTTTTACGCAGCTCTTGTTACGCAGCCAGCCAGAGCTTTCCTTTCTTACTACTCAATACTGAAAAGGTAGAGTAGTAAAAAGAAATCAATCAACTTTGCAAAACACTTTGTTGGAGTGATGCTGACATCAAATAATTTGGTATAGACACCATGCGCTCCAAATTTAAAGACGAGCATCCTTTTGGTGAGTTGCATTCTTGTATTATTGAAATTCATATAGGTAAAAGGAGAAGTATCGGGTTCTTGGCACTAATCGACAACACTTTTTTTTTCAAAAGAGAAACGCAAAGCCGAGGCCGAACGCATTAGGCAAAAGTACCCTGACCGAATTCCAGTCATTTGCGAAAAGGTGGAAAAAAGCGACATTCCAACCATTGACAAGAAAAAGTACCTGGTTCCTTCGGACCTGACTGTTGGCCAGTTCGTTTATGTCATACGCAAGCGGATTAAACTTAGCCCAGAGAAAGCTATCTTCATTTTTGTCAACGAGATTCTCCCACCAACAGCAGGTAAATAATCTGAGGTCGGCGGATCATTAAATAATAAGAGGGGCGTGTCTAAATTCTTTTGTTAATATACTTTTTTACAGGCTTAATGAGTGCAATTTACGACGAGCATAAGGATGAGGATGGATTTTTATACATAACGTAAGTATTATGAGATGACTATGAGAGAATTGACCGAGCGTATGCATAAGAGAAGTATATGTGGAAGGAAAGATTCTAATACGATCCACCGTCATTTCTTAGCTATTCCGGCGAAAACACTTTTGGCTCATGTTGATGGCTTCCTCTATGAACTGTGCTTTCCCTTCTTTATATTCATTTTTTGTTCGGTTGTATATGTCTAATGCTGAATGCTGTTGTACTTGCTTAATCGAACTTGTGGTTTGATATTCCCCTCTCTGTTTTTACTTTCTCTCCTATTTTTCGTTAGCTCACGTATAAATAAATCTAACTTTCCCCATTTGGCTGGTTGTGCTATTGTTCACAACGATACTCGGGGAAAGCTTTATTATGCAAAGACAACTATATGCGGCTCCGTATAGATAGTGGTATCAGAAGAGTTCGCAGTAGCAGCACTGGTAACATAAATTGAAGTCATGCTTCTCAGTCTATTCAAATGCATGTCAATTTCTATACAGTATATAGAATGTTGTGTTTATTTTATTTTAAGTATATTGATGTGTAGACCCAAGCACAGTTGCGTTCAAGGAAAGCTTCAAAGAATATATCTAAAATCCGGGTGCTTTTCGTATACCAGAAATACAAGCATCGTCAACAGGAGACCGCGTTAAAATACAGTAGTAATCTTCGTGTACATAAGAAAATTATATAGATCGTCTTAATATACGATACCTTATCACACAGATCTTCGCCTTCACATGCAATACGATATTGTTCGGGCGATAACTTGTCCCGCTTCTTATTCTCATAACTAAGATACATCCGTAGGATGAGTGCTACTATCCAATTGGCGGCCATCATTGCGCAGCTAATGGTATGTCCTCGAATATAGTGAGGTGCGTCATCTGTTCTATACATTTGGCCTGGATAACATTCGTGGGATGCGAATCCGAAGTATCATAAGGTGTGAGAAATAAAGACGCATCAAGATTGTCACCGTTCTTATTGTTCTCAGTACCTGAAATGATTCCTCCTGCATTTCCAACCGCCGCCCCAATAGCAATAGCCACCGCTCGCTTTGTGTGTCCACCATTATTGTTCGCATTCCAAACCGATATTAAAGGGATAAGAGGAAATGCGCCACATGACGCCACCGTCGCAGCAACAAAACGCCCAGCAGCAGGTTGATCTTTTAGAGTTATCAAGAGTATGTATCCCACCATGCCAACGAGACCAACCGCAGCCAAATGGAACCCTCGCTCGGCACGTCTGTCAGAGCTTATAGCAAAGGTTAACGTGGCGATACACGCTATTTTTATGATAAAGAGACAATTAGCACACGAACAAATGTTATATGCCGCAAAACATTCACAGAGAATATTACAAAAGTTCTTCTAAAAGCGTCTTACCAAAGATATAAGGTATGGCGCTCATTGCTTGAGCTGTTAAGTTTGTATATCCCAAATCTCGAACGATCGTCGGCATAAACAGACTCAAACTATACATCGGGCAGCAAGAGCACAAAGAAACGATACTTATGAGCCAAACCTTCAAATCAAGAAATGCTGCGAAGAATTGCTTCCAAGAGAAATGGGTTTCTGTAGCTGGACCGGCATCCTCCTTGATACGATTGACCACGATTTCGCGCTCACGGTTATTAAGGACTAAATATCGTCATCGCATATAGATTATTTCATTACATGTTTTGCATGATATGTATGTTTATCGTGTCATTAACAACTCTTTGTTTAACTTACACGGACTATTTTCGGGATAATCGGGCAGGTAAAAAAACGTAACGAAGGCAAGAATAAGAGTCGGCAAAGCTTCGATAATAAAAATCCACTGCCACCCTGCCAATCCTCGCATGCCGTCCATATGCATAATTCCATAAGCCAACACACCACCAAAAGCCTTGAAACGAGAAATGGAAAGAATACAAGTTAGTTACCAGTATTTCGCCGAATAAGAATCGAACAACAATGACACAATCTATATTCATGTTCAACAATAACTATGAGCTTACACCGGCCACAGTGGATGCTGCATAAAATAAAGCGATTCTGATCGTTTGGGTTCTACGAGGGTACCATACCGAAAGGAAGAAAATCACACCCTGTATGGAAAAATTGCAGAAATTGAGTAGGCTTGTGTATATTTCCTCTTATCGCAAAGTGATATGGATGGAACAGCATATAGTACATACCGGAAACAAACCAGCCTGTTATTTTTAGAATTACGTGATTAGCATAACATTTTTCTTTTTACAAAAACCAGTATCAGTATGCCATACTGCTGTTGGTATTACCTCGGCAATACCAAGAAAGAAACGAGACGCCAACAACCCGTCGCCGTTTTTAACTGTAGCCATTACAGCCATGATTGTACCCCAAACAACCATAATAAGTGCGATCCATTTGCGGGGACCCATATATTTGAGAAACAAGTTGGATGGAACTTCAAAAATAACCTATGCAGGACACAATAACATTGATCAGTTTCATGTAATACATGTTATGTTTTATAATTGACATGCACATACAGCAGTGCACGATTTAGGAAAATAACACATGTTGCGTCTTTATGATTTCACTTACATAACCGACGAAGAATATCGACAAGGACCAGTTGTATGTGTTTTCGCTGATACCAAGATCTTCCACAATACCACCAAGCTTGGCATGTCCAATGTTGACGCGGTCAAGGAACGAGCATAAATAAAGCAAGGCGACCAAAGGGACAATGCGAAAATCCAGTTTACGCATTAAACGCCGAACTTCCTTGTCATCAGGAGGAACGTACACTGATCTTTCATCGTGAACAACTTGAATTCCTTCCTTATTTGTTTTTTCCAGATCAGATAAATCCGTATGCGATACAGGTGTAGATAAGTCTTCCATGTCGCGAGACATTGTGCGCTGCTGTTGTTGGTGTTGCTGACGCGTAGTATGCAAGAAAAATGAAGTGGAGTACAAGAAATTTATACCAAAAGACGTGAAGCGTGTTTAAGGGAAGAAGAAACACTTCTCTTCCTACTTAGATTCCTTACGTTCTGATAGGAGCAGCAAGACTTTCCATATTAGTACAGACCTTGGGAATAAAACAAGCGTTTCTCATTTCGCTAGCACAGCATAAGTTCGAGTTTGTTTTCTTTCTTTTTAGGTTCTCTTCGCCGTAATATGTGATAGCAGGTCAAAACTTCGTCAGAATTAGCGTTCCTCAGTGAGTGAGCTTTTAGTCATACACTAATAGATGAATTCACACACCAGGATTATTACACAAAAAAAAACCGCTTTATATAAACACGACATAAAAAGAAAACGATTAAGGAGTACAGAGTGGTCGTGTGATCTACGTCATCCAGGGATTCTCACCCTACAACATGTAACTTTAATGTCTACACGCGCTTGTACACAATATGTTGGAGCGACGCGTTTCGAAATCAACTTCTGGTAAGGCTAATGATTCATGATGCACAAATACAGGAAGCATTCAGCGTGGTAAATTTTTTAGTGTTATCACGCAAAAAAGAGCCCACGAAGTAAGAACCATTGTATGCGCAAAAACATAATAACAGAAATAAAACTATTGCTATATACCAGGAAGTTGCCAACAGATGGTGCGAAAAGTACATAGGATTTAGAAAAAATTAGTATTGCATAGGTACTGCACTATAACTTAACATCACCTCTACTGTACATATGTTTATCGGTTTACATTGAGTGTATTTTCTTTACTTATCAGCAGCGTCGTCGTAGCAAAGTGGAGGAGGTACATATACGTACTTATCAATCCAAGAATTCTTTGACATATGGAAAGAAACATGTATTGTGTACATACTGACTCGGAACTCCGGAATAAGCAGGTTTTCTTCATCTTTTATAGGAACCAAGAGTAAGGAATATTCTCAGAACCAACTGCACACTTGCTGTGCCCTTCTAATTAAGCTCGGGCCATACCGACGATTATCAGATTATCACTAACACTACAAAGCGAGCGAGCTAAGCTACCACATTTCTATTGGCCATCTATTGCCGTAATCTCTTATAGTAGAGTTTTTTTTTTTGGATACAATGATACATTGTGTGTACGTTTTCATAATGTTTGGATCGCGTTTTAATCGGGCCCGGCATAATTTTGTCTATATGATTGCAGATTACTTTGGATGGGCAGCGTATACTGTTTATGTAGCTCCTTGAAACTTTTTGAAGTGGTTCATTTTCTCGAATTTTTAGATGTAAACAGTAACAGAAAAAAATGAGCAATATGAAGTATCTTTTATATATGTACATATACAGAATGTATGTTTTACAAAATATATCGGAAGTCGGGGTGCTGTATGTCATAATTTAAAAAGAGAATATCATACATTGTTAGTGAATGTAATTTATATCGAGTAACGAAGTTGTTTTATTACCTTATCACATAGTTCTTCAGCCTCACAAGCAATTCGGCGTTCTTCGGGAGTCATGTTGTCGCGTCTCTTGTTCTCTAGATACAACAAGAATTTCATGAGGAAAGCAAATGTCATTCCACCCAACATGAGTCCAAGGCATGTTTTATGACCACGCAGATAGCGTGGTGCATCGTCAGCACGATAAACATGACCAGAAATCTGAACATTCAACAATATAAAGTTTAGTAAATAATAGCAGCCCGAATTATCAATCTATGCATCACCAAATATCGCTTACCGCTCCTCCACTGTTTCCGATAGTCAAGACAGTTGCAATGGCAACGCTGCGCTTTGTCTCACCACCGAAGTTATTCGAGAACCAAGACGCGATAGGGGGGTTTGTAGCAAATGCGAATGTGGTAGTTATGCATGCTGCTATATAGAGGGCAACTGACCCGTAGTCTTGTAGGGTAACTAGGAGAACGTAGCCCATGGATGCAAGAAAACCAGCACCAGCAAGATGGAATCCTCGCTCTCCAAACTTATCCGTACTTTATTGTTAGTATTGTAATACAGCCCGTTAGCAAATGATGGTGTATCATAAAATTCGTAAGTACTCGTATTGCCATAAAGTAATCCGATATAGTACCTGTAGCCATTCAAAATAGTTGCGATAAACGCTACGTATAAGAAAAAGTAAGCATTCTGCACTGTTAATAATTGTCGAGATAAGGGAAGGATAACACTGTTTGAAACCAGGACATACCGAAGACGTATGGTGGGGCACTCATTAATTGAGCCTCTGCATTAGATTCAAACAAAAGCGGAAGTTAATAATTGTACATGGGAATAGGAAATACAGAACCCAAGTGTATCTTTTACAGTTGCTGCTTATTAGAGAACAACGGCAGTAGTATGCAATTGCTTTTACCTAGCCGTGAGGTATAACCCATCCCTTGAACAATGCTGGGCATAAACATGGCAAGCGAGTAAACGCAAATTGATCCGCAAATGTACGATAAAGAGTACACATACACCTTCCAGTCCAAAAGTGCCTGCAGTACTTGATTCCAAGAGAAATGTGTTTCAGTAGCCGGCCCTGCATCTTCTGTAATTCTTTTAACAATAATTTCCCGCTCTCTTTCATTCAAAACTGGATATAACAAAGCAATGGTCAATATTTACACCCTTTTTTTTAAAGTCATGTCGCACACGTTTTAAGCAGTTTTTGATGATACAAATACTTACATGACGTTTTTTCAGGATAATCAGGAAGCACAAAATATGTCAGTATACCAAAAAGCAAAGTTGGTATCGCTTCAATGATGAAAATCCATTGCCATCCGCGTATACCGCGCATTCCATCCATGAACGTTATAGCATATGCCTAGCATATAATTTATGGTTATGTAACTCTTTGGTAAGTCCGTCTCATAATTTCTTCTCTTAGGTGACTTATATTTCCAGTTACTCACCAGCACACCGCCAAAGGCCTATAGCAAGTAATAGATGTCAGAATTGTGTCACCTTTTTGCGATCATATTCAATGTATTGTTTGTTCTAAACGATTAACTTACTCCGGCTAGTGTAGAGCTGCTATAGAAAAGGGCGATTCGTAGGGCTTGCTGTCTCTTTGTATACCACTTGGAAAGATAAAAAAGCACGCCTGGGTATAAACCACTGAGTAAACGCTCATGTTAGGTTTGTTTTCAAGACATCCTTCGCGAAACGATGATTATAAATATTTTGATAAGAGGCATACCTTTCAGCGACGCCCAAGAAAAAACGCGAAGCCATCAGCCCCTCTCCGTTAGTAACAGCAGCCATGGCGGCCATTATTCCGCCCCACACAACCATGATCTACGATACATTGATGAACACTTGAGTTAAAAAGAGTTATCCTAGTATCGAGAGCTTTTCGTTAAAAATCAAGGTTTTCAGACTTCTGACTTACCGATGGAATCCAAATTCTCGGTCCAACCACTTTGAGAGCTAAATTACTTGGGACTTCAAATACGACCTTCATATCATGTGATGCATTTAGAGACGGTAGGTTTCAAAGTAACTCGCTCCTCAGCAGCTCTTTATGCTTACATAACCGATAAAAAACACAGACAGTGCCCAGTTGTACTGATCCTCTGAAATGTCAATATCCTCTGTCATGCCTGCCACTTTTGCGTTTCCTATGTAATAAAACGTATCATTTGTTTACAATCACTCTCTCTTTATAGCCCTTATAAAATTGAATTGTTCATTGAAATACGTACCAATATTGACTCGATCCAAGAACGAGCATAGGTATAATATTGCGATATACGGAATAATCCGGAGATCAATTTTCCACATCAACCGACGAAGTTCTTTGTCTGTTGGGGGAACAAACGCGTCTCGGTCAAAACCGCTGGCAGTAATGATGTACTCTTCGTGTTGAGCGATTTCGTTTTTCTTTTCTTTGACTTCGTTACTGCTACTGCTGACCGACGAGTCTTGCGACCTTTTGTTGAAATCAAACAGCATTTTGGTAAAAACAGAAATGCTATACTCTACTCTTGTATGATGATGCGGTCGTGACAACCCCCAAAAGAGAATGAGTATTTATACGAGCTCTCATTGACGCATTATTCTCGGACATAGAACATGACAGAGATTTTCACACATATCACCCATCATGAAAATCGATAAAACTATGTTTGTATATGGTAATAGCCTGGCTTTTGGAACGAAAATGCGTATAGTGAGCATGCATGCAACCACACTATTCGCACGGTGGCTGGCGTTATTATTAATGGATAATTGAGAGAAGCTACTCGTAAAGTGTATTGCCTCATTTACGATATTTAACTCACGCGGAACGCATGGGAATGTCGTTTACGTATTTTTTTTGTGAATCAGAGAAAAATTAACTACGTTGAGTAACCTCGTACCAGATCCAGCAAGATACAGATCAAGAAGCCAAGGTACTGGAAATTCATGTGCATTTCGACAGCACTTCTCTTTTTGGGATCACTTTTATAATTTTTCATAGCAAAAAAAACCCATGGATGCAGAAAAAGTGTTAACTGATCTATGTGCTGGGTGATTTTAGCTATGTATCAATTCTCGCAACAGTTGAAGATATGGTCTTTCGTTAATATGTTGCGGATGCGGACGGAGTTTCGGAACGTGAAATTTTTCTTGGTGATGGCCTGAGCGCATAAAACAGCCATGATTTACCTTCTTTTGGTTCTCCACCAGTATAACACTTTTAACTCAGTTTGTTCTACACGTTTTAAGAAGAGTGTATTGGTAAAAGAGACAAAAGTATTGCATTGCTAACCAAGTGAATCTTTGATTTAAATTAGTACAAGTTGATGAACTAGCGTTAGCAACTGTTCTTCTTCAGTAGCCATTCCGAGCACATTTTGTAAAAAATTGCGTTGGCAATAAACCTATTTCAATGAAAAGCGCAGAAATACCAAGTGGTAGACGGATTAGAAAAGCACATCGTTGCTTTCTGTTTACCGATGCTAATATGAGAACTGTTTTTATTTTGTATTTTTTTATAAAAAAAATGTATCATGAGCTCAACCGGAGATAGTAGTGTCGATAATACATTCTTTCTGATTTAGTATGACAAGATTCTTATTTGTGTATTACTACCCATATTACTAAGTCAACAAGGAACCAAACTGCTAAGTTTTCCCACGAAACAAGAAGCAGCGTGGCACATCGAATCCAGTTACTGTCAAACATATTCATAGAATGTTGCATTTCCCCGGGTTCCACATGATATGCATAGCTTTTGCCAAACGGAAAATAAAATTGGATTAACGTTCTATTAATAACATGCAGTGCAATAAGTACGTATGTAGTAGCATGATTGAGACTTTTAGTTAAGCTTGATGAGTTATGATCATATACGATGACTATAGACTATACTTACAATGGGCACACACGATATATAATGTTAGGTTGATGTACATCTCAAAGCTAGTGAGTACCATAACAATATTATATTACTGCTGCTATCACATAAGAGTGTGTGAATCTGCTGTCTTTTGAAATAACTAAAATATGGTACTACGGTGAATGGATCCTAAGCAAGCTGCTAGTATGTCTTGGTACTCGCCCTTTATGGAAATTGGAAGTCTATGGATAATAGATGAATCTATGCGTACGCTTTACAACACAAAAAAGCATTGCGGAAAAGTAACTCACAAAGGGAATAGTCTAACTCGTGTGTGTATATGTGCTTTGTCCTTTCGATGTGTTCAGGAGACATGAGACATTATAACTTTAAGTGTATATAAAACCAACAGCTTATTAAACTGAGTCTGTTAGGGAATACTGCGTGTTTCTACTATTACGTCTCTCTTCTTTTTATCTCTAACCTTACTACCTCTTTTAATACTCTAACCCTATACTTCATCTCTCAATCATCTGCGCAGTCTTCATTATTTCGCCCATGCTTCAACAACACGAAAACCCGTCCTCCTCTTCATCCTCTGATGACCCAAATCATACAGAAAAAGGCATCAAGATTCATCACAGTGAAAGACTGAAAAATTTGTTACAGCTGACGAAAGAAAAATCCGTCGTTTGCGATGAAAACTTGATTTGCGACTCGTGTCTTTTCTTTCGCTTCTATATATGTGCTCATTTCTAAACCATGTCAATATCGGCCACGCACGACTTGCAGGCATCGAGAATTCGCTGGGTATAACCGAAGAAACGTACAACTGGGCACTATCAATCTTCTTTATCGGTTATGTAAAAAAAAATTGTTAAAGAAATGCTTCGATTTGTACCTAAATGCAAACTAGCTAACGAGTAACTCACATTTATACATTCTCTTTGTAGGTTGTCTTAAGTGCCCGCTAACATGTGTCTCAAATGGATGGGACCCCGAAAGTGGATAGCGTAATTACATTTATTTGGGCCGTTATCATGGCTGCAATGACTGGCTTAAAGAACGGTTCCGGTTTACTCGCAGCCGCATGATGCTCGGACTTGCTCAAGCTGGGCTCTTCCCCGTAGACTGCCAAAAAACACGAACATGTTGCTGCTGTTGATATGTGCTCCAGCCGCATTGATTCATATAATTGTTGCTGTGGTTCTTTTTGGTAATAGGCGGGGGTCAATCTCTACCTATCGGTTTGGTATCCCCGTCGTCTACAGACAATGTGAATTGCTCCGTTTTATGCGGCCTCTACCCTTGCTGGAGTAAGTTGAACTTCGCTCATTTGCTTGTTGCAATACAATGGATACTGATTTTCATCCCTTTGCATTATATGGAAAAGGCATTTGGCGGTGTTTTGGTAGGCATGATTCGGCATGGCGCTACTATTCAAAATTGTGAGGTAGCGCTCACATGTAATGGTGCATCTGAATGATATAGCCATATGGAATTATGTTTCTCAACGGTGTATGAGAAATGTTCGGATGGCAGTGGATATTTTTACTGGCATCGTTACCTCCTTTAATCCTCGGCATTGTCACCTAAATTTTTCTTCCGGATTACCCGGAGAACTCGCCCTGTGAGTATTTCAGGATCGACCAATAATATTTGTCTCTCTTACTGAACCATTATCTTCATAGTTTTAAAAGAAAGAGAGCGAAAAGTTCTTATAAATTTACCCAGGGAGGATGTTGGATCCGCAAATCAAAAGAATTTCTCCTGGAAGCAATTGTCTGCAGCAGTTTATGACTGGAAGCTATATACCATGAGCATTCTAGCTCTATGTGCTTCAACACCAATGTATTCTCTGAGCTTGTTTTTGCCAACAATTGTTCGTGGGATGGGATACGCAAGGTATGGTATCAGTTATATTTACTCAGTTATAATTGTAAACTTTAAAGAGTGATCTTTTTAGCCTTACGGCGCAGTTAATGTCCGCTATACCATATGTATTTGGTACGTTGTTGACACTTTATAATATTATGTTTGCTCTTTTACATTTGTCAACCATGTCGATTAAACACAGCTTTTTTTCCAAAAACCGGTAGCATGCACTGTAAGCATCATGGTGGCGTTCAGCGCCGACTAGTAGAAAGAACGAGGATTTCACTTGATTGCAGGGTCGCTGGTCAGCACCATTGGCTATATATTACTCATTACTGTTCAAGATAAAGGATCAGCCGCCCTATTTGTAGCAGCAACCATTGCGACCTGCGGCGCATTTTACTGTATTCCTCTTTGCTCGGTGTAGGGATCCAATAATTTTGGCGGACACACGAAACGCGCTGTTGCTATCAGCTTTGGATCTGCCGTAGGAAACGCGGGAGGCATAATAAGTGGTCAGATTTATGTCGACGACGATGGTCCATATTATACCTGAAGCCATACTATCAGCCTGGCGATGCTATGGGAATGCGCTTCGGACTTTTAATGGAGAACAGAAAGCGTGACCGAATGACACCTGAAGAATATCAAAAAGCCTGTCAAGGAGAAGAACTTTGTGATAAGGTACTACGATCTGCGTTACTTTTGGTACTTTTTTCCTGATAGGACTCGATTGTCTAACTTGTCTGCGTTGCAAACGAAAGCATCCCGATTTTAGTTATATCCTTTAGCAGCATGTGCCATATGTTAATATAGAAACTTGAGCGTAAATTGATAATGTTATACCATGTATTATCTTGCTGTCGAGATAGATAAAAAATGACGCTAATAAAATCTAAAGTTAAGTTGGGTAAATTTCCAGAGACTGCCCGTACCTCCACTTTATATTTCTCGCAAAACTGTCTTCAAATAAAATTCTTGCTGCGCTGTCCTGTTCTTTGGTGATGGATTTCATATACCGAAAGTGTACTGTGTACTGGAATGAGTGTAAGAAGGTGCAAAGCGGGATCGAATTGTACGAAGCGCTAGAGTCTATGATATTGAAGAGCCCGATCGGCTACGGTGGCTAGACATCATTGCACTTGTCGTACATATGCTGCTTGTGTGCTGTGGCTGTCACTGATTTTGCGAGTAAAAAAACAGGCACAGTGTACTTGCAGACGTACCATAAAGTGTATCCTTCGCGGCAATGTATGTGCCGGTGATATACGATAGAGTATGGTCATGGTCGCTAGAGCTCATATTCTTTTCCTTCTGAGAAGCGATCTTTTTTTTGCGGATCACAGATCACAAAACTTGATCTTGATTATAATCGGTGTAGAGCTGTCAATACTGTTCACTTGCAAAATTTAGTCTTGCAAAATTTAGTTTGAGATGCTCGCTGATGGCGCAGATACCTTTGAGCTTCTTTCAAAGAATAACCACTGTTATTTTTTATGATATCGAGTCACTCGGCTGCAAAGTTCAAGTGAAAAAAGTTTATTGTCACCATGGACATTTATTATGGATATTCATCTACCAGACTGCAGAAACTGGTGTGCAAAGGTATTTGTTGGGTTCGTGTGACCTTAATATCATAAGCATTCTGTATTCGGCGAATAAGCTACCCGGTACGGGTAAAATCACGAATATACAAGACACACGACTCGGGAAATCAATCTGTGTATAGGTTGTCCAACTTCTTGGGATGACAATTAGTATGTGGCATGATTCATCGTACAAGTTATTGTAGTATCTATATCTTTTCGTACGAGGGGGAAAATCGCATAAATAGGAGCCAAAAAATTACGGGCGTAACTGTTGGTTATTCGAAGAATCGTCCTCATACTTTCTATTTTTTACTCCTATGATTCAGTCTGGTGTCAGTCTACATTTGCGTTTTTCTTGGACCAGCAAGCAAGCAACCCCTCATCGTCATTATTTATTTTCGAAAACCTGTCTTCTCCAGGCATCGTTTTTGGATGACTTGTTCTCATTAGCGGGTTTATCCAAGCAGCCATTAGTTTGGTGTTAAGACGCAAAACTGTAGTGTACGGATAATTGGTGCTGATCGTTATTATATTCGTTTTACTTGCCTGAGGTTTCTTTATAGAACGTGGCCATCTTTAACTGTTTACATTACCGTGGATTTCACTTGTCAACATGATTAACGCCTTGCTGCAATATTAAGCTGTAGGCTTCATATTTACCTCAAGAAACGGAAAACAAGTGCAGTTCAAGAAATAGGTATCTCATCTTTTCGTGATCTGGGAGTGCTGTACACACGCTTAAATGAACTCGTATAACCCAGCAATAGAATGCAAGATTGCGTACAATGTGGCTGTCAAAGCGGAACTAGTGCATAGTAGCATCATTGCGGGTAACATTTCCGTCATTTACAACATATACTAAGGCGGATATATGTCCCGTGTTGCAGTGCCATATACAGCTCGAATAGTGGTAACCATACGCTGATTATCCCGGTATGAGATGTGTTCTGGCGTTCGCGGTAAGACTTCCCATTGGGTTTCAATTACTACTGTGGGGAAACAGCATGATCGGACCTCGTGAATAAAATTTCCGAGAAACATTTTCTAACCTGGGGACAGAAAAAAGAGGAGCAATGGATTATATCTCATGCAACTGACCTGTTTGTCGTGCCAGCATTGCAAGCATGAAATATAGATACGCAGCAAATGTACCTAGCGCAATGATAATTTTTTGTGGATAGCATTAAAGTATAATGAACTCTTTCATAATACTTTTCGTGGTCTTTGAACGCAAAAATCGATTCCAAGCCGATAATGGGTGCGCGGGAAAATCGTTCTGTGGACAAACAGATTGCCCGGATGTTACAAAATTCACAGTCTGGTGGGAACCAGAAAGTGGTATCATTTGAATCCCCGCATGATCACTGTATGGATTCGTTGACATACTTGACTCAACGTAGCACATAGTCATCTCTCAATCGTGTACCTAGCAACGCAGCAGACAGTTTTCAGTACCTGTTTTTTGACCAAGGAAAGTACTTTAGATATAGTGAAGTGTTTGTTAGTACGTAAGAACGAGACTGTAATTCTCTATAGTACTAAGGCAAGAGGTGGCAGCAGAAGATACAATTCTTAAATTGCTGTCTCATTGTAATATCAATATTGATTTTGCCAAGAAGCTTTGTCCAGTCCAATTTTAGTAGTTTTGAGAGCTACCTATCATGTAAAAACTCAATCATCGGCAACGGAATGTAGTCGCTTTGCTGCTGTTCCGTAGCCCACGCTCTTGGTGCGGGGTTATGCTTTAAATATGTAGCCGTGAACGTGTGAATACGATATACGAGAAATCCGGGAGCAACTTTTATTTTGTGGGGTAAAACAGTGAGCCAATAGCATTCTGCCTTCGGCGCAAGATAGCCGAATTGTTCCCTTTTTTTGATTCAAAATTACCCACACACACAAGCGTAAAGTCCATAGTGTCAAACACGAATTGTCAATGTAGTTAGCAAGTAGTGAAAGACACATATTCTGCTACCTTGCTAGCTTTTTCGTTCATGATTTAGAAGAATTGAAGTTATACGCTCCTCAACATTTTTTGAGTTTTAGTAGAGTTCCGTAGAAATTTCCACTTAGTCCACTAATACAGCTGGCGCTAGATCAAAGTGCCCAACAATCCGCAGTAGCGGAATACGCTCCCTGGGAAAAACATAACATCGTCATGACAATGAGAGAGTACCCCAGACTCAACAAAGCTACACAAGATGTAGATACTTTTAAAAGTTACACACGAGTCACTTAACGCAGGTTGCAGTAACCTCTGTAAGGGGTACATCAACCGAACCAAAAAAGAAAAACCATTATAAAAGCAAAGTTGCCAGTTATCTTTTAATCTATTACTTTATTTTGCAGCCACGCCTTTTCTCTTTTACCCCTCTTCTTGTATATAATCACAGCAAATAGTATATATTTTTAATTCTTAACAATGGCCTCTGTTCAAGAAAAGCAGCAGATCGCCGATGATAAACCCGTCGATTTCGATACCGAAAAAGCGGACGCTGTTATTAAGCTAGAGGACACTGGTCGATCAAGTGACACTTCCATAAGGCCAGAATACGAACCATTAAGCGACAAAGAGTTCAAACGATTACGCTGGAAGTTGGATCTTCGAATCGTTCCGTTCTGCGGTGTATTGTATTTGTGCTCTTTCCTCGATCGATCAAATATTGGTACTTTTAAAATTTGAAAACTCAAATTTCTCGACAGAATTTGTATCACCCTAAAAAAGAAACCACGAGTGCTAATTCAGAACGACTATCATCGTATCATCATCTACATCATAGGCAACGCAAAGATTGCCGGCATCACCGAAGATTTACACATATCCGAAGACCAATACAACATCGCATTGTCGATTTTCTTTATTGGCTATGTAAGCTTTCACACACACATTATATCTCTTCCTTCTTTCTAGGGCAACGAATAAGCTGCTTTCATAATATGTGGCTTACTCAACATTACTTTTATTTCAGGTCATTTTTGAAATTCCCTCCAATATTATGCTCAAAAAAATCGGTCCAAACTTATGGATACCGTTGGTGATGGTGTCTTTCGGTACGTCTTTAAAACAGCTCACATACGCTATGTATCTGTATGGAAATACGGCAAGACATCACGAAAGATACTAAGTTTTTCATGTCCTCTAGGTATTGTCATGATTTGTATGGCAGCTATTAAAAACGGAGCTGGTCTCCTCGCAACACGTTTCTTCCTCGGCGTCGCAGAGGTAAAAAAAAATCTTTAATGTCGCCTTTTTTTTCTCCTAAAACTATAAAACTATATGCTAAGCGCTGCACTTTGTTTATTTGTAATATTACCGTATATAGGCTGGTTTGTTTCCGGTAAGATCAATTTGTTTCAAGGAACTATACATGCGTTATGCAAGTGTGCTAACGGATCAAAATAACCCCACTCCAGGGTGTCATATTTTACATGACGTTATGGTATACTCGCAGAGAGATAGCCACTCGTATTTCTTTGTTCTTCGGATGCTCTACCCTTGCTGGTGTAAGTTTTCATTAGTCGACCCATTGCTTTGCAGAATGACACAGATAAACTTGGTTTAGTAATTACACCATTTATTTTCACTGAATCCTAGGCTTTCGGCGGTGTTCTCGCTTATGGCATCATGCAGATGGATGGCATGCGAGGTTTGCATGGATGGCAGTGGATCTTTATTATTGAAGCCATCCCTACTCTTTTCTTGGCGTGTATCACCTACTTTGTCCTCCCAAATTTACCCGAAAATTCAAAAGGTAGCAACTATATAGAGTGCTCAATTTTTAGACAACTAACCCTTGATTTACCATACGTAAACAGCACTCAACGAACGCGAGCGCGCACACATCGTCAACCGTCTTCTTAAGGATGCTGGCCCAGCTACTGAGACGCATTTCTCGATGAAGCAGCTTCGCATGGCATTTACCGACTGGAAAATTTACATGCATTCTTTCATCTATATCGTCGGATCCATTCCTTTGTATAGTATGAGTCTGTTTTTACCAAGCATTATTCGAGGCATGGGTTTCGAGACTCTAGAGGCTCAAGCAATGTCTGCCCCGCCTTATGCCATAGGTTAGTAGAAAAGCAGAAAGCAATATGCATTTATTTCGGGTTACTAAAAAGGAGTTATTCGTACTTTGTTTATATAGCTTGTGTTGTCACAATTCTTGTTGCCATGGATGCGGATCGTCAAGGCGAGCGTGCTTATCATCTTGCTATTCCCTCCTTCTTTGGTATGATCGGTTACATCTTGCTTATTGCTTGCAGAGACCAAGGTCCCGTAGCACTCTACATTGCCGCCTGTATTACAGTGACGGGTGTATTCGCTCATGCTCCTCCAATGCTTTCATGGTTTACCGGCAACATCGGTGGTCACACCAAACGTGCTGTCGGTAGTGCTATTGTCATTTCCATCGGTAACGCCGGTGGTGTAGGTAAGATAATAATGACCGATTAAAAAAAGCCAAGTTGATTTTGCAGCTATAATTCTCTAACAGTATACATACTAATAATGGTCAATATCTGTGTCTTTCCTATAGTTGGTGGTCAAGTATACCGTGCCAATGATGCACCCCACTATGTTACTGCCCATTCTGTCTGTGCCGTCTTGTTGTTTATCCAAGTATGTACAACCATTGGTTACAAGTTTGCACTTAAGCGCATCAACAATAAGCGTGACAACATGACCCCTGAAGAGCGCCGTATTGCTTGTGAAGGCGAAGAACTTTGTGATGCTGTAAGTTTGAAAAAACCACACCACGGAGCATATCTATAACAACTATTTATTAACTATCGTTTTCATTTTTACTTTTCCTATTAGCACCCTGACTTCCGATACATTACTTAAACCTAATCTACCATCAAAGAAATTCTCCCATAATTTACCATTCATTATCATAATGATCTTGATTATAACTCACAGTTACTGTAAAATAAATAAAGTATGCAAAGATGTAAGATATCAACCTACGGATATTTTAATGTCCACAAGCATAAATACGACAGGCTTCAGATTTTGTTTATTTGAAGTAAATAAAACCATGTTATAAGATAAGTAAGGATTTTATTTTGGCGTTGACGCATCGTTGTGAACCGCCAAATATCATGCGCCTGCCTTTGCTGCCTCTATTAAAATTATAAGAAACTTGCCGATGACGGCTTGTGCCGGGGTCAAGGCACCAAAGCTGCTGGATGCTGATGCAGATAGGGCGACTAGATATGTATAGAATACAATGTCAAAAGCAAGAAACATGAAACATACTCACGCAGAGTTTCAATGCACGGAGTTCGATATAAGCTTCTAATTGTATGTGCCAGAAGTATAAGAGATCTCTAGTAGGCGCCTAATTTATCTAGTGCTGTTGAAGCAGATGAAGGGGTTGATGTCGCTGCTGCAGATTCTCCTACCAGATCAGGGTTCTTCTAAGTATGCAATGACTTTTTGAGAGTCATTCTCTCCACTTGAAGATTAATTCTTATTAATTTGTAGTATGCAGAGCAAAAAATGTATTTTAACATATCTTACCTAGTGCAGTATATCACCAAATGTAAGAGTGTAGAGAGTGGTGGCAGGACTGTAGTAAATTATACCGCAGCAAAAAATACCAAGGAGTAATCTATGAAATGTCTCTAAGTATAACCGGTTAACCCAAAAGAGTTGTTAGCTTCTCGTCGTCAAGAACGAGTATTTACAGAAATATACCGCAAATCACAAAGCTGCTACGATATAGGAGGTACCCATAGCGTAATGCAACAGAGGAGCCTTTAATATTGGGAGCTAACAATAAGGCAGGAGGCGAGGGTTATGGAGCAATCACTACTGTTTTTAGGAAAGAGAAGGTTAGTTGTCGATCAAATTCACCTGCGATGACGCTGTAGCTTACAACTGCATTGTAAAAAACCTAAAAAACAAGAGCGGCAAATCAATTTTGCATTTTAACTTACAATGGTCGTTGACCAGATGCAGAAACTCCTTTTCAGCGTCTTTCTTCTTCTTCTCCAACTCTGAAGGTAAAACAAGGGCATAGAGCAGTTAAAGTCATAAGCCATTACGTCAAGGCAACTCTAACTCGCTTAAATTCTGTCAATTCGTGCATTTAACAGCAACGGCTTCGTTCTATATTCGGCCAGTATCATAGTAGCACTCCTTCTTTTGCACAGCCGGGCAAATACACACTTCCACCTGTACAACAACCGCTGCTAAAACAGAAAACTCTATACCAAAAAAGACTCACAACCTTTTACATTTCCAATACATACATGGCCTCTGTATTATAATACCAGCTCAATCGACAATAATACCATCTTTGCAACATGACCAAAGACGCGCCTTTTTCAATATTAGACTCAAAACAGCGCGATTCTGATGGTAATGCCCCCAAAGGAGAAGCTTCCGGTTTAGGTACATGCACGAACTCTAATTACCAACGATCGTCTGTTTATGTTTCTATATATATTGTATACAGAACAAGCAAGCAGCGTGCAGGCATGGCTGCATTTGCATCTCGACAATTACGTGGAACTCGCCTTGCTAGACAAAGTTCCTGAACTAAAAGACGGCGATTCCTGGATCGGTGACGGTACACCTTTGCTGTGTCTTGCTCATCGCTTTTGCCCGACGGCCATACCCGATCTACTCTTTACTTTACGAGACGAGTCGAACAACACGAGCACACCGACAGACAAGATATCCCTCGCTGCACGCATATTCGAAAGCGAACTACACGTCTCGATACCAACCAATGCAGAACAATTAATACACAATAAAGACTCAGCAATTGCCTACATGTCGTCGCTCAAACAAACCATTGACGAACAGCTACCGTCTACAGAGCAAACGCTTCGGATGACACAGCTCAGCATGGTCTCTGAGCGGCAATATATCCAGGTCACCCGGCGTACCCGCGAAAGTACGGTTGAAGACGACGAGTTTGAACGGCGTGCAACTCATGTGCTCAACAAAATTAGCCAACTGCGGAACCAGCTCAATGACATGACTTTGGTAACGACCATGAGCACGACGTCGTCCTCCTCGGCAGTGGCCGGTTCTCGACCTTCTGGTGCTGCAAACACTACCGCAATAACAGCAATCGCTAACGACGATATTGGAAGGGATAAAAAACTTGGATCGTCGATCAATCTGATGGATGATGCGGATAGCAGCAACAGTAACAATGTCGATCTGACCGCCACTGTTCAGCAATTTGAATCTGCCTTACAGGCATTTAAAGAGGGCGAGCTGGCTGAGATTCATGCGTACATCCGCGATATGTCGGAAGATGCACGCACAAGCGTGTACGCACGCATACAAGCTATTGACGCAGCACATGCAGCACTAGAGGCACAGTTGCAAGATGATTTCAGGGCTATCCGCATGGGTGTGCGATTCGCGCAGCTGACAACACCTATTCGCAACGAGCTCGAGTTTATTCAGGCCAAGATGTTGAAGACAACAACAACAGAAGAAGGCATTCGTGAGCTGGAAGATCGCACACGTCGCGCAGGATCCATGATCAATGACATGGAGGCAAAGTATAGCTCCATGTTAATAGGCGCAATCGCAGGTGTCGGCCGTGATGAAAATGGCGGCGATGAGGGTCATCAAGAACTAGATCCTGGTCAGCAACGGTCTTACCGCGTTCATTTTGATGCACTGAAGCAAAAGCACAGGCTAGTCAGCTCCTGGGTGGATGAAGTGCGGGTCTGGTTTATCGAAGCTGAACGGATACGACGATGGATCGAAGAGCGAATCAAGGCAATTGATTCCGAGCCAGTCAAAGACGCGCTGCAATCGGAAGATTTGACCGAGTACACGTTGGCCATGGTGGATGCGCTCAATGCGAAACACGAAAAGATGGAAAAGGAAGTTGAAAAGCTGAATAAGGAAGATATGACACGCTTGCGTGCTCATGTCAAGACGCTGACCGGCTCAGACAAGCAGGGCGACAAAGATCTCAGTCCTGCGGACACGACGACAATCGAAATCACATTTTCAACACTCATGTCTCTGGATAAGCTCATGCATCTTTTGCGTCGTCGCTCCTACGATCTGCAGATGTTGACATTACGACTTTTTTGGGAACTAGAGCACAAGAAAGCCAGCGCCTGGGTCACCGCCACGGATAGTGAAGTCGATGAATTGCTGCAGAGGGCACGATGGCAGCAAGACGAAGAAAAAGCAAGCGATCGTGCCGAAGCCGAAGCGATGAAAAACATGACGGTTCACATGCTACTCGATATTGAACAACGCGCTTCCGAGTTCGATCAAGGACAGTTCACAACGACGGTCAACATGTACCAGGAAATGGATGATTCGTCCAAGGTGGAGCTCCCGCCGCATCTGGAATCTCGGCAAGTGGATGTGGAAGAGGCGTTCGAGGCGGTCACCAAACGGCTCAACTATGTGCGTCAAGTTGTTGAGCAACGGCTGACGGTGGTCGATCTCGTTTATCGTGCCGACGAATTAATGATGTCTGGTGAACAATTGCGCGAGGAGATCACTATAGCCGAGCAACAAGCGACTGATGCAGACTCCGACCGGGACTTCACGGAACAGATCCGAACATTTCAGGAACAGGCGGTGCAGCTGGTGACCACAGTAGCCGCACGGATCCGCTATCCAGAAATTCCATATCCGCCCTCTGACATGATCGAGAACGATAAAGTGAATGATACGGTGCGCGCGGCTATCAGTGCCCGAAAATCATCGCTTATTTTGCTTGGCGAAGCGCTGGATCACAAATTACAATCATATCGCCGCGTCTTGCAGCTACAAAAATCCGCCAGTCAACTCAGTGACGACATCCATCAGTTGGAAGAAACGGTCGAGAAGCAAATCAAGATTCTGGAGGATGCAAAAGTGGACGTGTTTGTTGCCAAGTGCCCTGTGGGAGATGACGAGTTTAAACTACTTGACAAAGAGCGCGAGGAACAGCTTTCCAAGGCAGGCAATTTGAAAAACTCGGACTGGAAGATCCTCAAAGATTATTTGGACTCGCTAAAGCATGATGTCGATTTGGCGGGCGCTGTTGCTATCCAAACTGGAGTCCTCTATGGTAGCATGGAAAGACTGTACAGGCGAATCGAAGAACTGGAAGGCATGCTTGCTGCCCATATTAAGGGATTGGAAGCTCTCAAAAAGCGTATGACCTGGGAGGAAGAACACGAAAAGGTGACACGCATCATCACGTCGACAATCCAAACTGTCTGGGAGATTATTTGGCAAATGCAGTGGAAGCCCAATGTCGACGATCTTTTGGCCGAAGATGTATTGAAACAAAAGATGAATACGCTGAAACTCAAGGTCGATGATTCCCAAACGTCACAGCACGTCGAGTCAGCGCAAAAATCGTATGAAGCAATGATCAATGATCTGTCAAGTCTCTTGGACGACTCGCAACAAAGCGAAAATTTACCCAGCCTATTTAAACAACGGCAAGATGCTCTACAGCAGAGTGTACAAGACCTACAAGACTCTGTCGAATTTGCGCATTGTGTCCACGAGCAGCACGCTGCACTTATTCAATTCATGAACAAGGCAGTGTCGATCCACGCAACAGGTCAGGGCATCGCTGATACCCTTGAAAATGCAATTAAGAACGTCATGGAGGGCGAGCCACAACAGTTTGACGACCCAATCCAGCAGTTCGATCAGTCGCTAAAAGATTGGTGGACACAGTATGGAGCATGTATTCCGTATCCTACCAGCTCAGCAAACGCTCGCGCCAGTCATCCATCCTCGTCAACGGACGACCACACAGTCAACAATGACATCAAAACCGTAGTCGAGACCCAGCGATCAGCACTCGAGGAACTTGGACAAAAGTTGCATGATCTGGCAGACAAATTTGATACGGCATCCAAGCTGAAACAGCAGATCGCCGAGCTTTATACCACCGCCAAACAGCAACAAGAACAAGCTGAAGGGATTCTGTCATCCATCGCTGGTCATCGTCAAGATCTTTCAACCGATATCATGGATATAGATGCATTGCCCGACATGAATGGGTTGAAGGCTGCCAATCAAGGATTCAGGGAACAAGTCGAAAAATCAGCGGCAGCATTGAACGGGTTGCGCGACCGTTGCACTAAAATTGACCAGACGATATACAGCTCTAAATGCCATCCCGAGGTGTCAATAACAATGGCTTCTGGTGCTGTAGAGTCTCTTGCTTCCCTTATCGACACACTTGATAAGGTTGCAGGTCGTCATTCGGAAGAACTGGATGTTACCTCGGAGCGGATCGATTGGGAGAAGCAAAGCCAAAATGCCATTAAGAGGGCGGAAGTTTTACAAGATGAGCTGCGGCAGCTTGTTGATCGCAAAAACACAATTACGCCTGGTAATGTGGATCAACAAGAAGAACTGGCAGATTTGAAGGCACAAGCAGAGTCGATCCAACAAAGTGTATCCCAGCTTTCGAACGAGACGTTGCTACCATCACAAGAGTCTTACGATCGTGTGATATCCACGTATGCATCTATCTCAGTCGATGTTCCCCAGGCAGTCATCGTGAGGCAATCTGCTTTTAAGGGGTTACTATCCCGATTATCGGACATGTCAGAACAAACCAAGGGCGAGTTGGATTACTTGATCGAGCGATCGTCCTGGGAACGGGCTGCTAACGCTGTCACTGATTCATGCACCCAGCAAGAACAGCAAATCGAAGACTTTATACAACACCGTGCACGTTGGTCGATGGATGGAAGCAGCCCTACAGCTTCAACGGGAACAGATGCATGGAAGGATCTGAGTCAACTTGAACAACAAGTCGTTAATGCAGCACAGCAGATGGCTGCCCTTATTGAGCAGTGCCAAACTTTGATAAATCAGCACATGGAAGCACCCGACACGCTAGTCCGACGAAAAAAAGCATTGAAAACCACAGTGCAACGGCTACAGGATCATTTGGCTTTTGCAAAGCAAGTCTTGGATCAGCGCGATACTTTTACTGCATATCTCGAGCAAGCACAAGTGCTTGAATCATCTTGTGATGCCATCAAGGACGGTATCGAACAAGGCGTAGCGGGTCAAGATCAAGTAGACGCATACACCCAACGCGTTAACACATTTTGTCTCGATGATAGTAGTTTGCCGTACCCTATACGCAGCTACAAGAATCATGATTCTCGTTGCCGATCGCTCGATGAAAACTCCAATATCGTTATTGCTGAAGCGTTTGATGCTCACCATGCGCGTCTCAAAGAGCTTCCTCTTGTACTTGCATCTGCACTTAGATCAAAGCAGCTACAAACCGAACGTCAAGCAGCAGGTGATGCTTACATGACCGAGGCTCAAACAGTGGAGGACTGGATTAATGCAAAACTCGAATCGCTCGACAAGGTACTCGACCTTGATGATACCGGTGTCAGCAACAGCCTGCAGCAACGACAAAAGGCAGACAAACGTCGATCGGCGATTGCAACTGTGGATGCCACCTTTGCTGCCATGCAGACATACAACACTGCATACAACTCCTTAAAGCTACAGGCACGCAAGCTCGATGACAACGATCATGTCCATGAACGTCAAACCCAGATTGATCAACTTTGGCAAAAGCTCTCCAGCAGCACTGGTGTCGATACCAAGGAAATGCTAAAGGAAAAATTGCGTCAGGCAGAGTTCAAGCAATCCGTCGACGAGTTTGAAGACCAGCGCAAGAAACTGCAAGACCGACTTGACGCTGTTGATCTCTCGGTGCTCAGTGATGATCAAATGGCAGAGTGGCGAGAACAGGCGCAGGAATTAAAAAGCCAATATCTTGAAAAGCTGGGCACTTTCCATCGGGATGGAGACGAAAAGGCACAGTTTGAACAAGTTGCGTCGGATCATCAGAATCTGACGGCGTCTTTGCAGGATTTGGATAAGCGGCTACACAAGCATCGTCTCGCGACCGACTATGATAAGCGAACCGACGCTTTGACCGAATTTATGCATCAATTGACGAGTGAGTTAGAAGCAATGCGCGACAAGTACGGTTACACTGACGGTATCAACACTGAAGAAGACGGAGCCAAGGCTGAGATCTTTACAAAGGCCTATGATGACGCACACCAACGCTTGCAAGAACAGTTAGAAAAAGTCGAAGTACAACGCTCTTTCTTCAGATCACTGCAAATCCAAGATGCAGTAACGGATGATATTCGTGCACGTCAGTCCATATTTGAAAACGATTACCATCTTTTAGAAACTGCTATGGAAGATGCCAAGTCTTCAATGGAGCATTTCTTCCAGTGGCGCGACTTGCATGTGAAATTACAAACGATTCAAGGCAGCGTGGCTAACATAGACGACGATCATATCGAACAAGCTAACGATGCTCTTGCAGCTCTCGAATCTGAACTGGCAATGGCCCAAACAATGGCAGATAAGCTTGTAGCAAGTAGCGACGGCCAACAGCAGCAGCAACAGCAACAAATCAACAAATCAAAGTTTATGCAGAAACATGACGCGGTGGCCGCGATAGTAATATCAGCAAAGAAAGCATTGGATATCAAGGCACAAGAGGCTCGAGAACGTGAATCACTTGAATCATGTCGTGCAGCAACCGATGCTATTAAAGAACGTTGCGGTCGAGAGATTGCAGCAATAAAGGCGCGTATCCGATCAGCCGGCAACCGCTGTGCAGACTTGTTTGAAGACATTAGCTCGATCGAAAAACACTATCGCAGAGCAAGCATTGGCTCGGCATCAAGTCAAATCGGTGTTTATGACGATCTTACCGCGAAGCTGAATAGTGTGGAAGCAAAAGCTGGTAGCGATGGAGAAAAATTGCTTGTTGCAGAAACACGAGACTCGTTGCGCAGCTTGAGCAATGCAATCACCTCAGAGCAACGGTGGAACGATATGGTGCGACGAGCATTGGGACACGCAAAGACGGCCGAAAATATCACGTCGTGGGTCAACAATTGCAAGAATGCTATCGACAACATTTCAGAGAACATGGATATATCGTCCGACAAGGACATGGATGCCGAAATGCGTGATATCCAGCACCGAATCAATGACTTTACTACCATCATTGAGTCGTTCAAGGGCATGACACAAGGCATTATGCAAGTCAACAGCTCTAGTGGTGATGGTAACGACAACGAGTTGTCGGCTGCCGTCGAGGCGTTGAAGAACCATGTTATCCAACCCTGTACCGAACGGATCGACTCAGAATGGAACGCACTTCAAGAGCAATTATCGAACCTGGAAGTATCGATGGCAAAAGCATCCAAGGGAGTTGCTGTTGTTCGCCAGATGAAGACTGTACTGAAGCTGTGCAGTGACACACGTGGTCGACTGGATCTTCTTGAACGCGATCCGTCTCGAGTGACGCTCTCTTCGGCGCATAAGCAACAGCACAGACCGCTGTCGGGTATTCTCCGCGAGCAGGATGTTTTGGCTATTGAGCAAGCGCTAAATACAATTGAGAGCGAAGGACAAGACCATGCACAGCGTGAGCTGCAAAAGCTGGACGCCATGATTGCGGATTTCGGCGATGCAGACGGTGCATTTGTGCAACAACGAAGCGAGATGGAAGCAGCGCTGGATAACATGACGACAGCTATGAGCAACAAGCGACACGATTTGGCCAAGGCGCTTGAAGTCGGCAAGTGCTTGATGATCACCGACGACATTGACGTGCTTGTCGATGCACTGGGAGATGCAGTTGAGAAAGCGAAAACAGCGACTGCTGCTAACAAGGCCAGTACAACCAACAAGGCGGATATGCAAGGCAAATATATTGAGCTCGACGCACGATACAAGTACTATGAGCGCAAAATCACACAGAGTCTGGAAGCTGCACGACTTGCTACCGACGATATTTCGGACCAAAAAGACCGCGATATGATTGTTAAACACATTGGCGAACTGAAAAAGCGCTGGGATGGCGTGGATCAGCAAGCAAAGACACAACGAGCCGAACTGAGCAAAGCGTTAGCGGCTGGCCACGTAAACCGAGGACGTAAATCGTCTCTGCCAACACGCAAGGCAACCAATGTCCTGCGCGAACGGGAACGATCGCCATCGCGATTGCCTGCACCGCCAGGTGGCTCCCATGGCAACACGAGCTCGCCGTTGTTATCTGCCACCAGTCGTCTTTTACCATCCACATCCACATCGCTACCGCGTCCAACTGCACGACCTACTGCCACTCACACCACCAGCACGAGCCGCTTGACACCGCCCTCTGTACGACGGCCACCACCGTCGCGATCCATCAGCAACACGAAAAAACCGCCAGCACCGCCACCGAACAAATACGTGGCCGATCCAAAGAACGATCTCGACATGGAAATTGGCCGGATTGTCAACGAAACGCCGTACCGAGTCAAGGTCAAGATGGTACCTGGCGAAGTGGGACGGTACTGGTTTGGTGATGCGAATCCCAAGCTGGCATACTGCCGCGTTCTGAAAAGCAAAATGGTGATGGTCCGCGTTGGCGGTGGCTGGATGGAGCTCTCACAATTCCTTCGTGGCCATGCATTATTGGAAGGTGACTTTATACCCAAAACAGCAGAGCCTGACCAACCTGTGTTACCTGTGCAAGAAGGCTTCATTGAAACCCGGAGACGGCAGCCGCATATTCGATCACGTTCACGGTCTCCGTCGTCGTCTTCGTCTTCGGCCAAACCCACCACCACTGCTGCTACTACAACTACTTCTATCGTCAGTAACAACAACAACAGCAGCAACAACAATAATAATTACAATAGCAGTACTAGTAGCAATAGTAGTAGTAGTAAAAATCTGCTGCCGTTACCACCAAGTAAAAGCATCAGCAGCTCGCGGTCCACGCCACAAAAGACCCAGACTGGGTACATTGACGGCGACCGGTATATAGCGGTGGATCGGTATGGAAACCAGCTGGAAGTGAAGATGACAAAGATGACCGAAAGCACGAGCGGTAGCGCGCGTATGAAATCTAGACAATAAGTGTAATAAAACATTGTTGTTTCTTTGGGCATGCTGGCTATCTGATGCTGTTACTGCTATTTATCACAAGTACACATGTAGTTGCTGCAAGGTTAAAACAGGGTTGCATTCCAGCAAGAGCTGAGTGGCAATTTCAAGTAACGCACACTGTACCTTCTTGTGTGTCAAACGCTAAGAATGTACAAGGTGTACATATGGGCTAGGTTTTCGTGTTACGTTCCCCAAAACTTTGTACTCGCGTCAGTTTGTATCTGCTTTTTCTGCTTTTGCCTTCCCCCCAAATAAAGGAGCATCCGGTATTGCATTGACAATTGCAGTGTACTACATGATTGGGTAGGGCTACATTTTATGTCTCTCTCTCTCTCTCTCTCTCTATAAATATATATATATCTCACGATGCAAGTTGAGTAAAAGACAAGACAAGAGGAGACAGGCCTGGATGTGATTCGGCAGAGGAGAGGGACAGCATCCGATCCGTGTGTATGGACCCTTTTGTTTTGGGCTAATCGGCGGCACGTGAAACAGGCATACTTGTGTACTATGAAATGCCAAGGTGGTTACAAGGCTTCCCATAAATCAGTTGCCAACAGTAAGTTTTAGCTTTCTATGAGAGATCACTAGGTAACGAGCCGATTGCTTGGTTACCTACGCTTACTGTACCACTTCTCTCTTCTTCGCCTCTTGCTGCTTCATCAAGAACAATTACAACACCAAACAGCGAGGACAGGTCATACAGGGCCGTCCTAACAAGGCTATTTGTACTGTCAACAGGAGCAAAGAAACGCGGTGTACCGTGGGACTGGAGAAGGGTTGCGAGTTTGGATGGGGGTGATCTGCAAAAAGCCAAATTATTTTCAATGTTTCACTAAAACGCACAGCCGTTGCTACGTGCGCAGGTGAATGAGTGGGTTAGGGTTTCGTTTGACTGCCAACAACGATATAACTGCTGCACCTTCCACCACGATCATTTTTATATTAGCCAGATCATACAAAGACGGAGAAGAAGAAGAAGAAGAAGAAGAAGAGAGGTAAAAAAACGGCAAGTGCAAGAGACATGATACGATACGGTCTGGAAGAGGGATAAAAAGAGACGATATTCATACTGCGCCCTGCTGTTGTTGTTGTTGTTTTATCTTGCTTTCCTTCTCTTTATCTTTCTTCTTTCTTTTTCCTCCTTCTTCTTTTCTTTCACTCTCCCGCATGAGCATTCAAAGCAAGGTGTGGTCACCATCGGCTCATTCAACAGGTCCGTCGCCCATTCACCCGCCTCGGAATCACCCCAGTCCCAGTTCCTCCACTACTTCTTCTAAGGGACACCCGCAACAGCAGCCGCCACCGTCACCAGTGACAGCAACAGGCACAATGACACAACACTCGTACTTGTAAGTTGGGATGACGCGTATTCTTATGTTTTCTGCATCCTTTACTGCAGAGAGAGCACATCACACAGTGTCGTGTTTCTCCGGGAAATCTAAGCCAAAGAGGGCGAAAGGGTGGGGGGTGGGGGGTGGACTACTTTTTTGGGGGGGAAACAGAAGAGAGAGGAGAGAGGGTGTGTAGCGGCAGTCCCGCCCACGAACACAAATCTCACGCACCCGCACGTACACAACAAAACACGCACGCACGCACATACATACACCTTCACTCTACTCACACACACACACACTCTCTCTCTGTGTGTGTGTGTGTGTGTGTACGCACCCGAGTTCCGCCCTCTTTGCTTCAGAGTTTTGGGTTTCCACCTCTCTTTCTCTCTCTCTCTTTCTTTCTCTTGTCCGTAACTTTTCTTATCACTGCACACTATTGGCGTACTCACCACCACAACACTTTGGTCCTTTCGCTGTGAATAGTGCCTCGTCTTCTTCTTCTTCATCCTCCTCGTCGTCAGCATCTTCATCACATCAGACGGCATATATGCCACCGCACACAAGCAGTAGCAGCAGTAGCAGCAATATTAACGGTTTTAGTGCAAGTGTCAAACCAGAACTCCCAGGCTACAGCGCAAGCAGTAACAGCAACAGTAACAGCGCCAGGTCGCACACCGGGTAATGTAACCGTCCCTCTTTCCATCTTTTTTTTTTTTGCTCTCTCCCTTGTGTTGCCGTTTCAAAAAGAAGTGCAAAATTCTGACGCCCAACAAATATAAACTTAAATAGCAGCTTCACTGCAATGTCCCAGCCAACCACCCCACGCCCGACTTCCGAAACTGCTCCAGCTCCAGCTCCCCCTCCTCCCTCCACCGCCTCCTATCACACCCCTCCTGACGATAATGACCCTGCCACCTCGCCGAAGCAGCAGCCACCTTCGTATACTCACCACCACCATCATCCATACCATCTTGATCAGCACCACCACCACCACCAGCAGGACTCCAGCGTTTATCCGCCAGCTGACCCCAACGCGCTCGTGCGCCGACGGCGTAAAGACTCTGTTTACTTTCAAGATGACAGCCCCGCCTTCTCTGCCACCAGATACAACCGTAACGTCTATGCACTAGACAGGAGCACGGTGTAAGTCACTCAATACGTGTGTATCAGCACCCATTCTCTTCAAAAGCTAATCCACATTATAGCCTCGACGTTCATATCCATGCGCGTGTCGACCGAGGCTTCTTTATGGCCGACAACGACTGGACCTGCTACCGACGCAACTACTTTCAACTGAGCGGAGCATTCAACTTGCAAGGCATTGGCGTCATTTACGATGGCCAAGATCTGCCGTGTCTGGTGCAGCTCGACGGCGCACTGCATCCAGTTTCGAGTTTCATGTTGGGTGTCACAGCCAGGATCGCCAACAGCGAAAAAGTCATCCCGCTGATCCAACACACACCCAAACGCGACAAGGGACCTCAGAACACGCCTGACCAGAAACCTATTCGACCCGGAGGCAATCTCGCCATGAGCACCGTCGGCGCCACCCAGTCTGTCGTCACCTTTGAGCGTATCCAGTTCAAATCGGCCACTGCCAACAATGGCAAGCGACGCGCTGCGCAGCAATACTATCTCATTGTCGTCGACCTGTACGCTCAACTCAGCTCTGGTGAAACCGTCGCTGTTGGCACCGTCGAGTCGTCGCCGCTTGTTGTCAGAGGACGCAGCCCAGGCCATTATGCAGAGGCCGATGCAAGCCATCAACAGCAGCAGCAACAGGATCAGCAAACAATGAATTACACGCGCTTCGTTGGATACCCGCATCAGCAGCAACAACAACAACAACAACAACAACAGCAAGCTGGAAGTAGCAGCAATAATAATGCAGCACCTGGTGGTACCGAACACGGTAGCAACAGTAACCACCACAACAACGGTTATGACTATTCACCTGCTGCTGCTGCTGCTGCTGGTGGCAGCTATCCACCACCGCCTCCCAACTTGATGCCGCCGCCACCTCCACCTGGTATGGTCGCGCCACCCCCTGCAGGCTACCAACACCACCATCCTCATTCCTCGATGCATGAACGCATAACATCGGCCAGCTCTTCCTCTTCAGAAATGTACGAGTATGAGCATAGCCATACCAGGTATCCGGGTCCACCCATGGAACACTGGTCGCGTATGCGCATGTCGTCAGACGCAAGCAGCACAAGTAACAGCGTAGACCATCCGCAGCAACCCCCTTTACCTCCTCCAGCACAACACAGCTATGATCAGAATTATTCCCAGTACTACGACGAACGAACAGGTGTGCCCATGAGCCATCATCCTAGGTAACTGTGATGTCTCTTTCCTGTAAAAAAAAACTATGTCTTTAGATTGTAGGGTAGATTTACTCAGTATACATCTCCAGTCTACCGCCACCGCTGCCCTCTTCTTCATCAGGATACCATCACCCGCCTTACGCCAGTATGCAGACACAGCCATGGCGACCTGTACCTGTACAAGACACCGCCAGTCGATACAGCTCTACCTATAATAGCAACAACGACAACAACAACGATCAGCATACCTTACCTTCATCTCCATCAGAACAAGAACAGCAAAGCCATCCACAACAACAGCAATCTACTACAACCGAGGAAAACGACACAAAGCAAGTATTTCAGAAACCAACAACCACAACTACTGTAAAAAACGAGGAACATCCGACCACAAGCAGCGACGAGAATGGAGAACGTAACAACGATGAAAATGGCTCACCTAACGATAACAAGCGCCGTCGCGAGGATCCATCATCAATATTACCACGAGCCGTTAAATCGCGTCGAACTACTCGTACAACAACAAACCTCAAGCAATAACCAATGGTTTTTCAAACATCCACACAACTCGCATCCTTAAACACCCAAAGCAAAACAAAACAAAAGTTATTCCTCATTCTCTAACTTTTCTTCCATGTTTACTGAAAATGTACAATGAATAATATGCGTTGAAAAAAAAAGGCGTGTATCAAAAAGCTCAAAAATGTGATACTGTAATATTAAAAAAAATGGGAATTCTCAATGTTTCACTCCAGCATGTTCATATAGAGCTCGCAATGTGGGTGGCGCTGGAATATATATCAATGCCACAGTTGTTGAGCTGTCGTACATCGTGGTATAAACTTGGGAAGAACAAAATGTTGAGGCAACTTATATTACCTCTTTTTTCCTCTTTCCCTTCACATACCTCGTGAATCACATAATCACATTGCTTAAGAAACCAGTATTAGTACATATGCTTAGATGACTATACATAAAAGCAAGTTGGCGGATTCAAATATGCTAGAGATATCAAAGACGTCTAAATGGTACAAGTTGACCTTAACGAGGATCTAAAGAACGTGTCTATAAATTGAATGTCTATGATTTGTATGAACGCCCGTATTACTGATGTTCATGATGCCTTAGAAAGGATGAAATATGTTAGAGCTTTGGCATGTTTACAGAACACTACTATTAGTATCAAATGTTTTCGCCGTATATACCATCATTTTTGAAAGAACATAGCGATTATACATAAGTTATGATGCCAGCAATCTATTCTTTCACGGTTCTTGAATATTGTCCTTTACAAAATAAGATTTTTGTAACGCACGGCAGCCCAGATTCTGTGGATTGTGTGTCTGTGGCATATATGTATATAAGCTATTGTGATGACAAGGTGTTGTGGTTGAGAGACCAGTACGTTTTATACTTGCTGTTAAGTCCAAGCAAGTAGGGAAGTAGATGCTCATGGCTTCAATCTATTTTTACGTTACACGAGCACCCACTATCTTTTCAGAAAGACATATAACCATTACCACCACCAGCAACGATAGCAAAAATTAAGTAGTGACCGGGTTGCCGACCTTTGGTGCACAGGAGCATTCTTTCCGCTTTTCTGCCGTCCTTGTTTCGAAACATAATGATGGTTACAGCGCTGCTGGATGGTAAAAATGACAAGGTTAGTCTTGTCAGAAAGGAGATACAGTCAATCGCCACATTTGCAACCTGCAGAGCCGCAAATTTTACAGACCTTTTTATACATTTGTGAAATATTGCCATAACCTGTGTAATAATGTGCACGTAAATCAAGAAACATATCCATTGCTGCTCACGGTTAAACTCATATCTTTGCTGTGCAAACTAGCCTTCTTAAGACGAGGTCCAAACCTATGACGAAAGCCATGTCAAAGGAGTATGGTTAACGCGCATGATCAATGGGACCGCACGGACAAATGAAGAATAGCACAAGATTGGCAGAAGACATATATAGTGTCGTAAATGTGCGAACTAGCAGTAAGTAAAAGTACAAAATACAAGTCAGTCCACGCGATGATGAAGCTCATACCTATTTGTTACAGTCCTGTACACTCGTACATATTAAATGTTGACAGTCTCATACCAAAGTATGCGTTTGGCGCTACGGAGATCGATGAGATAGCATCGCCAGTGACGACTGAGCAAAGTAGTAGCCTACAAGCTATCCGTAAAAAATGCATTTAGTCTCTCATGATCGCTCACCACTCCAGCTTAATTTTTATCATCAGGATGCGCAAAACTGACAGCAACAAACAAGCGGGCAGTAATTGATGGCTTAGATCGTGTCACTCGAGATTTGTTTCCGTTCGATCCGTCATATGAGCAGTTTTACGGGGATCAATAACAGAGAAGTCTCCTTGACTTTATCGATCTATGCCGTTGTAAAGCTCTGTGATGGGCCCGCCAGTTTTGGATTGGAGATCAACTTTGTTGTGCATGTGTGGGCTACTACCGGTAAAGCTTTTCGGTGTTTCATCCAGAACAATAAATCATCTTCCAACGGGGTCACGTAGACTGATATTCACTTGATCATTACGTCTGAACAATATCAACAGAGATCTTCCAGTAACAGTCAAAAAGGAAAACAAGTGAGTTTGTAGATGGCGATAATATAGCAGTATACATTTAGTTGATAAAATAGATGATAGACGATGCACAAAAAAAAAAACCTCACAACAACAATGCACGGACAGAAATTAAGCAGAGAGAGAAAACATTTATCTTTTTTTTTTCAATATACTGCAAATTGCAAAGGATAAGAAGCAAACTGTACTTTTTCGATTTTGCGATTAAACTGTTTTTGAACTTTAGGAAGAAAGAGATGTACATTTGAAGATGTAAAGAAAAATTTATACGGTGAATTTTTGAGAAGATTTGGCAGCAGATTCACCGTGAGGAGTGAACTCGATGGTCATGTTGGGGGGGACGGTAAGGAATTCCTTGATCTGAGCGCTAGATGGTGCAAGACAGATATGTCAATAACAAAGATAACCCCTTCAAAGCTGTCATCCCATCCAAATCACATTGTCTCCCTGCTCTTCTCTCTCGTATATTTCGCATTGATCCCTCCCCCTTTCTCCTTACCCAAGCTTTTCCGTTATTTCGTTTCTCTCAGAGCTTCGGATCCAAAGAGCAACACGGAAGAACACCTTCCGCACAGAAATGACGGCACCGCAGACTTCGTTTTCGTGTGCAAATTGCTCACCGATCATGGCCAAAAGCTAATAGACCATTGTTACTGGTTAAGCATTTAATCACTAAACATCCTCCCCCCCCCCTTCCGTCTTCTTTACTTCTTGTCACATACCAGAGACAGCCAATAATCATTGATTCCTTCACCAGTTCTGTTTCGGGGGAATTGAATGCTGAATTTGCCACCGTTGGCGTTGGCTGGATCTTCCCATTCAGGTCGAACGCCTTTTTTGAAAAAGTGGTAGTTTGAGTTCGACTCGAGATGATTGACCTTTGCAATGTTGTTGTAAACGCTAAAACAAGACACAGAAATTAGTTACAGATCCAAAAAGCCAATATTTTTTATGCCCCAGACCTATTTTGGGCAGGAGAGAAAAGAATGAAATATATACATGTGTATATGTTTGAAATTATTACCCCCAAAAGTCTTCCACGGTCTCGACAGTGACGATTTCCTTCAAATTCTGGGACCAGGACTGTGTATTGGCTTTTTTGCCTGGATTATCGAACCACAGGGTCCAGGCATTGTGAAGCGGATGCTTGACATTATAGTTTATAGGATCGTGAAATACAGTTGTAACGGGTTCTTCTTTTTTGTCATTTGATTCGGCGGCAGTGGTGGTTGTTGCAGTGGTTGAATCAGCAGCAGCAGTAGAGGTAGCGTCCGTGGTGGATGGTGTCGCTACTGGCTTGCTTTCAGTCTCGGCTGTCACTGTTGCTGTATGTCGGGTTTCAACGTCGGCCATAATCGCTCCGTCTTCAACAAAAACATGGTCTGAAGGCTCTCACTCAAGATTTATTTTTCCAAGAATTTAGCGAGTCACGCGCTTCTTTTTGTCTAAGCGCGCGCGTCTTTCTTTTTTTCCCTTTTTTGCGCTCCACACATCCCCAAATTATTATAGCAATGATACCGTAAATAACTATGCCAAACCCGTTCTTGCAGCTTGTTATTCCTGTTGCCTTTCCCACCACCTTCGTTGATTTGATAACAATAACATCGACGTATTGCTTATTGAAACAAAGCCACCGTAGTAATAACAAGAAGACCAGTGCGTCTTTCTTCTTTATTAACGATATAGTTGTGATGGGCAAGATCAGCCGACCATGCTTCGCTTGCGTCCACGTAACCTAACTGCAGTTTATGGTTAAGCATGCCATTTTCCGGATATACGCTAAAACGCAATTCTCAACAATAAGATATATATTACCTTCATCCAGCTTTGCCAAAATAGCTCTGGATTGTTTGTATCCCTTGGCATAATGTTCTAGAATACGTGCGAACTGTAGACATTTTTGAGCTTGGAAAACTTTGCTCCCTGCATATGTACATATGTACACATTCATTTTCTTTGTTCCCTTAACCCTCCCCTCTCCTTACCAGATCCTCGGTGTTGGGGTGTGTGCTTGAGAATGCGCGTTCGAGTACGTACAAATCCACAGCCTTGTCTTCTGGCAAGACAGAGACATAACTTAATCCAAAATCAATGACCACCTATAAAGAATAGTATTTTTAGCCTTTTCCTTCACTTTCTTTCTCACCACTTATCACTTTTACCCCCTCTAGTGATATAAATGTTTACCAAGGATCCATTATCGTCACGTATCATTAAATTGGATGTGGTCAAATCGCCATGCACAACGTCTTGCGCATGCATTTTTGCCAAGGATGTGCCGATTTTTTCTGCCAGTGCCGCTAAACACCCCCAACCACAAAAGGCCCATCAGATACTGATACAATGATAATCAAATTCGTCTTCCATTTTCATTCCCTATTCAGCTATTTTAATTATACTTGTTCTAGTACCTTGGTCGATATCTGCATAGTTGATTGCTTGGCTACGCAGTAACCGGTGCTTAACAGTAACGCCTACAATACGTTCCATGTAAATGGTCGAGGCGGGTATATCCACAAGATACACGGTTGGTGTGTCCATGCCGCTCTTTCTGCATTTCTGCAGACATCGTGCTTCTTGAATGACGCGTCTGGCGGTTAACTGGCGATCGAGATCGGGGTGACGGTATGTTTTTGGGAAACGTTCTTTGGCAATGCATCCTTGTGGTGTCGTTAGAAACGTAGGCAAATGGAAGACTCGCTATCGTATGTACATGCGGGCGCGGATGTTGTAAAAAATACATATTATTACATGTAAAATAATCGTTAGTGTTCACACTGAGTTGTAGCAGGATTAGCCTTTTTGTTTAGGTTGAGACGCACAGCTTCGGCTCCTTGCTTTATTAGTTGTCCTTGTACGCGCATATCCAGAAAATGTGGCGGAAAAGAAATTGCTGTAATAATCGCTGGATGAAGGATGATTTTTCCTAGTTCGTTGTTCCGTCACTCCGCAAAAAAAGGACGATGGTTGTAGTCGTGAATGCATACCTATCCGGCTGTAGAGCACTAGGTTATTGGATCATAATACTATTGGCAAATCTACTTGCTGCCGGTAGACAACTGCTACCCAAGTAGATCGCCGCAATAATCAACCATGATAGCAAACGAACTTTTTATACGAGGCTTGGTTGTCAAAGGCAAACGAGCCGTTCCTGCATTAAAAATCTGTGACGTTCTTTTTTCCATTCCAACTGCAAAAAAAAAAGACGAATTTTTTTTTTCTCCAACCTTTTTTTTCCTATACATACATACATACACATTATGGCCACTATCGACGCTTTCAAGGCACCGTCCTTGGTATCGAAAAAGACTCAAAAGCAAATCAAGAAAGATAACGATGACGACGTAATTGTTGACGCCACCGCTTTACCTACCAGAATTGCTGCTTCGGCTGAAGATTCTGAAATGCAAGACGTTATGGATTCTTCAAAGCCTAACTTTGCACCTGCTGGTGCTTCTGAAACAAAGGTATAATTATATTCCTTGGCAATTTACAAATTGTGTTCAGACGTGGACTTGATTACGGAATTCTATCAATGATTGAAAACTAATAGCAAATTGATGTCAATTTACTTTAGACTGTTGTGAAAGGTCACCGCAAAATACCCGTTCCGCAGCATAGACTTTCACCATTAAAGCGACACTGGTTGGAAATTTACTCTCCTTTGGTGGAACACATGAAGCTTCAAGTTCGAATGAACGTCAAAGCGCGAGCAGTTGAATTACGGGTAAAGAAAACCTCTTTTTTGTGCTATATATATGGACAGCGGTAGATAGTAGTAGCATACCCCTTACTTATTCTTCTATATTAGACATCGCCTTCCACAGACGACACAAGCGCTTTACAAAAGGGTGCAGATTTTGTGCGTGCATTTGCATTAGGATTTGAAGTACAGGACGCCATGGCATTGTTGCGTTTGGATGATATCTTTTTGGAATCATTCGAGATCAAGGATGTCAAGACTTTGCACGGTGATCATTTGGCTCGTGCTATTGGACGTATCGCAGGTCGTGACGGCAAGACAAAGTTTACGATTGAAAACGCAAGCAAGACTCGAATCGTTCTTGCTGATACGAAAATTCATATCCTCGGCTCGTTCCAAAACACCAAGATTGCTCGAGATGCTGTCTGTAATTTGATTCTTGGTAGTCCGCCAGGCAAGGTCTACGCTTCATTGCGTACAGTCGCTGCACGTATGAAGGAACGTTTCTAATTGAATGGAACTTGCAAAAACACTCAAAATAGCATCTCTCTCTCTATCCCTTACAAATCATTGAATTCGAAAAAGTTTGTATAATCCCCATTTATCATGTTTTCCCTGTAGTTTTACTCTCTCTCTCTCTCTTTTGGCATATCATTCGTAGTCATCCAATCCTCCTATTTTCTTCTTGTTTCTTCTTTCCTTTGCACATATGTTTAATTATCGTTTTTTATAAATTGAAAAACTATTTTACCTGAAATTGGCTTGAGTTATGTACAACGGATGGCAATGTCATAATATATATATATGCATGCTTAGAAACATACAACTAATTTCTTTTATTGTTGTATGACATTAAAAAAGTATATTTACATCACGCTTGGAAGATAAAGAGGTTTATATGTATACTCTCATTCCTCCATCTTATCCTTATCTTTAAGACCCTATATCATTCAAAAAAAAAGAAAGACTAAGTAACTTTGCAAGGAAAGAGCAAAAAATAGAATGGTCAACTTACATAGTTCATGTAATCCGGCGTCTCACAAGCTTCATACTCCTCAATCAAATCCTGTACCACATGTCGTGAATCATCAAATTCGTCAAGACCTTCTGCAAACATTTCATGCTTTCTGTATTGCTCCAAGAATGCATTTCGTTTTCGGAAACGATCATATTGGTCACACGTGCGTTTGAAGAGCTAGAGAGTAATAAGTCAATGTATATTAGCAAATCTACACGTCCTTTAACAAGACAAAAGAACAGTTGAACTTACAGATGCTATGCTGGTATGGTTTGCAAGCATAAGGCCGCTGACACGATGTGGTGTCTGGACATAGGGAGATTTCTTTGACAATGCAACTTGGATACTGGCTGGACCCCAAGGAATGAATTGTGCTAATCGTCGTTCTCGAATACGTAATAATGATTTATGAACCTGTTTTTTACACCACCGTCCACAAGAAGATATCAATCAAAGTAAATATCAGAAAATTGGGTATGCAAATTGTATATAAAGATATAACTTACATCTGTAGGATCTACCTCGCCTTGAATGATATCCAACACAGATATATAACAGCTTCGTTTCGATGGTACAGTGGACACCATTCGGTTCTTGGGTTGTAATAAGCGCCGCATGACATCCAGCACGGTAGTCTTTCGAATGATCTTGGCCTAACCATTAGAACAAGTAAAAGAGCTGTAAGAACCCCAACTAGGATACCATGTTTCATACGTGCAGGCAGTATATGTTTTACCTTTTCAACTTGTTCGCTGGAAAACGGTGTGTATGCAGTTGTCAGGAAATGACATCGAGGTGTTGGTATGAGAGATGATACGATGCCGACGAGATCATTGTTCATATATCCAGGGTAACGCAGTGTTGTTGTACTCGCTGACATGACTGTTGATACCTACTCATTAAAAAGGCCAAGATAGTAAGAATCAATTTCTTCTTTGCAATCCAATCTATTTCGCTCTCATTCACATTATCAACGTACCAGCTGGTTTGTTTGCTCGAAATTAGGTGTTGCAGTGTGTAGTCGATCTGTGGCTATGCGTGCCAATGCAGCGTTATCCAGCACAACCTATTGTCATTTCTTTCTAAGTCATTGTTTCATTTGTACAATAGCAATGTTTGATTACACTTACCACGCTGTCCGCATTCGTCGTCAGTCGTTTTAATGTCAACATGCTATTATACGGCTGGACGACAATATCAGATACTTCTTCCGAATTTGGGAACACCGAGTATGTTTGTATGAGCTTCTTTGGATAGCGATCATTCAGTCGTTCGAGCAAGAAGGATCCCAAACCACTGCCTGTTCCACCTGCGATTGAATGTAACAGCATGAATCCCTTAAAAGAAGAAAATAAGCTTTCCTTCTCTCTCTTTTTATCTCTCGATTCCCCTCATTCCTGGTGGAGAGAAACTCACTTCTAAAGAATCACTTCCGTCTGCTTCTCGGTCCACCATATCAATGATATCCTCGTACACCTTTTCGCCCTGTGAGTAACCATACGCCCAAATATTGCCTGCTCCACCACCGTCGTTTGACACAAGTACGTTTTCGGGATTGTATAAATTAGCGTATGGCGATTCTCGAATAGTGTTAATGACGCGAGGTTCAAGATCCAACAGAATAGCGCGTGGAATGTAGTGTTCGTCATCGGCCTATTTGTTTTACAATAATCCCCAACTTTTAGTGTCAATCCAACTTTAATTTAGAACTGCATCCAATAATGTCTGTTAATACCTGATAAAAGAACACGTCCTTTCTATCTCCACCTTCAGTTGCGAAATCCTCCAAGGTACCATCGCTGCTAATACCATGCTCGGTACAGATCTGTTTCCAAAATTCACTACCGACTACAGGAACAAAAGGAATTAGCAAGTAAAGACTACTTGACTTGGTCAAGATCTTACTTTGATTTCCACATTGGCCAGCTTGTAAGGTAATGATCTCGCGAGGCATTTTTCGCGAGTAAAAAGAAAGAGAGAGTAAGGAAATAGGGGGGACGTGTCAGGCAGGAACCAGAAAAGTACCCGCTAATGGGCGATTATGGGCGCGTTTTCTGCTGCTGCAAGTCACGTCCTCATGCATCTTAGGGCGTGTGTAACTCTCTCTCTAACTCTCTCTCTTTGAATATCCGTGAGCTGGTAACTAATTTGATAGTTTATTATGAAGGTAGTAGCAACTATGGAATATACTAGATACTGACACTCTCATCAACATAAACAGAAGTTTGCGGAGGTTGGACGTTTCTGGTGATCAGAGGATATACTATACAGCGCCATACATGCATGAACATGTTGTTATATTGGCAGTCGGTTTTGTAACACACTCTAACTCTCCTCCTCGTCCTAATCCTACAGGTGCAAGCAATGACTCTATGGATGATATGTATGCACCACGTTTACAATATTCAAGCTATTGCTTGTACATGCGGAATGCAACAATACATCACAGTACCGTACATAAACCAGATTGCCGTTTGATGCAATACTTGGTCTTAAACATAGCCATTCACGTGCACCGTTACTTCTAGTTGTTGCTTATAACTTTTTGCCGATCACATACTCAATCTTACGACTGCTGTTGCACCTTATCTCTGTTATTATGCGTGTATTGTATAGATGCAGTCATGATTGTAATGATCCATTGTAATAGAAGCGAGGGGTAAAAATATGATAATCTAAATTTTATACTCTGATACGTACAGCACACGATTTGCTTTTTTTGGATGAGATTGTGATAAATATGTTTTTTGTAACTTGAGATAGATATAAGATGTGGCGAATAATTGAGGGGGATGTGATTTTAGAGTGTTAGATAACGAGGTATGAAGTAAAAATAAACTTGTCTATATGTAGCATGATTTTGTGGTGGTATGTGTTGTGATGTGGTTAAATGACGGCGAGAGTAATGATGGTAAAAGGGAAAAGTTGACGGGATGAAGAGGAAGACAGGACATATGAGAGAGTGTGTTGTTGTGAAGAAAGGGGTAAAACAAGATATACATATTCGGGCTAACCATAACATAGCGTTACTTTAAATTTTAAAAGAAGAGAATGGCGGTCCTAGCATCAAGAGGTTCAAGAATAAGGAAAAGGAGTGATGCCAGGATAAAGAAAGAGAGGCATACAAGCAGCTCAAATAATGAGGAGAAACCAAGTTCATATTTGCTGTTTTGACCGTCGAGAAATTGAGGCATATATAAAAGAGATATAATTAAATCCAACTGTCGCGAGAAAGGATAATGTGAGTGGTTGAAAGAAAGAAAGAGAGGTGAAAGCTTACGCGCGCTAAGTGGATATGCTTCTTCTGGCTTCGTTTTCTTGTCTCATAATGCTTAGCAGAAGAAAAGAGGGAACGGCATGCGAGAGTAAGAGTGTTCGGTAGATGTGTAGTATAAGGGCCTAATAGCAGTAGTAGACCGCTTTTCGTATTCAAGTATAATGATGGATGATGGATAAACGCATGGTGAATGTTGAATAGTAGACGAGAGAAAAAGATAGAGAAAAATGAGGGAGAACGTTATAGCATTTGGAACAGGTAGTATATATGTTTTATTTAAATATGTAGAGATAAAGAATAGCAGAAAAAACGAAATTTCGCCACTATTTATCTGTTTCTATCCGTTCCTCTGAAAACGAAATGATGTGCTTAAGGTACCTCAATCATTCCTGAAGGTAAAAAAAAAAACGACAGCATGCATCAATTCTCCGAGTGATATGTTCGCTTGTATTCTATTATCTAGATGTCTTTTAAGGCCAAACTTTCCTGCATCTTGACGCGTGCAGGGCGGGTTGCAGGTTGTGAGGACAGTATATGGAAACACCGCTTTTGCACTGTAATTGCTACACGTACAGTACTTGAAAACTCTTGTGAAGAGAAAACAAAGAAGCTTCCTTTCATTCATTCATTTATGTAAGTTTGAAAAAAAAATGTTTTGACTTTTGCTAAAGGATCCATTATGATTTCCCCTAGCATATATCGTCTTTGTTCATATGCGCCCCACTTCTTCTTCCTCCCATACATTGCTCTAGGTAGTCTATACATAAAATAGCATGACACCCCTTGCTTTTCCTTTCAATCTATGTATTCAGTGTAGATGATAAAATCTTTACTAACATGTACTCTATAAAAGCACATATTGAATGACACGTGCAGATCGCCGGTTTGTTTCTTTCGTGGTTGTTATTGCATAGTTATACACATCATTACGCGCTATGACATATACTATCGTCTATGTCGTCACGCGGTGATAGGTTGCTAACTGATTCCCACGACCCTTTTCTTTTCTGTATTGTCTGTTGTGGGAAAATTTGTACTGCCTTACTTGGCAATAAATCGGTCGATGGCATTATTACTAAACGAAGGAGAGGACTTTGTGCCAACAAATTCAACATGTTAATTATTATTCGAACCATATATGAAAACAAGATTAAACATGAATTTTTTTAGATACTTACTAAACAGATGCTATCTAAATCACCCTTATTATTATTGGAGATTGATACATACGCATGTGTGAAAATCTCGCTAGTCGATGAAATAGATGTCACAGCAGCAGCAGTAGCAGTAGCAAACAATGCTTTGGAAGATAACAGTCTGTGCTCTAAGATAAGGGTAATCATTCGCGTAATATGCTGTTTTTGGTCACTTGTTAAAAAATGCGCCCTTCTCCTTCCTCTTCTTCCATATTCACATCGATGCGATTATAGTCTTTTTTTTTCCAAGTCGCTCGAGCCAATTGCGAGTCGGGTAGCCATACAATAGTTCCTCTTTTTCCATCTGTGTTTTTCTCCATATGATTACCAAAAACATGACTGAACATTCCTTTTCCCATTTGAAATCATCATCCGACAGTTCAGCTGTTGGGGAGAGGGAACCCTGTCTTCGACCCTTATCTTGTTGTTCAGGGTCGACGACCCAAGTTAGAAACACGCGCCTTTTCACATGAAGCCACGGACATGACGAACCAAATGATACAAACAAAAAGGACCTGTGTAATTTGGGAGTATATTACTTGTAAATCGCTCATTACATTTGTACTATACCCTTAAAAAGTGGCGATTACCAAGAATCGGGGGGGGAAGAAAAGAGAGGGGGCAGGGGCGACTTGATTGAACTCGCGTCATTTATTTGTGCCTCCTGCTAAAAAATAGAAACCCGTCATTCGCTTGTTATTAGTAATATCTCTTATCACATAGATGCTGTCATCATCATAAGGAAGATCGGCAGCTGATATACAAAAGTGAGATCTCTTACCAACAACAACAACAACAACAACAATGGGAAATGCAAGTAAATGAAAAATTGCCTGATATATGGCTTTTGTTATCTCGTTCCGACACACACTAAAAAAAAAAGAGAGATAGTGCTTCTCCCTTCTCATGTTGCGATGTGTAATTACTGTTTGTTATTATGATATCACATTGTTTCCAGGGCAATGGCAATGTATTGACATAGAGCGCATAAACAAGTATACTCTTTCACTTTTTCACAGCAGTAAAATAAAAGAAAGACAGGAAGAATGTCGACACATGTGATGGTTGTGTGTTCTTATTAAATGTCGTCATGACCATCCATCTACCCATTCAATTGCTTATTATCCAGGATGTTCACTATCTCAAGTTGTTCGTTCACGGTTTGTATATAAAAAGAGAAAGAAGTAGACGTGAATTAACTCGAAAAACAACAACAGCTTTTTCTTTCAACATTTATCTCACCCAAACAGCCCCTTCACCTCTCACACCTAAATACTATACCTAACAATGGTTCTCTTTTCTACTCTTGCGATTGTTCTGGTTGTGTACTATACACGCGTGGCTCTGGCCTTTGGACAAGGACCTTCGATCGTTCAATATTGGGGACAGGTAAACTTTTCTCTGCTTCCTGAGGCTTATCTATCTTGCCATGTACATTCGACTTACTAGATACCATTATTTCAGAATTCTGCTGGTGCTACGGGCAGTGGAAGCCAAAAAAGTCTAGGCGAATATTGCGACGATGGCTTCACTGACACTTTTGTTATGGCTTTTGTCAATCAGTTTAACGTCGGTAGCCTGCCAAACATGAATCTTGCCGACGCTTGCAAGGATACATTTTTCCCGGGTACCCAGCTATTGCATTGTCCACAAGTTGCTCGAGGTATGTGCGCATTCTATTGGCTCATCGCTACTAGTTGATGATTCTCCCTTTTTATTGTACATGCCTTTTCTTACATTAATCCGCTCCCTACTAATGCTACTACTGCTGCTGCTGCTGTATTTAAAAGATATCAAGGCGTGCCAATCCAAAGGCAAAAAGATCCTAATGTCACTCGGCGGTGCCAGTGGCTCCTATGGCTTCCAAAGCGACGACCAAGCAGTTACATTTGCCCATACACTTTGGAACTTGTTTGGTGGCGGTAAAAGCGATACACGACCTTTTGATGATGCTGTCCTAGATGGATTTGATCTAGATATCGAAGGTGGCGGGTCCGCCGGCTACGTGGTTAGTAGTATTCCTTTGTTTGGTATTTAGATATACAACACTTGCAACATTGGAAATTGATTATATTCCTGTTGTTGTATCTTTAGACACTCGTAAAAACATTGCGCACTCTTTATGCGTCGGATTCTTCCAAGCAATATTATGTTACAGCGGCACCTCAGGTAATTGTCGATTTGTTCGTGATTTAACATTTGCCACCAAAAAAAACCGCAAGATTGAAAATGAATCGAAACATCATCATAGTGTCCTTTCCCGGATGCCATCTTGGGCTCAGTCATCGACGGTGCCGAATTTGATGCCGTGTACGTCCAATTCTACAACAATTACTGCTCCCCAAGCGGCAACTTTAACTTTGAAGCATGGCAGAACTGGGCTACGCAAACCTCTCCCAACAAGAATGTCAAGGTGCTATTGGGTATTCCTGGATCGCCTACTGCTGCTGGAAGCGGATACCAAACGATCGACCAGCTGGTCCCTATCCTGCAAAAGATTTCACAGTACTCAAGTTTCGGTGGCGTGTCTGTCTGGGATGCATCCCAATCATACAGTAACACCCAAGCGTCGCCCAACTTTGCTGCAGCTCTTGCCAAACATGTGCAAGCAGCAGCAGCATCAGCAGTGACAGCAGCTTCCGTATCCAAAGAAGATGACATAGCCGATCTGGATTGTCCCGTTGTCTCGGCTTCATCCTCGGCCAACAACGAAACATGTACCGGCCATGCTACTACATGTATTGATGATCAATTTGCAATCTGCAACGGCGGTGAATGGGTTACTTTTTCGTGTCCCTTGGGTACAGGATGCCTTCATAACTCAGACGCATCTTCAGACTCTGGCTATTGTGGCTATGTAACCGACATCATGCAGCAAGAAAAAGACAACAACAACAAGAAGAATACCACCAGCTCCTGCGGTCTCAAGCAGCAGGTCAAGCCCACATCGCTCCAGAAACCCAAAGTGGCAGCCAATCTCTATGTCGCCAGTGCCGAACAGCAAAAGAACGAGTTTTCTCTTGGCATCAATGCCCGTCGCATGGATACACGGCCCTTTGGTAGCTCGGTGACCGTTCAAATGACAGTTCAGCCCAACACGACAATTACTTCGGTGCAAGGCGGTTCTGTAGTCAGTCAAGACGGACGACAAGTGACGCTCAAGGTTAGAAACCAACAAAAGAAGAGCATGACACTCCAGCTGCAGGTCAGCGGAAAGACAGAAGCGGATGTCTTGGTCGCCCCTGATGCACGGACGCTTCAGTTCAATTAAATAATGTGTAAATCTTAGCAATCAGTTTTTCTCTTATTTCAAATATAAACAACCATCCACTGATAATTTTAAAACAGTTGCCCTATTGAATTATTATTTAACGAGGAAAGAAGTGCGGATTGCAGTGGACGCGCTGTCCGCATTCTAGTTTGTATTAATAATGAGTAATTGTGTAGGAGAATAACATGGAAAGGAAAACAACGGAATTTCAAAAGATAAGACAGTATACATGACGTGTTGAGGATGGGGGAGAGGGATTCAAAGGGCTATATATGATACAAGACGGTTTATCCAAAATGTACATGGGAAAGGAACAAAAGAGGAAAAAAAAGAAGATGAGGAAAAGGATGGCGTGTGTAAGAGAGAGAGAGAGAGAGGGGTTGAGACGATGGATGATTTGAGCGCTGGTGTGAATGGTTTATAATGTGGAGTGTTTATGAAGGATGCGGTGAAGCTGAAACACTTTGCTTCAATGGCGAAGCATTCCCTTGCTGCTGCTGCTGCTGCTGTGGCTGCGGGTGTTGCTGCTGCTGCTGTTGTTGCTGGGCTGCCGCCATTGCCATTTGCATTGCGTTCTTTTGGTTACCATTGACAACAGCTGCCATGTTTGCAGCAATCATTCCGTTTGCCATGGCAACCGCAGCTTGTTGAGGAGTCATTTTAGTTCGGCTGTTCTGGCGTTTAATAGGAAGCGATGCGATGCCTTTGTTTTGACCGTTTAGAGACGAACCGTTCAAACTGCCGGAGCGACTGTGGTTATTACCACTACCACCACCATTGGCCCTTGCCTGTGCTTGCTGGTGCTGTTGCTGCATAACGTTTTGTGGTGTGACGAATGGGATAGTAACGAGATTGCGGAGTTCGGCTTCAGAGAGTAAGTGTGTCCGGTGTTGCAAGTACCTAGAGAGATTGTACACACTTGTTAGCCTTCTTTTCTATCTGTCTTGAAAAAAGTGTTCCAAGTCTTACCGATCATCCATTTCATCGACTTCAAATGGTTCATCTTCGTCACTGGAATCAGAGTCGAATCGATACCGTTCGTATGCTTTTTGCTGAAAGGGTGTGGCAGGCGCAGTTTTCCCACCAAGAGCATCTCGTTTGTGTCCAGTGCGATCGATAAGAACACGGCCACCGCGGCCAATGCGTTTTCGGAAACAAGGTTGGTGTGGCTGCTTTTGTTGGGAAAGAGACTGATAGAATTGTTTTGGCAATGGGAGCGGAAATGGCTGATAAGGACACTGCAAAAATGAAAGTGAGTGTAAGTTAGTAAAAAAAGAAAAATTATAGCGTATGATATTAATGATGATCTTTACCTCTGTAACATCTTCGTAAGGAGCATCAAGCTCTCGCTTCCGTGCAAGTTCTGCGTCGATCGCCATCTGCATGGGTGACTTGTCATGCCGGCCGTCGTCCCGTTTGAGTTTGTTGAGTGGGATTTTAATCGTTGCACTAATAGATGACGTCGAATTATCAGTTATAAAAGTTTAAGAGCTGGGAATTTTCGCTTTTTGGCTTTGTTCTTCCACTTATTCTAATAATTACTGCTACTACTACTACTACTGTTGCTATCGCTTTGCTATTGGTAACATACCCGGATGAACCGCTCTCCATGGACGTCTTACGTTTCTTCTTGGACAGCAACGGCAACAAATCTTCGTCTTCCTTGATACCAAGCTGTCGCTGATACTCTCGCAGCTTACATTTCTTGTCGAATACAGTATGTTCAAGCACCAGGCCTTCCTTACGAATCTTTTCTCGCCGCAGCACCATCTCAAGCAGGTTTCGAGACATCTCCATTTCTGAACGCAGCTTGCGCAGCCGTTCAAGTGACTGTTGGTCTGTTCGACGAGTCTTGCGAATCGGTTTGGTTTCTCGCCGGCGGAAGCAAACGTAAGGGTCGATTTCGCCTTTCAGTGTGTCTTCAGAAAGAAGCTGTGGTATAACATCTTTGCCTTGGCGTGCTAGCCGACGCTCTCGCCAATGCTGATATACTCGCTCGTTTAATTTGGACTTGTCTGGCAGTAAGTGTTGTAATGCATTCAGCGAAGGAATTTGTGAGGGATCCTGAAAAAAAGGAATTCGGTATAACGTCAGCATAAATCCTCATGCGGGGTGAGGTGATGGTGAAGATGACGATACTTTACCACGTCAAGATGAGGCCAATGCTGGTCAACGGTGGACTCGTACTGCCACATGATCTTTTCAAAGTCATCTTCGGACAAGGATGGTGTAGTAGCAGTATCATTATTGTACTGTTTCAGAAAAGCGTCGTCTTCTTCGTCCATCACATAGGGGCAACCTGTGGTGTCCTCGACGGTGGAGGAGAAGCGTATCAGGGTGGATGGCTTGTTGAAGGCCTTCTTGTACATTTTGCGGTATTCCTTCTCTGAGATGTTGTGAGAGGCATCGGGAGTGGGGATGTAGCTCTCGACCTTGGCACCGGTGGTGACCGCCGCATGAGCCGCCGAGATAGCGGCTTGCAGATCATGCTATGTGCACATAGAGGGGGAGCGATCAGGATAAACGTATAATCGAAAGAGGTTGGGGGGGGGGGTGGGAAGGAGGAAACCGAGTATTATAAACTACGGCCCCCAGCCCCACTGGGACCAATCCGACGTAACCCAACCAACTCACACAGCCCAAATCAACCCCCACCCACCCCCCTCCCCCAATAGCAAACAAGACTGGGCAAACAGCCATCATCTGGCTGCTGCTGCTGCTGCTGATAATGATGGTGATGATGATGATGATGGTACTACTTCTACTGCTTACAAGCAACATACCTCTTCTTCCTCTTCCTTTTCAACACCGGTCTCTATCTGTGGCACTGAGCGCTGCACGTTGGCCGCATCAGTGATATCGGGAAGCTGGGATTCCTTGAAGATAGGGAGAGGGTGCTTGGGTGAGAGTTTCTTCACTCGGAATCGGGAGACCATCTAGATTGTGGAGTGGGATGTAGCTCGTGTGTGTGATTTGCAAAACCCTTGCTGGATGAACCTCGCAGATGGAGCGGCAGAGAAGGAGAGCCAAAGCAAAGAAAAAAAAATATGTAAAAAAATAATAATAGTAACAATAATAAAACTGACCACAATAGCACTGTAGTAGTAGTAAGAGTAGTAGTGGTAGAGAAGCTTGGCTTATTGTTATTGCTACCACTATTATTATTATTATTTTTTACTATTATTATTTTTTTCCTTTTCAACTTCTTTTTGATACGAGGGAAAATACTGGGTGCTGTTGTGAGTTCTCTCTTTTTTTTTTCTCTCTTTGGGCTTGTATATTTTGTACTGTAAAATCTTGGGGCTAAAAAAAAAAAAAAGAAAAACAAAAAAAATTTTACACTTTGTTGTTACGTCATCAGCCAGCGTCTGGATCTCATGACGACGACGACGACGAAGGACGACCTCAGTGATTAGTAAATTGGGGGCATTTTTCAAAGGCCGCATAGACACCACCACTTCCACTGGCAGAATGTGGCCGTTGTGGATTGTTCCTTGTAGACTATAGCTTATATAGGAGAGTTAAATGAGGCGTTACAAAGTGGACATATCACCAGTCATACACGGTGTGCGCCAGAAAAAACTCCTACCGCATTTTGAAATTGCCACTTGGCGCAACATTGCATTTTCTTCCTTTTTCCCATTTTTAATCATATGCTGCTGCTCCATCCGATGCCGGCTAAATTCATCTTCCTGTCGCTTTCCTCTCCTCGCCCTTCTAGCAGCAGCAACAGCACCACCATCGTCCCTGCCGTCACTCTCTTCCACTCGTTTGTCGTCATGGCTGCCTAGTGACCCTTCTCCTCCTCCACATGCATACTCCTCTTCTTTCCGTTGCCGACGGTTTGCCATCACCGGCTTAAACCCCCCCCCTCCCTTACAGGAGTTAACGGGCCTAAAGGGCCAGCACGATCCTCCCTCTCTTTGGGTATCGCGCTTTCTGGAGGATACGCTCCTGCCAAGTCAAGCGCCCGGTGCGGATATGGTGGGGTGCTCTGGCGGGCCAATATAAAAAGAAAATAAAATTTTCTTTTTTAAAGGTGAGTGCCAACATAGACATAGAATTATATGCGTCTCATGGCATCACAGATGATGGGAGATACTAAAAGCATGATGCCTGCTAGCTTCCGCGACTTTCGTCGAACGAACGAGAGGGAGAAAAAAAGAAGCCGATGCGCCGAGGTTTCATATGGGCTGGACTAGGGTGGCGGGAGTGCCAAATCCCTTCATCATGGGGCTCCTTGGAGGAAGAGACACTCTTGCATCGGGTGGGGGGTGGGGCGCGCCTTGTCCGTTCCTGTTGTTTTTTCGTTGGAGAGAGAGAGAAGCTTTTGGTGGAGACGACAAGCAAACATCTTAATCCTCCGTACTCACCACACGTTATTCGAAAATAAAGTTGCCGTTCTCTTGGGTTTTTTTTTTGTTTGTTTCTTATCCTTTGGTCTCCCACACACAGCACTTTGGTCGTCGCCGTCGTTGTCGTCGTCGAACTTTTCGAGTGCTTCAGGGACATGGTCGTACAGACGGACTTTTCAATTGGAGCGTTTCCGGCATAATGAAATCATCCGCTTTACTAATGACCCTGGTAGTAGATCATCTGAGGAGTGGTAAGAAAATAAAAGACACTCAGAAGACATATTTTCAGGACCGCGTTGAAAATGAGCGCTGCTGCGTCGGTTTCGGTGGCATTTTCAATATCCACGATGGAAGAACATACCATTTATTTATTTATCTTTTGGCTTGATGAAGTGAGAAGCTTTTTTTGTTTATTTTATAACAGGGCATGCGTAATTGTGATACGGAATGCAATCTAAGAAGCGAGCACTTGGCTCTTGCTGTTATGTGCGTTTCTTTTAGTTGTACAATAACACAAGGGGGGTTGAAAATGTGCACACATCACACACGCACAATTACAGAAAAGCAGATGAGGTTTTACTTACTACTATGTGTTCCGCTTACTAGATATCAACGTATTCCTCAGAGACAATTAGTATATGTTTCGAAGTAAAATTGCCAGAAAGAAGGTGCGAATTTCTGCGAACAATCATGCAGCCCGCATAATTAAGAAGCTTATTATTACAAATATGGTAAAATGGAACAACTCATCACTTATTCTCGAATTTGGGGAATCCCAGCAGCTGCTTCTGATAACAAAATAGCCTGCACTATCAGAACAATGATGTTGCTGGGGGTTCTTGCGACGCGTTAATTCCCGAACGGCCTCCTTGCAAACTCTTATACACACTTCTTGGAATCGCTTACAATAGATCGCTCTTGTTTACTTTTTTTGCCCCCAGTGATATCAAGCGCATTCGATCAAAGAACATGTTTTGAAGAAAAGGTACTTGCGCGTGATTGTTTGTGGTTCTCTGGTGGGTATATCTTGAAACCTATTATTGTATTCTGCCGCCTATTAGAGCTGTAGTAAACAAAACTGCAGTAAATATTTGCAGACGACGCACTTGTAATCGCTCATCCTACACCTTATGGCAAAAACCCCACGCTTTGCACTTGTGATGATATCACTCCACAAATGATGTTCATATTTCTCGGTGTTTCACCACGCCATGATGATGCTGATTGTGTCAAGATGGAAAGATCATCATCTAGCATATATGTATTCGCTGGTTTCTATAGCTGCCAGCAGAAAAGCATACGCTACATCTGGTGCGCAATGCAAAAGAGTTTGGAGAGTCAGGTAGATAGGGCAATTGCAGCTGCAAAACAGAGAAAAATTTCGCGCGACAATATCCATAAGCGGTTACCACATATGTTCACTTTACTATTTAGAACAAGATCATACAAACTATGTTTGTATTCATCATCCTCATCACCATGTGAACCATATCATCTTTTACCAGCAGTATGTATCAGTGAAGGTGCGAATATGTCCCAGTTTGCTTTTAAGCTGTTTGACCTTTGCTGTAATCGAGATTTAATATTCAACGACGAGCCACAACAATATAAACGGATCAACAACACCCACATGAATGACGGATACGAATGGCTTGGGGTGTCCTAAGCCCGAGGAAAGAAGCGCTGGCGTTATTGTACAACTGTAAAGAACACCAAAGGAAAGTGGCACCCGCGGGAAGAAAACATCCTTTATATGTTATTTTGAGGTTAACCCACTCTTTCTTTTTTGAAAATTACTTGGTAGATAGTACCTTTACTATCTAACCGCTCGAAAATTACCATTTTTCAGGCGTCAAATGGACTAATCTTGCTCGGAAGAACAACAAGCCATCGTAATTCAAGAACCCAACCTCGGTTTTACTGATAGCGATGATACCATATTCTTGTCTTCCTGAATGATATCGTATATTTCATTTAAAGTTCGCAACAGTAATTGACCTTATATATCTGGTGTACGTAAGCAAAAAAACAACCGAGCGACCAGAAAGTGTCTCATACATTTTTACTACTGACTATTGCAACTCAAATGTAGCACAAAAGCTTGGACAAACACCTATCGACCATTGATGACAAATCCTTGCAAGTAGCTAAGTATGTATGTAGTGACTAACCTGAGCACTTGTACGTACTTTGTTGCTTAAAGGTTACTATAAGCATTATCTACTGTACCAGCACAAAGTTACAGCAGAAGTACTTGTAAAGAATGTTATATATCATCATCGTGGACAGTGTGTTGTTGACAGGCAGTCGTACAGTTAGTAAAACTATGCCTTGCAGTCTTTGCTGAGTAGGTATGTACATACTCGAACTGGCAACAATTGCTTCTTATTTACAGATTGTTGAGAGCAGCAACTAAATAATAGCTTCCCGCCACAAAAGTCAATAATCAAAGTCGTAGACTCCAAATGCATATGCAGGTTTTTTCCTTAGAAATGGCAGTTGATTTTTTTCCAATCTGGTGCGACTGTTTCTTCCATTTTAATCGGCAGTCTTTGCTTCTGCTGCATAAAACAGAGTGTAACTCCTATTTATCATAGCATCTTCCACATACTATCACTTGTACACTACAATTGAATTTAGAGTTACTGCAACCACGCGCTATACGGTCTTGGCGATATGGCGTCGCCTGCCTTTTGCTATATGCATATTCAAACTCTAATGCATACATGGAATAAGATACACTCACAATCCAGAACATAAAAACCACCAAATATGAAGGTTGAAGCCTATCGATTCCAATCCTTCAAGTATTATCAAAAAAAAGAAAAGATAAACTAGTGGCGTTGCTTGGCATAATTTCCATAATTCCATGCGTAGATAATGGTGATATTGACGTCACGATCATCAGTCGAGACAGAAAGAGAGAGAGAGAGGTATACCTTTGCGTTTTCCTCTCTATTTTTTTTATTTTTCGACCCTTTTTCTCTTTTAAATAATTCAGCAAAATGGACTTTTCACCACATAAACCATCGCCTGACGAAGACAGAAAGACACGTTTACAACAGGAACGTAAATCAAAAGGCAAATCACGAAGCACAGCGACAACAACGAGTGGAGGGGGAGTTAATCGTGGACAGTACGATCCGTTACCAAACAGTTCATACCAATCAGGTGCAACAGCTACGGGCGGCAGTAGCAGTAGCAACAACAACAACAACACTAGTGGCTTTGATAATCCTTCGCTTTATGAAGAAGGTCTTTTCTCGCATGGCCCAAGTTTACGAGGTGGTGCACCAGGCGGTACAGTTCGAGTCAACAAGTATGAGACACGTTTACCGATACGAGTTGATGTCGAGGCCGCATTGGCTTATGCATTAGGGCCCATTACTGGTTAGTATGGTCAAAGAGAGATTAGTGGTGACTTTTTATTTTATAATAGAGGAAGTGCGAGAACCATAGGGCGTCGTCTACAATATGTCATGCTTTTAGTAACATTCTTGTTTATCTTGTTTGTAATAGGCATCCTATTAATTATACTTGAAACCAAAAACGACTATGTTCGATTTCATGCTTGGCAGGTAAAGTATTTGCAAGAAGGGGGAGGTGGGGGGTGGAGGAACAATGATTATATATACTGGATTGTATGTTTTTGGTGGACTTTACACATACTGATAGATGGCATAATCGATGATTGTTCTAATATTAGTCGTCTGCGCTATTCTTGTTCCTCATGTGCGTCCATTTTGTCTTGATGTTCATCTCCAATGTGCTGTCTTGGATGCTCTTTGCTTGCGATATACTCCTCATTCTTAGCCTTGGGTAAGAGTTGGATAAAGGAAGAAGATGGGTTCTATTTAAAGGAGGCATTGATCTATCAGATATTAATCCTTTTCTTTTTCTTTTACGAAATGTGATGGCAGGTATCGTGCGTATTTGGATGGTGCATCGTTAGAACGTAGTTATGTGCCCTTTTTCGGCCAAATGGCAGCAGAATGGGTGGATACTGAATAGTAATTACTATTACTACTACACATACATACACACATACATACATATACTCGATATACCAATTAGCATCATTATCTAGGAAAATACTAAATATCTAAAACGCTGTATTAAAAGGTTTGTAAAGAAGAAAAATAAGGCTAAGAGGAGAGCTACGGATGGCATGGATCTGTGTTGTGGAAATATGCAAAACTATACATGGCATATATATATATATGAGAAATAGGCATAACTATAATTGAAGAGCTGGACTTCGTATTTTTTTTTTGTTCTCGGTATTGCGCGGAGCTTTTGTCGAGCCGGCGACTGGTCGACCCCGTGCGTCTAATTTTTTCCTCCTCGTTGTTGTTGTTGTTGTTGCTGATGGATTAAGAAAGAGTGGACAGGGTTTGTGCGGGAAGAGGAAGAAGAGTTAGAAGATTTGTTGGGGTGGGGCGGGGAAGGGGAGGGGGGTCAAGAAGGTCAAGGTCCAGGCATGGTACATATGTTTAGGTACGGTCGGAAGATGTTGACGACCGGCTATCCTTACTGCGGGTTTGTGCCACACGTCGCTTATTGGCAGCTGCAGAATAAGGTCATTTATAGAGTTAGTTGATACCGATGATTTGTTAGTCAGACCTACATATGGATCCGATGAGCAGATCTTTTGTGTGCATGTGTTCTCCTTACATTTAGCAGACGCACGGTCGAGATTCGCAATGACCTTATGCAAACGTTCCATCCAATGGTCTCGGTCCTCAGGGCTTTCAGCCTGTAAAACATGGGCTGTAGCCGAAGCAACAAAGGTGGTATTAAGTGTATCGACGCCCTGGAATGGCGAGGTGATTTCAATGGAACTCGGGTCGATAGGCCTGAGACGCGCACGCTCCAGCGCCACCATGCCTTTGAACTGCAGCAACGTCCGGTTCGCTTCCTGCTTTGGTCGCACAAAGACAAGCATATCGGAGAACAAGATGTATATACGTTCCTCGCCACTTATCGACATTGAACTCTGTAACACGAGACGGCGTTGTGCCTTGACCCCAAACGGAGCTCCGACGAGCGCCTGATGGATCATCAGCACTTGATCAACATTATCTGCATCGTCGATTCTAGACACACGGACACATGTTTTGTGGGGGGAGGGGAAGAGACAGCAAATGAGCCATAGAAGAAGCAGTAGACGCCGGAGGATTAGCAAATTTGAGTTTGTACTTGTGTCCACCCACACACACACTAGAGATAAAAACTTACTTTGTCTTCATTTCTTCGGCGATGGAAAGCATGCGCTGCTTACATTGTAAGAGTTGTACATAGTCGGGATGCATCGGAGACGTAGCATCCGCAAGCTTGGTCATGAGCTGTGCATATCGACTGATGCATCCTGCAGGAGTTTGAAGCAATGACAGTAAGGTTGCGCCTTTGAGTAACGGATCTTTGTGAGCATTCTATACAAAGGGTGTGTTCTTTAGAAGATGGTGGGAGCTAGGTGTTTTTAGGCTAAGCACAAGAATTCTACTTACGTCGATGAATTTCTTGAACGGCTGGTATCGAGTTAATCGCTCGTAGGTTGTGACAGCAGTGCTGTAATTATCGAGATATGCCTTATATGCACCCATCCGCGCAAACTAACAAACAAGTAACGCACAGTCGCCGTCATTGTCGTTCGTCAATAACAAGCAGATCTTCCCCATATTCAAGCAGCGTCCTATATCCCAACTCGTCTGTTTTGACTATTTACAAGCAAACAGACAGCTTTTGGCAGAAATATAAAAATAAAAATTAAGGTTACCCAGCTCTGAAACACATCGGAAATAATCTGCGTGGGTCCCCAGATGCGCAACCTGGTGGAAACAAGAAAAAAAAAATAGGCAATAAACGTTGAGTTATTTTTTTTGCGTTTTCTCCTTTGTGTGCGTGTACCGGGTGCGGAGGAAACGTGTTGTGCCGTATAATTTGTGTACAGTGTCTGAAGATGTGCTCCAGTTGTGCGTGTGTGCAAATGAGTAGGAATTCACAGTGTGCAACATACCGTTCCTCAAGGCTGGTTAGAATCTCGCGGTGGACCTGCAGGATATCTTCGAAATTGCCGAAAAGCCAGCGTGTTTCTCGCTCAGTGCAGATCATTTTTTTCATTCCAAGGAAGCCGAACGACGATTGCTTTGCATCCTTGCGCACAGGCTCGATGAATACCTGCGAGACGACTTGGAGTGATTTGAAATAAGCTTGTTCCGACGTGAGCAATTGGTGGACGAGTGTTTCTCTACGACGGTGTACCATCTCGTGGTCTGTAGCACCATTACCGATTTAGGTTAAAACGAGTCTTTCTTGTTGTAAAAAATATAAACATTGGGTGCCCGCCCTTTTTTTTATTATTGCCACCTTGCGCCCCCCCACCCCCCAAGCACCCTTCCTCGTCCTCCAAATTCTTAATTGAAAAAAAAAGAGTGGGTGCCACACGTTACCGATCAATCCATCGTCCACGTCGTCGTAATCTAAGCTGTCAATAATGTCGAAATGGTCGTCACTTATGTTCATATTGTGCTGCTGCTGCTGCTGCTGCTGTTGTTGTTGTTGTTGTTGCGATGGTAACGAATGAGGCGGTGGCGGTGGCAACGGTGCGTTGCTTAGATATTCGATGGAAAAGCCGGTCATGTTCGTCGAGTCGCTGGGATAGCGTGCCGAGGAAGAACTGCTGCTGTTGCTGCTGGTTGTAGTCGATGCTCTGCTTAATCCGCTCTCCGTTCTGATAGAGTATTGACGAGGGGGGGTTTTGCGTAAGTAGGAAGAAGCAAGCACCGGATGACCATTGTCATCTACAGGCGCAGACATAAGGAATAGGCGGCAACAGCAATAGTAGAGTAAATATTAAGAATAAGAATAAAAAAGAAAGTGAGAGAGAAGGGGGAAAGGAGAGTGAATGGGTGCATCCTGTCGGCACGAATTACTTTATTCGTTTCGGATGCATTATACCAGCAATGGGACTGACACTAACTGTATGTGCGTGTGTGATGCGAGTGTGTGGACAATGGTTTCAATCTGTGTAACATGATCCGCATCCCCATCGTGCTATCCGCGCTTGCAGGACTCGCTCTTTTATTTTCGCTAGCCGATGGATTGCAATTGGCGCCTATCCCTCCTCTATACTATTTGGACTCACTATTCCGGCGCTGCCATTTACTAAAGTAAAAATTTCTATCTTTCTCGCGGTTTCAGGACGGGCATTGACGAAGATTGGACGCCTGCTTGACAGAACGACGTATCACAAAGAGATGCAAGATCGCTTCTAACCTGCGAAAGCAAAGATTGAAAGAAGCGAGTAATCAGATAAACATTCGCATCACAGGGGAGTCGTTGATCGACGATATACAACAACCTTGTTTAGGAGTTGGATCGATCGGATACGACTCCAACCCCTGGTTTCGGAAAGGTACACACACGTAGTGAGGATTTGCAGAGTAGCAACTGGCAGGTACAGTAGTATAAAAAGAGCGGGAAAGGTTAGTTTGTTTTTAGACTGGGTCCACTAGTAATGACATGTGGCGATTCCTAAAATTTTTCATCCATCTCGGCGGTGTTTACTTTATATATTAGGCCTTTTGCTGTTTTCATCATAGCAGTTCTGTACTGTGCACACTGTATATTATTCTATGATAGACGCACGATATCCATTCATAGAAAAATAGCATTGAATTGGGCTGAATAGAATAGTTCCCGGGAAACCTGTGTTTCTGCTGCTTATGTAGTGCAAAGGAAATAAAAGGCCATATATTTTCTCTTGTCTTTTGCTCACGAGGTCCCAAGCAGACGAGCTTACGTGATGATCTGTCCATTTTAGGTCATTTATGAAGGGTTAGAAAAATAAGGGTTGGGGGTGGTTGGAAGGGGAGAATACACACATACACATTATGCAACATATAAACTTATTTATATAACATTGCATCTTGGCTCAGCTTATTATGTGACAGGACATAGGTAAAGGAAGTCGCTAATAATTGACGCTATCATTTTTTTTCTTAGAAATGGCGGATGATTTTTTTTTCATAATGGCGCTGAGTTTTTTCCAACATGGCGGTGGGGGGAACACATGATGGCGGGAGAAACGTTTTTTTACTTGGCGCGACGTTTTTTTTCGATTTGACATCGAGAGATTAATAACATGGCGCATGATGGATTATAAGATGGCGGCTTGTTTTTTCAACGTGGCGTGAACGTGTTATTATCATAGCGTTTGATGTAATAAGATGGTGGCTTGCTATTCTACTTCACATCATAGTTTTATTATTTTGTAGTATAAATATATAAGTGCAAAAAAGGTAAGGAATATCAAAACAAGGCAAAAACACAATCATAACATTTCTGCTCCAGAACACATGGGGAGAAGAAAGATTTAGAATGCTCGATCTAGCGTCTACAATCGCCTGCTGTAACTTGATGTGCAGATGCGACGATACGTGGAGTTGAAGAGTCAGCCTTGGTCAAAAGCTCGCGCTTGACACCAGCTTTTAACTTTGATCAACAATTGGATTCAAAAATGGTGATAAAAGGAGGAGATGCAACACCTGGAAACCACGCTTAGTAACAGTTTCTTTGTACAACTGAGTACGATGGATTCTGGTATTATCCATGACAAGAAACCTCCCATGGATATCGTCCTTTGAAGCACGTCTCAAAGGATTGGCAAAAATGTTCTGCTCTTGTACCGATTTTAACAACCAAGGCGTTGTTCACCGTCCTCCAACTTTCTTTTCTAGGAGCACCCCCCCCCGGACCACTGCTTGTGGTTTCCGTAACGAGAGATTTACCACAACTTCTTTAGCAATAGCGCCCAGAATAGATTTGTTGACACAACCGGTTTTTAAGGACTATTGCCTTGGCAGGAGTACCTCTTCTCCATCGCCCGAGAGTTCGTTTCAAATGCAAATTGAACCCTGCTTCATCGCTAAAAACACATTGATCGAAATCGGTATTGTGGTTTGATTCGAGAACCCGCTCTTTTCTTTTCCTAATGGTTTCAAGGGAGACCCGGTACTCCGGGAGCCTCTGTAGTTTCTTCATCGTAAGGCCACAGTGCTTCACAAAATGCAATGTAATGCGCCTTGCGTGATGAACACTTGGAAGTGCTCATGGAGCTTTTCCTGCGCTTGCTTGATTGTTAGGGTAGGTTCTGAGTCATAAATATTCTGAAGAAATATAGTATGATCAGTAAATAGGACTGGCACTGCTCCAGGCTTCTTTTTAGCTGGCTTGGAAGTACGGTTCCCTATCCCGGAAACGGGCGTAATATCGTTGGGCGGTCCGTTCAGGCATTACTTGAACGGACTCGGACTGGCGCGCTCTCCAAATATACCTGGGGCACGTGGCTCTTGGTGACGTATTCAAAAATCGCAAGGCGCCATTAATTGCGAATCATCAAATACTCTCATCAGATACTCTTATTCCTTCGCAATTCTTTTCCATCTTTCTATTAAAGAGGACCGCTGTGTGTATTGTCCGAGTGGTGGATGTGGAATAACTATGTAGTAAGGCTCATAGTCCCTCAGCGTCCATTCGCGATCTTCTTGTTTCTTCCTCGTAATTCTTTTCAATCTTTCTAATAAAGAGGACCGCTGTGTGTATTGTCCGAGTGGTGGATGTGGAATAACTATGTAGTAAGGCTCGTAGTCCCTCAGCGTCCATTCGCGATCTTCTTGTTTCTTCCTCGTAATTCTTTTCAATCTTTCTAATAAAGAGGACCGCTGTGTGTATTGTCCGAGTGGTGGATGTGGAATAACTATGTAGTAAGGCTCATAGTCCCTCAGCGTCCATTCGCGATCTTCTTGTTTCTTCCTCGTAATTCTTTTCAATCTTTCTATTAAAGAGGACCGCTGTGTGTATTGTCCGAGTGGTGGATGTGGAATAACTATGTAGTAAGGCTCATAGTCCCTCAGCGTCCATTCGCGATCTTATTGTTTCTTCCTCGTAATTCTTTTCAATCTTTCTATTAAAGAGGACCGCTGTGTGTATTGTCCGAGTGGTGGATGTGGAATAACTATGTAGTAAGGCTCGTAGTCCCTCAGCGTCCATTCGCGATCTTCTTGTTTCTTCCTCGTAATTCTTTTCAATCTTTCTATTAAAGAGGACCGCTGTGTGTATTGTCCGAGTGGTGGATGTGGAATAACTATGTAGTAAGGCTCATAGTCCCTCAGCGTCCATTCGCGATCTTCTTGTTTCTTCCTCGTAATTCTTTTCCATATTTCTACTGAAGTGGACCGCTGTGTTGGTTGAGGCCAGTGTATTGTCCGAGTGGTGGATGTGGAATAACTATGTAGTTGAGGCTCATAGTCCCTCAGCGTCCATTCGCGATTTCTATTTGAATTTTTGCTCGCCTATTGAATTACCTGCCTTACAAGAGTCCCTTCCGACCAGGTAAGTTGTAATTAGCATAAAAGTGCTCAGAGTCGACGGTAGTATTCATGTGTACTTGATCCATTACCAAATATAATCGATCTTTATGTAGCATTTTGGATGGTCAACAAGCTTAGGAGGTTTTGTTTTCTTTCCTTTTTTCTGATTCAACCCCTTTTAAAAGTGACATTCGTACGTGCAAACTAGTTTGTCACCTACATGGCAATCCCGAAGCTTCATTCCTGCTAATTTGAATAGGGGAACGTGAAACTCACAAATACGGTCTGATACTGAACGAGGAAAATTGGAACTTAACGATAACAGCATGCAGAAGCTTGTAAAGACGCAAAGGGTACCTCACTGCAGCCGTGGCCGTATAGATTTGAGGTAATGTTTAGGTCTTTGTTTATGTTGTCACGCGTCTTCATTTATACATCTTTCTCAGTGAATACTCATTTGAGCAAAAATACAAGGTCCTGGTTCCTGAGCGCAAATAATTCATTGGTGATGTTTACGTTGAAGATGTGATATACAATTTTGCCGAGACTCAGCTTTACGAACAGTAAGTAGTCTGTAATCTGTGGGTTTATCTGTAACCCTACTGGTTAACCACATCTTTAACGCTGCGCACTCTTTATTTTGAACCTTAGGAGATCCTTGTTGGAAAACCGGATTCACCACATCTCAACTTTAAAAAATTGAGCAACAAAATGCTCTTCCACTTCCAGCTCTAACTAAAGACGATATGCAACAAAAGAAAATTGATCAATTCAGTTAACAAGTAAACCGTGGTCGATGAAAGCACGTGCAGCATCTGCAAGCACCGATGATACAGTATTTGGATAGACGCGTCAATAATCAATTCATCGTATACTTTCATTTGAGATATCAAGATGGATTGGGTATTGTGCTGACATTTTCTGTTGCGAGACGATCTCGTACTCTACTACTGGGTAAGGGTATAGATATATAAACCGATCGCAAAAGGGTGCCTGTAGTTGTGTAAATGTAATAACACTTTTTCAAAAAGGCATGATCGAGGAGGCGCCTCTCAATGTCGTATGACGTTTGACATGGTCATCAGTACAACCGGTTGCACACGACACAGTGGGATCCTTGGCTACCTGATAGCCTTTTTTCGGCAAAAAACGTGCATTTCGACAGTTGTGTTGGCTATCGGGTTATCAACGGAATTCGCCTTCCTATTTGCAACGATGGCGGCAATAGGCGAAGAAATTGGAAAGCCTCATAGCCAAAGGATTCTTTCACTGTCAAGTAATGAAGAAGAAGAGACGAACACCGCCACAGTAGCACAGACAATAGCTGATGAAGCAAGTAGTAATGCACAAGGGCTCAATAACAACGACAGCAGCCGTCGGCCATCATTGACAATACAACGTCGAACTTCACATGTCTCTACTCGAAGTCAAAATTTACCAAGGAGATCCACAGCATCAGCAAATGCAACCCTCAACTGCGATTCGAGCATGGACAGACAGGCTTTATGGTCGTTGTGATTTTGAACGTAAACGGAAAGCCCCACAAGCAAGACAATGCATAGTGCGCCGCCACCTTCATCTGGAACTGCTAGGGAGCAACGTCAGTTTCGTGATGGAAATGATGGTCTAAAAGCAGTAGATAACGTGGTAGTACTTTAATAATGTGGATCTTTTCAATGTATATGCGGATATACTCCATCATTGTCAATGTAAACAAGAAATATAAAGTTTGGATGTGTAATAGATCTCAAAGAACTCCACAATGGTATGCTTTTTACTCCATTTATTACCACCATTGTCGGGTACAGGAAACGACCTCATTCATTGTTGGTTGCTGTTCCTATTGTATAGTAAAAAAGATGCTATTACTTGTACTGGCAAATAAATGAATTACTCAATATAAATGGCGGCCCTCATACATATCCTGCTGCATCAAGATAATAATATATAACGTTGAAGGAGGCCAGGCGCGAGAAGTTGGGTGCGTAATGATCCCTTTGTAAATAACCCATCTAACCAGCCATTGCCTCGCGTATCTCATCGATGATGATTGCTTGAAAAAGTGATGAAAATGGGGAGAGAAATATACAGTGCTAGGTTTTAATTGTTATTGGATGAGTCCTGCTCATCATCCTCGCGGTTTCTTTTCTGCGGTACGACTGTGGGTGGTTCGATGTAATTCAGTGCTGAAGGGATGATCAGCTTACGCTGCTTTTTTGCCAAAACGGACACAAATCCTTCCTCCTCATCATCGGTACCAGCTGGTGAATTTTCCACTGCTTCGATTGTTGCTTTGATTATGTGCTAGATAATTTATGGTTAGTACATACAGAAAACTAATCCTTCAAATACTACTTTCATTTTTATCGGTTCACTAACCTTCAGACGATAAACTTGTTTTAAAAATTTGATATATGTGTTATAAAAATTTCTGAGCTCGCAAGGTATTCGGATTTCTTCGAAGTGTTTTATGCGGCAGGTGTAACCAGCTGGAACATCCATGACCGAAGTGTTAACGCGTAGGTCTATGGAATTAGTCAATAAACTATTCTTTGTCGTTTCTTGTTCGATGCAGTGTAAAAGTCACTTACGAGTATGGGAAAATCCTACTATACGCAGGGAGCGGATTCCCGCCTCGTCATTTCCCATCTCCGCAGCAAGGCTCAGCATCATATCTTTCATATTTTTGGGCAGCTTGACGAGCTTTTCCACGAGTTCTTTTGCTCCTACTCCAGCTTCATTCAAATAATCATGTTCAGCCGAAGCAAATTCCAGCATGTTTCTTGCGATTATAAGGTCAGGCTTAACGCCGTGAACCTTCTGTTTAATCGAGCCATCAGCCGCACAACTCTCTTCGTTGTGGCGTGCTGATGATGCAGCAGATTGTTGGTCGCTTCTGATTGACAAAAATACTGTAAGTTTGAATTCTTATATCAGTGCTCTTTTTACTGTTACTTCGATCAGTACCGTTGGACTTCCACTCCCAAATCATCGAAGCAATCGTCGATAGCTCGCCACAGCCGTAGCATATCCCGTTCTTTGCCCCTTGATGCCAGTCGGGCCATCACACTCCAACGATACGCTGATACTGTGTCAAGAATGCATCGTTTCGCCCAGTCAGCGTCAAACTGACTGACTACGTCAAAGTGAGCATGGTCGGCAACGTGGTGGATCTCATTGATGTCAGTCTATTATATGAGTTTTTTGAAGTTATAATCTATCGCTACATTTCTCACAAAGTTTATATACAGACATACCAACTCCTTGAACCGGGAAAAAAAATCGTTAAGATGCTCAGGTAGAGCTGGAACTGGAAGAGCATTTTGTTGCTCAATTGCTTGAAGTTGAGATGTGGTGAAAACGGTTTTCCAACAGGGATCTCCCAGGTCCAAAATGAAAGAGTGCGCAGCGCTAAAAATGTGGTTAACCAACAGGTTACAGATAAACCCACATATAATAGACTACTTACTGTTCATAAAGCTGAGTCTTGGCAAATTTGTAGATCACATCTTCGACGTAAATACCATCAATGAGCCACTTGCGCTCAGGAACCATGGCCTGGTACTTTTGCTCAAACGAGTCCCACTGTGCTTTTGTCAGTACGGTCTAGACACCGAAGTTAGAGATGAAATTAGCATACACATTAATTAAGCACACACAAAAAAAGACTTACTGTTTTGTCAGTTGCGTTTGAACGCGATGATTTGGAGGACGATTTTTTGGTACTACTTTTAGATGGAGAGGGACACGGTGGCGATTGCAGCTGTCCTCCACAAGAGCGCTGTATAATAAAATATTAAATAAAAATCAGCTGCCAAAAATTCTCTGTCGGTATTATACCTTTAAAAGCTCTTGCATAATTGCTATCCAGTCCGGTTGCTGCTTGTTCCAATTCTATGGTTACTTGGTCAATAAGCGGCTCGACCTGCAAAGTTTAAAAAAAGACGACAACGTTGACTTACTTTTACCCCGAGTTCTTTCACAGCTTCGACGAAGTAGTGGTTCCACGTGCCTTTGACATCTTTGAAATTACTGTGCTGTAAAATAATTTCGGGAGTGAACTGATGGAATTTCTTAAGAGAGACAACATCCGTTTCCGTGGTGAGGTATGTTTTGAAAGCTGTAGAATTGCGTTTATATTAGATATGTGTGAAGAAACAATAAAACACCCGAGAATACCTTTACGAAAGTTGCTGATAGCTGTATCTGCTGTTGTAGACGCGTTAGAAGGGTTGGAGGACGACATGTTAGGAATTAACGATGGAGGAGCAGTCAAAGAAGCGTTGCCCCATGGGAATGGTTGGCAAGGCAATTTGTTGCTGCGCAACGCGTCACAATTGAGTCCACAAAGTGCAGTATTATTTGTACCTCATGACAAACTTTAAGGGGTTACTAAAAACGACAACACCATCGTCGAAATCAATAGGCGACAGCTTGAAACTAACATATGCTCAAGCAGTACGTTAGAACCAGTCTCAAATCCGCCGTGAACGCATGATCGCGTCGTTGATAAGACGTGCTTCTCCAATGGTCAAGGACACATTGGGACAATTGACAGCTGAAAACAAAACATCGATTCTCGTTTGCTGCGACGCGAGGTCGAAGAGTTCAACCACTCTTTGATACTACAGCGCGTCCGGTCAAAGGATCAGAGTTGTTTCGCGCAGCCAGCAGAGATCTCTTTCCAGGTTCGGATGTTGGCGTAGACCTTCTACACGATCGCAATAAAAAATGAAATGACGTCACTGACGCTACAACAAGCCATATAGTAATCGAAAAAGGCGTTGATGTCACATGCCATCCTCGCCTAGCACGTCTTGCACTTCCAAGGGGTTTGCTGTGCTCATGATGCTCAACAAGAATGACAATGCTGAGCGACTTGCCACTCTCACGCATTGTATCATTTTTGGCATCATCCATAATCGCAATCAAGTCTCTAATTACTTGCAGATATTGCCCCTCTTGGGATCACGGTATCAAAAACGTCGCGATTGCCTGATTCCGGATGCTTTGAGCGCGGTCGCAACCGGGAAACATCTAACCCCTCCTCCCTACCCCCCAAAAAAATGCCCAAGACTACCCGCCCGACCGAGCCATCATATTCTGGCAAGAAGGAAGTTCAAGGTGTCTCAAAACGCACCGATCCCAAGCTCCAGCCAAAAGCAAGTCCCATAGGTCTCGAAAGGAAAAGGATCGATTTGTCAGGATGAAAAAGCTGATATCATGCTCTAGTTCTTGTAATTGACCTCGACGGGTGTAAGCTTGAAAAGGAGGGTCCCGGAACTAACTCCAAAGCCAAAAGATAAAAACATCCACCCACACCATTCGTCAGAAGAATATGCCCCTCAAACAGAAATGGATAATGCTATAGACAAAAAAAGCATTCGAGGACGTCAAGACACCGCTTGATGAATTTGCGCCCTCTACGTTTCATGCACCAATTTTAGGAAATTTATAATTCGCAACTTGCAACTTGCATCTTATCGAAAGTAAATCATTGCTCAAAAACAACAACAAATATGTAGTATATATATCGGATTTGGTGGAGTCGGGCGGCTGTAGACTAGAGAGGGTCGTGGCAGTGTCCATGAGGCAGCTAAGATGTGGTGAGGGGGTGTGCTGTGGAGCGGTGGCGGTTGATGAGGCAGTTGCAGTGCCTTGTCGAGTGTCGGGTGGAGATGCCATTGTCCCAGGATGACGCGGGTGTGAACCATAGTGACGATGTTAGGTGGCCGGCTGTGGTTGATCGGTTGTAGGCCGTGGCCAGTATCCGTAGTACGGTAGGCTTTGCTCACCAAGTATTTAGCGGGAAGTCGCCGTAGTTCCGTATCCGGCGAGAGAAAGGGAAGAAAGGGAGCAGGTATTGTCGAATTAAGTTTTGACATTTCTGTAACCACTCGACCGGGACGATACACACGCGGAGGACATGCCATAGTCGAGAGAGTAGCAGTGAGTTGGCAATTATAGATTTTCCTTGGATGGAGAGATGGCGTTGTTTTAGTAGAGCAATATGGTGTTCTAATTTGGTGTAGAGATTATCCAAGAAAGATGCGAGCTGGTGTGGATTGTTGTACAATGGATACCCGAGGTATGTTAGCGCTTGGGGTGAGGTGCTGTCGTGCCAGCGAGCGCCAAGCGTTTCAACGCGTGAGATCCACCGTTGATGAGCTTTTCCAGACAAAGAGAACACCACGGTTTTGTTGAGGTTGATGCGTCCATTGGATGCGCGGCCGTATGTGTTGATGTGGGTCAGCAATCGGTCCTACTCGTCAATACCGTGCAGGAAGACCAAAAGGTCGTCCGCATAGGCGAGTATTTTGATCGGTGGATACTCTCTTACTGGACTAGTGGTGTGTAAATGAGTGCTGCTTCGAGGGGGGAGTGGCGCCAAGGGTGCTCCGAGTAGAAGGGAATCAGAAAGAAGGGAGAGAAGGAGGGGTTCAAAAGCAATATTAAAGAGTAATGGGGAAATTGGGTCCCCTTGGCGCAAACCTCGAAGCTGACGAACTGGCTCAGAGAGCCAGCCGTTAAGATAAAGAAAAATGGAGGTAGAGAAGAAGAGAGATACAATAGAGTCAATGAAAGAAAAGGGAAGTCCAAACCTTGCCATGGTTTGTTTGAGATACTCACTGTTTACCATATCATAAGCTTTTGTTTGATCGATCAATACGCCAACTGGTTCCTGTGTCGATTCCAACTTGTGCGCATGACTCATGAATTCTGCACCGTCCAGCCGTTGTCGGAAATCAAGCGGTTGGCGAGGAACCCAGTCTGGAATGGATTAATGATCGTGTCCATCATTGGTTGTAAGCGATTTGCCAGTAGTTTCGTGAAGATTTTGGCGTCCGAGTTAATGAGGGAGAGTGGTCGCCAGTTGGACAGTAGTTGTGGATCTCCTTTCTTGAAGAGTAAGATCATTCGGGTTTTCATCCAAGAGTCCGGGAAAAGTTGTTCTTCAAGTGCTCCATTAAGGACAGAGAGAAGCAGCTGGATGAAGCCGTCGTGGGATGCGAGGTGGCGGTAAAGCTCAAATGCCAAACCATCGAGGCCAGGACTTTTTCCAAGTGGAGTGTGTTTCAACATGAGGACCAGCTCCGACATTGTGAAAGGGGTGGTTAATCTGGTTTGTTGTGATTCGGAAAGCCGAGCGTCTTCCGGGACATAGCTGAGGAGGCTATCAATTGCAGGAGGTGATACCGGCTCCGGCGCGAACAGGTTGGTATAGAAAGACTGAGCATGGCGAAGGATATCCTCGGAGGTAGAGAACTGTGCGCCCGTGGCGAAATCACGCAATTGTTGAATAGTAGCTGCATTGTGGCGTTCACGTAGCACTCGGAAGAAATACTTGTTGTTACGTTCGCCTTCCTCGTGCCAGCGAGTAGCTGTGCGTAGCAATAATTGACGAGTTTTGGCTTCATTGATCTGGGCGATTTCTCGTTCAAGTGTTGGGAGGGTCGATCGAGAGGTGGGCGTTGGACTGACTAGGTGTTGTTGTCGTTGGCGATGGAGAGCGGACAGGCGGTTCTTGGTATGGCGACTGAGCGAACGACTGAATTGGAGAGCGGATTCCTTAATAACATTCTTGAGCTGGTCCCATTTCGCTTGTGGTGAGGTGGTGCCGTTGGAGGTATAGTCAAAGAAAGTTTTAAGAGACTCCCGCAAGAGTAACTGATAGTCTTCATGTTCGAGTAAAAGGGGGTTGAAACGCCATGTTCCCGGGCCACAGTCGATGTTGCGAGTCCTCAAGTCAAGCATGAGCATATCGTGATCGGTCCATGCTGGGTTGGTGAGTTGTTGCGTGTTTCGGATGATGTGGGAGCGTAGTGCCGTATGAGCAAACATATAGTCAATAGTCGTGCGGTGATTCCCTCGAGAAAACGTAGGGGCGGCTGTCGGGGGTGATAAAATGTCGCTATCGTCTAGGTAAAGACAGTTGACGCAACGATCAAGCAGAAATTGTGTCCACGGGCGAATACCAGTAGGGACGGTTTCATGAAGGTGCAAGTTGAAATCGCCCACGATGATGGTGGAGACCGTAAAAGATCTAAAACATGGCAAGGTAAGGAGAGAAGAAAAAAACTCTGGTCGACGGTGTGCATCCGCGTAGGCGTATATCACCACCAGACGACATAGAGCCCCATGTGAGGCACAAATATCGGAGACAATACAACGTTGATCGGGGGTCACATAGGTATTAGAAAGAAAGTAAGAGGGGTTGAGGCAAACGAGCCCACAGTGTTTGGTAAAGCAAGAGGAAGAACGGGGAAATATACGAGAAAGTTTTTGTAAGTCATGGTCGGTTAAAGAGATGGAACATGTGTGTGATACTTCCTGTAGTGCGAGTATGTCTATATTAAGCGTTTTGGATCGTAAATGAGCGGTGAATTGAGATTGGGTTGTAGGGTTGGCCTCTTTAAGAATGCTGCGGGCATTCAGGGAGGCCACCCTTGCATAGTTGGTTACAATCTTTATAATCGCAGACCGGAAGAGGGCGGAGAGCTCCCTTCAGATATGGTGGCTAACGTCGAGCCACGTAGGTTGTCCTTGACTGTGGCTAGGGGATGCGTATCATTGCTGCTATGGTCGGTGTACTGAGGTTTGTTGTCGGTTCGTTGCTTCTTGGGATCTCGGCAGATCGACTCTTGAGTGTCGGGCGGGTTTTTCGAACTTATCGGCTTCCGTCATGTCACTGTCGTCACTGAAGGAAACCGAAACTGCTGGTCGTTGGTGTTCTGTCTGATCGTCAATATCTGCGGCGTGCGAGTTTGAGTCGACGTCGGCTGGTTCACAAGCTGTTGTGGTCGTTCCTGCTACTAGTGTTGGGGACTCAGGTTGCTGTTGTGATGGTGATACAGAGCGTTGAGATGGTTGCTGCGATGCTGAGGACTGTGCTCCAGGGTGTTGCTCGGGTTGTTGTTCGAAGGACGCCAGTAGCTCGTGCTCATCCATTCTGTCGATTCTGGTGCGTTGATCAGCAGCTTTTTTGGCATTGCAGTTGCGTTGGATATGTCCCGTTTGGCGGCAGTAGTAACATTCGACAGGGTCCAACTTAGGACAGTCTCTGCCCCGGTGTCCCTCTTTTGAGCAATACCGGCAGATTGGGGGGCAGTTTTTCCAGGAAGCCGGGAATTTTTGACCCCAATTGTCAAATTCAATGAAACGCCGCAGCGGCATGTAGTACGGGTTGCCATCGTCGCGCATTGCGTTGTCAGGAGGAGTGATATCAATAATTACGGTTGCTTCACCTTCGAATATTCCAGTCCCGGACTCGCGGTAGAGGCGAATTTGGCAGACTTTGCCGTAGTTTTCCATGGTGTTCTGGAGTCCGGCCGACAGGGCCTCTGGAGATATAAATGGCAAGTGTTTGAAATTTACCTTTACCAACTCAGCGTCTACGGAGACGGCCTTTGTTGCACGATAAGGCTGTGGGTGGTCCAGATATGTTACACCGTCGTTTATTGCTTTTAGTGTATCTTCGTGGTCAATGTAGCGAGCTTCGATGAGAAGAGGTGCCTTTGGATGTTGGGTGCGAGAAATAACCGATCCGCCATGCACTGGGCCTAATGTGGCGATCAAGCGATACGCTTCTGATTTGGACGGAAGGGCAGTGCCAAAGTCGAAAATGACAGCATCAACATTGAGGGCGCGGGCTAAGATGGTCTCTGCTTGGTGCGAACGGCGTGTTTCCTCAAATCCATTGGCGGTGAAAATAGTGTCGCTCTTGTTGCGAACGACGTTGGCCCAAGACCTACGTCCTGTAGATCTGGGTGGACGATGAGTATCCGTCATCGTCAATACGAAGGCAAAGGGTAGAGGGCTCTGTTGCCTTCGTGGGAGTGGTAAATGTATTAGTGGTCTCAGGAACTATTGAAAATGGCAGTTGCTAAAGCCAGCAACATCAAATTCTTCTTTTTGGGTACCTCTCCCCCATAGATTGTCAATGCCTCTCGGTTGAAAGCTTGTACTCACTGACTGGCCGAGAAGGTCGATGAACTTCAAATTCCCTCAGGAAATTCTTAAACATTCTCTACGAGAATTAAAGATTTCTAGCATATATGAACAGCCAACATGCAAGAACAGCAGTGAATAAAAAACGTAGTTGAGTACTTTGGGCCTTAGGCTTTCCTAAAGCTGTAGCTACATCTCTAATGACTTGGTGAACACTTAACCTGCCACCTTTACCACGTGCTGCTTCGCTTTGATAACTTCTTTTGAATATCACTTCGTCAAAGAGTAAATCTTTTTCCTTAGCTTGAATAAAGCCACGAATCAAAATCATGCCTTCAATTTGCCCAAAATTTCCAAGCATAATACCTGCATTGGAGTGCTTCCTCTGCTAACACAATTGAAGTAATGTGGTTAAAATGACGAAACGAAAACAGGTTGTGGGGACCACTGCGCACTTTTATTGAAAATTGCTAGAGGTGCGACCTTTTTCAATGATGGCCCTCCTGTGCTACACTGTCACCTCATACATAAGACTTTGGTCCTAATTGATGTAGAGGAAAGTAAAAGATATGCCTTGGCAAGAACTTGGTAGCCAGTGACAGTGAAGGGATAAAAGAATCGTTTCCACTCATGCAAAGGTATGCGAAAAGCTGTGCTCGATCAAATTGATGTAGTAGCAGATGTGGTATTTTCTTTTCAATCGCAAATAGCAAGGCGTAGATCTTTTTCCTTGAAGATGAAATGTAAGATCAAAGGAGAAAAACTTATCATATAACATTAAAGAAAATATCAAGCATTTATTGAATAGTTATGTATCTACAGCAACAAATTGGATAGAATAGTAGTGTATATCGATTTTGTGTGAGTCCTTTTTAAGCCGATCAGACAAATGCGAGCTTCTGCCAAGAGTGAGTAATGTCAATAAGCTAAAGTGGCCAGTTCTGTTGTATTACTGACGACTGCTAGCGAGCTGATCAACCATCAGCTAAACACAAGTACAGGATTCACCATGAGCTATGAAATTTCAGAGGACATAATAGCTCACCAATTGTGGTACGTCGAATTTAGTACTGCTAAAAGCTCGATATTACTATCTACGTAAATTATCACTACTTACCATGAGTTGACTTATCTCCAAACAAGTGGACTTTCAATTAAAGAAGAGCCATAACATTTGCACGCTTATGTACGAGAACATTTACACAGCAAAAATGCATCGCAACTGGGCGTTGCCTGTGGTTGTGTTTTCTGACACAACATAAGCCATCGACTATTACTCTCACAGGTTTCTCAGCTGGATGTAAAGCAGGAATATTTTGTTAAACTTCTCCGTATCAATGATTTCCTTGAGCCACAAACATCTTGAAAACTCTAACAGAAAACTCCTATCAAGGGAATGATATAAAACTTGTGATCCAGCTTTCGGGACAAGGTTTTTTGGCGTTGGAACATGATGTCACATCAGTAGAAAAAGCAAGGCGAACGCAAAGCGGAGTATGAATCAAAGCAAGATTGTTTCTGCAGTTGAACTTTTTTTTTAATCGAACACCTGCGTCTCTTTTCTACTTTTAATACACTGATGAATGATGGAGGACGACCACGGCAAGTGTTAGAAGCCCATAATCTCCTAGTGACTTGAACCATTTATTGCAAGCGGTTTGACTTATAAAAGAATTCTTATAATTTTTACAGAGATCTGCAGGGTTTGCAGATGTGAATCGACACACGATCACCCTTTATTCCATCCATGTAAATGCTCTGGTAGCATTCGATTTGTGCATCAGGATTGGTAAGAGTTTTTGAGAAAATAGACTTTTCATCGTCGTTTCAGCTATTAGCTTTATCTGAGTAAAACATTAACACCTAAAACCTTTCTTTTTACAATCGTACTACAAACATAAAGCCTTCTCGAGTGGTTATCGCATAGCAAGAAAAAGTAAGTTATATTCTTTGCATGATTCATTTGTTTGTTTTGACTGACATTCTCTATTTTTCAGGTATTGCGAATTATGCGAGTATCCTTTCACATTTACACCGATTTATCGAGATGATATGCCTGATCGGATACCGATAGGTGTCCTCGTACGTCAGTGTGCACGACGGTGTGGTGCACTACTGTGGGCCTGTTTCCGTGCTGCGCTGGTCGTTGTCGTTTGGCTTGTCATCTTGCCATTCTTAACCTTATGTACTTGGCGGTTTTACTTTTGGAGTGGAGAAAGCATTGGGTTTGCAAAAAGGCTGGCCAAGAATGCAACCTTACTTGCCGAGGAGTCATTATCATCGTCTTCGAGTTTATCATCCTCCCTCAACAACGCAACCGTGTCTTCTCCCACATCTTCCTCAATTCTGTTCGGCTATAGTATAAAGTAAGCTTTCGTAACATGGAACTGGGGCTGGAATATATCAGTTGGAAGAAACGATGATCAGGTGATTTATTTTAAATTTATCGTGTTCTTCTATCATTTAAACAGAGGATTTCTGAGTGAATGCTTTGAAGGTCAAATCATCACTGCATTTGTAATCATTGTCTTTGTTGCTGCATACTTATTTCGGGAATGGGTGATCCAGAACACTCCTGCCGAAACGGGTATCGAGATGCTCGACGACAACGAAGAATTTGCTCACGATCATAATAACGACAACGATGACCGGTTTGCACAGCAACAGGCGGCCGTAGATCTTCTGTTCAACGTTGCCCAGACAATTCAACCCGAGGATGACGCAACAGCTCAGCAACAAGAAGATCTAACTGCACATCTCGCCGATATTACACGACAACTCGAGCGGAGGAGACGGATGATGGGTGAGAACCAACGATATCGTACTACTGAAGAGATTAATGGCGCTGTGGAATTGCCGCCAACCTCATCCCGGAGCAGCAGTAGCAGTGACAACACATATTCGTCAAGCAATAACCATGATCACGACGACAATGACGATGACTACCTTGATGACTCGCAACCTACCGACGAGAATGTTTTTTCATCTCCTGAACCAATCCTTGAACAGCAAAATGAGGCTACCGCCAGCAGTAGTAGCAATAACACCATTGTTAGTAGTAGCGCCACTGCAACTACCAGCAGGAATAAGGGCAAGACGCGGGATGATCGAGGGGGAGCATTCTTTGAAGAAATCAACGAAAGCGCCGAGGAAGAAGAAGATCTTGCATCAAGTAGTCGTCAATCGTTGCTTGCTAGTTGGAGAGACGAACACAATAGACGGGAGGATGCTTCCTCGAAACTGCGATGGAGAGCACCAGAATTTGCCGATTCACCAGATGCCGATATACCAGGGAATCATTTCCCAGCAGCTGATGAGCCTTTGTTGGGTCACCATGACGAAGAAGACGACGACGAGATCGAAGAAGAGGATGGGGATGAGGAGCAGCACCTCCTCCACCATCACCTTGACAACGACATTGGCGCTAGGGAACAGCAACAGCAGCAACTCCCCAATATCCGCAATTTCGCACCTGCACCACCCCCTCCTCGTCCAGCACGTGAACAGTGGGATAATGGAAACGACAATCGAGATAATGCAGTTGACGACGAGGAGCCTTTCGACCTTGGCGAAGACATTGACGGTGTGCTTGAAGCAATCGGAATGCGTGGCAGTATGTGGATGCTCTTGCAGAACTCAGTTTTGATGTCACTGATGATCAGTCTATGTCTCGGTGTTGCCGTATGGATACCATATGTCATTGGACGACTTGTCATTTTGGTAAGGAAATAGTTTATTTGGTGTGATTAAAGGAGGTTTTAATAGGGGTTCAAAGTTGGAAGTTGGTTAGCTTGCCTTTTATTATAAGTTAGCCTGCATGATTATTAACTGTATGTGCATCTATCATACAACTTGGATGTAGATCCGACCAATCAGCTTTCTGAAAACACCCATTTCGATCCTTCGCTTCATCACTGACCATATTGTCGATTTCACACTTGATTATGGCATGCCCTACACTCGGTCAAAGATTGCGTGGACAGCCAAATTGCTACCGGAAAATGTTCAGGTGGCGCTCAAAATTGTTGACGGATATATTACGGATTTCTTCGCTCAGCACTCGAGTTTGTATACATCTACGGCAACCGTGATGGCTGATTCCATTTCCGCATCCCCGACTGCTACTACAACAACTGCTGCTGCTGCCATTACCACCGCCACCGGCACTAGTAGTGCAATCCACACTGTTCTTCCAATTGATATTTTCGCGTGGAGTGGACATTTGGTAGTGCTCCAAGAAAAGGTCGAGATAGCGGCATCAATGATCCTCGAACGCTGGCATCGGTTTGCTTTGGGACAGTCTGGCTTGGATCGCAGTATTTGCATTTTGATGGGCTACACTGTGCTCGTCGTTGTTGGCTCCTGGTACCTTGCTCGGGCACGACGCGTATCATCCCATAATGCGGCTGGCAACAGCGTCAATGACATCATCCGTCAACAAGGTGTATTCCTCAAGGTGTTTTTCTTTATCGTCCTGGAACTTGTCGTATTCCCTACTGTATGTGGTGTTCTGATTGATATTGCAACATTCCCATTGTTTGAAGACGCAACCATTGCTGGTCGGTGGGAATTTTTCCGTGCAAATCCATACTCGGTTACGTTTTTGCACTGGTTCATTGGCACCGGCTTCATGTTCCATTTTGCTGTATTCATCACTCTTGTACGTGAGACAGTTCGTCCAGGTGTGATGTGGTTTATCCGTGATCCGAACGACCCGCAGTTCCATCCAGTTCAAGAAATGATTGAACGCCCTGTGCTGACGCTTATTCGCAAGATTGGCTCTAGTGCATTGATGTACTGCATTCTAATTGTCGTTGGTATCGGTGCTGTCACGCTTGCCGTCAGTCAGTATACTGGTGTTTATCCGCTACGCTGGTCATTCGAGTAAGTCATATAACAGTAGAAGGATCAAAGACGAAGTGGAACTAATTATCGGTGTTATTTTAATAGTGCTCCTTTGTCGACATTGGCTTTGGATCTTATAGCCGTTCAGTTCTTGGTTCCACCTCTGGTATCCCATATCAAGCCGCGAGACTTCTGCAAAAAGGTCATGTCGGACTGGTGGCGAGCGGCATCACGCCATCTTCGCCTGACTTCATTCATGTTCAATGGCCGGTATCCCGAAGAAGAGGGCTCGCACGTACGCAAAACATTCACAGCTTGGCTTTTGCGTCGGAAAGCACCCATCAACACTGATGTGGTATATGCTGACGTTGCAATCAATAACAACAACGGCAACGCATCTGTCATTTTCAAACGGGATGGCACGTTGGCCCGTGTACCGAAGCACGACAGCGTCCCTGTACCTGACAATCGACGCATGATCGTGCCTGTTGACCCGATCAACCTTGAGCCTATCAACGAAAATGAACGAAGACTCGGACACCCTGCAGCAGTTGAATCGGGCGATTTGGAGAACAACACAACGATTATCTATATCCCTCCAAATTTCCGGCTTCGTGTCGCCTCTTTCGTGTTCCTATTATGGGTATCCGGCTCGGTCTTGACTTGTTCCCTTACTGTCGCTCCTTTGCTATTGGGCCGTCATGTATTTGAAAAGTACTTGGCAGGAACCCAAGTGCATGATATGTATGCATTCATCGTCGGCGCATACATTATGATGCTATTGAGCACATTCATCAACTGGATCGGTCAAAAGTATGATGTGCTTGCTCGATCTCATGGTGATGTGGATATTTCGGCAACTGTCGGTTACATCAAGCAGAATATGAAGAAGGTAAAAGGAAGATTTCCGAGAGATATAGATCTTGCTTCCAGTGCATGATGTTTACTTACTTTCTTGTAAAAATCCTAATATCTTGGCAGTTCTTGAAAGGAACTTATCTTGCAGCAACATTTGGTTTCACTGTTCCGCTTTTGCTGGGTATTTTGGCTGATGTATACATCTTTATGCCCATACGATACTCAAGTTCAAACGATGCATTAGTGATTCATGTATCGGAGGTAGGGTTTACTTGTCTAATTGTGCTCTACTATGGGAAGATTCTTCAGCGGTGCTTATCCCCACGCTCTCTCTCTCTATTAGGACTGGTCGTTTGGTGTTGTCTTTATGGGGATCTTCTACGGCGTTGTGTACATACTTCCCGATAACCCTGTGCAGCGATATATTGATGGTATCGTTGGCGGTAATGTCTGGGAGGTCGATGCCTGGAAGATTACCCGGTCCAGCATCGCACCGCTTGTCGCCACTTCTATCGCTGCTATTGTTGTTCCAGGATTGCTTTCAGTGGCTGCAGTAAGACTTTTCAATATCTACGACGGTGCACTTCAATTAGCACTTTTCCGATGCGCCTATCCGGTGGTATTCTGTCTCGCTATTCTGGTTGGTACGCTCGTGCTTAGCACAAAGCTTTTCCGCATCTGGCTCAAGGCTGTACGGGATGATACATACCTCATTGGCAAACGACTTCATAATCTAGATGAACGATAAATACTCTCCTCCTCTCTCCCGACCTTTTCTCTACCCCATTTTTTTAGTAATCTATCAGAGACGATAACAACAACAAATGCACACCTCCTTAACATAGAATCTCTTACTACCCGTTTTTTGCCAAAGTATCTCTCTCTCCCATCTTATCTCCACACTCGCACTGCCATTACCACCCATTTACAAATTCAATTATCATCACCTCTTTGAAATATATACACTAATGATTATGCATTGAGAGAAACCAAAACGATTTTGCATGTCGCAGCTTATCACTTGAGCAAAGCGTGCTCGCCATATCCTAAATGTTTGTATTAATCATCCATATCACATTTACGTAACACAAGGTACCAGCAGCAATTTTTAAATAGGCACGTAGTCTTACTTTTTACCGAAGCTTCTTTCTCTCGTAGCTTTCGAAATGCCTTCTCTCGAGATCACTGCTGACAAAACTCCTGCTGATTTGGATGCTTTCTTGAAGAACCTTTCGGCCGTCTTTTCCGAGTGCATTGGCAAACCCGAAGCCGTAAGTTTTAATTTGAATTCTTTTAATCCCACAAGGATTCCTCTAGTTTGACGCGTATGCGTTTACCAAGAAACTTTCTTTCTCGCTTTTTAACACTCTAACGAATTGCATAATTTATATCTACCCGCAGTACTGTATGGTTATCTTTACAAAGGCAGACCGTATCTACTACAACGGTAGCAGTGGTGCCTCATTCCTTGCTAAGGTTACTTCGATTGGCAATATCGGTAAGACATTTTCCATAGAGTGGCAAATATTGATCATGCGCACAAAGATTCATAAAGAGAATAAGAGAATGAGGGATTTTTATCATCTCTCTCCTTTTTCTGCGCCCTGTATAATTGATTGATAGAATGGGGGAGGGATGTGTTGTATAAGAGCAGGGATGATTAGAAGGAAGGGGTGGAGGCAGTTGTAAAGAAAACTCATATCTCTTTTGGCTTACTAATATAACACTGCTTACAAGACAACGACCGTAATGCCAACTTGTCCAAGAAGATTGGTGCCGAGCTTGAAAAGGAACTCGGTGTTACTCTTGACCGCGGTTACTTTTTCTTCAGTGATGCCAAGGCTAGCGATACTGGTTACAAGGGCAACACCTTTGCCAACTTGATGGGCTTATAAGCTTAATGCTAAATTCATTATATTTACTAAGCTTAAGCTTACATAATAAAGAAAGCTCTCCCACACACACGTAGTACACATGCGTTTATGCGTATGTGTGTGTGTGTTTGTGTGTATGTGTTTGTGTGTGTCCTATGCATATGGAAATGGCAGTAATGTACTGTATGTTGTGAGAATCCATCGTGGGACATAGAAGAAAGTGTGTCCGGAGGTTAAAAAGATAACGAAACCGGCTATAGGGAGCATTCGATGCAAAGAAGCTTAGAAAAATGAAGCGGCTGTAGCAATCGTCAACATGTATAAATCGACTTTTAACCACTGATGACCATCAGTCCGTCGACACTAATAGCACATCAATTATAGTGATAACCAACGTATATCCAAAAAGCCCGAATACTATCAGATAATCAAATTCCAAGGGAGAACCTAAACGTTGATTTCTCGCGTAGCAATGATGATATCAACTCCTGTACAATATAAACTCGAAAGCTACTAATAATAACAATGAAAGAGCATTATGTTTCTGTAGCTGGCAGATTTCTATGGTGAGTTCGTTGGGGGTACGAAGAGAGAATATCAAGAAGGGAGAGTTAAATGATTGAAATCAAGTTGTCGTACTCAGAAGCATTTGCTACATATGTATATAGCGTTGTTCCGTTAGCCATATAGTATTAAGTTTAAAAGTGACATGCAATAGTCAATAAACTTTTTGTTTTCGCGTGGTTTGCTTGATCTTTTAGGCGAACTTCCTTTATTGAATCTTATTTTATCTATAGCTTAGTGCATTTCATATATTGAGCATCATTCACATAATGGCATCTTGCACTCAGAGGATAATTGAGCACAAAGGAGATAAATTGATTATCTTCATGTGGATTTTTTCTTCAGTGGTACTGTAGTGATGGAGGGAAATGTCTTCCAACCAGTCTTGCTTAATGGGAGCTCCTTTCCTATATAGTAGGCTTTGTATAATGGTGACGATGACAGCATCACATCACACGCTTCAGAGAGCGATTTAAACTGTATAAAGCACATATCTTCTATAGTAGCTTTTTTATTGAGCTGTTATGCACAATTTCTTTTGAGTTTATATCATACTGCTGACAAAACTCAAACGACAACATCTATCATCCTTAAGTTTCTCTGATAGTATTCTTGGACAGCAACAAACCATGTCGGTGAGCCCTCACAATTAGGGAGACAGGGCGGTTTTCCCTTTTTTTTTTCGCGTGGCAATGAGCATGGTTGCTATAGCAAAAAATCAAAGCATTATAAAAGACATTGTATGTCGCTGTTACTACATATCGTTGTGATAGTATGCGGTATGGTACAAACATCGATTATACATAATGGCGGTGAGTAGGAGCTCAAGGGAGAGCTGCATATTTAACTTCAAACTTCTTGTCTCGCGTGCTCTGCAAGTATCCTTAGTCAGAGTATATCAGCTGTCGTGCAGAAGTGTAGTAATCTTTAGGCGTCAAAGATCTTTGTGCAACGTGGATACGACCAAGGATTGATAGTCCCTCCATTGTCTTGTACATTTGTTTATTAGATAACCTGATCTGACTGAAGAAAACTGCTTACCAAGCCATGGTATGTCTGTTCATTTAATGTTATCAAAACAAGCGGCGACTCTGCTTTGATGTGTCTGATTACGACCAATCAATCCAGGAGTGTAGCTCTTTACTTCTACAGTCGTACACAGCGTAGTACAAAAATTAAGAAAGTGAACTAAAACTCTCGTACATCTTCCTCCAGAATATTTAGCCGCCGCTTTTTACATCCGCATATGATGAGACATTTTTGGCAGAGGGTTCAGACATCCCCAGAAGTACTACACAGAGCATGTTGTTACTCTGGATAAAAATTCATCAACCTGATGCTTGTCTTCAGCAATTATGTGGCTATTCATAAAAGAAACTATTTTTAAGGAGACGGCAAGGGTAGGACAGCAGATTGTACTACCTTCTGTAGAGAATACTAGCACATACACACCCATTTAATTGAAGAAATGAAAACAGGGTACTTCTATTAGAAGGATAAAAAGGCGCTCGGATTCTACGGTTTCTATGTGGTAAGCATGGAAATCACCAAAATGAAATTCAATTCACGAGTTCTTTGACCTTCAATAGGAATGGCAACAAAGTTTATTATGTTTATACTTTGAAAAGAGGTGATGACGACGACAATTACGTAGTGTATGTGTGTATGTAAGTACGGTATATTGTGCCACGTGCACACCCCTCCTTCGATTGCTTTTTCCAGATATTTGGGTTTCATTATAGCGAAAAGAAGCTAGCTGTTAAATTTTTTTGTAAGTCAGTGCTGCTTTCTTCGTTCTAACTTCTCGAGGTTATCTCATTTGAAAGAAAGTAATTGCTATTACATCATAAACATATCTTCAACATGGGAGAAAAATCTGACAGATAAAAAAGGAGATGATATTTGCATATTTGATAGTATTCATTTGTGTGGATCACCAAACGCAGGATAGTAGCATATTCAGTAGTGGGCAGTACACATGTGATTGTTTGTTGTGGTAAGGCCAACGACAGAAACAATAATGAACTACCTTTCAAAAAAAGGTTTGCTTGGTCCAATTACCAATTAGAGACTTTGTTGCTGTGCTTTGTAAGTATTACGACTGAAGGGGACTGGATGCCTCAAAAGGAATGTGTAATAAGGAGATAGGCCTTTTTGGTTTCCCGCCCGTACATATAGCAGTACTCATTTTAGTAGGGAAGAGTGAAGGGGGAGGGCAGATGAGGCTGTACAGAGTCAATTACCGTAAAAAGAAGCATATGATGTAACCGGGCATACATGCATGTGTGGGGAAGAAAATTAGAGAAAGAACACCAGTCTTTTCACCATCTAGAACATTGATCTCCATTCCCCCGTCAAAATAAACAATGCCAAAATTGATGTGCATCATTCCCTGTTAGTGCTACTTTTCTACTAGAACGAATAGATGCCTTTAACATCTGATTACCCGTTATGCTACTTACATCATCGTTCTGGCTCCATATGTTCTACTCTAGATGCTGCACAGCGCATTTGTATGCGCTGATCATTATGATCATGCTTTTCTCCGATGGGGAAAGGGAGGCGAACGGAAAAACAACAGAAAAAGATCACATCATTTCAGGCGCTTACGCAACATGATTTCATCCGGACAAAGACAGAAGTTTTGGCTAATACCAAAAATGTATGTGTGAGAGCGAGTGCAGAATGGTGACAACAACAACAGCAGTAGCAGCACCTAAGCACCAAAATAAGGCAATCTTTTTCTTTGCTCCTTGTTGTGTTGAGCGTTCGAATAAACAGCCCCCCAAACCCCCAATACAGGCGCTTAATTGTGCCCTCTCGTGTTTCTGACGTGTGCATTTCTACTGGTTCTAAGCAAACATTAGCTGCTCCCAATTCTCTCAAAAAAAAATTGCTAGTGCCCCCATATTCTCAGAGTCCAAACCCGCTATGTCACTATCTCTTTCTTGCTTCTGCGCACAACCCCCTTCATTCATACTCATCACTATATGGTAACGATGTATTCGCCGGCGGTGGTAAGACAAACGGGAGTGTATAATTGCGTGAGAGAGAGAGAGAGAGAGAGAGAGAGAGAGAACGTATTATTAGTCTACTATAGTGTTTGGAATGCTGTCGGTGATGAAACTAGATAATCTACAATTAGCCTACATGTGTAAGCCTGTGCGTGTATGTATAGCACATCAGGATAACATGCGAGGCATGTTCAGCTTTTTGGCGAGACAGTATTATGTTAGCATAGCATATGTGTCATGTACAGTATGTGTTAGAGGCTAAGTACTATGTACGATCGAAAATCTTCCCTGATGGAGCATTACCTATGACATAATGATTGAGAGCAAGGTTAGAAATAAAATGATTAGCCACCCACTCCCAGTCCTCCTTGCTTTCTTGTACATCGGCTCTTGAGAAAGCTTATTATCGTTGAGCTATGTTAGCCGTCCAAAAGGAAAGCTTTGGGCAGGTAAAGAAGTAAGAAATAGAAATCCGACTCTATTTTTTTTTCTCTTACCTGTCTTTTTTATATGAAATTGTGAAGCAGATATTTATAATCCAGCTTTAATTCTACTTCTTTGATAACCGACGACAACTAATTGTTGTTGTCGGGTTTTTTGCGTCTTCTTTACTCTCGCGCATGTACATCCGACTTGAAGGTCTAAAGTGTCTAGACTCGTCCAGTGCACAAGTATTTGTTAAGCTGGGTTTCATCATCATCATATCGGAAGCAAGAGCGGAACAAGAAGGTGTAGAAGAAAGGAGACAGCAGTATCATGCGGGCAATATAGCAATATAGAAACTATGTACTCTTTCTTCGCTTCATTATTACATATCTTTGCAATATAAACATTTATAGCCAAATCAATGCAGTGGCAGTGAAAGGAATTAGGCGGCCTTCACCCGAGCTACGACTAAACATACTGGCGGCTTTAGTAAGCGTCACCTCGAACAAATAACGTTTGAAGCCAAGTAAGGAAATCTGCACCAGGTTAAAATAACTCACATTTCAAATAAAGGAAACACAATAAGGGGTAAGCGTGCACAAACTAATAGGCACAGGTATTATTCTGTGTGTGAGAAACTTGGAGTGAAGATGAGGATGCTGCTAGGTTGACAATCATGCAGCCAAAAAAGAGGGAAACGTGGCAAATGGACAACCTTTGTGTAACATAAAGTGCATAGACGCCTTCGGCCTGCAAGGATAATAAGGGACAGATGTGTATAATTCTCGGGGGGGGGGAGGACAAAATTCGATGACCTGCATTTTTGGTTAAATTCCACGATAAAGGAGGGAGAGGAGGGAAAGTCAAAAGAACGAGTGAAATCGGGATAGGGTCTGTAGAGCAAGACCAGGGAAAATGAGAGCAGTTCAAATGCCGAGATCGACAGCAACGATACCTATTTGGTGTCTGTACAGGTTGTTTTGTTGTATCTGAAGGTGGCAGAGTCGGGTGGAGCCGTTTGTTACGGCGACAGAGTTGTCAAGTGGGCTATCTAGCTGATGGAAATTGCAGCAGCAGCCTAGAAGGGCCTGTTTAGTGAGGAAAGTTGCACTCGTCACTCCGATATCCCGGTAAGACCATGAATATGCATGTCTATGCACCTGGGCATGTCTATTTTATTATCGATGCGGCACTGATTCTTGTAGCCAATCTTATGCTTTTAAAGGGTAGAAATGAAGATCCGCCTATTAGACCACCTATAACACTTTTCACTATGCTGCTGCTTCCTCTATTCTCTGTCTCTCAGGAGTAATAGCAATTTTCGGGATTAAATTCACTTACCATCACGTAATTCTGCAACAGGTTCGTCAGATCATCAAAAGCCAGGAGTTTGGGGGAGGGGGTAAGGTGGGTGTGCGCAAAGAACAAAAAAGTGTTGTTTTTGAAGGTTTGCCTTGTCGGATTTGAGTGCCTTAAATTCACTTAAGGAAGGCAAGCTCTAAAAAATGAGTGTAACGACAGCCCTGATGACGATGCATCTTCCAAGTAGGGAAACGACAGAACGTGATAAGCCAATCACCGTCTGTGTGCGAAAATTGACAACTGATATAAAAGAAATGCTTCTCAAGCGGTCAGACCAAAACTTATCGCTTTTTCTCTACTTTATTTTTTCTCGCTTCTATTATCACTATATTATCGCCACTACCAGCACCACCACTGCTTTTATCGATACACACACGCACATCTCCCATCATGGACTTCAACGTTGCTACTACTTCATACGACAGCATGCCATTACCGATCGGTGCTCCAATGTTCCATCCTCAATCAGAACAGTTTGTAGACCAGCTTTCTGTACCCACCACCACGTCTGTGCACACCACCCATCACAATCTTTCCGACTTCTATCAGCTTCCTTCTCAACAATCACAGTCACTCGCTTACTTCGAAGATCAGCTCGCCATGCCCACCGCAGCCACCACCACCACCACAACCGTTATCCCAGCAGCTCCAGCCACTCCTTCAAACCACACCAACAGCAGCAAGGATGCCCAAAAGAAGAAGCCCAAGAGAAAACAAGTGAAAAATGCCTGTGGTAAGTTTAACAACAATTTGTTAATTTGTGTTGCACAAACGAAATTTCCTTACGTGATCTTGACACAAATCTCCGCAAATGTAGTAAATTGTCAAAAAGCATGCAAAAAGTGTGACGACGGAAGAGCCTGTCAACGCTGTATCAAACTCGGCCTCACTGCCACCTGTGTCGACTCACCTCGCAAAGAACGACGGAAGGGCATCAAGCGTGGACCTTACAAGAAGCGCCAACCTCGCAGTGAGCATCAGCAGCAGCAGCAGCAGGAACCACAATGTAAGTTTATTATAAACATCTTCTGCAAATTAAGTAAAAGGTATATTTATAACTAAAACCGCGGCCTTTATAGTGATGTTGCATGCAGAATGGTATGACAACATGGAATACCGCGGACCATCCTTGTCGTCAAGCCCTACTTCTTCTTTATCGTCGTCATGGAATCAGCAGCATCAGCAACCATACGTCTCCATGGAGCAGCAAGATTCGCTCGTTGCCGCTGGCAACTTCTTCGAGCAGCCCTGCTATCCAGTCACTATAACTAATACGCATGACATGACCTCCTTCGTTCCATCCAACAACAATAACAACAACACCATGTCATACCCCAGCTCTTCTTCGGACGATGGCTTCGGTCAATCCCCTTCAATTTCCTCGACGACTGCCTACTCTCCTTGCTCGCCCGCCACTCCACCACCTCCAGCAGCTAATACTCTCCTTCCTGTTGTCCCCTCGCAGCAATCGTATACTCAGCAAATTGCTCTCCTTCAAAAGCGTCAGCAAAGAACCATGGAGCAGCAAAAGGCGATCGAACAGCAGATTATGCTCTCGATGCAGCAGCAGCAGGAGGAGGAGGAGCAGCGACAGCAACTGCGAGAGCAACAGCAGCAACAACAGCAACTCTTCTTTACGAAGCAACAGCAAGAGCAGCAACAGTTCTTGCAAGTTGAGCAAATGACCAACATGAGCATGCCAACTACATCCATGACCGACTCTTGGCAATTCTTCTTATAAGCTTTTCCTCGTTCTCGACCTCCCTTTTTCTTTTAACACTAATATCTTTTGTACATACCGCACACACCTAATATCTTCTCGTTGCATCAATCTTTCAAAGACATTTACAACTTCTACTACTACCCCCATCACATCCGTTATACTTTTAGTAAAATTACACCCCAGCCCACTCACAAAACTGTGCTCTTCCTTCGTTCACATCTACAAACAAAAAAAAAGTTAATTACTACTAGCTATTCTCATATATACTTCTATGCATTCACTCACACTCACTATCTACACGCACAATCCTCAGTGAGCGTGCTTGCACCTCATCCCATCTTTTGATACTATCATGCCCCCGCCTTCTTATTTTTCTGATCCCTTTATTTATTTTTAGTACAAGTTTGAAGAAACGCAATAGCACCATCATCATCCTTCTCCCTTTTACTTGGACAATAACTAAAACGTACATGTTTATTTTTCATATGGCAACGGCAAACATTTTCATCTCTCGTTTTATCACTAGAGAAATAATATAATAATAATAATAATAATAATCGTTTTTATTCATCATCGTACTACATTGGCAAATATATCTCTTATTTTGTGCAGTAACACAATAAACATTTTCTATTGCGTTTGGCAATTTAAGCAACATCTCTTTGGTCTTGTCCGAGAAGCCAAAGCGATATTTTTTCTACAACAAAAATTTTGTCGCTAATTCTTTCATGCAACATAGCAATGGGCTGTAATAATGATGCTGTGGTTATTGCTTAAGTATGCAGCGAAGCCGAAGTACATAGTAATGTACGAAGTAAGGGATGGTTTCAAATCTCTTTTTCCCACACAACAGCTATATCAATAGCAATTATGATACGTTGTTATACAATATCGGCTTTATGTTGAAATAATGGTGACAATGAGTTGGCGGCGTCAATGAAGTCATCAAGCTTTTCCAGTCAACAAATGCAACATGATGTAATAAGAGATATAGATGGAGTGATAAAAAGTGAGAGAAGAGCCTCATGTTTATCAGTTCTAGCTTTTCCTTGCAGATTCCTGATGGTTTTTAAGGAGTTCATCGAACAAGGGCTGTCGGAAAATGTCTTGCAAAGTGATTGAGTACATATACCCAGAAATAACATCGTCTTCAAATCATCAGCAACTCATTTTCTGACATATCATACGGCAGTAGCTGGCCCGGCAATTGTTAGGGATGTCATATTTTTTACAGCAACTACAATGCTGGACCTTTTAAGTCTACATCTGTGCCTTTTTTTCCTGCTGTGAAATTTGGATGGATAAAGTTATCATGATAATGGCCCTACCTAGAGTTTCATTCACGCACTCACACTTCCTCAGCAGCACCAGCTTTTTCACTCCTCGCTGTGACCGTGTATGCTCGACAGAGTGATTTGGGAGTTATCGCACTTTATGTGCACGTAATCGAAAATGCGGTCTAGTTTGCACCGAATTGTTGCTGTGCTACTGCCTAGTATGAAACTTCATGGTTTCTTTTGGAAAAGGATGTAAATACCCTATTTAAGCTTACACCGATATATATAATATAGTATATGAATCTCAGCGCATAAATCGCTGTACGATTACGTAGAAAGAAGCCCTCCCTCCCAGCTCCTCCATAATGAGGAGCTGCAGCTCCCTAAATCTTTGCGAGTAAAAGCTTAAAACCTAAAATTCATGCTTGGGAAGATAAGTAGCATAAAAAAAAGAAGAGAATAAGCTTTCGACAAAATATTCTGCCGTGTCATCTTCAAAAATGGCCATTATGGTTAGAATTTCTGTATATGTGCGACGTTTTCCATTATATGGAAAGTTATCAAGAAAAATACACATCTCGGATGGTCAAACACATCATTTGATGACCCTCATACGGAGAAAGAAGCGATACAAATACAGTAAGCAACATACCTATATAATGACAATTATTTTATCCTCTCTATTAACGCTAAGTATATGCATGTATATATAGATGTTCGCACAGCCACGATGTAACAACAGACGACAGACATGGAATTCGACACGAAAGCTTATGATCCATATGTCAGGCACTAGGTATATGCGCAAAGTACTTATTCTGCCCCAAATCTAACTTTGAAATTCAGTTGGGAGAGAGTGTAAAGACAGTTAAAAAAATGTTAAAGTGTACTTGTCATCTTGTTTCATAAGAGAATTATATATTTCGGCCATATGAGATTGTAAGCAAAGAGAGAACGGGAGAGGCAAGATCTTACTACTACAATAAGAAAAACAAAAATGGAGGTGAAAAAGGAAGTTGTAAAGAAGTAATAATAACAAACCGAGTTTATTTCTTGTATGAAAAGTGGTTTGTTTTTCACCTCCATTTTTGTTTCTCCTATTGTAGTAGTAAGATCTTGCCTCTCCCGTTCTCTCTTTGCTTACAATCTCATATGGCCGAAATATATAATTCTCTTATGAAACAAGATGACAAGTACACTTTAACACTTTTTTAACTGTCTTTACACTCTCTCCCAACTGACTTTCAAAGTTAAATTTGGGGCAGAATAAGTATTTTGGGTATATGCGGCCATAATCATTTTTACGTATCAATAATTTTTGTTATCCCTGCAACTTTTTTTGAGAAAAGGCTCTTACAACGTATATTAGACATCCGAAAACAAAAATTATATTACATCCGATGTGTCTAGAGAAACGGTGGTATCCCGGGCGGTCGATCTTGCTACAGTACTGTCTTTTCTAAGGAATGACAATTTTAATATGAGAGCCCAAATTGCTATTAATTGATAAGTTGTGTGACGATATTCATTCATGGCGTAAAAATCGAGTAGCATTTGATATAATGTATCATTATATGTGTATACCTTAACCAAAAAGCTTTCCAAGCGCAAACTACACACTTTTTCTATATGAGACATGAGCTCAGATCAATTTACCGAGCAACAGCTTGAGGAAATGTGAGAATAGTGGAGAATGGCATATCTACCCCAAACCCCAAATCCCGCTTGGTTAAAGCTTATAAAAGGCCTTCAGACAGATGCCCTTTGAAACTTATAAAGAATAAAGTGTTGGACGCCCTGTCATCCACTGCGAATGCTAGTAACGAGATGATACATTTATCTGAATGGAAAGCAAATAAATTTTCTGAACTTATTTTGCAATACCGACGGGTTTCCTTAACTCACTTATCAGACCGTCCTATATAGTCGCTCACAATTATCAACTTGACTTGCACAAAATATCGTGTAATACAAAGTACAAACAGTTTCGTTGTGGTCGTTTATCCAGGGTGTGATTGAAGTGATAGCTCTGTAACTTCTGACTTGACAAAATCGGTGCTATTCAAAGTAAAACAGAATCAATAAAAGCAATGAACCATTACTAAAAGTACTTCAGTGCCGGGGGTGGGGGTCATTTAGCTAAGAACGAATATGGGGAAATACATTGTTTACCTACCAGCCTATAACTACAGTGACTTCTGCCATACTACTAAAGCAAAAATACATCGATCTTGCTTCATGCATGAAAGGAACGGCAAAATTATTAGTAGTGCACGCATTGATGTCAGATGTTAGACACTGTCAAGTGGAGAATCTTTCACAAAAATTTACAGATTCTGACGTCTCAAACATCCCATAATTGATGATCAAATCGCATCAATATGACGAAAGTTAATGTCGGCACAATTAATGGTGAAAGTTGGCGAGCCAGAAAAACAAGCATTGTAAATACATAAAACATCTCACCCAACAATCTCTTCACATACTTGCCATACAATACACCTGTTTACCGAACATCACGCCCGACACGATTCTTTACTCTCAACTCCATGGAGTCGCTATTGCTTCCTGATCACTTTATCTCATACATTCGGCTCGAACCCTTTCTTTCTCTACAGGATGGAAGAGAACTTCAGGTCAAAGCAGTACATGCCAACAAAGACTTTGATCTTATCTATGCACCAGCAACACGATGCGAGTAACATACCTTTTTCCGCAACAATTTATCACTGCTTGTTTCGATCAACGACGTGCTTCTACTCTTGAACAAACTATAATCGTAGTAGACTTCAATTACTACATCAAACTTGTCGTAAATATGGGCGCTATAAAGTAATGCGACGAAAGTGTTAAGAGAACCATTTGCAACGTTTGCACCACAAGATGCTAAGGACGCAAAAGCTCATTAGCTACACACCCGACCGCTTAGCTTCTGTCTGTTACCAATTAGGAGTGGTTCAAGAAGAATCGGCATATTTCCAATCTCTCAAGGCTGGTATCCGCTGGTGTGAGCAGAGCGAACCCTCTGCTAGTTATCTCAAGAAAACTATCCATCAGCGTCAAGCACAACGCAACATAGCCAAGCTTCAGTATCCGGACACCATTGTTCTAGGTACCTCCTTAGAACATATGCAAGACGCAGCTTGGTCATTTTATTGCCAGCTCTATATGAAACCCCATCACCAGCTGATAAATCTGCTATCAGTGATCTTCTCGACCATATTCCACCATCGTGCGTCCTTTCAACCGAGGATAAAAAAATTTTACCGACAAAATTTGCGTTAGACGAACTGCAACTTGCAGTTGGACGTCACCAAAGCGAAGTAGTCCGGTTTTGGTTGGCTGCCTTACGCGATCCTGTCTTTGCACTTTTACCATGACCAGTGTTTGACTCTTATTTTGCGCGTATATGATACAGTACAATGTTGCTCTCCAGCATGGGGTCTTTCCCAGATAATGGTCCGAGACATATCTATGTTTCCTACCGAACATAGACGATCTGTCCTCCTTAGCCAACTGGTGTCCAATTGCTCTTATCAACACTGACTTTAAAGTCTTCATCAAATTTGGATGCTCGTGTTGTCTCTGTTGGCCATAAGTTCATCAATCGACATCAAATTGGGTTTCTACACGGACGGTATATTGCAGACAATAGCCTTGCTGTAACGCTCTCTATGGGTTACGCAGCAAAGCTCCACTCTGACGACATAGGCTTGGCACTTGATAATGCCAAAGCTTATGACATGCTTAATATGGCCTACCTGCAGCGATGCCTTGAACGTTCGTGTTTCCCATGGTCGATTATACAAAGTATTTATAATAATACTGCGGTACTTCTGTCAAGATTAACATGATTGGCGCACTACCACTGGCTATCGAACAACAGCGAGGTGTACGGCAAGGTGATTTTCTGTATTCAATCCTTTCCAACGTCGCTCTAAAGCCACTGCTACAACGTATACTGCATGACGAAACCATCCAAGGCTTTAGGCTTGAAACGACAGTGCCATCGGCAACGGCTGAAAATCACATTTAAAATTCTTGCATACGCCTATGATTGTTTCGCGTTCTTTAATCACACAATGATCTCAAGCAAGTTGTGGAACATTTGGACACATAGTCTCGCACGTCAAATGGTCGCATAAGCTTTGAAAAAACGCATGCAATATCTCTATCTAAGGCCCACTCCTCCTCCTGGCAACAAGAACTCGCACAACATAACATCACCTCATGGTACGATCGCACAGCCTCTGGGGCGCTTATATACTGTATCTAAGCTACCCACTGTATTCCAACGTCGATCAACGCGACCAGTTTCTCGGATCATTGCTCGGCAAAGTTCGGTCTGCATGTCAAAGTACTTACAGCGCAATCTTTCTGTTCGCGGATGGGCAAACCTTCTCGATGTCTTGATCCTGACAGCGTTGTAGCATGTTTACGCGTATGTCCTGCCCAGTCAAGTTCATGTCTAGCCTACAAGCTTTTAGCCATTCTTTTCTTACGACTAGAATGTGGCCTAAAGTCTCCTATCAAGCACTTCAACAACCGCGCCAATTCGGTGGTCTGTCACTTCTCCATCCACCGGTGCAGCAGCAGCTCTACAGCTCTGATGGATCCAGCCACTGTTTGATCCACAGCACCGCCATCGTTCTTATATACATGCTTGGATTTATCAAGTCCTGAATTTGCTAGAGTGAAAGACAAGATCCGTTGCTGTGTCTTCTTTTCGCGCGCCTACGTACTGCCCAGTTCACAGCACCTGTCAGCATAATAGGCTCTCTGTGCAAAACAATTGACAGCTTTCCTTGTAACATTAAATGTATGTCTCTTGCCACTGCCACAATCCTCAAGCTGCATATCGTGGACACGATCGCACCACCACCCAGTCCACATACCCTGACAATTCATAAAGCGTCATCAGCTATATCACGACATCGTATTCTCGTCGCTGATGCCTTTGTTCTAGATCTGCACTTGGGGCACCTTCGCTGCAAACCTAGGGATGAGCTTGGGAGCTACCCGCGCATCATCTCTCGCCTCTTTTCTTTACTTGACTCCTATGCACTCCTGCACCACGCATTCTTCTATCGAGCATGCTTCGGTCCTGGCTTAGCAGCACTTGGTGACTCTGATCAAGCATCAGCGCCACACGACGTCCGGCCACTCCTTCATTGGTTCAAACTTGGTGACTTTGGTCTTTGCAAGGCTACTAATGAGCTTTTCCAAAATACCGCTATTCAACACAATTTCTATATTGATGGCCTAACTGACTATCTTACCAAGGGAGAATGGCAGCGCTTTTGGTCCACCATGATGGCCATACCGGTACACAATCTTATTGGTTCCGTGCGCTTCACCGGACACTTTCTTGCCGCACGACCGTACATCGACTGTTACCAGACATATTCGACTCGGACAAATGTCCCATATGTGTTTATGGTATTGATGATTTTTGGCATTTCTTATTTGATCGTCCTAAGAAAAGACTTGTTTGGCATTGCTTTTGGAGGATTTATTGTTTCTTCCTGTTGGCAACACGCAGATTATTTCACATGCAATTTCCACAAGACCCACCCAACCTCCCAGTACCATCATCATCGAAGCAATTATACATGGATTATGGCGTGGTCATTGGGCCCTAACCTTTTGACAACCAGCCTTTACTACTACTTCTACAGTATTACGCACTCCGTTCAAAAAACCATGTCCCGTAGTTTAGCTAATGCTCCCCTAATTTCAATGTTGTATGCTTCGTACCCTTCTCTCCACCGCTCATTTTTGACGCCTAAAAAAAGCATAGTTATCGTTCGACTGTTTAAACAAAAGCTACTGCTATAACTTTTTGTTGGAATGATCTGCTCAAAGGAAGCGGGCTCTCCTTCCCGTTTTAGTTTCGGGAAGCATCGAAATGAAGGGTATGAAATAATGCTGCGATGGTCTGAGACAATTTAATCATTAGCCGAACTTATGCGGTTTGCGGTTTTTGGGCTTGGGTAACATGAATGAGGTTGGTCAAAATAATTTTTCCACACATGTAGACAGTGTATTAGTGATGATTTCAAATGTTTCAAAACAGTCATAGAAAATAGATTTAATACTTACTCCAGAGTCCGTGGCTTCCGCGCTGAGTAAAAGCACTGTCCTCTTGGCCCCAAGATACAATCGTAGTGGAATTTTCGACTAATTCCTATCATTTTCTAATGCTAAAATATTGTTTTCTGGTTCCTCCTGTTCTTCTTGATCTTCTTGAAATTGCGCTTGTTGAGGGAGCTGTCCACCTGGTGGTAGGAATGCCTCTGGTCGAAAGTCTGGATGTCTATCATTATTCATATAGGCTATGCCTATGCTTCTTATGTTCAATGCCGCATTTTTATCCCGGTCTACAATCTAGAAGAGAAAACAAAACTCTTTTAGTATATAACTAGGCAGAATCCTTCGTGGGTTTAAAGGGTGAAAACATACCACAGCCTCTGGATAAAGCTCTGGATGGTTATTACAAGCTTTAATCTTCCACATCACCCAATCTATTATGGTATTTCATGCCAATTTAGTACAGCAGAACACAACTACTGATTATATACCTTATTAGTAGAAATTTGCCTTTACCTGGCGGTGGTGGGCGTGCCTGTATACAGTCACTTGCCGGATTCAGCAAATGGCCATCCTGGTCTCGACGGTACTTTATTTACCTTCCTCTCTTTGGAATGAAGCGGCCTTGAGGTCCTTGAACCCAGTACGTTGCACGTTCTCTTGTTTTTCTGCATGGATACATAGGTAAAAATGATCCCGTCAGTCGTTGTAAATGGGCTTCTTCTTAAAGTGGGAATTATGTATAGCAATCAGATTTTATATTATTACGCACCTGTGTCCGCAAACCTCCCCGTCATACGGAATACTTGTTAGCCGTTGCTGACACCCTGCGTGAGCTTGAGAAGTGTTGTACTCGTCCGTCAGTATCAGCAGCATGTGTGAAGCCAATTTTTTAATTATTCGCTAAAATATACGTCACTCATAAGTGTGTGTAGCAACCTCTTTGCGCATTCTCTCTTGTAAATATACTAACCAAATGGGGGATCGGGGCCCATCCCGGGAAATGCGGCATTCTGCTGGAACCATAGAACACAATCGTTGGTTGTTGATTTGGGTGCCAACGCTCGCGTTCTCGCCTCAAGCGGGCAGCTCTTTTGCGAGATCGGTGCGACGATTTGTGTATCCATTTGATAGGCTCTCCCTATGTTTCAGTTTTTCAAAAATAGGTCATCAGCAAAAAAAAAAGAAAAAAGAGTATCATCAGATATCACGCGAGAAAAATGGAAAAAGGGAATCGCTTACAGCTGGGTGAGGAGGAGTGACACCTAGCAGCTCATCTTTGACAAGATCTTGTTTTCTCTGCCGGCTTGATAATAACAAGCTCCTAATTTCTCTGTGTTTGAACCCAGACGAGAAACGACGCATTCTATACATATCAAACTTGTTATTCTTGCCGTTATTATATGCCTTGTCACCAACTCGCCTAGCATTGATTAGCCCTTCTTCTCCTTCCTGCTACTTACCGAAGCCGAATTCGATTCAGATTAGCGATATAGAAAAGAAAATCTTCTGAACGTGAGACATAGGGCGAGTTCTCTGCGATGGAGTCATAATCCTCTTGGATTTCGGCTTTCTGCCGATTTTTGTTTTCTAATTTATATTCCCAAAAGACACCCGTCTCCGCACTTTGCATTGATTTTTTTTAGTCAAGAGCTCAATGTAGTGTGAGGCTTATCTATTATATACTCTTTTTCAAGACAACTTCAGCAGTCGATACTCCTGTGATCATCGACGACACACCTATATCATCAATTACAAACGTAAAAATCAGTGGGAAAGAAATGATGCAACAAGCCCGCAAACTATTGTACTCTCCGTAGTACGCCATACCAGGATCGACTCCAACAATTCGACTTTCTTCTGCACGCTGCTGAGTTAGGCCATCCGGATTCAACTCGAGTCTGTATACACCATGGCTCCAAATTGTTAAGTCTTGACCTTCGGGAAGGCGTCTAATTTCATCGTGTGTACTAGGAAATAATTCTTCATGGCGTGTACATAGTATTGTTTTGTCGTCAGCGTGACATTCAGCTTTAGCTTACAAACTCCAAATTATTAAAGCAGGATTTATGCTTGCCTGGACTATTCCCGATAAACTTTTCGAACTGGACGTGTACCATACATCCATCCGTAGTCGCTGTATGCTTGAAGCTTAGCGCGTTGTATGCAAAGGGGTTTTGATCTATAAAAAAATCGTATAAAAAGGATCAGGATGCGGATATACATAGAATGTATAATATTTTCCGCTAGCCATCACTAAAAGCACTCACAATCTTGACCGTATCGGCGGCGGTTTGGTTTTATGTGATCAGTATCGAAAACCGTTTCCCATAGCTCCTGGCACCAGAGCGGATTGCTTTCGAGTTGTCTGCATCTTGAAATCGACAACGGTGACCCGCCCTATACACATACAGAAATGTAAGAGTAAGATTACAAACACTATTGTATGTGAGAAGCAAAAATACAAAAGCTGACCAATACCTCTGCGAGCAATATGAGCGGTGCCGGATTATTTCGATTCGCAATTCGTGCTCTTCTCACCAACAAATACAAAGTACGGGTATCCAACCGAAAGAAACCTGTTTGATGGGAACCTAATGGCAATAGTGGCCAAGGGCGTGCTCGTGGATAAGTTCGTTCGGAATATTGAAGCAGGTTGTACGACAAATGCAGAAGGGAGATGCATAAATTTTCTCCCATGTTGCGAGACCGCAAACGAGTTATGTCTGTGTCATGGAGCAGCTCTTGAAAGCGACCATGAATGAAGCTATCAACCAGTTCACAACAAAGAATCAGCATATATATCGCAAACTGTTATCCTGTATAATATAAGCTTACCGATACAATCTTCCCAATGATTGATTATGAACTACATTGTTGGGATATTCGGCTTCATGGTTCAAAATGTTACTTGTTAATACTCGTGCTGTTCCGACATAATATTAGGACAACAAGATTCGTAATGTACCATATTGATTAGTAAGCACAATAATATGCATATGTAGGATTCTTTCTACCTGCTCTTTCCAATTGATTTCGGTTGTGTAGGAGTTGTTGTAAAGCACCCTTCCAAACTCGATTCATGTAATCCTTGATATTTAGGACATGCTCTCTCATATCTGGCATAAAATAAGAACGATGAGCTATCATATCTATTTTCCTTAGTTTCATAGTGCTTTTATATTCTGTACTTGAGTCATACTTTGCAGCGCCATGACAGCAAAATGTTTGCTAACGAATCTCTCAATGACCCAGGAACAATATCCTCTGGCTCGAAGTATTCTTATATATCATATACAGTACACATGCATCAAATAAAACAACGTTTAAACCATTTACTGAAGTCACTGATATACTGCTCTGTTAGTTTTTAAATTGAAATGTTGCAATCACTTACGTTCATTATTGTGCGGGTTAGTTCTTTCTGCGACAAAGATTGCTGCCGTGCGCATTAGGTCTTCTTTCCATAATAGCTATTGAATTATCGGATGTTAGCACGAATATTTGGAATAAATATGTAAATATGTATTGAACATACAGGAAAAACTCACGTTAAAAAAGAATCCTGGTAATTCGTCGTGTAATCCGTACGAAAGCACTTTGGACGCAATGACCCAAAAGCCTTGCAAAAACAACGGAGGTGCAATATGATAATAACCCTCAAAGTGACGCCTGAGGTGCAAAGAAACAAGATTGTAAACATCTTGTTTTCGTAAAGAAACCATTTCTGATGTTTGTCTGAGGATCGTCTACAAAAAAGATGTACAATAATAAGCCTCAACATTCAGGAAGGATAATAATAAGCTAAGGAAGGTAAAAGTGAACGTACTCGGAAAAAGTGGTATTCGCCATGAAGAAATGCTCTGACCGAGCAAGGTCGAGTTACGACCCGCGTTCTCTCGCCAAAGCCGTTGAACTCTACAAACGGCTCTGGGAGAGCGGGAACAGGCTCTTGGACAGCGGGAGGAGGGGTTCTTCAGGGATCTGTGGAGGCTCTTCAACAACTGATGACATGCTTCTTTTAAGAATGGGAGAGATTTGGAATGAGCCGAAAAAGAAAGAAAGAAAAAGAAACTGATGCTTTTATACGGTGAGGTGATGGTTTCATGCAAATTGTCATTCTCATGGGACCATTGTATATGTATATCATATGACGTGTTGATTTAGCTCAGAGGCATGCTTTGAATATTCATGTTAGCGGCTTACCATGCAGAGCAGGAAGTGCAGCGCGCATGAATGATTTGGTACACAAAGTGTCCTCATTGTCATCCACGAGGGTTCGGCTATTAAGACAGAAAACCATCAAACAATAGAGAAATGTATCCGCACTGGAATGAGCTTCGACGAATGCCTGTTATCATCCGTGATGGCAAATAGAATAAGAACAAGTTGTTGTTCTTTCAGTGATAAATAGGTCCACTTCAATCCGAGTTTATATCAAGTCATGCCGAGTGTTGCTCTTTACTCTTTCCCAATCGCCCACCGCACGCCAGCTTCGTTTTGCTCAAGTAGAATGCATGGTAAGTTACAATAGAAGCAAATGAGGACTTCCCAAGTAGTAGACAGTAACCCTCTGTATTTTTTTCCCAGATGACCAAGTCAACTACCAAAGATCCTTTCGCTGATCAAGAAGTGACTGCATGGAAGTCGCAAAAGGCTCGCGCCTGGGAGCAACGGCATATGGTACGAGTAAGAAAAAGGAAATCACAAAAACTTGTGCTCACTCATACATCTCTTTTAGAATGCGGAACAGTATTATCTTCACCAAGTGGATCCAGGCACGATGATTAACATTGGACAATTAAATGTTGCAGAGAAAAAACATTTTCAAGAAAGGCTTCACGAATGGGAGGAGAGAAATCTCGTCCAGAGTTCTGCGTGGGGGGGCATTTTCTCTTTCAATACCAGGCAGGACTGGAGTACAGTGCCGCGAACGCTACAAAAACATGGTCAAGGAAGGGTATACAAGCAGTTCAAACAAATCTTCATCCATAACTACTGCGGCACTGCCTGACACTGAATTATCCGAATCGTGGGGAACCCAGGAAACACGACAACTCGAGAACCACATCGACTGCATTGATCAGCAATCGCATGGAAAGAGGTACTGTTATTTACCGGGGGTTTCGATAAACTAAGAGTATGATAATCTAAAACGTTCTGTCCTGGAAACGCGAAGCCAAGTGACATCAACATCAGCGGCCAGACAAGCAGTCGAACTACAAACAAATGGCTTGCCAGTTGATTTCAAAATACCACCAGCTCCAGCCCATCGACCCGTACGTCCAAAGAAAGACGTGCCCATTTTGTTGAAAAAAGCTAAAGCCGCTTCTCTTGTTTTTGAAACAGCTACCAACAAAAAGAGGAACACCCAACAAGCAAGACCAACAAGTGAAAAGAGTTAGATTAGTCCTGTCACAAAAATCTATGAATTTGGATGAATAAAAGTCTTCTGTTATTATAGTACTGGGAGTGGGATAAAGACGAATAAGTACGTTTCATAATTTAGTGCCTGTATGTGCTTCATTGTCATTCATTTACTGAACGAGTATTTTCGATATGTCATTGTCTGCACTCAAAAAGCTCAGCTTTATTGGCGAACTCAAATATTAAGGTCTAATTTCATTGGCTCGCCCAGCCTCATACGTACTATTCCTGCGGTTTTTGCAGTTCGACAAAAACAGTCTCAACCGCAAGCTTCTATCACTGACTGTTGTTGTCCTCACAGCAGAGGGTAATTTCAGCCGAAAGTTTGGGGAACTCTCTCTTTCTCTCGTAATAAAAACTTGACTGTCAAGACTCGCACGCACTGCTCGTCTTATTTCCGATCCTCGACATAACATTCCCCGTCCCTAATTCCAGCATGTCTTAACCCCAACACTTTAACATGCCCTCACGCGCTTCAGACGTAGAAAGCTTCAAAGAAGGTACTTTCCTTGATTTTTCAAAGTTAGTAACAAGTAGAAAGTTGTTAACATGCGTTTCACTTACTGCAATTCGTAGCTTTCGAATTGTACCTTACTGCTTAACAGGACACTGTTTCTATAAAGAAATCCACCAGTTCGATTCTGAGTTCATGTAAATCATAGACCTAGAAGACATCAAAGGAACATGGAACTATTTGTTCACCGAAGCTGTAAAAGACTTCGAAATCCCAGTAAGTTAAAAATGAATAAATGTCTGCGGTTTAAGGCTGTCTATTGATCATGCTTTTGTAGATCTGGAACAAGCAGCAGCCAGGTTGGGAAACTTTTATGCAAGAGCTGTTCAAGGTACACGCTTCAGACGTAGAAAGCTCTAAAGAAGGTACTTTCCATGTTTTTTTTTAAAGTTAGTAACATGTAGAAAGTTGATAACATATGTCTCATATTACTGCAATTCGTAGCTTTCAAAAAGTACCTTGCCGTCGAACAGGGTGCCGTTACTTTAAAGAAGTTTTATCAGTTCGATCCCGAGTTCGTGTACAGCCACAGCAACTTAAAAGATGTCAAAGGAACATGGAACTATTTGTTCACCAAAGCTATAAAAGAATTCCAAGTTCCAGTAAGTTGAAAATGTATAAATGTCTGCGGTTTAAGGCCGTTTACTGATAATGCCATTGAAGAAATGGACCAAGCAGCAGCCAAATTGGATAGAAATCCTGGAAGAGCTGATCAAGGTACGGTCTCCTACTGAATTTTGACAAGCTCAGTACTAATTGTATTATCATACAGCGCAACGAGCAGGTACCTGCAACAGCCGCCCCAAGTTCACCATCAGCCACCATCACTTCTCCTAGCAAGACACCTCATTCCCAATAAGCAAAAAAATAAAATATTCAAAGTGACATCTAATATTCAGGAGTTTGAAAGATATTTGGTTTGTTTAACGCTAGTATTTCAGGATACCGAATTCTTGCTTTGAGATGCACATTTGTTGAGACCAATAAATGTACTCGCGGATATCACTCCCTTTAGCTCTTGCTGCGAATCCGACAATATCATCAACATCGACCACCAAAAATATTGAGCCGGCAAAAGAAAACGGGGAAAAAGATTATCTGTCTGAAGGTTTCTTATGTGATAGTTACAATGCTTCACGGAGAAAAAAACATCAATTCACAGTGAATTAGTTATAATTACAGTACACATATCTGTTAAGCCGTTCACATCAGCTTTCAGCGAGGCTGCAGGTAAACGAATGGAAATGAGCATGGATAGCCTTCCCTCTTCTTCGTGTTCGAGACAAAGTAAAGTGCTTTACAGTATCAACTCGTTTCGTATAGATCAAAACCGGGCTTATGCTTACTTAGTATTAATGCAGAGAGAGAGGATGAGTATCCGAGTTGCAATCCGTTCGTTGGTTCAGAAAATGATCACTCTTAACGTCAACTACTTTAAGAAAAACTACTTTAATCAATATGGTATGTCGTCTGGTCATATAAGCTTTAATGAAAATTCAGTGTTAGATTATTAACTTTGAAGAACCCGTACAATAGGCCGACATCAACGATATCCGCCATATCGCTGTTCATGCCCATCGCGATGCGGTCAGTCCTTGTGGCGCTATTGCAAACCTGGGATTCAAAGGTAAAGAACGCGATATGCTGCGGCTGTGGCGAGCTATCAACGATTCCTTTGATGATTTGGCAGTGGCTGTCCAACGGTACTGATCGAAGTAACAGTATAAAGAGCATTGATATAAGAATTCAAACTTACAGTATTTTTGTCATTCAGAAGCGACCCACAATCTGCTGCATATCAGCACAGCACAACGAAAGACGTGCAGCTGATGGACTTATAAAACAGAAGGTTCACAGCGTCAAGCCTGACCTTATCATCGCGCGAAAAACATGCTAAGATTTGCCTCGGCCGAACATGGGTATTCGGATGAAGCAGGCGTCGGAGCGAAGGAGCTTGTACAGAAACTCCTGAAGTTGCCCAAAAAGATAAAGGATATGTTGTTTCGTATTGATGCCGAAGTAAACAACGACGAACGAAAAATCCGTTTAATTTGTGTTGTGGGCTATTCACACACACGTAAGTTATTCTTTTGTGCTGCAACAGACGAAAGAGATTGTGTTGATCGATTTCATATAGATCTACGTGTCGTGACTTCGGTGATGGATGCGCCGGCGGGCTATGTTTGCAAGATCGAACACCAGCAAGAATTACGCATTCCAACCGAGTTACAAAACTTCTACAAAACTTCTACGAAACATACATCAAATTTCTGAAACAACTCTATCAAATGAAGGTTAGTAAAGCGATGAAACTAATATCTGAAAGCTTTCTCACCCCGTTATATATACAATAAAATGATAGCATATCGTGTAAAGGCGACAATTGCATTAGTCGAACAACAGGAAAGTAGCTCCGATGATGGTGAAATTGGTAATGTTTGGAAGTGATCGTACACTTATTATACCTTCCGCATTGAATGACAACAATTTCCCCTCCACAATGACACCCCAAAAACGCACATACAATGAATCTGAGCAGGAATAAAACCCTTCCTTCTTACTGGACGATTGTGTGTATTGTAATGTAATTCGTAAAAGCTTGAGTTAAGGGTTTAATAAATCTGATTATAATTAGCTGCGTAACACGCTAACTTTAAATTCAGTACTCAAATGACCTTGTCAATTTGGCTTACTTTCACGTACCATATATGCACGTCAACAGCAATCTTTAGTTTCCGGAAAAATAACAGACTTGACAATTTAGAACATTAAAGAACTAGTCTGTCGTTGTATGCGTGCTGTCCAGCGAATTATAATATTATAATTGTTGTTTGGCTAGGTTTTGTAATCAAAGTATGATCAGGACACGGAACCTAGATTTGCCTGTTGATGGTGAAGAAAAGTGAATCGGTTACATTCATCCTGTGAATTACACGCTTGTCTCATCAAGTCTAAAGCTGTACCTGCATCCAATCACAGGCAACCATCATTCTTATCATATATCACTTCCTCGGTTTCTCAGGTAATCCAAATAAATCCAGGACTCATCACTGAATGATACCTAGGTCCCTCAGTTTCTTCATACTTGCATAGATATAGCCAACCCCTTTCATTACGAATCTGTCAAATAGCAACTTTACTAATACACCTTTAACATCACCAAGTTAGCTAGCAAATTACTGTAAACTGAAGTTCAGGCTAACAATCATTCATATCTTTTATGTACTTTATTTTATAATATCGGGTGCAGGCAGCAAATATAACAGCGGGAATTAACAAGGGATAATTTTGATATCCTCAAGAATAACTAAGATCCAAAGTCTATCACTATGATCCAGATACGTCCTGGTTGCAAGACATCATTCTTATCCAATTCCCATCACCCACTAGTACGCTGTCATCGTTTAGGCTTAAATTTTTTTGACAGTACTAAATCTCGCATTTTCTCTATCCACAGATTGGACATTTATGATATTTAATGTGCTTTGGGTTAGTTTTTTGATAAAAGTTTTGCTAGACCGTGTCGCCCATCTAAAGATACTCACATGAAAGTCAATTGTATTTGATACTATAAATGGAGCCCCTAAGTAACACACACTGACTATAACCACTTAGAGCTTCCCCAGCAGACTCGTCAAATAAAATAATAGTGAGTCCGGTTATCACTCGTCATTTTGGCGAGGTTCGACGAAAAAAATAGCCGGTCCGTAAAATAGCGACAGCGAGTCTGTTGGGAAAACAAACTCGCTAGTTTTGTCGCTAAAATAGCTTTTAGCGAGTCTGCTAGGGATGCTCTAACACTAAGCGCAAGTATTTTCGATTATGTGAAAGGTAGGAGGATTATTAAGTAAAGAAACAGTTGAAGGAAAATCGCGAATGGACGCTGAGGGACTAGGAGTATTACTATCTAGTTTTCCACATCCACCACTTGGACAGCCAGGCAGCGGTCCTTTTTTAGTTAAAGGAAGATGAGACGCAAATGGACGCTGAGGGACTAGGAGCATTACTATCTAGTTTTCCACATCCACCACATGGAAGAAAGTAGAAAATCGCGATTGGACGCTGAGGGACTAGCAGCATTACTATCTAGTTTTCCACATCAACCACACGGAATATAATACAGGCTTTTTCCAAATTATTTGCGCCAGGCAGATATAATTTTGCGCCAGTGAGTATGAGATTTTGCGTTACCAATAAATTTGCGCCAGTGATTTTGCGTTACCAGCTTTGCGTTACTAGCTTTGCATTTCACTTCACTTGTGCGTTTTACTGATATATAATTGTATAATAAGTAACGAGGCAAACAACATCATTAACATAACCAAGAGACGATACAACACGCCACCATAAGAAAAACACGTAATATGCAAACAAGAAAATAATATTATTAAAAGAAAATGATAACTTACAACCATGTCAGTTGCTTGAACGAATGAATGAAAGTAAGCCTTGAGTAGACAGCAACTAAATGGATTGATTCATATAAATCATGTGCATGGCTTCTTGGTACCACCAAAAAGAGCAACGATAAAGCCGAGTTTAACATAGTGGAACTAATCTAGTTATAAAAAGTTAAGAAGATTATTAGGAAAACTTTTCTCCCCATATACTATAGATAAACAATTTTCGAAGCTTTATTATGTACAGCACTACTAATAACTCCTAGTTATTGGCCTTTTGAAAAGAAGTACATATCGTGTCACTGGAATAAATCAAAAAATATATGATATATTAGCAGATAGCGAGCTTTGAATTGAAATTCTTGAAAATTACCTTAGAAAGGAAAGGAATAATTTTAGTTCTTTAAACACGTTTTCGAAATCCTATATAATAGATCAGAGAATGTAGTAATAACAATAAAATAAATGAAAAAATGCGCGACGTGAGTTAACGACGGTCACTCGGGCGAGCATGAATAGCATCACCCTGAAAGAAAGTGAACAACGGCTACTCGAGCAAATTGAAAAAGTAACATCGTCTAAGAAATGTGAGTTAACAACGGCCACTCGAGCAAATTGAAAAAGTAACATCGTCTAAGAAATGTGAGTTAACAACGTCCACTCGAGCAGCTAAGACGATAGTTTCACTCTAATAAAAAAAATTCATTGAGAAACTATGAGTAATAATATATAGTAAAGATTGACAATTAAGTTAGCAATATAATAATTAAATTGATGAACAAAACCAACAGTTGTTATTATAGTTTATGTGAAAGGATGGAAGAAAAAAATATTTACCTGTTTCTATGAGTTGACTGAGCAACGGCAGTAGTTATGTAAAAGGAGGAACTTTTTTTTTACTGAGGGATATATTTTCAGCTTCGATAAGTTTAATTGGTTGCTGAGTAACAAAAAAAAGCAGAAGTTAAGAAACGCGTTCCGCAGCTTCTAATCGCCACCTTCTTCTGAAGCAACACGTTTGTTAAGTTTCAGTTGCCATGGAATTACATCGCAAAGGTACGTTGCTAAGCAAGATATAACGGGATATAAATTTTTGTTTGTATGTAACTAACATAGCAACAAATTAACCATGGTAGCTATTTCTGACTACCTCAAGGTTGCTAGGCGACCAAGTCTCGCTAACTTTGTGGATTCAAACGTGGAATTCATTGCAAACAATCTTCCTGATGATATTAAAACACTAGATCAGTATTGGTCATACCTGTTCGAAGAAGTAACTGAAAATGATGGCGTCCGTGCTGTAAGAATCAATAGATATATGGGTAATAAGAAAGGTTCTATATTAATATCTTTGATTATTAGATCAAGGTTAGAAAACCACCTAATTGGAATGCCATTTTAGTGCATGCGGTTCAGCTTACAAAAGGTTGGTTTCAGTTTGAGGATCACTTACTGTTATTTGATACTAATTTTTCGATAGTTCCAAAATCAAAGTCAACTTCCCGAGGCACGAAAAGAAGCAGTAAATCAGATTCGTCTGGATTGGAACCCGAGGAGAAACAGCCTATTATTGATTTGTTGAGAAGATTGGACGACAACAAAAAATGGAACTTTGTTCGTGATAATGGTGAGACTGCATTTGTTGAAAATATTCTGGCAGATCACATTGAGAAGACGGAATTTGAGCAGTAAGCGGATATATTCGTAGCCATCAGTAAGAATAATTTTATAAATAAGGAGATTATTTATAAATTTATAATTACTATTGTATTTCCAAAAAAAAATTGAATCTCTATTTATTAAAAAAGTAATAATGATGGATGTTAATAGCTTGATAACAAATGAGATTAATTCAATTCTTATAAATCATTGGATTTTTTTGAATAATAATTGGCCTGTTATTAATCATAAATATAAACATAGAACTGAATTAAAACATATAGTTTATATAGACATTATTAAAAAAAATTAGTAGAAAAATTAGGATATATTGCTGTATTTTTCTTTTATATAGTATTATATGGCAATAAGGAGTACCCTGGACCTTACTATGAAATTGAAAAAGGTTTATTCTTATTATACCATTTAGTTTCAGGGATTGCTGGGAAAGAAGAAATAGATAAATATCTTCCGCAAACTACATTTCATTGCTTTTATAGAAAATTTTGGATGGATGAAGATAATTATAAAAGGTTAAACAAAATTGTTAATGAGTCATTAGATACTATGTTTTCAAATATAAGATTAAGAATATTATCAGTACATAAATACAATCCTGATTTGTTTAAACATATTACTTAAATTCTTGACGGTCACGATTCAAGAATCAATTATATGGATACAGAAATTCTGCATAGCAGATTATATTCTTACAAATTTTAAAAAAATGGATTAAGAACACAAATCGTTAGTGATATTAATGATATGATACTTTTTATATCCAAAAGTAATTATTGTTCAGATAGTTCAGATGGTTAATGTTTCTTAATATGAAATTATATCACAAAATGGATGATAAAGATACTATTGCTATTGACGGCAGATATACTTTGTTTGTAAACCAATTTGTAGATTTATGGTGCCTGCCACCTAGAAACAACAAGTGGACATTTCAAAAATTTAAGATTTCGCCTTTATAAATTTCCATTTTTAGTTAAGTGATATTTATTCATCGAAAATTTGCTAGTGGGACTTATATTTTTTCTGCTTTTCATCCAGTGAGTCCTTTCTCAGAGGATGACTCAAATAAACAAACTACTCTCGCATGATTCTTCTTACATGATTATTAGAAACTGACAGTTCTCTTGGAACGCACAAGAAACTTACTTAATTGTGTTCTTTGACTCTTGCACAATTTTAAGGTTCTTCTGGTACTTGTTGAGTCTCCCCATTGTATAGAATGTTTTGGAAAAAGAAGGAATAATAAAACTGTCATCCTACTTATAATTTACCTGGCACCATTACAGTCAATGTTGATTGGAAGGCTGAGGTATATATTGCACCAATGCTTACCACTAATGTTACACTACCTTCTTAATATGGAAATCGCCGATTCAATGTCATATACTATAGTGTATAGTAGGGTGGACATTCTGACAAAATCCTCTGCTAAATTTTGAAATCGACACCAACTTCAACACTTTATTTCTCATTTTTTTTTGCTTGTATATATACAAAAACGTTTCATAGAATTACTCTTTGAGCCTCTCTTCATCGTTCTATGAAGCCAAAAAAGTGGGTTGTATAAGTGAAAAAAGTTGAAATAAAACATTGAAAATTGGTCCAAAAATTTACGTTTCTAGGTGGCGGGCACCATAGCTGTTGAAAAAGGTTATACATATAGTGATTCTAATTTTGTTTATCCTATTAGAAAAAATGTTAATGAAAGTTTATCTATAACTGAAAACCATTTTAATAAGACCTTTGGAAGTTTTCGTTCAAAAATAGAAAATCAGTTTTCAGAGTTAGGTAATAAATTTTATAGATTTAATAACAATAAATCAGTTGTTAGAATGGATAATATAAAGTTTTACAATTTACAATTTAAGGTTGCCTGTTTATTAAAAAATATCAGTATTTTTGTAGATAAATTTAATGTACCAATTTTACCCCATCATAAACTATGGGAATCAGATGGATTTGAATTTCCTGTTGAAAAAAAATTATTAGATATTGTAGTAAGTAATGATAAGCAAAATAAAGATAAATTAGATAAAATGCTTGAATTACAAATGAATTTCTTAAATATGAATGTATCAGAAAATAATATGGTTATTGATGAGTTTTCAGATGAAGATTCTAATAATTATAAAGATATTTCAGTGAAGGTGAAGATGTCCCTAAATTCAATGAAAGGTCTAAAAAAAGAAAATTAAAAGGAAAACAAAAGGAAAAAAATTATAAATCCTATCAAATTGAAGCTGTTGTTGACCATAAACTTAAAGATGGTTTATATACATTGTGATGATAGAGCTTTAATAAAGATAATAAGGGACAAGATTAAGTATCTTTTTTAAAGCTCTATCATCACATTTTTATCTTTGAGATGATGTTTTATTCCAACAAAAGATAAAGCTCTTTTATATTCTAGCTATTAAGACGGCGATATCAATTCATCCGACTAATGGATAAACTATGTGATAGAGGATGGATCAAGGACGTATCAGAACTTCTATTGAAGTCGCTATGTTAATCGGGCACATCTTTGAAACCGGCGTTAGCTGATGTAATGGCTGAGGTACCTGTTGATAGGTTCATTGTCCTGTTCACGTAAGGTGGATCATCTGAGTGAGAGATTTTATTCAATAGTGCTTAGCCGAAATGCCGTAGTATTCATACGTGTGTGCTATAATGTTTAACCGAATATCTTATTGTTGATATCTTAAGCAGTGTATTAATGTGGTTCACCACATACATTTTTAGTTAAATGAAAAGATTATTCCTATAGTGATAATAGCTGGCTAACAATAGAAAAATTTAATGAAAAGGAAATGTTAAATGAATATATTAAAAATAATAATCTTAGTACATTAGAAATAATTTGATAAATTCCCCCTCCTATATATAAATGAATATCTATATAGGATATATTGTTGTATGTATGACGTCCGCAGTTAATGTAATAAGCTTTTTATAAAATATTCCAGGCTAAGGTTGCCGCTATTATATACATATATTGTTTTTGATTTTCTTTTTTTTACTTTTTTTAAATCTTTTTTAGGATTACCATTATCAATAGATATGTAAGGTGGTAAAACAATTTTTTTATTTTTTTTCTTGGGTACATGAATTTTACTATGACTAGAACATAGATAATCAAGCTTGTTATCTCCAATATTAGTTCTAATCTTCCTGTGGCACATGTGACCTTCTTTCTTACCTCTTGTATGTATGAAAGTGCAAACATTTTCACTACTATTTAAGTACCAAAATTATTTATCTTTATCATATTTTCTATAATCTTCATCTTACTTTCTTTTTTTTCTACTAACACTTCATCATCAAAATATTCCTTCATAAGCTCTTCCATAAGATTTCTTATACTTTTAGTTAAGGATTTAGTAGATACAAGAATTTCTGTGTTTAAAATTACCATTTTAAAAATTTATTGAAATGGTAAGAGAACTTGGATATTTTTATTTTTTTAATTAAAAAAAAATTAATTTTTTTTTTACTTAAAAAATTTTTAATTACCTATGAGTAATTGATTACTAATAGTTTTATTAAATACTTATAATTATAAGTATACCGCCTAAGTATTGAAGTAGAGTGCAATGTAAGCTGCGTTTCTTTACTAAATATGTTCAAATTACAGCTTTGCAATCTCCGGTATTTTCAATATTGGTGATAAAGTGTGGAAATCTTACCTGTCAGATCAAGAATTGGCTGGACTTGGTAGAGCTGGCTCGGGAAAAATGCCCTCTCTTCCTCACTCATTGCAACAAATCTTTGATGAATGTCAATTGGCCCTTGAAAATATTGTTGAAAAGTCCATAAACATGAACTGGTATGAGAAACAGAAGGCAGTCGTCGACGGGTTGTACCAACGTCTCCTCCAATTCCCCCCTTATAACCTGTACATCGATTTTAACGAGCACTGGCTTATCGAACAGTTGAAAGAATTCTGTTCTTTATACCGATGGCATATCCCTGGTCGCATGTCAAAGGATTCGTCAGAAATGGACTACATCAATCTATTCTGGAGTCGACTTGACCGGTGTTTCGATGATTTATACATGGATACAAGACGGTAAATATTTAAAAGCGGAAATAAAAAAACAAAGAAAATAATATATGGGCCTAGAAACTAACTATTACCTTATTACATGCTTGCTTACAAATAACTGGATTTTGTAGTGATGTTCCTTGTGTCGCAAACCTTACACGAGTTAACGAAAGCAGAATAGTTGATGGTTTAAAAGCAATCAAGGATCAAAATAAGAGCGTTCGTCCTGATCTAGTGTTGATAAAAAATAATGTAGAGTTTGGAACAGGCGAGTGTGGAAAGGATGACGTTACTGGCGTTGGTAAAAAAGAGTTGGTCGAAACGCAGCTGCATGGCCCAAAAATCATGAAGGATATGTTTGTTCGTGCAGCACATATTGCCGGGGACAATGAGGATTTCGTGCGTAGCTTCAAAATAGTATCCTTTAATCAAACATGTATGTATGAGGAGGTTCATTTTTTGTTCGATCTAAAAAAAGATAATTATTATTCAACAGGTAATAACATCTTATATGTAGGCATGAGAATGACCACGTCGGTGTTGGACTGTCCAAAAGAAATTGTGTGTCGTGTGCGAACCTCGCAGGAATATGAAATACCAAAAGATGCTGCAAATTTTTCTGCTGGTGTCATACCTGTGGTGTTCAACAATAGAAAGGGACTAGAAGTCTTCGAGATTGCTGTTTAATTCAAAAAGAATGCATCATCTATCCTTCACTTGTTTTCTACAGCTATTTATACACGACCAGGGTCTGTGACGATGAAAAGAAAAACCAGATAAATGATAGATCCGCTCAGCAACCTGACCAATACTTCTTGACGCTGGTTTCTAATCGAAACCGCTGTAAGTCAGCCACGACAATACCTATTTTGAAACTGGTCTTAAAAGCCAAGGTAAAATATTTTTTACGTATCTTTTTACTTGATTCCATTTTTGGCTCTTTCAGTTTTGACTATTTTATTTTGATTACTTCATTTTTGACTACTTTATTTTTCGCTACTTTATTTTTGACTACTTCATTTTTCACACAAATCAGATCATGGTCCAAGAATCAATCTCAACTCTGGAAAAATACACGAATGATCGAGGTACCTAAGAACCAGATTTCCAATTAGAGGATACTCCAGGTGTAAACGTGGTGAAGATCCCTTCGTGTTTCACTCTTCAAAATAAAAAGCAAAAATCAACGACAGATAGCAGCACAGTATGACTTACAAGTCAGTCATCATGTTTACTCTTTTCTTTTTTATTCCTGTATATACCATTCCAACTATTAGCAATTCCTCATTCATTTCAAAGTATAACAACGCTACTTTTTTTTTCTTTTTTTATTCCTGTATATACTATTCCATCTATCAACAATTCGTCATCCATTCAAAATGTAACAACACTACTTCTTTTCTTTTTTATTTCTAACTTCCAAAAAAATACTTTGCCTACAACGTGTACTGTTATTAAACTCGGCTTTATCTTTGCTCTTTTGGTGGTACCAAGAAGCCATGCAACATGATTTATATGAATCAATCCATTTAGTTGCTGTCTACTCAAGGCTTACTTTCATTCATTCGTTCAAGCAACTGACATGGTTGTAAGTTATCATTTTCTTTTAATAATATTATTTTCTTGTTTGCATATTACGTGTTTTTCTTATGGTGGCGTGTTGTATCGTCTCTTGGTTATGTTAATGATGTTGTTTGCCTCGTTACTTATTATACAATTATTTGTGAGTTCAGTCCGGAGGACTGAACGAACCTGAACTGCCGAGTGCTGTGATCATCTTTTCTGCTTTATTGGTCGAATATATCAGAGAAACATTACAAATGAAATTTGGGTAAAAGAAAATTTTTGTCTATAAAGTGCCAAGAGTGTCAACTATCGAATCCTTGATCTTTAATGAGCGTAGCCGATAGCGGAGGGTGGGTGGGACCCTCTGCAGTTCAGGTTCGGGAAGTCCGATGGACTCCCTCAATTATCTGGAGCTATAGCGATAGATAATTGGTTTGTTTAACACTAGTATTTCAGGATACCGAATTCTTGCTTTGAGAGCACATTTGTTGAGACCAATAAATGTACTCGCCGATATCACTCCCTTTAGCTCTTGCTGCGAATCCGACAATATCATCAACATCGACCACCACAAATATTGAGCCGGCAAAAGAAAACGGGGAAAAAGATTATCTGTCTGAAGGTTTCTTATGTGATAGTTACGATGCTTCACGGAGAAAAAAACATCAATTCACAGTGAATTAGTTATAATTACAGTACACATATCTGTTAAGCCGTTCACATCAGCTTTCAGCGAGGCTGCAGGTAAACGAATGGAAATGAGCATAGATAGCCTTCCTTCTTCTTCGTGTTCGAGACAAAGTAAAGTGCTTTACAGTATCAACTCGTTTCGTATAGATCAAAACCGGGCTTATGCTTACTTAGTATTAATGCAGAGAGAGAGGATGAGTATCCGAGTTGCAATCCGTTCGTTGGTTCAGAAAATGATCACTCTTAACGTCAACTACTTTAAGAAAAACTACTTTAATCAATATGGTATGTCGTCTGGTCATATAAGCTTTAATGAAAATTCAGTGTTAGATTATTAACTTTGAAGAACCCGTACAATAGGCCGACATCAACGATATCCGCCATATCGCTGTTCATGCCCATCGCGATGCGGTCAGTCCTTGTGGCGCTATTGCAAACCTGGGATTCAAAGGTAAAGAACGCGATATGCTGCGGCTGTGGCGAGCTATCAACGATTCCTTTGATGATTTGGCAGTGGCTGTCCAACGGTACTGATCGAAGTAACAGTATAAAGAGCATTGATATAAGAATTCAAACTTACAGTATTTTTGTCATTCAGAAGCGACCCACAATCTGCTGCATATCAGCACAGCACAACGAAGAAAGACGTGCAGCTAATGGACTTATAAAACAGAAGGTTCACAACGCCAAGCCTGACCTTATCATCGCGCGAAAAACATGTTAAAATTTGCCTCGGCCGAACATGGGTATTCGGATGAAGCAGGCGTCGGAGCGAAGGAGCTTGTATAGAAACTCCTGAAGTTGCCCTAAAAAGATAAAGGATATGTTGTTTCGTATTGATGCCGAAGTAAACAACGACGAACGAAAATCCGTTCAATTTGTGTTGTGGGCTATTCACACACACGTAAGTTATTCTTTTGTGCTGCAACAGACGAAAGAGATTGTGTTGATCGATTTCATATAGATCTACGTGTCGTGACTTCGGTGATGGATGCGCCGGCGGGCTATGTTTGCAAGATCGAACACCAGCAAGAATTACGCATTCCAACCGAGTTACAAAACTTCTACATAACTTCTACAAAACATACATCAAATTCCTGAAACAAGTCTATCAAATGAAGGTAAGTAAAACGATGAAACTAATATCTGAAAGTTTTTGCATTTCTCACACCGTTATATATACAATAATAAACTAGTCCCTGGAGGACAGATGCTGACACGCAGCGGAGCGGTGGGGCTCACATCGTCCGGAAGCGAAGCGGAGGGACCAGTTTATATATACAATTATATAATAGCATATCGTAAAGGCGACAATTGCAGTCTTCTTTTGTATGAGAGGTTAATAGCCTTTTAAATTCTATCAAAATACAAGTCATATGTTCAAAAGAAGTAATGTGCCTGCGTCCTCCACTACTGTTGAGCGAAAAGGAACATATACACAGCGGTTTTTTAAAGGCTCATACGAGTTTGTACCGCATATATGGCATCTGCGACTACATGTAAAGAGAAGAAACAGACGTTACTAAAGATAGGGTTCCAGTGGACGCGCCGTATCTGTAGCATGATATATGAGAGAAAACAAAGTAGTTGCTTGGTAGTAAAGTGGTGATACGGTTTCTTGCATGTTGTGATGAAAGTAAGGGTAGATTCTCGATGTGAATCGGTATGTGTTAAGTGCTGCCAAGTAATTATTTAAACCGCTCGTTTAGCAGGGCATGGCATCAATAAATGGTCAATGGAGTCTTCCTCCTGGCGATAAATAGAACATATGTAGTTTGGCAGGAGATTGGTGATGCCTTGATAGAGTAATCTTGCGGTGGGCGAAGTCCTATAAAAGATCCAGTATAAATGTTCCTGGTAGTGTGTTCCATAGGTATTTCCCACAAAAGTTGCCAATAACGCTTTTTAGAGGTGATTGTAATGTTGTTGCTTTGGTGATCCGCAGTTCCTCCCAATCCTACCGCGTGATGCATGGACGGCGCCTATTTTCCTTGCCTGTGGGTCCGCCAGCAGCAACCGGTAGTCGCACAAAATATGGTGGTGGCGAGTATTTGATGGATCAAAAGTAGAATATGGTGTGGATATATATGTACCAGATTCCTCCAGCATAGGTTGAATCCACCCCAGCCGGAGGGCATTCTGTTGAATCACTGGAGAGTAAGCGGATACTACCATCTGATCGTGGTAGACATAGTTTAGAATACGCCACAGTTGGATCAGATATCCTTTTTCTTTTTCATAGTTAACAAACCAATATTTTGTTTGTATATTTCATCATGATTCCCAACTTATACTAGTCAAAACTAGAACACCCATTGACGTATACTGATTGGATTATCGAAGGAAGAAAGGAGTCCCAAGTTCGTTGGAGCCTAATTTAAATAATACATACACGTACTACACACACACACACACACTATCCATATATCTCATGAACAACAGCGAATCATCGGTCTCAAAAGGGAAGTACAAGGTCATTAAATACAATGAGCAAATATTTCGCATTCCTGTTCGACGTATTAACCAGTACAGTAGCAGTTTCTCTATTAAGTGATGTGGCAGCAGCCACAGCCTTGACCCCTACTAGTAAACTGGTTCCCATTCGAAACGGATTCTACTACACATGAAGGATCAATAGCCAGACGAGGCGTTGTCTTTAGGCCCAACAGTGCAAGGCAAACCGATGTACCCGAGGCAGCTAGAGTCGACGCATGTTACAACACATGGATGGCAAACTGGATCGATTATCACGGAAGCTGCGGCGGCTCATAATTCCTAGTCAATACGGTGACAAATATAACCACGATGACAGTATAGTTGACGATTCTGACAGTAGTGGCTCTAACCCTTACGATCATACACCAGCAGCAGCACCATTACTTCAAGACCGTGACCAGCAACAACGACAACAACAACGCCAACACCATGACTCCCCAGAACATTCGTCACTAAGAAAAACAACAGTAATCATCACAACAGCCCCGACAGCCGCAGCCGTAGCCACAGCCACAAGAACACCTGCTTTAACCACCTTGCACCCACACATTGTGATGAAGGCAGCGCACCGCCTTCGTAAAACAACAATTTTGGGCAATATCAACGGCTTGACGGATTAACTGCGACTGCAAAAAAAATAGAGAATTAGTACGCGGGCTGAAAAATTGAGACCAGCTGGGCTGAAAAATTTCCGGCATTTTAGTAGTATTCAGCCCGCTTTGTTAATGTTAAGGGCTCGAGCACTACGTGGGCTGAACGGTTTTGTACTCTACTCATATCCATTTCTGTGACACATCCCACCATATTTAATAGTAGAATACGTAGCACCTATCTCACGCTTACTTAAAGTGCGTGTCCTATGTCCAGCAACTCTGATTTGAAAGTACATCTCTTATTATTCAATAATTCTCAACGGAATGCACAGCCAGAACGCTCAATATATGTAACGCTAGATAAATAATGTATCTTTATAGATAAATTTGATGGCTCGTAAAGTACTGGCATTGGGTAACACCACAGTAGGTTCAAATCAACGAATGTAATCATACACCAGCACCTAACTCCATAATCATCATTGTCAGAGCAGGCGCCTTTGGCCTCTCCACCGCTTATGCCCTGTCCCTGAAAATCAAATACAACATTTGATTCTTTGAAAGATGGTGCATTTCTAGTCCTAACGCTGCTTCTTACGGTATTAAATTATCTTTATTAACCGCAACTTCCTGGACATGGCCGGAAACAACTGTAATGCCTGGAACGTACGCCCTCCAAACGTGTCAAAGCGCGCTCATAATCCAATTAGCCAAATCGTTGATAAACTAAAGGGCTGATCCCGAGCCCAAAAGTCGTTCATAAGTCTGTCTGTTGGTACGTGTACAAAATCAAAAGGGATTTTGAAGTACATGTACTTAATGACCCATGATTCATCTTCTTTCCGATACAATTATAGTCACTCCTTCATTACTCTTCTTTCGCGTGCCCCTTTTCTATATAAATTTGATTGACCGCCAAACGCTCATTGCATCTTCTTGGCATTATTCTTTTCTCTGAGAACTTGGTCACTGTTGATATGTTTAAATTGCTCCAGTTAGAAGTACAGTGGCTAAGTGTATACTGGATGCATTCACTACCATATGTCGCATTTAGTTGATCATCGCGATGCTTCTTTCTTAAAAGATTGCTCTCATTACTATTATATTGGCCACGTCAGAATTGCTGTTGGCCATCGCGTTGTCACTTCTTTTTTTTTAAAAGCTTGCTGTCATTGCTATTACAGTGGCCCAGATCAGAATTGCTGTGGCCACATGAATTTGTCTTTTGCATCAAAATTCAAGTATTGGAATAAGTGACTGTAAGCTATAAGTTTATTTTAAGTGAGATGTATATCTGTAGCAGATATCAAGGCGGTGTAGTTTGAAGACAATACACCATATAAGATCCTTCAGCCCGCGTAGTGCTCGAGCCCTCGACATTAACAAAGCGGGCTGAATGATACTAAAATGCCGGCAATTTTTCAGCCCAAAGGTCTCAATTTTTCAGCCCGCGTACTAATTCTCACAAAATAAATAATAGTAATAATTAAAAAAGAGACACAAAAGCTGATAAGGACAACACCAACGTTTGTTGCATATTACCAGCAGACACAAGTTGCCACGATGGTTATTGAGACGGCATAACAGAATAGGTTGCAAGCCATTCAGTATTGAGCAAGTAGCGTAACAACTTGTGCAGCTACAGATGGCGCTGTTGTGGACGGCTGTGTCCGAGAGTTGGATCTAGTAACGAGAGACGTGGTTGACATCGGTTAAAAATATAAGGACCGAACGATATTTGGTTAGAGACATGTTAAATCAGGAACGGTATACACTGGTGATGGATGAGGTTTGGGTCAACGCATGGTCAAAAATGCATAAAGCAAACCTTATCGGAAAAGCCATTGCCCCTTCATCGGGGTTCAAAAAAAGCGTGTTGTGACGCGTTGCGCAGCGAATATTATTATCATGCCGATCGTCTGCGAGCAATTGTTCTTTGTTGCTTCCCCATTCCCAATTTCAGATGTCTTCTCGCAACACTCCTAAAACGCACTCGCACGCTTCAGACGTAGAAGCTTTTAAAGAAGGTACTTTACATGTTCTTTAAAATCAATAACATGTAGAAATTTGACAACATGCGTCTCATATTACTGCAATTCGTAGCTTTCAAAAAGTACCTTGCCGTCGAACAGGGTGCAGTTACTTTAAGGAATTTTTATCAGTTCGATCCCGAGTTCGTGTACAGCCACAGCAACTTAAGAGATGTCAAAGGAACATGGAACTATTTGTTCACCAAAGCTATAAAAGAATTCCAAGTTCCAGTAAGTTGAAAATGTATAAATGTCTGCGGTTTAAGGCCGTTTACTGATAATGCCATTGAAGAAATGGACCAAGCAGCAGCCAAATTGGATAGAAATCCTGGAAGAGCTGGTCAAGGTACGGTCTCCTACTGGATTTTGACAAGCTCAGTACTAATTGTATTATCATACAGCGCAACGAGCAGGTACCTGCAACAGCCGCCCCAAGTTCACCATCAGCCACCATCACTTCTTCTTACAAGACACCTCATTCCCAATAAGCAAAAAAATAAAAAATTCAAAGTGACATCTAATATTCAGGAGTTTGAAAGATATTTGGTTTGTTTAACGCTAGTATTTCAGGATACCGAATTCTTGCTTTGAGATGCACATTTGTTGAGACCAATAAATGTACTCGCGGATATCACTCCCTTTAGCTCTTGCTGCGAATCCGACAATATCATCAACATCGACCACCAAAAATATTGAGCCGGCAAAAGAAAACGGGGAAAAAGATTATCTGTCTGAAGGTTTCTTATGTGATAGTTACGATGTTTCACGGAGAAAAAAACATCAATTCACAGTGAATTAGTTATAATTACAGTACACATATCTGTTAAGCCGTTCACATCAGCTTTCAGCGAGGCTGCAGGTAAACGAATGGAAATGAGCATAGATAGCCTTCCTTCTTCTTCGTGTTCGAGACAAAGTAAAGTGCTTTACAGTATCAACTCGTTTCGTATAGATCAAAACCGGGCTTATGCTTACTTAGTATTAATGCAGAGAGAGAGGATGAGTATCCGAGTTGCAATCCGTTCGTTGGTTCAGAAAATGATCACTCTTAACGTCAACTACTTTAAGAAAAACTACTTTAATCAATATGGTATGTCGTCTGGTCATATAAGCTTTAATGAAAATTCAGTGTTAGATTATTAACTTTGAAGAACCCGTACAATAGGCCGACATCAACGATATCCGCCATATCGCTGTTCATGCCCATCGCGATGCGGTCAGTCCTTGTGGCGCTATTGCAAACCTGGGATTCAAAGGTAAAGAACGCGATATGCTGCGGCTGTGGCGAGCTATCAACGATTCCTTTGATGATTTGGCAGTGGCTGTCCAACGGTACTGATCGAAGTAACAGTATAAAGAGCATTGATATAAGAATTCAAACTTACAGTATTTTTGTCATTCAGAAGCGACCCACAATCTGCTGCATATCAGCACAGCACAACGAAGAAAGACGTGCAGCTAATGGACTTATAAAACAGAAGGTTCACAACGCCAAGCCTGACCTTATCATCGCGCGAAAAACATGTTAAAATTTGCCTCGGCCGAACATGGGTATTCGGATGAAGCAGGCGTCGGAGCGAAGGAGCTTGTACAGAAACTCCTGAAGTTGCCCAAAAAGATAAAGGATATGTTGTTTCGTATTGATGCCGAAGTAAACAACGACGAACGAAAAATCCGTTTAATTTGTGTTGTGGGCTATTCACACACACGTAAGTTATTCTTTTGTGCTGCAACAGACGAAAGAGATTGTGTTGATCGATTTCATATAGATCTACGTGTCGTGACTTCGGTGATGGATGCGCCGGCGGGCTATGTTTGCAAGATCGAACACCAGCAAGAATTACGCATTCCAACCGAGTTACAAAACTTCTACAAAACTTCTACAAAACATACATCAAATTTCTGAAACAACTCTATCAAATGAAGGTCAGTAGTTGATAATTCAGACGATGATGATGGATGATATTGTTACTTGGGGATTTAATAAGTGATCATCGAGGTTGATGACGATCACTTAGTAGAGGTCGAGGAATGTTCATAACATCAGCGTCCATTTGCGTCTCATCTTCCTTTAACTAAAAAAGGACCGCTGCCTGGCTGTCCAAGTGGTGGATGTGGAAAACTAGATAGCACTGCTGCTGGTCCCTCAGCGTCCATTCGCGATTTTCCTTCAACTGTTTCTTTACTTAATAATCCTCCTACCTTTCACATAATCGAAAATACTTGCGCTTAGTGTTAGATCATCCCCAGCAGACTCGCTAAAAGCTATTTTAGCGACAAAACTAGCGAGTTTGTTTTCCCAACAGACTCGCTGTCGCTATTTTGCGGACCGGCTATTTTTTTCGTCGAACCTCGCCAAAATGACGAGTGATAACCGGACTCGCTATTATTTTATTTGACGAGTCTGCTGGGGAAGCTCTAAGTGGTTATAGTCAGGTTGCTCTCATTTCGCTCCGAACAGAGAACCCAAAACAGTTTTGCAAAAATTTAAAGTCCTCTCTACTCGGATCGAGATAAAGGCGCAACGCGCCGAGAAACTTCCTTTTCTGTACATACCCCGAGGTGTTGCATGAATAACAACGCGATTGCGAATAATAGCTGATGGTGGAATATCGTTCATTTTTTGATAAAAGCAGATAGAATAGATGAAAAATAGAGGTGTATTTTTCTTTCAATCTTTTATTATTCATGAAGTGACAGTTTCCTTTTATATCGATCCGAGCGAGCCACCACGGAGGCCTTCCCATCGGAGAAGCCGTTACCAAAATTGGAGGCCTCCGAGAAGCCCTCTTTTGGAAGGAAAACGGAAAATTTATTTTCCATTACTACATTGGGGTATGGTGTTCTCTGTTCGGAGCAACCTCAGTGTGTGTTACTTAGGGGTTCCATTTATAGTATCAAATACAATTGACTTTCATGTGAGTATCTTTAGATGGGCGACACGGTCTAGCAAAACTTTTATCAAAAAACTAACCCAAAGCACATTAAATATCATAAATGTCCAATCTGTGGATAGAGAAAATGCGAGATTTAGTACTGTCAAAAAAATTTAAGCCTAAACGATGACAGCGTACTAGTGGGTGATGGGAATTGGATAAGAATGATGTCTTGCAACCAGGACGTATCTGGATCATAGTGATAGACTTTGGATCTTAGTTATTCTTGAGGATATCAAAATTATCCCTTGTTAATTCCCGCTGTTATATTTGCTGCCTGCACCCGATATTATAAAATAAAGTACATAAAAGATATGAATGATTGTTAGCCTGAACTTCAGTTTACAGTAATTTGCTAGCTAACTTGGTGATGTTAAAGGTGTATTAGTAAAGTTGCTATTTGACAGATTCGTAATGAAAGGGGTTGGCTATATCTATGCAAGTATGAAGAAACTGAGGGACCTAGGTATCATTCAGTGATGAGTCCTGGATTTATTTGGATTACCTGAGAAACCGAGGAAGTGATATATGATAAGAATGATGGTTGCCTGTGATTGGATGCAGGTACAGCTTTAGACTTGATGAGACAAGCGTGTAATTCACAGGATGAATGTAACCGATTCACTTTTCTTCACCATCAACAGGCAAATCTAGGTTCCGTGTCCTGATCATACTTTGATTACAAAACCTAGCCAAACAACAATTATAATATTATAATTCGCTGGACAGCACGCATACAACGACAGACTAGTTCTTTAATGTTCTAAATTGTCAAGTCTGTTATTTTTCCGGAAACTAAAGATTGCTGTTGACGTGCATATATGGTACGTGAAAGTAAGCCAAATTGACAAGGTCATTTGAGTACTGAATTTAAAGTTAGCGTGTTACGCAGCTAATTATAATCAGATTTATTAAACCCTTAACTCAAGCTTTTACGAATTACATTACAATACACACAATCGTCCAGTAAGAAGGAAGGGTTTTATTCCTGCTCAGATTCATTGTATGTGCGTTTTTGGGGTGTCATTGTGGAGGGGAAATTGTTGTCATTCAATGCGGAAGGTATAATAAGTGTACGATCACTTCCAAACATTACCAATTTCACCATCATCGAAGCTACTTTCCTGTTGTTCGACTAATGCAATTGTCGCCTTTACACGATATGCTATCATTTTATTGTATATATAACGGGGTGAGAAAGCTTTCAGATATTAGTTTCATCGATCTTTCCGTTTATTCACATTGATAAATTCCATAGTAAAAGATATATAAACACCATAGTTTTTGGATAATAAATCATCAGTCAGATATCTTGTTCCTTATATCTTCTCTCATCATCTGCTCTCCTACCTCTAGGTTTCCTTCTTGTCTTGTCCTGTTCTTGCTGAAAGCACCTAGCACATTCTCGTCCGGTCTTTCTGTCTTGTCTTGTCTTGTTCCTGTCCGCAACTTACATCATATCTGACTCATTCAGTGTTACCTGCTTTCTTCCTTCTCTGACTCTAATACTTCATTCCAGTAAATCCACTTTACCTTCTTCTGATTCATTACTGCCCCTTGATCTCTATACCACTTTTACCATTTCTATCTATTTATTGTCACCCTACATTCCCTCTCATTTTTCGATATTTTCTTTTTAAGATACTCCGTTTCCCCACTGACTCTCTTGTACTTCCTATCTCCTATTTTTTCCCTTGTCAATCCATATGCCCTAAATACGTCCGTGCCCAAACTCCGGAATCCTCGATCAATGCTGCCAGCATCGCAGAGGGTCTCCAAAACCTCTCCCTGGATTCACAAGCACCCGCGTACTGCCGAGCCTTCCGTGTAAATGACCCACCAGTTTTTAAGGGCAACACTGAGGACATCCGCTCGTTCATCACCCACGTCAAGATGGCCATACACATGAATCAGGACAGGTTTGCTGACGACCTTTCAAAAATTTGTTTCATGTGTTCTTTCATGGCTGGACCTGCGTTCGATTGGGCTCAGCCTTATCTCGATGACATCGGTACGGACGAGGTTGATCCGTGCATGCTTTCGTTTTCGCTCTTCCTTGATGAATTTCGTTTGGCTTTTGGACAGGTCAACGAACTACTGGAAATCGAAAACAGCTTGCTAGACCTACGTCAGGGTTCGACTGCAGCTTCTGAGCACGCCGCCACCTTCCACCGCTTCGCCTTACGCACTCAGTTCAATGATGCTGCCCTCCTTGCCATCTTTCGCAAAAGCCTCTGCGATCGCCTTAAGGATGAGCTCGCCACTCGCGACATGCCAGTTGAGCTGTGGTTGTATGTAACGAAGGTAATCGAACTCGACAACAGAATGCGCGAAAGAGAAGGGCAACGACGCAATCAGCCGTTCCGCCCTCGTTAAAGATTTTCGGCACCGGTCACAGTTTCCCCCACCAACACCACAAGCGCTGTGCAGCCCATGGACCTGGATGCAGCTAAAACCAAGTTCATCCCATTGTCGGCAGAGGAAAAGGCTCGTCGACGTCAGCTTGGTCTCTGCTTATACTGCGGTGGTGAAGGTCATGAGGCCCGCACTCGCCCTAAGAAGTCGGGAAAAGGCACCTCCCATGGCCTGTAAGAGAGTATACCATGGGCTCCCTATCATCAGAAGTAACTTCAAATAAAACAACTGTTGAAACCAAACCTCTCTGCTCTTCTGTTATTCCACCTCTGCCTGCTTCATCTTCTCCGAAATCCTCACCTTCCTTGCACCATCCTCTCAAAATGTCGGTATCCATCGATATTTCGGGTCGTATAGTAAAAACACATGCCATGATCGATTCGGGTGCCATGGAGAATTTTGTCGATGAATCCTTCGCACGCCATCATAACTTGCCGTCCATCAAAAGTAATAACCCACTCTTGGTCCGCACAGTCGACGGTCGAGCTCTTCGTTCCGGTATTATCACTGACGAATGTCCAGTCGATCTGTTCGTTGGCCAACACCATGAACGAATTTTGCTGTATCCAACGTCCTTGGGACAATACAGCATCATTCTTGGTATGCCCTGGTTGATCAAGCATAATCCATCTATCAATTGGCGCACCGGCCACATCGACCTGACTTCCACCACCTGCACCACAGATTGCTTGCCAGCACCTTGCAGCAGCAATTCACATCCTTCACCACCTACTGCTAAGCATCCACCGGATATCCGACTGGTTAGTGCACTTACTATCAAGTCACTTATCCAAAAGGGCGCCCAAGCGTTTTCAGTTCATGTCGACCCCTTAGGGTCCCTGTCATCCATCGCTTCCGTCACGATTGAAGGATCCACTGCTAATTCCTCGCTGCCATCCAAATATCGCGCTTTTGCTGATGTGTTCAATAAGGACCAAGCTGATGCCCTTCCCCCTTCTCGTCCAGGCATCGATCATGCTATCCCGATTGCTGAGATACTCAAGTTCCATTTGGGCCGATCTATTCCTTATCACAAGAAGAACTCGGCGTCCTACGTGAATATATAAAGACCAACCTGGATAACGGTTTCATCAGTCGTTCGACTAGTCTTGCTGGAGCCCCCATCTTGTTTGTCAAGAAAAAGGACGGTTCCCTACGCCTTTGCGTTGATTACCGTGGGCTTAACAAGATCACCATCAAGAATCGTTACCCATTGCCTCTGATCAACGAAATGCTCGACCGTCTTTCATCTGCCACCGTCTTTACCAAGCTTGATATCCGCAATGCTTATCATCGTATCCGTATAGCCAAGGGTGATGAATGGAAAACCGCCTTCCGCACAAGATACGGTCATTTTCAGTATAATGTTATGAGCTTCGGTTTGACCAATGCGCCGGGTTCCTTCCAAGCACTTATTAATAATGCCCTGCACGAGTATCTTGACCAGTTCGTTATCGTGTACTTGGATGACATCTTGATCTTCAGCGACAATCAAGCAGAGCACGATGAACATGTCAAGCTAGTCTTGCAAAAACTTCGTGAGTCAGCCCTTTATGCCAAAGCTGACAAGTGTAATTTCGACGTCGATGAGGTTGATTTCCTTGGTTTCCGCGTGGGTCGCTCGGGTGTCAGCATGGATCCAACCAAGGTAACCTGCATCTTGGATTGGCCTACCCCCAAAAACACTCATGACATTCAGGTTTTCCTTGGGTTCGCCAATTTCTATCGCCGTTTCATCCACCATTACTCTCGCATCACTG